ATAGATAGATAGATAGATAGATAGATAGATAGATAGATAGATAGATAGATAGATAGGAAAGCAGCTGTGTGTGTAGTGCAAGAAACAAACAGACAGTCCTCACATTCGTCGGTCTTGCTGCCACGGTGCTCTGCTTGCTCTTTACTGAAAAGGATTCTGGGTAAACAGGTTCAGGCGTCTATTCTGTCTCTGTATTTTTTGTTTGTACGGTTGCAGAAACCCAATGTTCCCTTTATATTCACCCTTGGGTAGCTTAAAAATTATATTATGGCTGCACAATTAGATTAGAAGATGGGGAAATTTAATGTCTTGTGCATCATTGTATACACCTTGTGATAGATTTTAGTGGAAATATGAGAATTAATGAGAACCAGTGGGATCTTTACACAACATGCACATGTAGTGGAAACGTCCAACACGGTGCAGTGTCTCGGATGAAAAGATGGGAATTCAGATAATAAATGCGTCTCTTTTTCCGCCCTGTGCAGCATTTTTAGGTTAAGTTAAGACATACATTAAGCTCAAGAGATGTGGCTATCAAATCTGTACCTGAGTGTTTGAATCCTCCTCATCCATTACACCTGGGGATTATCGTGAAAGAACATCACGCCCGTTCACCTTCCAGAGAATATTTTTAGTTCCTGTTAGATTTGGTGTTACCTCTTGTCTCTGTAACAAATTCCCTCCCAATTCCCAAAGCAGCCGGATGGCTCTGATGGATGATAGGCTGAAACCGAGAGGGGTTTGAGATAAACACAATCCATATATGTGCACATTGAGACACAGAGCCGGAAAACCCAGGTGGGACCATGTGTATCTAGTTTTTCTCATCTGGGTTTGTTGCTCAGTCCAATTATTGTACAATTCTTAATGCATTACCTCTACAAATACTGTAGGAGTCTTTTTTTTTCTCTTTCAACAATGAATCTCAAAACTCCAGAGAACATAATGATACCTATATCTCTGTGTCTACAGCTTAAAGTATTAACTATTAATACCAAACACACACTTGGTCCCCTACCCACCCACCCTCACATCCTCATTCCCACACATCATTTGACCACCTTCCCCCACCCTTTCTTATGATAATCAGTCCATCGATAGTCTATTTTTAGCTCTGAATTTCCCCCCGCTCTGCTTCTCCTGCTTGGTGACTTCCTGTCTAATTATACAAACATGCGTACGAATACACGTGCACATTCTCAGACTCACTTGCAGGCTGCTGTGGATGCACAGCGAGGTTAACCAATCGCACTTTTTCTTCCCTCACTGTCTCCCTCTCTGTTGCGGTGTCTTTCTGTGCCTCTCTCTGCTTGCCACTCTTCTGCCACTCTATTATTTAGCAAAGGTCTTTGTCCTCTTATCGTCTGACACCCAGCTGAGTTATTTCAGTATATCAGCTATTTTAGCTGTTTTCTTCCAAATGGAATTTCCTTGTTATGTTTCTACGTAATCTCTTTCTCTCTTTTCTCTCTCACACACCCTCCCACCAACGTGAAAATATTCTGTAGAGCTCAGTCGTCATGGTTTGAGGCAGAGAATGTCTTCACCCCCTAAAGTGGCAGCTCCAAAGCTTTTCTGTGCTATTATAGATTTAAGGCATTTAAGCCATAAATCTCTATGGCGTTCATACTCCTACTCGCAGCGTCACCTCTGAGAGGTTTGGCTACACTGGCTGATTGCAATGCAAAGACCATTTTTGGCTCACAGCCGACTTTATCCTTTATTAGCGGGAGCACGACATCCAATCAATAGTCAACAGCAGCAGTGCTTTTGGCTCAGGGGAAGCGTCGTTGCCTCCTCGCAGTATAGTCTGATGCCATTTTTTTAATTTGAGCACCTGTGCAGCTTGTCCTGCTTTGTTCAGCTCATTTATGAAAGCTCTAGTTTGAGTTTGTACAAAAAATACAAAGAGAAAATCCTGAACTGAACTGAAGACACTTCAGCCTTAATCCACAAAGCTCCATAAATTATGGATTGTATTTTTATCATTTTTGGCCTCTACCTGGGAGTTTTTGAGGATAAGAAAAAGAAAGTTGGTAAGGTTAAATATAGATGAAGAAAGAAAGGTAGCAATGGGGGCAGCAGGAACAGAGTATGGATTTTGCTGGGGACAGTGTTCCTTTTAATAAAAAAGGTCTACTTCACACTTATTTAGTGGATGTTGCTAAGGGGAAGGGAGGAGTGAGAGCGAGGGAGGAAAAACCGGTAATGTGCTTAGGCTCTAAGTAGAAATGTGTGAAAAGGAAGGAAGGAATAAAGGAGGAACAGTTGGGACTATCTGCCTATCTCAAAGCCAGATAGTCGATCAATATTCCCAGCTCAGATCCGACTAGATGCTCTCTCTCTCTCTCTCTCTCTCTCTCTCTCTCTCTCTCTCTCTCTCTCTCTCTCTCCCCCTCTGCTCTGCTGGTGTGTCCAGTGAAGGAAGCTGTGGGAGAAGACCATTGGCAGGTCATCAGTATTCCGGCAGGCTCTGCCTACTGTGGTGTGGGCAGCAGAATAATTTCATTCTGATCTTATAGATCAATAGTTGTACCCAGTGGAAGGCGACCGGCCCCGCCTGGTTGGCTGAACTGCTGCGGTATTCAGAGTAGCACTTGCTCATTTGATGGATAGTCCTCTTCAAGATTAATTTTTTTGTTTAACATTCAGTATAGTGGGCGCCCGGTTAGCTCAGTCGGTAGTGCTGGCGACCCATGTACGGAGTTGCTGCAGCGGCTCAGGTTTGAGTCTGACCTGCGGCCCTTTGCTGCGTGTCATCCCCTCTCTCTCTTCCCACCTTTCCTGTCTATCTACAGCTGTCTCTGTCCAATAAAGCCAAAAAAAATAACTTTAAAAAACATTCAGTGTAGTTCATGGAGGGGGCCCCGATGGGACGGTTTGGGAAGCTTCTTCACATCGGTATTTCTTTTAGTGGATGTAAGAGGATGGAAGTATTGTGGAACTTTGCAAGGCTGAATATGGGAGGCTGTGGTGCAGAGGCAGAGTGAGTCATCCCCTAATCCGAAGGTTGTTGGTTCGATCCCCGGCTTCTCCTGCACACATGTTGAAGTATCCTTGAGCAAGATACTGAACTCCAAATTGCTTCCGATGCTGTGCATCGGTGTGAATGTGTATGAATATGAATATGAATGCAGGAGTTAGTTTCTGTTTGATGGGCTTTGCTATCATTGGGTGAATGTGTGTGAAAGGGTGAATGTGGCACATAGTGTAAAAGCGCTTTGAGTGGTTGAAAGACTAGAAAGGCGCTATACAAGTACAGGTCCATTTACCATGAATATATCTGTGGCTACATTCACACTGCAAACCTTAATGCAGACCAGAGCTAGATATTATTAGTCATCAATTTAGGCTATATTGCCTTTTGTCTTTTTTTTTTTTTTTTACTTTAATATCAGTACTGTCATTGTTTGTTGTTATCTTTGTTGTTGTTGTGTTTTAAAAAACAACTAAATGAAAAATACATGTTGTTGTTGTTTGGCTGTTCACATTATTTGTTAAATTTGGCCCATATCAGATTGATTGATATCAGTGTGAACGGGTCACGGTCCTGAAGTGAACCGCATGACAAACATAAATCTGGAGTGACACAAAAGTCACATGAATTCTGATATTGCTGTTCACACAGACCTGTGTCTGATTTGGACTATATGAAACTGGGAAAAGATCAGATGTCATTAGATTTGAGTCACAAATGATTAATAAAAAAAAGCAGATCTGGGTCACTTGTGCCTGCATTGTGAATGTAGCCTATATAAAGGGGGTAGACAAAGTATCAGAAACACCTGATGACATAATGCAATCTGATCAAATAGCTGTTAAATATATGCTATGTTTGAGAAGCTGAAAATGTAAAATGTTTGTATAGGCTGAGTCAGAGAACTGATGAGTCAACTCAGGGGGTGGGGGAGATATTTATTACTCCTTATGATATAATGCAATCCAGTATATCAACACACAAACCAAAAACTCACAAATACCTTGGAGTTAAATCAATACTTCTGAAACTGGGAAAAAAACCCACATTTTATACATCCTAGTGGTAGTGTATGTAGTTAATAAATAAAAACACATTCGCCACAATAACACAATAACCTGTATTACAGTATGTAATCCAATACAATAAAACAGCCCTGCAAAAAAATATATATTTTTCTGTAGTTTTTTTTGTTTATATAATATATTATAAGTGTTGATTAACTTCCATGGTTGTTTTCAAGGCAGCAGTTTAGGTGTAATTGTTCAAATTGGTGAAGGTCAGGTTTGCTTTTCTGCTGAAAGAATGAATAGACGTACTCTCAGGTACACATGGCCAGCTACTAAAAAGGCTTTACTTGAATTACAAATGTAGAAGAATCAAATGAGGTTTCACACATAAATAGGACACCTGTATGAAAAGAAAATTAGTGCTGCAGCGAAGGATTTTTTCGATTATTCAATTAATATTTTGGTGGGAAAACACGGTGATCACAACTTCTAAGAGACCAGGGTGACATCCTCAATTATTGAATTTTGTCTAACCATATGTCCAAAACCCAAAGGTATTCAGTTTACTATGAATAATTGAAAAGCATCTTTCAATTATTTTTGCTTGATAAATGACAGAAACGATAAATCAATTATCAAAACGGTTGTACTACTAATAGTTTCAACTCTAAAGAAAACACAGCTAGGCTACCTGTTATAGCTGCGATAAAAAAGCTGCCTAGCTCTTCTTGTTTTGTTTTGTTTTTAGTGGCTAACAGTCATTTTGTAAACATGTCCAACGCTGGCAAATATCAGTATCACTGATCTACATTCATACACTACTTCTGCTTCACAGGTCAGAAACACAGCCCATCTGTAGGATTAACACCTTATGTACAAAAACAATATCAACAGTGGTAGATATTAATATAAAAGCATCCTGTTATCACATGGGACATCACACACAGTCAGTGAGTAACACCTGTCAGACAGCAGTGTAAAGCAACTGAATCAACTATACGGTTGTGTAGTATACAACTCTTTATGAGCGCTGCAGCCATTCAAAATATATTGAACTTGATTCTGCACTGAAGTACTGACAGGGTCGGAGTACACTGAACAATGTGGATGGTGGCACACTCTCTCTCTCTCTCTCTCTCTCTCTCTCTCTCTCTCTCTCTCTCTCTCTCTCTCTCTCACACTCACACTCCTACCTGTGGTGTTGTGGATTTACAGTGTCCTACTAAGCTGTGATCAGCTTGGAGACAGGATTACTGTTGGCACAGTGGGCACTTTACCACCATTTAGAGTCACAAAGACAAACACCCGGTTAGTACACACACATAGACACACACCGACAGAGATTAGTACCAACAAACACACCCATGTACCACGTATGAACAGTGTTGGACAGCCTTATAGACTGTAGATGGCTGATGGTCTGGTATCACTTTCTTTGCCATTAGGCGTTGCTATGCGGCCATCTTTGCTCCCGGTGGAGAAGTAAATACAGTAGAGGATGTTCAGTGGGTGAGCTACAGGAGCAAAGTGGTGACAGACGATCAATAGAGATCTAATGATTAAGATTTCACACTCTGGGAGAGTTAGAGGATCTTGCACTCCACAAGATGACTAACCCCCCCACTCACTCCGGGTGTGTGTGTGTGTGTGTGTGTGTGTGTGTGTGTGTGTGTGTGCGTGTGCGTGTGCGTGAAATGTGTGTCAACAACACATCTACCTCCTGCTGTTTTAATCTCCCACAGCTTCAATTATGATACTAGGAAGCGATGAGCATGAGTATCCCATTTGGACGTCAGGATTCGTTCAGCGTGAACTCACGTTATTCTAAAGATATAACGATGGATATGATGGTGTTCAGTGTTTCAGTTACACGTCACTCGATGTCATGTTACAGGCACATTGGCGACCTGCAGGGATGTAGCGATACACTCAACTCATGATTCGATTTGAAGATATGATTTTCTCACGAACAAAATGAGATTGAAGACAAATTGTGACTTTTGTTCGGCTTTATTTCTCAGAGAAAAATCTACAAAATATATGTTCTCTTATACTTTCTTTATCAAATTATAGAATCCTTTTCTATTTCTGGTTGGGTATAAACTGTCCAAAACAATGCATATTTCCTTTTCTTTGTAAAAGTGAAACTGGTGTCTTTGCGCCTTAATATCACCATTCATTTTTCATCTCACTGATTTAAATCTTCATATATTTGTCTTGCAACTTAACTGTCTTGCAATATATTTTTACATTCCTTAGGACAAGGCATACGAGCGATGTATTTCGAGAAAAAGGACAAAATGAACATGCATTAAAATCCATGTCACATAAGTACGAGCTATGCAACATAACAACAAGCTATGCTTATAATAAAACAACTAGTTTGCTGAGTTACCATTTGTGCATTAAGCACAAGGAGAAAACGAGACAGATAACAGGCGTTTTCTCATCACCTTATTTGCTAACAATCTTAGCACACACTGCTGCCACCGCAGGCTAGCTCATTACAAAAATGGTGACTGGAAATATTCTTTTAAGTTTTGTGGAAGGAGAAAGCTCCTGCGAGCTGATGGCGTTTGTTGAGTACAAGCAACCGTTGCAGCAAATCTCCACAGTCTGTGCAGTGTACAAAGGTAACGTTATTATCGTTGTTGTTATTGTTATTATCACTTGCATGTCCACTTCAAACCCTATTCTTACATTCAGTTTTCTTCTTTGCAAGTGCTTGAGTGCTCTATAATAATTGAATGCGAGTACACAAATATGGAAATTACTTTATAATTAAAAGTGTTGTAAACCCACAAATTCAAAGTGTTTTTTTTAGCTTCTCACAACCTCTAGAACTGCTGATTGCCTTTTCAGACTTGTACAGTTGGTCCGTTGGAGCGTAAATCTTCTGACATTCGGGCAACTGCATGGCCAGAATGTCAGATCTGGTTGAAGCCACAGCCGGATCAATCCGACTTAGCTTCTACCATGTGAATCCTGGGAAAAAGCTCTGAGAGTGGACTCCCTCCCCACGCCCGGCCAATGACTGTTTTCCAGGCATGATCAATGGAGAGCAGGAATCAACACCAGCGGACTTCACTGAGCCTAAGCTGAAAGTCCACTTGGCAGAGACACAAACACAGCACCTCATTAAACTCGAAACTCCCATCGCTGCCATCACACAGCCGAGCCTCAGCGCTGCAGCAGTGATGGAGATCTCCAGAGCGTTGATGTAGGAAGGCTCTAATTGCTGCATGGTAATGTGGTGCCTCTGCATTCCTGCTGTTTCGACAATAATCCAATCGGCACAGTATTGTGTGCTGTGTAAGGGGGTTTGAGTTATGCTTGGTAAAAGTGGCATATTGATTCGCTCATTACTAAAACAGCACCGGATTGGCTTGTAGGGGCTGAATTATGGCAGTTTGCTGTTTGAACATACTTTCCCTGCTTCTCTCTCTCTGTCTCTCTCTGTCTCTTACTGTCACTCACACACAATTGTGTGAATGGATTTGGCTATCACAAGTGATGACTCCTCACTCAGCCTCTTCTGTTCCATTTCCTTTCCCCTCCCACTTCCTCTGATACACTTTGTAGCCTCAAATCTGCCGTCTTTTTCTGTCCGGCCCTTTTTCTGGGCTCTTTCTCTGCCTTCCTGCCTTTTCTTCTCAAGTGCCCTATTTGGCTCTGATGCCCTCTGACTCTCTCTTTTTCTCTTCCTCCCGCTCTCTCTCTGCAGGTACCACCAGGCAGCCTAAGGAGGGGGAGGTGCCGGGGGTGGACTACAACTTTGTGAGTGTGGAGCGTTTTATGGAACTGGAGCAAAGTGGAGCCCTGCTAGAGAGTGGAACCTATGAAGGTGAGTGTTTCGAAGCGCTGTGGCCATGAAACATTTTGCATCTGCGAGACAAGTACAGGTGCTTGGGGAACAAAAATGGGAACATGTTTCCGTAGAGCTATTTTAATATTTCTAAATTTAAGCTGCCTTCTCGTGCTACTGTGTAGATATCTTTACTTGATGGATCAGGTGTGTCAGGTGATGCTCTTACACGCAGCTTAAGTAAACAAAATGACTCTTTTGCACAGAGTCATGTATTACGGCTTCCTCTGGTGGTTTTTGAACGGCTGGTTGACTGCTTGTCTGTGTGTGTGTGTGTGTGTGTGTGTGTGTGAGAGAGAGAGAGAGAGAGAGCTGGATGAATGCCATTTCCAAGTCATGTCAAGTCTGTGCATCTGCTTTCTACACTGTCAGGGATATATCTACAGATGGGGGATTTGCTGGTTCATTTGCCCAGTAGCAATTTTTGTGAGTATGTGCGGATGAACACACACACACACACACACACACACACACACACACACGGGGGGTACAGGCATGTGTGTGTGTGTGTGTGTGTGTGTGTGTGTGTGTGTGTGTGTGTGTGTGTGTGTCCTTTTTATGTGTTCCCTTTATAATTGTGTGTCTTTGCGTGTTTACAGTGTATGTTTCCCTTAGCGCAAAGCTTACTTATGCCCACTGGGGGAAGCTGTCTCTTTCTGGGTGGCTGCACTGGAGGTGCTGCGACTCATTTTGTAATGCACATTAAAATGAGGGAGAGGAGAAGAAAGAATGATGGAGACAGGAGGCAAGACTGCAAAAAAAAGAGGGAGAAAGATTTATAAGGCAGTGAAGGAGGCTGAAATCAGACATGGAGTATCATCAGGAAGCTCTTCAAGGTAATTGTAGTCCGTGTGTGCGAAAGGCTTGGTGCACATAAGAGCTTATGTATGTAATGTTGCGAGATGAGTCACAACTGTGCATAAAGCCAAGATACCTTGAGGCAAAACCAGGAGCATTCAGGATCAGGGGAACATTGAGTTTTTGAAACCAGTGCGGTGCATAAGAAGGAAGCCTGGCCTAAACTTAACTCAGTAGCTTTATGTTCTGTAAAGATCTCTTCAGGTTGTCCTTAAGCTTTCACAGGTGGGCGCTTGCTGCCTATGCAATCTTATACTTCTGTGTCTTTGTTTACATGTGCCTTTGTGTGCACATTTATATTTTTGTCACGATGTGATAAATCTGTTTGGTGGGCAGCAGGGTAAGTGTACTTATTGAGGAAGTGGTGGCTGTGATAGAGCCTTTCTTAATATCTATCCGCCTCCTGCTGGGATGAAAGTAAACTAATGTCTGTGGACGCTTTACTGCTGATCCTCCTTTTGTCCTTTATTACTGCCTCCTTCCCTCTTCTTTGCTCAGCTGTTGTTCTCCTCCCATTGCCCCTGTCCTCTCTCTGTGTTTCCTCTTTGTGAAGCCCCCACTCCTCTCCACTTGGAGGGATTATAAAATAAGACATCTCACTCACATTCAATATTTAATCACTAAATATATTTTCCTGACAGTGAGGGTCTTAAATTTAAAATAAAAGTAGAGCAAATAGCATGAGGAAAGAAATGTGCCCAGTAAATATGTGTGTGTATATATGTATATATATATATATATATATATATACATATATATATGTAGCCTATGTATGTTGGATCGGACCTCACGGGCCAGCCTTCACTCCCCATGTACATCAGTGAGCCATGGCCACCCATGACCCTGTCTCCAGTTCACTGCTTTTCCTTCCTTCAACCACTTTTGATAGGTACTGACCACTGCAGACCGGGAACACCCCACAAGAGCTGCAGTTTTGGAGATGCTCTGACCCAGTCGTATAGCCATCACAATTTGTCCCTTGTCACAGTCGCTCAGATCCTCACGCTGTCCATTTTTTCTGCTTCTAACACATCAACTTGAGGACAAAATGTTCACTTGCTGCCTAATATATCCCACCAACTGACTGCTGCCATGATAACCAGATAATCAGTGTTATTTATTTCACCTGTCAGTGCTCATAATGTTATGTCTGATCAGTGTATTTATACTGTATATTAAAGCTAGGGTAGTTTATGTATTTCAGAAGCATTTTTATTATAGTGGTTGAAATTATCTTTACATCCTACCAGCAATCAATAAATTAAATTTTAAAAAATCTGGCATCTGTAGCAGTCACAGGCCTGTAATAAGGCCAGCCAGTCATTTTATTCTGACTGTGCACTTTGCCCGTTGTGAGGGACCGAGCTGGCAGGCACGAGGAGTCAGACGTACATTTTCAGCGGAAAAAAGGATTTTTATTTCCCAAAGAAATTAAACAACCAATTTACAAAATGTAAAATAAAGTTATAGGCCCATAAAAGAGGTCAACTAAACAAAACTTAACTAACTTAAATTAAGCTGAATGAGACTGAACAGACTAAACCGACCTCATAAACTGAGACATTGGTGAAGGAAAAGAAACACAGAAGCAGAAAAGGCTACGAACAAAAACCTGTGACCAGAGTCGACATTGGTGTGGCATTTAAACAACGGCGAGAACTGAAGAACAAATAATTATCTGGTTTGTTTTGGGTGGGATTAGTCATCTTCCTGAACTCTGTAGTATGTAGAACTATGTCTGAATGAGACATGAGATAGTTGGATACAGTGATGACAAACTCCGCACTGTGTGTTGGGAGAGTGACTTTGGAGGGAGACCTGAAGGGAGGAGGTGGGGTTTTTTTCCGTTGGATACTTTCAAAATCTAGCTGTTAGTTTCTCCAACATTACCTACCCTACCTCTAAGCCATGAAATCACTGAAGCTTCAGTGTCATCAAAAATAGAGAAGTGTATTTTTGAGATGTTGAGGATGTTTCCAACTCCAGTCAGATACCCCGAGGGCCTCCGTGTATTGAACTTTTCTCTTCATTGTACTGTACTTAACTTCTGTGGGTCTTATTTTTCTACCAGCAGTTCTGTTACAGTGGGTGTGCAAGTGTCAGACGTCCAATGCTATTTTTATTTTTTTGTTTTTATACTGCATCCAAACAGAGCTGCTTGCACCAACACTGAAGAAAAGACTCAGCTTAAGTTGTGTGTTTGTACAGATCAGGTGGATTTGTATGGTACCAGTTTATCAAGCAAACGCACCTGTTTGTACCTGCTAAACTAATCCACACAGGTAGTACAGTCTAATGCAGCGGTTCCCAACCTTTTTACCTCAAGGGACTCTTTTTTTTTTATCATTGAGTAAACTGACTGACTAAGTGATTCATATCATACTAAGGGGAACAATAACAATAACATCTGATAAACTGTACAATGAACCCAAATAGTGAACACAGTAACACCAGGAAGTTTGTGTAAAACAAGTGGTTTGAAGGAATTTTGAGCAGATTCCTTCCTGTGAATATTCATCAGAGTTTTCCTGATGATTTTAGAAACTTTTTATACAATTCTGTCTGTATTATGTATTTATTTATTTTTTTAACAGCCATACAGACTTAAAAGGCTTCTTTTATGACAAATTCTGTCAGCTCTTTGGTTGTTTTAACCTTTCTAATGCAGGGCAAGCTGTTATCAGAGAGTTAGGGCTTTGTGAATATCGCTTATGTTTAGTTCTTTAAAGTTTACACCATAAATAATAGTCTAAACTTTTTAAAAAAAATGATTGTACCTGGTTTTCAGTTTTAGTTTTCTTCAAAGAAATGAATGAAATGCTAACATATAAGCCAGTTGTGTATATTTTTGAGTTTCCTTACATCCCTTAAAATCAAAAAAGCAGAACAGGTGTCCACCTAAGTTCATATTCTCTGTAATGTGAGTGGGATATTTACAGGGTGAAAAATTGCTGAATTCAACACTAATTAAACACTTATCAAAGTATAGACAACACACAAATACTAGTGGAGATATATAGTCCTAAGACACGGTTGTTGTAGCCTGACTGCACAGTATTATTATTTCTAAGATGTGCATCATTAAGCAGAGAAAGCACAGTGACAGGATTTTGTGAACCTTCAAAACACTCATTTATCTTTTAAAAAGGGACATCGCCTGCCTCTGGAGACATATTTAGAGTGCTGTATTTATATTTATTGTGTTTATTTATTATTCATTTTTTTTCTTTTGAAGAAGCTGAAACTTCCCCCCAACCCATTAAGGACTTTTGAGGATGTAACTGGCTATTATTAAAACTCTAACCAATATGTTATTCCTCCCACTAACACTGTAATAATCTTTCTCCAAATCTACTGTCCCACATCTGTCCAAAGCAACAACTGTAGTTTAGAAATTAATTAAGAAGAGCAGACAGCGGGTTTGGCCTTTGAGAGCCACTGAAGTAGCAAGTCGACTCATTTAACATAGCAGCAGTGCAAAATATGTATTCAACATAAAAAGTAATATTGAAAGTAAGATTATCTTTCTGTAAGAAACCTCAACTGAGGCCGACTATAAAGTCTGGAGCCGGATTTGTACTGTAGACTAAAATATTCTGTAGTCTGCTGCAAATGTGTGAAGGTGAAGATGAGGGTACGCTGCTGTTTGAATCCATATATTACTATATATATATATATATATAGAGTAATGTTTCTGAATAGGGCTGCACGATATGATAAAAACACCATATTGTGATTATTTTGACAGATATTGCGATACAATTTGAGATTAGTCTGAGAATGACAATGAAAAACTATTTTAATCATGATGATGTGACATCTTCTGGAGTCCGTACCAAACAAACATGTTTTCTTTGTAGGCCAAAGCATCTCTTCAGAACTAATAAACACTACTACTACCACTACTAATACTACTGAGTACTACAATTTTGCATATTGCACTTGGCCATATTGCGATTTCGATTAATTTTGCAGCCCTATATTAGAAGACTAAAGTTTATCCACAATCATTGAAGGACTTGGCTCAGACAGTAATAATGATTTTGGGGGATTGTGGGGTTTTGTACTTCCTCTCAGTATTGTGTTGTTGTTCTTTTTTTAATTAGAATATTACTTTGTGTTTAGGTTGACTCCTCTTTTTCTATGTTTGTGTATCAGTGGGTCAGATTGAAGTGTTGGCATAATAAAAAAGCCTGAATCATGTTTGGACCAGTTTGTGTTTTATAAAGCAGGCAGGTCTGTACTATTAGCCCCTTGCTAATGCCAGTTTGTTCCTGAAACATAAACAACTCTAGCTGAACTCTACTGTAAGTCTTAGCCAAGTTTGAATAGCAATCGTCTGTTCCCATGAGCGTTAAACCTCCACTCTGCCTGCTAGGCAGCGTGTTAAATCACCTGAGATCCCACTTTAGTCGTACATGTGGCCTCTAACACAAATACCGCTGTGCCCTCAGATAACTTCTACGGCACACCGAAACCTCCAGCGGAGCCTTCCCCCGCAGCACCTCCTCTGAATGTAAGTGAAGCCCTGCTGCCTGGAGCCCGGCCCAGTGCACAGGGCAAGAGGAAGAGGAACCAGTCAGTCAGCAACATGGAGCAGCGCGCCAGCCTGGAGCCACCTGAGGAGGAGGAAGAGGAGAGCCCAGTTGTCAACGGCAACGGGGTGGCCATCACACCAGGTACTGTAGGATGAGAGAGAAAAGGCGTCAATTTCCTGTTTTGGGTGTTTTTATACCACATTTTTTCATCTACTTGTGACTGAAATTAGATTGAAAACAAGGTCTGTTTCACAACTGTCGTGACTGTGATGACATTTTCTAGAGTCATATTTAGGTAGGGGGAAAAAATCTGGTTTGAAGGCCTGCACTGTCCCCTGGGTTGTTTATTGCTGTCTCACCGGTATGATTGAGTAAAACCAGAGAAATGAGACAGTTGTCATAGCAATTGTTACCTTTCCTCTTTTATTGTATTGTCCTTTACGGATAAAGCAGTCAGAAAAGGTCTCTTTTCTCCTTTAGTCCAGCTTCATGTCTGCGGTTTATACAGTCCAGCTCAGGCCCAAGAAACTGTTCCCTGACCAGTCATTATAGACATTAACAGACTCTGCTTTGCTTGAGTGTGAACTGCACAGGTTCTAATAACCTTATATAACAGAATGCACAAGGGCATCTTAATGTCTCTGCTATTATCACCGTCCAGAGTCTCATTTTTTGGCTTCAGCTCCTCTGTCTCTGTCCCCTCATTTCTCAGTCTCCCCTGCTGTCTTTGCTCTCCTGCCACTGGCCTTTGTCCTTGCTTCTATTAATACCCCCAACTCTCTCCCCTCTCTCTTCCTCTCCTCTACCATCCTCTTCCTTCTGACCTCTCTTTTTCTTTCGCGTCTGTGGTCCTGTCCCTTCTGCCCTCCCCTCTTCTTCTTCCTCCTTCTCCCATCTCTCTGCAATCTGTGTTGTTGTTTTAGTCATTGTTGTGATCTGGTAATACTCTAAATCTCACATGAAAGACTGAAATCAAGAATGAGAAGTTTTGAATGGTTGCTTGATTTTAAATGACTGAACAAAATTACTTCCTTACTATACCTGCGAAAGAATAAATTAAAGAACTGGCTCTGGTAAACAGTGAGATTGGCGGATGATTTGTAGTATGTGTGGGTATAAAGATATGGATCATATTTTTCCATTAGAATTGATAAGTAAATGTTTAATTTGATCTCTGTCTGACTTTTTAATGTGTTTTTTTCTAGTATTTTTTCTGGTAGTGGACCTATATTAAAGGTCCAGGATTATTATAGCATTATGTTATTATCTCATCCACTGACTTAGATGCCACCAGCTTTTCTCCTCACTCTAAAACTCTTCCCTTGTATCTCTGACTCAGTCTCTGACCCCTAAAGTCTCTGTCCTTCCCTGTTTCTCCATTTCTGACATCCTCATGTTGTTTTCTCCTCATGCTCATTGTCCTCAAACCCCATCTCTCTCTCTCTCTCTCTCTCTCTCTCTCTCTCTCTCTCTCTCTCTCTCTCTCTCTCTCTCTCTTTCCTCTCTCTCTCTCTCCTGGGGGTTCATAGCTCTGCAGTGGCTTGGCTCTGACTCATCATGCATGGCGTGTGTGTAGTGTGCATCCAGGTCTGCATGTGTGTGCGTGCAGCGTATGAGAGTGTATAACTGCGTGTGTGTGTGTGTGTGTGTGTGTGTTTGTGTGTGTTTGTGCTCCACAGAGTCCAGTGAACATGAGGACAAGAGCACAGATGCCTCTGGGGAGGTTGCTGTTGAAGCTTCTATCCAGGCCCCGGCCTCCGTCGAGCCCCACTCCTCCCCCACCGAGGGAGAGGAGGCCCCAAAGTCTCCCTCTGAGTCCCCCGTCAAAGTTCCAGACGCAGATGAGGAAGAGCTGGGTCCTCTGCCTGACAACTGGGAGATGGCCTACACTGAGAAGGGGGAGGTCTACTTCATCGAGTAAGAGAGATCTTTAAAATACGACAAAAAGATTTTAACAAACAACATGTTCCTCAACGTCTGCAGCCGTTACAGGAAGTTAAATATTTACGACACAATAAAAATGCTTAAAAACAAATCCAATGTAATTCACCTCACAAAGTACACCAACTTTAAAAACATGGTTTATGTATGGCTGGGTGTGTAATCTTTATAGCGCTGGACTTTGTGTGTGTCTGATAAGCAGCATTAAGTCACATCAATTATTCAACACACTACACACACACACACACACACACACACACACACACACACACACACACACACACACACACACACACACACACACACACACACACACACACAAAGAGAGACACACACAAGCAAAGCATGCAAACTTTTGCCCTCCCCTCTCACCCTTACTAATTAGTGGCTGTGGGCTAATTAGTGGATTAATGGCCATTTAGTTTACCTTGGAAATCCCCTTGTTTGGTTTTGCCCCTGCACACACACACACACACACACACACACACACACACACACACACACACACACACACACACACACACACACACACACATTTACGTACAGGTCGTTAGAGTTACTGTGCACTCATCTCTTTCTCTTATCCTCGCTGTCAGTCTCTCTCTGACCCCTGTTTGCCCCTTTCCTCTCCTTATTGCCTTCATCTTTACGTCTCTTTCTTCTTCTCCAGTCACAATACCAAAACTACATCGTGGCTGGATCCTCGGCTCGCAAAGAAAGCAAAGCCACCGGAAGAATGCAGGGAAGACGGTGAGTGTGAACGCCCTGTTTAGCTGTTTGCTCTGTTGTTTTGTCATGCTTTAGTTCGGGCGTTTGTGGGAGTGTGTCCACTCTGCATTTCTTGCCGTTTGTCTGTTCCTGACTCACTCTTCCAGAGTGTTTTCCCTCCTCGACAAAAAGAGCACAAAAATCCTCTGTTGTTGGAGATGTTGGTTAGTCTGCTGCTGGTCTCATCGTTCTCTGCAGGTTTTAGGAGGGGTACTCACATGTAAAGGGGGGTTTCTGAAATTCAGGAAGAATAAACTTGACAAATAAATGTACCTTCTTAGATTTGTCACTGATCATTAGCGTAGAATCGTGTATAGAAACAAATGTACAGCGAAGAATGTATCCCATCACCCAATATCCCTTTTTATACTTCATAACCACATATCTAGTAATTTTAAAAAATATCTAGCAAAATCTACAACCTATATATTCTATAAGAGACAGCTATTAGCTGGGCACATGCCTCCTCTTACTCTGATGAAGAGAATCTTTATGTCAAAACAGTAGTTGTTACACCTTATTAATAAGCTCTAACTATTAAGATGTGCCAGAGACCTTTTCTACTGTGTTTACGGATAATGCTGACATTAGATATTTGTCTAGTTGTAATGAGGTCTCATAAATAGACCCAAATCAGCAGTGTGTTAGTCTGTCTCAGTACTTTCTACCCTGCTTTTAGAGTCAAACTGCATGTTCATTTATCCTACTAAACACATTAATCTTTAAAAATTAATCACAAATATATCGTTTTATTTTAAAAATGCTAATTAATTTCCCCCAAAAAAGCTAGGCACTTTTTTTACTCCGATAGGAGAAAATAGCTTTTGTTGGAGACTATTTTCAGCTGTGAGTTAATAGACATGTGGTACTCTGGTGCATTGGTTTGCAACCTCTTTAGTTTGTGACCGCTTGAAAAGAAGCAACGTCTACTTATGTTCTCTCATTTTGCCTGTTGTGATTTTCGTCTCTCAGATTGTTGATCTTAAATAATTGTAGAGGACTGAGGAGAAAAATCAACAAAAAAAAGACAACAGTACAGTATTCTAAAAAATATATACATTTTTTGTGGAGCTGAAATAGTTTTTGTTTTTATTTCTAACCTGATCATCATCTCATGACCCCTCAAATTTATCTTGTTGGCCCTCTAACAGGGTCTAAGTTGTTCTAATGAGTATCTACAGTAGTAAGATGGTGTATGTGGGACTGAGCCGCTCATTTATTTGTTTTTAATAGTTTTTGGAGGGTGGTCTTTGGCAGAGAGGAGTATGCTGTGTCAGGATTACGATAGAGAAACAGTACTACCTCCTATTTGGATAATTAAATTGTTCATTCTGGTCTTTTTATGGGATTTGCTGACAAGAAAATACACTCTGGAGTGGCACCAGCCTTGTTAAGTGTTTTTTCTCAAGCAGTTTGAATCAGAGGAAGACGAGTTGTGTGAAAACTGACCACAAATGAAATTTCAGAGGCTAAAAACTAAGAACAGTGATTTATTTTTGCATCTAGTCCAGTTCTGATGTCTGTCATGTGAACTAAATAGAGTTCCTGTGGTGATTCAGTGTGATCAGATATATAACAATGAGGTGATCTTACATCCCAGCTGCTGTCACAGCCTTTGGTCAGCGAATTAGGTTGTGATGTGATTCACCAGAGCAAGATCTGAATCAATACCTTCTCTGCCTCTCTCTCTCTGTTCTCCATCTCTTCAATTTTCTCCCTCCTCTATTCTCTCCTCTACACTCCTTCACCTCACGTCTCCCCCTCTCTCTCTCTCTCCCCTTTCAATCCCCCTCTCGTCAATTTTCCTCCCCTCTCTTTTTTTCCTCTCCCACCTTCGTTCTCCATCTCTCCCCCTCTTCCTCTGCCCAGTAAAGGGCCAAACTGTGACAGGAATTTTAATAACAGCGCTCAGCTCTGCACAAACTGATTCTCACTCTCTCTCTCTCTCTCACTCTCCCTCTATACACACACACACACACACACACACACACACACACACACACACACACACACATACTCAGAGACACTACTGTTGTCAATTCACAAACCCTTTTCACAAGCATGGCTGATGCACTTCAGCTTCGTCTTGGCAGAGCACAGATGAGTTTTCACCAACGCCAACAACGTTCAGACGCCAAGTTTCTGTCGACTGTGACGCTCTGTGATCACTTACTTTTTGTTTTAATTAATGTAACAACTTGATGTTGTTTCTGCTTCTGTCTGTGATCCCTTTTGTGTTTATAGCTTTTAAAACAATAGACTTACACAACTCAGTGAGGAAAAGGGCAGAAATGTCAACCAGTGACTGTGATAGATATATAGATATCACATGGGTCTTAGCCTTTTAATTATATATATATATATATTCATTATAATAATTCATAAACAATAAAATATTGAATGAATATCAGTAAAATCTTGTTTTTTAATTTATAATCCCTGTCTGAAGAGTGAACCATGTGACATATGCTGAGTAAGGTTATGTTCCTAGGTTTCATTTTATTTGTCTTATTACAAGTGATTGTGAATTTTTTTTTTTTTTTTTTACAGAACCTGTAAGTTGCCTTTTCACTTCTGCTCTCTTTAAAATGTTTAAACTAAAATGTCTTACTTCTGCTGCGGTCACATGGATTCAGGCAGACGGTAGACGGACAGCAGCCTGGCAGCACGGCAAAATGAAACGGGCCCAGTTTGCCGTCTGCCGTCTGCCTGAATCCATGTGAATGCAGCATTAGCCAGTTAGAATTTTGATACCCTACATCACACTTTAGTCTAGTCTTCCTGTCTAAAGAAAGTGAGATACGTCAATGACAGTACCTGTATTCTGCAATTCATCAAGCCATATTAAATCATTTAATATGTGATCACAGAGAGAAAGAGGAAGTAGCTACCAGCCATGTTTGTGAAATTTACATCCCTAAATGGCCCTCTGTCTTTACTTCTGTCTTCTTTCTTTCTTTCTTTTTGTCTATTTGTTTTCAGTTTATCTAACTGTGAAGTTGCCTATGGACTTTTTCTCTTTTGGCGTGCCTGCTTCTGTCTTTGGGGAATCAGCGTTTAAAGAAAGTTAATGCTTAAGCGATCACCACTGGCAGAGGATTTTGAATCAAAGGCTGTTAGCAGAACGTTTTTGTGAGGGTCCTGGATGACACATCACATCCTCTCGCAGCACCTTCGAATTGATGCCTTCCAGAGCTTTAGTTTCCAGGAAATGTTCTTTTTCAGCACAAACAGCTCAGTTGCCACATGGATGGCAAAATGATATAACCCAGCATGCTGCTCATTACATTACTCACCCTGTTATTGTTTTCTTTTAATAATCACTATGGTGTCTGTAGCTCTTTCTTATGTGCTTTACTGCCTGTTTTCTGGTGTTTACACATTTTGCACGCTTGCTGTGCGCCAAATAACAGCTTAAAGGTACACAATTTTTTTCCGCTCACATTAATGGACGTGTAGTTTTTGAATGATGAAGTATGCATGGAAGCGAGGATGTCAGAATCTGCGAGGCGAGTGAAGAAAACAATAAATGTTGGGAGGAAACAGCAGGAAGAGGTGGTGCTGTTTTTAACTGCCCATCTGCCTGAAGGATTTCCCTAAGTCTCAAAGCCTCCGGCAGGAAGCAGACAGACATTCAGACGTTCTTTCATCAGTGCTGTTTTTGCATCTTCCCTCCTCGTATTCCCTTTCCATTGGCTCCATCTCATGCATGTGTGGTCTTTTTGCTCCACTTTTCCTTTAGCATTTCATATCTTCATTCACTATTCCCTTTACCCTCGCTCCCATGCTGCGTTTTTTAGGTGAATTTGAGTAGAAACTTTATTTTGTTGATGTGTTTTTGTGTGCAACTTTTTTATGTGTATTGTGTGTCTACATGCTGAGGCTGACTCCCAGCGTTCAAAAGCTTGTCACCACAGATCTGGCTAGCTTGCAGTCTTTTTGTCAGACAAGTCTTGTGTTACGTAACGCAAGCCCATATCTCCCCTCTCGCTCATAAGAGGCAAGAACAGAGCGGGACAAGCTTCAAAATCATGGCAAGTGTTGGTTTCAATTCTGGCTTTGATACGCACTCCATCCCAGTGCCAGTTTTCAAAGTAATCTCAGTGCTGTTGACGAAAATATGCCACTCAAGCTCATTTAGAGGCAGGAATTCTCACTGAAGCCGATGTCACAATGTCGAAGCACTGTCTGTAACTAACGGCAAAAGAGAGAAATATAGAGAATAAAGAATTAAGGAAATGAGACAATATGGAGAAAGAAATATGAGAAATGATGGAATTAGAGAAACCGATGATGAGCAGAGGGGATACTCTGCCAGTGTTTCTTTTTGAAAAGAGCAAGAGCGCGTCAAATGGAGATGGAGAGAGGTTTGCATGATATGAGGAGAGTTGACGCACATCCATCGACTGTCAGACAGTGACGGACTTGTGTTAAAATGTTACCTCTGGGTTACATCACTGGTATAACACTCAGTCATGTCTGGACCTGGACCCTGTCTCTGTCTCTGTTTTTCTCACCCTTTTACTCTCACTCTTTGCTTCTGTCTCGATAGTTGTTGCTTTTCATTTCCTACGTATGCTCTCTACATCTACATGGTGAAGATTGTAAACATTATACCTGCTAAACATTAACACATTAGCATTGTTATGTGAGCATGTTAGCATGTAGCACAGCCTCTTAGAGCTGCTACAATAATATCCTGACAATTCATTTATTCTCCTGTGAATAGTTTGCCGGTTTTATTAGTACTAAATTAACTATAATTAGGGTTTGGACTAAAACAAGCATTTTAAATATGTCTTTTTGGGCTTTAGTAAATTGTGATGCTTTTTAGCTGTTTTCTGACAATTTACACAGAACATTTATTAATTAATTAAGAAAATAATTGACTGGTGAATTTATAATGAAATTAAAACATTACTTGCAGCTCTGCATAAATATTAGTTCTAGTATCAAGTTTTTTTTTATCAAAATAGTTTTTTTTGAGTTTGAGTTTATTCTTGAGTTCATGATTAATGTATTTTTTTTTTTTTCATTTCTGTGAGTCAGATGAGTTCATTGTATCTGTTGTTGGCTGCCTGTTGGTCAGGGAGTCTTTGTGTGAGAGGGAAGATGACTCATCTAATGCAGAGGAATCACAATTAGACTTCATGTCAAGAGAGACACTCGTACAGTTACACATAAACAAGCATCCGAACACACAAGCAAGCCCCTCGGTGCTCATATTATACACAGACACATGATGTGGTGTTTGATTTAGTGTCAGAGAAGATGACGGTTTCACTCATTCAGACATGCAAACACAGTTCAGCCATCTAACACACACACACACACACACACACACACACTGCAAATACAGACTCATATGAATACATAAAAACACAAACACACACACACTCACTCTCTCTCTCTCTCTCTCTCTCTCTCTCTCTCTCTCTCTCTCTCTCTCTGTATTTTCAGTGGCAGGAAATAGAGACAAGACAGAGCCCTCAGCTCAGGCGAGGAAAAAAAAAAAAGACTTCCACTGGTGGTTTCCATGGAAACTGTCTCCCTTTCACTTTAGGGGGAGGGCAAGCGACTAGTGGATGAGTTAGGCCGACATTTAAGGTGGCTCATGGACAGGGTGGGAGGGAATTTAAGGTGGTTTGAAGTGTGAATCCATCTGACTTTTCCGCCTCGAGGACGAGAAGGTTCGTTCGAGGTAATGGCAGTGCAGCGCAGGCGGTTTGAGCAAACAGTAAAGCAGAGCGAAGATAATTGCAGCGTGCACCCCTTTCACCTTGGGCTGCACAGTCAGCATGCTCGCCAGCCAGAACACACACCCTCACACACACACACACACACACCCTCGCACACACACACATTCACAGACGGATTATTGATATCAAGATCACAAATCTGTTCATAATTACATTACAGCGTGAGGGGATGATGCCACAGTATCAGTGTCACGCAGACCAAATAATTGTAAAAATAATAGAGCTGGGGATTTGTGTGTGTGTGTGTGTGTGTGTTTGTATTTGTGTGTGTGTGTGTGTGCATCAGTGAGTGACTCTGAATCCCAAAAGACTTGAGACGGGCCTATAATGTTATGGGCTGCGTATTGTTTAAACATTTTTTTGTACTTTTGCTAATTTCCAAGAAGTTTCCTGGTCAATAACTGGAATTTTCTACTAGTTTTAAGTTAAAATTGCTCTATAGGAACACTTCCAATCAATGAAATTTAAATTAAATGGAGTATTTTAGTTCACAACAGGTCATCAGGATATACGTAAATGTAACAATTGTCTACAGGCAAACATGTAATTAAACATATATTAAGAATGTGGTGGGTGTGGGAGAGCTGTTGTCTGTGTATGTGTGAGTGTATCTGTGTTGTTTTGTATAATGTATTTTATTCTCTGTATATTTGTACAGACCCCCTTGAAACAAGATGGTTCATCTCGAGGGGGTTTAACTCCCCAATAAAATGTCTATATATAGAATAAGGTTTCCTATGATAAATTAATTGTGAATTAATCATCATTTTTATAAATGATGCTTTTGTTTCAAGGATGTTCTTATTTTCCATCTTATTAATACCAAATTATTAATAGTTCTTTCCCAGAATACTTTAACAACTAAATTAATTGATTCCTTCCTACTAAATAAAAAAATTTAATTGTTACATGTTTGTCTTTTCCAGACGAAGAAGCCAAAGTTCTCAAATATGAAATTTTATTTAAACACCAAAAACGCACAACTAAAATAGTCTAAAATGTTCCTGTGTTAAATCATTTATATTTAAATCAGGAACTGAAATAGGAATGAGACGATATGTTATTCTTTTTTTTTTCTTTACTAGTACATTGTATTGTATTTGCCCAGAGGAGTTGGAGGGGAGTGTTGGTGTGGGTGGTTAAATGTATGCATAAAGTTCATTCAGAGGAAGAAATGTGTTATATCAGTCAGACTAACTTAAAAAACAATGACAATCCCAGAAGTAAATAAGACTATAAATCTGTCCATGCACTCAATTATTTATTGGTGTTGAGGTTGGATGCCAAGCCCTTGAAGCGTTGCCATTGGTTGTGGCGTTGCCAAGACATCATTAGTTATTGACCTGTGCAAGTCATTGCATATCACACATAAACTTCCTTAAACTCCTGTTCCCACCTGCCACCATACGGCAGCGTGAATTTTCCGTAACCTCTCGTTAGTTGAGCAGGCAGGCGGAGGACAAGCAATGTCAGCAGTGTGGAGATATTTTAAACAACTTTTACGACAACATTAGCAACATTTAAATAGAAAGTGAGGAACATCTGATGAAAATAAATGTCACCGTTTGAACTGTAATGGTATTATTAAGAACTCTTATTGGTACTTCCTATCGGCAAGTACTCGAATACTAGTATTTGTTCAGTATCGCCTCACCTAGACCTCCTCCTCTACCACCAAGGTTGTCAGTTCTTTGTGTGTGTCTGTGTGTGTGTGTGATCTTTTTCGATCTGTACGACACTAGTACTCTGCTTTCATGAGGTTTGCTTTATTTCCCAGTAGAAAATGCCCACCTACGGACACAGTCATGAATTTCATGAATTAGACTCTTTAATACAAGACATGAGGATGAATTAATATGAGGGAGGAAGATCAACCTTTCAAGAACATTTGCTGCTGAATGCTAATTACAAGCTCTGTATTAGTATATATCCGAGTGGGAGGCTAACAGCTTGGGCTGATGGACTGTGTGTGTATTTTTATGTTAGCTGAACCTTATAGTGCGAGGTCAGTCCCCTTCTTGTGTTCCTCATGCCTCAGTTAGAGCTGAGTTTTAGAGCCGAAAACCGATGGTGTCTACACCGTCGGAGGGAGCTCATTATAGTGCACGGTATATGGTGTATGTCTGTGAAAATAGAAGAATAGGTCATAGAGTACAGGAATTTTAGCTGCGTCTTGACCCAGTTCTTTTACAATGGAGAGGGGAGAGCTAAATCAACAAAGAGATGGATGAAGTGAGGAGGGAACAGAGAACCAGAGGAGGGAGAGCAGGATACAATTAACACAACAGCCATGGAGGCAATCCAAGGCGGAAACGAGTGGGTGGATGAAATAAGAAAAGAGACAAACAAGAAGTAGTATGGCGAAGGTATTCGGCCTTGGAGGATTTGTGAACACGACAAAAGGAAGAGAATGAAAGAAAGAGAAGGCGGGATGAGACGTGTCAGACAATTTAAATGTTCTTTTCTTCCCGCCCTGCTTTGTATTGATGTCTGTGTTGTGATTCATGTCTCCATGAAGCCACCGCAGCAGATCGAAGTGTTGTCTGTCTATTAAAGGAACACTTTGGGAGCGTCTAGCTGTGAGCCCCGAGATTCATGTTGTCTCCCCTCAGTGGTTCAATTTTAGTGTCTACGTTCCTTCTTCTGCTCTCAGCATAAACTGACTTCATTTCCCTCCTCTGTTCTTCTCCTTCCTCTCAGAGCTGCCCTATGGCTGGGAGAAGATAGATGACCCCATCTATGGCAGCTACTATGTAGAGTAAGTCTCCCTGTTGACTTGGTTAACTCAGCTGCTCTGTAGTAAAACAGGAAATGCATGGTTAACAGCGCCTCATTGTGAATTATAAATGACTAAATTCTCATTTATTTTTTATGTCTTACTGCTCGTCTGACTGAACAGTTAGAGTGAAGTGTTCATCTGTATGGAATATCTGGAGAATACTGCATAAAATAAAATGTGGTTCTTGTTCAACCCAACTTAGCTGTAAGCGGCGGTTAAAGAACAGTTACTGATGGTGTTTTTTCCCCTTTTCCACCAACAGGGGACCGGCTCCATCCCAGTTCGTGCACCTAGTTTTGAACTGTGGTTATTGGTAAAAACCAAACAAATGAGCTACATGTTCCCAGTTCCCACCAGATTTGAGCAGAACTGTTGTAATCAGTGATGTAGAATGGAAAGGAAGGAAAACTACTTTTTGGTTTCAGCTGAGAACCAACTTTTCTGGTTCTGAACCAATTTGTTGATGCTCCGAAAGGTTCAAAACTAGGTGCACCAACCAGAACGGAGCCGGTTCCCTGTTGATGGAAAAAGGTCTAAAAAAGGACAGTTTTGGGATCTTGCAGCTTATTATTTCTATTTTGTAGTTGTTGTTTTTTTTCCCACTTTGGGAGTAACATTTTATATACAAGGCATCATAGAATATTATGTATTTAAATTAATTTAAACTAGCCAACATTAGATGTAGGCTAACACTGTCTGGATCCACTTCAACACTAGTGTGTTAAATTGAGGCAGATTGAGGCAACAACTATCCCTGACTTATCAGCTTATGAAGATTTTATAGCTATCATGTTATAATATAAATAATACATCCAGCAGAAACATTAGCTGTTGAAGGATAAAGGTCTGGGTCTTTGCCAGATGTTTATAACTCTTCGCTGAAACTTTTTTTAAAATAATCAATCATTTAAACATCCAGTGTGTAGGATTTAGTGGCATCTGGCATCATTTCACCCTCTTCTTTTTACAGTGACTGCAAAACACGCGACAAACTCGAATGCCCCCATCTAGAGCCTGTGTTTGGTTTGTCCCTTCTGGCCTACTCAGGGGCTCCATGGAGGGCGACCTGTAGACAAAAATGGCTCATTTTAAGTTAACAAAAACATAATGATTCTTATTTTCAGGTGATAATACACTAATAAAAACATACCTATGAATATTATATTCCATTTCTGCCAATAGAGCCTCCTAAATGTTACACACTGGACCTCTAACACACCAAAAGGCAACATTGCTCTGAATTATCACTGTTACTTATTGTTCTAAAGTACATTTTACTGAAACTATCTTCATAATATGGAGTTTTTGTTTTGGCTTTAGGCTTAGAATGACCCCTTTTCCATTACTTGTAATGATCCATTATATTTTCAGTCACATTAATCGCAGGACTCAGTTTGAGAACCCGGTCCTGGAAGCCAAGAGACGGCTGGAGCAGCAGAGGCAGATGCAGAGCCAGGGACTCTCTGCTCTACCGCTGCCCACTATATTCAGAGGTACACATGGAATACTACAGTACAGTACAATATGTGCTGTACTTACATCAAAACATGCTGACATACTCTACAGAATTGCGCAAATATAAAAAATTTAAGGACTGCAGAAAGGATATTCACGGCACGTGGCCTTGGCGGTGAAATTTGTGTGCTGAGAGATTTTTTAAAATTAATTGTAAATTCCCCCAGTTGCACAGAAATATTTTATACTGAAAATTAATTGTTCTCTTACTCCATCTAAAAGAATGTGCAGTTTTATGAGTATTTGACAGGGCAGATGCACAGTGTCACAGTGTACAGGGTCGAATGGAGCTTGCTGGCAGTACGGGGGACAGAGAACATGCTCGCCCTGAGGCCCCTAGTGGACTAATCCAGGCACGCGTATAAGGACAATACTAGACCAGTACATAATGTACCGCTTTATCTGAGTGAAAACTGCATATGTCCAATGAGTCATCTTATCAAGAATTAAGGCACATCTTTTATTGGTGCTTTTGTATTCAGGAAAAAACTTGCAATCGGTTCTTTGAGCACTGAATCATGACAAAATTAAATTTCAAGCAAAAACAATAAAGCAAACAAAATAAGGTTTCTAAATATCAAGGATATCTAAAATATGACACTTCAAAAACCTTCTTTCTCTGCAGAGAAGCCATTGTTTACGAGGGATCCGACCCAGCTGAAGGGCACCTTCCTGTCGACAGCCCTCCAGAAGAGCAACATGGGATTTGGCTTCACGATTATAGGAGGCGACGAGCCCGACGAGTTCCTGCAAGTTAAGAGCGTAATACCAGACGGACCCGCCGCTCAGGACGGCAAGATGGACACAGGTAATTATGTGTACCAACACAGAATTTTGACAACTGGTTGAGAAATAAATTGAGGTTTAAACAAACTACAAGCTGTCACTGCTGTCACTGCTGATACCGTAATACTGTGTTTATAGGAATTCTTAAGCACGGCCTCATTATTCTGACACCTCAACATTACAGTCCTTAATTTCCTGCCAAAGCAGATCAACTGCGAAGACTTTTTGCTGGCAGAGTTTCAATTTCATTCGAGCAGGTTTTTACCTGTCTGTGGGGTAATTTCTATCAACACCTGTTGTACCTAAAAGGCCAGAGGAGTGCAGTAGAGTGTAAGTATGCAGTAAATTTGGGCCTGCAGTGTAATTTTGGCATCAAAAGTTAGACTGGTGCCTCTCTGTGTGCCAACTCATAACATTTAAGCATAAGCACTATTGCTTTAGTTAGTTGTAATCCACGATTGTTTGTGCAGCCTCAGTTTCACCAAATCTTGATTGTGTGGTTCTAGGGACTGACAAAGAAAGCAGTAATAAATCACTGGGTGATATTTTGGGGACCTGATGTCCTATAGAAAAGATTTTTTCCCCCAATATACAACATACAAAAGGAGGCACAACACAAAAATATCTTTGTTCATTCAAACCTGAGGTTTGGGACATGGGCCTGCCTCATGCCTCTTTTTCCACCTTTTGTCTGAGTGCTACAGTTTTTGAATCTTCACACACTCAAGCACCGTTTATGAAATTGTTCTAAGCTGTATAATAAATAAATGATATCACAATGATGTGAAGAAAATTTAAGTGATGCTCCAAGAACTGTTGAAGCACATCTTAGAAATGAATAACTTGGTGGTAGAGGGTTCCACATCCCCTGAAATATCAGTTCATCTTAACAGAGGACATCACTGGCCTTCGGTGGCATATTTGGGGTGTCCTATATTTGTGCCTGTAGCACTGTTTCTCCCTGACAAGGACTTCAGGTTCCTCTCAGCACAATCTCTGTCCTCTGTCAGTGCACTTTAACATTATGTTGTTAATGGGGAGGAAAGGGAACTGATTTGATTGGCCGTTACTGACACCAGCCCACACATCACCTACTTCATTTGTAGATTCATTTCTGCTTAAACAGTACTGCAGGGGCAGCATCACTACACTAGCACCAGTGGTCATGGTTTATCAAAATTCAGTCATACACAGTTACACCAGTGCCATGAAACTGTCTCATACTTGTGTTTGTGCTTCGATACATAGAACCAAAAATGTAACACAAGCAAGTAATTCAGTTTCATGTGATCAATTGCTGTATGTTGTTCTGTATGAAAGCACCAGTTAACAGACTTACATGGAGAACAAAGCTGATGTTAGTAAAAGTCAAAGTAGCCTATAGTCATAGAGGCTTAGAGAAGAAACTACTATATGAACTGCTCTGAACCTGTGAGCTGGCCCCATGCCTGGCATGGTTGGTGCCTAAACTGCTCATTTAGAGCTCATTTCGGAGCTGGGAATCCTCCTTCCTACTCTCAGTTCTCGCTCTCTGCTTTTATGTCTCTCCCTCTGCCTATCAGTTTCTTTTTTATCCGGAATCCATCTCTTTCTATTTTATCTCCATCTCTCTCTTTGTCTATCTGGCTTACCCTTTATTATGCTTCCTTATCTAACCATGTCATCTGACACTTCTCCTCTGCTTTCAGCCTCAGTATATTTTCATCCCCTTTCTCTTTCTACCTCTCTAGTTTTTCTCTCGTTCATCCCTCTATCCTGGTCTGTCAGCCTTTTCCTCTCTCTCTGTTCTGATTTCTCTCTCTCCCAACTTGCTCCTCTCCGCTCTGTGACATTGCCAGAGCTGCTTACATAGATGCATGCTCGCACACATTCACACTCACCCATGCACACGGTCACAGAGTCACACACAGGCACTCCCAGGCTGAGATTAGCTGGCCTATTTGAGCTGTGCGGCATTGCTCTTAGGGATTGTGTATGATTGTGCATGTGACATGTATGGTGTGTGTTTATGTATGTGAGCACACACACATGGGAGTGTGTGCGTGTCTGCATGTGTGGCAGAGAGTGCCTCCAGCAGTGTGAAATAGAGGATTTGAGGCAGCTGCATTTGTCATGGGGCTGTAACTTTAAAGCTGAAATCCATAACTTTCCACACATTAAAACTACAGCAGAGATGACAGGGTGTCTAGTGTTACATTTGGGGGATTGTCTCACCTTGTTGTACATAAGGTGAACAAAACATTTAGGATGATGAATAGGTGCTGAAATTAGATAGCTTAGCAAAGCACACACCATTTGTATTTTGTTTACAACCAGGGGAGATGCAACATCATAATGCCTCATGGATGACCCAAGACTCGGTTGCTACTTGTAAATATTTGAGATTTTCTTGGTTAGAGTATTTATAGATCCACCAGATGGTTGTCATAATCATGGAGACACATCAGGATACTGACCCTATCTTTTTCTCACCTCTCTGTCTCACACATAAACTTGTAGATTGCCCTGCAGTGGCAGCGAACTGATATTATATTCCTATATGTGACACGTGGGAGGGACACTGTGCTTCTTCTGTGTTGCTGCAGAATGTCCTGATACCGCTGAGATTTGACATTTATGGCAATAGATGGTGACAAGTTGTATTTTTGCAGCACATGAACCACTGAGAACAGGTCCTGTGGTCTGTCTAACATGCTAGAAATACTAGACTATGGCCAGACTCTGATCATCCCTTACTGCTAAAGAACAGTCAGTTTTGCAGATTGAAATGTATTTGCCAGAAATACAACATCAAGTTTAAACAAAGTCGATACAAGAAATCTGTCCTAATCCTATCCTATCTTGCATCATCTGAATAAAAGATAAATGCATATGAAGCCAGAGTATGCAACACTTTTTCCTTCTCTCAAGTCTACTTCCACGTATCATCACCTCACCACAACCCTACAACCATACTTCTCTATATTATAGTCTGTCTTACATGTAACGTACTGTAGTGAGAGTGTGACTGAAGCTGTTGTGTCCTTCCTGTCTCCTTCCTCCTCAGGCGACGTCATTGTCTACATAAACGACATCTGCGTACTCGGCACCACACACGCTGACGTGGTGAAGCTTTTCCAGTCCGTACCAATCGGTCAGAGCGTCACCCTCGTGCTCTGTCGTGGCTACCCTCTGCCTTTTGACCCCGAGGACCCAAGTGGCGCAGCGAGCACCTCCCTGACACCCATTGGCTTGGAGCACCGCCCCTTGGTGGTGAACGGCCGCGGCAGCTACGACCCTTACCTGGAGTATCTGTCGTTGAGCTCCCAGCTGCCTCCTCAGGCTCTGGCCCAGGCCGGAGCTCCTCACCCTGGTGACACACATCTGGATGGCTCATCACTGCCACCCACCACACCTGGTTCAGCATCGGCACTCACGCCCCACGATGACAATGTGTCCATGGCCTCTTCGGGGACTGCAGGGGTTGCTGGGGCAACAGCACAAGGGGCAGAGCTTCTGACAGTTACCATGGTGAAAGGGGCGGAGGGATTTGGGTTCACCATTGCCGACAGTCCCACTGGTCAGCGAGTAAAACAGGTATCATCATCATCTGTACATCTTGTTCATTCACCATTAATAATCCAGAAATGAGAGGGTTCAGACCTGTTTGATATTTTACAGTATTTCACAAAATAAATTTGTTCTTTCAAGAGTGAAATCTCAGTTGTCAGCTAAACTCAGTAGTTGAGTTGAGTTAAAAAATTAAACTTAAAATTAAAACAGCAGGGCAAGGTAAATTTAATTCAGTCAATGTGACTAAGTAGAAAGAGATTGAGATAATAAGAACAAAGTGAGCTCAGCCAGTGAAGGATTTGCTATCTACTAACATAGTAATGAATGAAGACTAGACGTCCTAAAGAAGCTGCAGAATAAAAAAAAACTGCTTACTTGGAATATTGGCTGTAAGGAAAAGATAAATTGGAGAAGATGATTTACAATGTGACTGATGCTATTTCTCATCCCTGTTGTATTTGTACAGTTAAACATCTGCACTAGAAAAAGGACATCTGTCTGTCTTAACAGTTAATGTGTTTTATGTTTAGCATAAAACAAATTCCTTTAAATAAATTGCTCAAATAAGCAAATATATCTCTAAATATATAATCTTGTAATGGTGCAGTTGACTGATCCTGTAAACCTTTAAACACAAGAAAATTGAACAAATTAGATTTTAGGCACCAACGTGTCATGTCTGGTTTGGTGCAGCATTAATAGGAAGATGGTGAGTTAAGATCCCTCAATATATAAATAAACTATGTGGAGGTTTTCACTCTAACCCAAGATTATTAGTTATGGTAGACAATAGAGGTTTTAATGAGTACCAGAAAATCAGATCACAGTCACAATTGTGTGACAGTGGATGCTCTGTGTTGTTGTGGTGCAGGTGCTGGAGCCGGGCTCACAGGGAGCATCGGGGTTAATAGAGGGAGACCTGATCCTGGAGGTGAACCAGCAGCCAGTGGCTGCAGCTGGACATGGACGAGTGGTGGAGATGCTGAAAGAGTGTCCTGTGGGAGCGGAGGCAACACTCCTCATACAGAGAGCAGGAACAGGTGAGAGTTGGTCTGCTTGGTGATTCGTTTATATGCTTCTGATACAGTTTTATTCATTCTAATGTTCATTCATAATAATAATGTTATAAAGAGTTCGGTCTAGACCTGCTCTATTGAAAAGTGTCCTGAGATAACTTCTGTTATGAATTGGCGCTATACAAATAAAATTTAAATGAAAATTGAATTGAAATTCATAAGGCAGGTTTATATGTATAGCATATCATTTCAGCAACAAGGCGATTCTTAGTGCTTTCCATAAAACATAAAAAGCATCCAAACAAAGGATGAAAGAACCATAAGGCAACATTTAAATACATACAAACAATAAAAAGAGTTAAGTAGAACAGATATATTAAATAAAACAGGAGCGTAAATGTTACAGTGTAAGATATTAATGAGTAAATTTAATGATAGGTTAAAGGAACTGAGACCTGCAGTTTTCTGGTAGTTTCCAGATATGTGGTGTATAAAAACTGAAAGCAGACCTGTCCCAGACGATCTGAGAGGTCTGGATGGTTCATAACATAGCAGAAGATCTGAAATGTATTTATGGCCCTAAACCATTCAGTGCTTTATAAGTCAACAGCAGTATTTTAAAATCAATTCTTTGACAGACAGGAAGCCAGTGTAAAGGCTTCATAACTGGAGTGATGTAATCCACTTTTTTGGTTTTAGTGAGAAGCAGCATGTCTGATTTTTTTATTTGTGAAGAGACCTGTAAAGAGACTGTTCTTTGGCTCCAAAATGAATTACTTTAGTTTTATCTTTGTTTAATTGAAGGAAACTCTTGCATCTCCAGTCATTCATTTGCTGAATGCAAATGTTTTAGTGATTTTAGTCCTCTTGTGATATAAGTATGTAAATTTGTGCGTCATATTTTGCTTTCCATAATCTAGGCTAGGGAGCATGTAGATGTTGAACTGAAGAGGCTCCAGAATTGAGCCTTGGGGAACTCCAGAGGTCATTTTTGTCCTTGGAGATGTAATTACCTATAGATGTAATTGCATATAGACACAAAGTGGTTCCTGTCCTTTCAGTAGGATTCAGACCAGTTAAGTTCGGCTCATTCTGCCACTGTCTGTGTTTAAGTGGATGTCAATGAAGCCCTTAACAGGAGGAGTTTCAGTGATGTGGTGTCGTTGAAATCCTGACTGGAAGACATCAAAACATTTGTTTAGTACTTAGAAGTTGTTCAGCTGTTGAAAAGGAGCTTTTTCAATGATTTTCCTTCAATAGGGGAGGTTTGATATGGGCCTATATTGTCCATCAGTTAAGTGTGTTATTTTAAGAGTGGCTTGATGAGTGCAGTTTTTTCAGGGCCTGTGAGCAGAAACCTGAGAGATCTGAGGCCATGCTGTTAGAAAGCCTGTTGACAAAATGTTAAGACAGCAGGAGGAGGATTTCAAATGTTGTATAATCACCTGCATGTTTTTATGGTTGATAGGATCAAATTATGCTATCATGCTATTCGAAATTATTTTAAGTGGACACAGGTACAACACAAACCCTGTACCTGGTACAGAGGCACTGACTGCCTGTAAGGACTACAAGGAAATATAACTAGTGCCAAATAAACCAGATACTGTACAGATTGTTGATAGTATTGTTTGATGGATAAAGCATGTTTTATTTTGTAATAAAGTATAAATGTTATTTACTTACTGAAGATTGTCAAATTTGAACTCTTTAACACTCTCTGATCATCCTTGATCTATTTATGTCAGCAGTAGTGGCAAAATTATTACAGTACAATTAATATCAAATAACAAGTGGCATTTTGCTACCTTTCAAGATAATTTTAGCAAAAATAAAGAAGGGTCCAGTGCAAGAGACCGCCTGCCCAGCTAAATATAAGCTGGTTTCTGATGAGATGCACGAATATGTTGATGTACATCTTCAACACCAGCTGCAGCTTCGCAAGAGAGGAGTCAAGTAGAGTTGACAGTAAGAGCAAAAGAGATTTTGATTATGATAATTTTGAGACCTGTTCTATTTTTAAACACATTCAAATCACAGTGGCCGCTTATTTGGATTTTATTCAAGTCTCCGGATGAGATTTTATTTTGGGAATATTAAATAGTTTAGAAGCTAGAAGAATAATTTCGCCTGGTGCAAAACTGGGCAGATTATTACAGTATTGCTTAAAGTAACAACTGTTTTTTTTTTCTTCTAAAAAGTGTAATCATTTAGGTTCCTTTTACAGACCAAAGATATTTGTATGTTTGTTAAGAAAAAATGAAACTTTAATGAGGGAAATCAGATACTTGCAGGAGCAAAAAGCTACAGGACACTTTATTAGACACCAGAAAATACAAAACATTGAACTGAAATGAGCAACAATATTTTGTTTAATGTATAACATACATGCTGACTCATACTGAGAAATATGAAAGATCAAACACAGATGTCTTAGTAAGTGTTGTGTGTGTTGCTTTATCACCATCATCTCATCAGTGTATTCTACTGAAACAGACTGGTGCAACACAGGGAAGTGTTTTAAGATACAGAATATCACAAGCTGGTAAAAAATTTAAAATGCAGTTGAGAGTTGGGATGAGAGGTAGAGTTAGGTGTAGTACAGTTCTGTGGGAAGAGATGGCACTAACACTGCTGTGGGGAAGCGGTTTCATTCCCACTGGGGCCACTCATCCTCAAAATAAATGCAGTTATTTTACTGTAATGTGCTTTGGACAGAAATGACTGTGGAGAGTGTCATCTAGCTGGCAAACAAGCAGAACTGGTTGGCATTATGCTGTTTGGCTACCTGTACTGACTGTACTCCGAACGCTCTCTTTGATTATGCAAACAGCATTTTTACTGTGTTGTGGATTCACAAAATGAACAGTTTTGATGCGATGCGGGATTAAGGGCAAGACAATATAAACCACAAATCTCTAAACAAAATGCACACAGTCCCATTTGCGAACTTAAATGTTCTGATCTTCAAATTATATCTTCTACTATATCTTGATTCACTGATTTAATGTGATTTTTCTCTGTGTGTGGCTGACCACCCACCATCCTGTCTGAGTGTCCGTCTGGAAAACTATTCTTCTGGATCTTTCTCACAATGACACAATGTTTCCTCCTCCACCCACTTAAAGCAAACATATAATTTTGACTGATTTCATTGTTAACTGTCTGTACACCAGAATTCAGAGCACGACTCCTTCCACTATACCTGTCACTTGTCAAATCCCTGTATAACAAGCTCTGCGTTTCACTGAGTCACTCCACACCATCTCACCTTTAATTTTCTGCACACGTTCAACATGTTACCTTCCTCTTGAAGTGAGAGACGGTAACGTGCCCTCGGTCTGAGAAAATAAATCAAAGTGGATTATATAGTTGCAAAAAAGAAGAATGAGAGAGAATTTCATAGTGGAGAAGTTAGAAGTGCAGAGTTATTGTAAAACTGCCAGAATGACATGGAGTGTGGCCATTTTCCCTCTTCTGCTATTTCCTGCAAGATTGGCCACCTGCAAGGAAATTAAATTGCAAAGTGAGAGCTTTATTTGTTTGACATGTGCTCTTGCAATGATTTTCTAAAAGGTGTTCTGGTCACAGGGTCAAAACTTGGCTTGATAATTACCCGGGGCTGCCTATGCCACCAAGCCCCTGGCCATCTGACGCGCACACACACACACACACACACACACACACACACACACACACACACACACACACACTCAACCCCACAACAATTAACCGTACAGCACCTTTCAACAGCCTGGATGAAACTTAAGATAATCAAAAACATTTATGAAAATAAAACACCTGTCCTTTGGCCATTTAAAGAGAGTTCATAAGTTCACCGTTTGCTTTTTCTGTGCCACCCAGCAACGTTACAGTTCACATTTTTATGCTCATTTAGTCGTTCAGTCTGTAGTTCTTCTAGAGATAAATTGCCAGGAGTGAAGAGTTCATTTGCATTGTTTCTGAGATAATAACAGAACAATAAAGAGGAATTACAGATACTCTCTTTTGCATCACTCCTCTTTCATGGATTGTATTTAATTAGGGATGAAAACAATCAGTCTCATATGCATCTCAGGTTTAATTAATTGAAGTGTGGCAGGAATTATTATTGCAGACCTGAAAACCAATCAAAGACATTAGCATGATACATAAGACTATCTGATGTAAGTGCTTCAGGGTGGTGTGCTGATTTAACGCCAGTCTTGTTGTCTCCAGCCTTACAGTACATTATTGACCATTATAGGAGATGTATCGACAAACTGTTGCCTGGTCCCATGTGAATTGATGGTGTGCTTTATGTTGTTCTGTGAATTATACTCATTTGCTTGATTAGGTGAAAGCTGATCAATTCTAACATGTCTGTGAGGTGCACAAATGACTCAAGTGTTTTCAGGTGAAACATAAAAACGCTAACTGTGTATGTGACTGCACATCGGCATGCATGGATGTGTACGTGAGCAGCTGAGATCAAATGTTGTGGCACTGAGCAGCACAGCATCTTATGACCATGCAGAGCCAACATCTGCCACCTGGTGGTTAACCTTTGCAAAGACACACACTCATGTTTCACTGTCAGATACGCCATTTAAAAAAAGATGCTGAAATTCAATACACAAATGAGATTTCCCCTGCGCACATTAATGCATGATCACATGAACATAGACAGATCTGTATTCAAATGTACACACATACACATACACACAGCCTTGCAGTAGAGCTAAATGAGCCAAATTATCTCCCATCCCCCAAAAATGCAATCTCCTCCCTCAACCTCACCGGTTTCCATCAAACAACTCAAGACAACGGCCCCACAGGGACTATCAGCCTGACACACCAGGAACCTCTCTGACTCTGTGTGTGTGTCGCTCCTCTCTGCAGGGTGAAAGAAAGGACAAGGTCCTTTATAGTGACTCAGATGTGCAAAATGTCAGGATCATTAAAGCATGTTTGTGTTCACAGATGTATGATTTCTGTGCGGGGCATCGGTGGAATTTAGCTTGCACACATGATTTCAGATGTGTGACTGAGAGCATCGGTGCTTTGTGTAACACAGACAGGGTGTTAGACTTCCGCTGCATGTGTGATTGTGTGTGTGTGTTTGTGTGTGTTGTGTGTGTGTGTGTGTGTGTGTGTGTGTGTGTGTGTGTGTGTGTGTGTTTGTCTCCGTGTCTGACTGCTGTAGCGTGGGCACTCTGCCAGAGTTCCACTGAGCTGTGGTCGTGTTCACAGCTCCGTCCCCTGACATCCCAGTTTGAAGCGGAGCCAACCACAGACTAGAGACATTTTGTGCCACCAATGAGGATGCAGATCATAGCTGTGAAGAAAAGGGTGTCAGGCCACACTAGCCAATCAGGCCGATCTGAAGGCCATCCAGAACTCAGCAGGCTAGTCTGTGAGGCCGGCTTGCCAGACTGCCTGACCACTGATTTGCGAAAGAGGCCACGTGAAGCCTCTCTACCAGCCATTCGTTTGTAATTCATCAGCATTCATACCGAGTCCACCACACATCCGGCACATATGCTGATTAATTTTATTCACATTTAAATTAAGCTTGAATGCATTTGTGAGGATGATGCTCCTCTTTAATATGAGTGGACAATTGCCTTGTAGCTCATACTCATTTCCTTCAGTGGGGCATAAAAGAGAGTTTCTTGAGAATAAGTTATTAGAATTCCTTAAAGGTTTCCCTTAAGGCCCATATTCCCTGCAGAACGTGGTTATTAGTCCCAAACCTCCCACAGAGCCCTCCCTCCGCTGCTGCCACTGTGCTGAATCATTTCAGCACCACGGACAGCTCTCCTCAAACCGCCATTCATGTTTACGGCATTTATGGACAGAAGGGTTTTTATTTCTCTTTTCCTCATGTCCTCCTCCTCGCTCACAGACACAGCTGGGACATTTATTTTTGAAAATGGAAAAGATTTCCACACAGAAATATGCTTTAATTGAGCGGATGGAGGAAGGCTGTGGGTGAAAAATGTGGGAAAATAAAAGATAAAAGTAAGGAATAACAGAAATGAATTTTATTCACATGGGCTGGCAGTGATTTATTGTATTGCATTTTCTTCAAATCTCTACCCCACTCACTGATTTTGATAGAAAGTTCTGCCATTCTGCTTTGTGCTAAGTGCTCTGGCCTTCATCTCACACGTCTAAAAACCAGACAAAGCTAGTTGGATAGTAATTCAATAAATATATTCCATCCAGTGCTTTCTGACATTTCTCAGGAAATCTCAAAAAACTGAATAAATATTAAATGTATCAGGATTCTCTAAAGAATATTTTATAAGCGCCCACGTCTGTTGAAGGATTCATCAGCGATGCTGCAGGAGTCTAGTGTGCTTGATGAGTGTATTTGTGTGTTTCTATCCACAAATGTAAAGATTCAGACTGCATGTTTATACAAGGCAGCCATTGCATGTTATCCCCCCATGTCTAAATGTATGTATTTGGGTCTCAGCAGCATAAATGTAGTGTATGACTTTAATTCAGTGTAGTCACAGGGGAACTGCGTTGATGAGATTGTTGTTGTGATGTAGAGTGCTTCCTGCTTCCTACATGAAGATAAAATATGACTTACAGAAAAAAGTGTGTATGTGTATGTGTATGTGTATGTGTATGTGTATGTGTATGTGTGTGTGTGTGTGTGTGTGTGTGTGTGTGTGTGTGTGTGTGTGTGTTGGGGGAGGGGGTCTGCGCTTGTGCCTGCAGCTAATGATGTAATTATGTTGAAAACAAATGCAACAACCAAACCCGTTTAGGGAGAGTTACACAAACAAAGTCAAAACAGAGGAATAAGAAATCAGCACACTGGGAGTTTTCTCACACATTATAGAAACCTTTGCACATAGGTTCCATCTATCGTTGTTTTTGTTTTTTTGTTCTTTCATAAGGATCCGACAGATTAACCGAGTCTGCTTTCTCTTAACTGTGTTTTCTCTTTCCTCAGGCCATATCTCTCCGTGGAAGGCCTCCAAACAGGTACAATGATTGAACCAAATGTGTGTCTGCCTGTGTGTATTTTTGTGTGTTTGACAGCGGAAAAAAAAAGAGAGAGAGGGAGAAAATGTGTGTCTCTGAACCAGATTTGTTTGCTGAAGCAGAGAGGTAGTATGTAGGATCAGCGTTTGTCACCGGTGGGTTGGCTTCTGCTTTATTGTGAAATGAGGCAGCGTGTCCTGACCTGCTTATTGGGTTTGATCACATCAGATCTCACACCTCACCAGCTGGGAAAAGCTCTTCAGATTTACACTTAAACTGCACCTGCTACTGCTTGTGCAATCAGCAGTAATTCACTGTATTAGACAGAATATTCAGTCATAATTAATCTCATTTCATTTAAGTTCAAATTGTGAGTATTGGTTTTAATTCATTATCTTCTATGCCTATGGCCAAATAGCTATTTTCCTTTATTATATAATTGAGTTACTGAATCAGAACACATTTACACAGGCCCCCTTGCGTCATGGAAATTTAGAGACTAGTTTTCCAGCCATGGGAACACCATTGTTTTTTTTCCGGTATTTTAGCCCTTCACTCAGCCTCAGATTGCCAACGTATTTTGTTTGAAACTCAACTGTTGGTGGGATAGCCTGTGCAATATGACACTTCAAAGCACAAAAGGGCTGAGTGAAGGTGAATATTTATGAAGAGAGTGTGGTGATTAATAAACCAGCCAGTCACATCACTGGTCTCAGCTCTGAAGCTGCTGAGCTTATCACAGTGACACATCATGACAACAGCTTTCCCTCCTAAACAGGCAGAATACTTTACTGAAGTTTCTGCTTTAACTGCAATAAACATTATTATTTGATGCTGATTTAAATGCATCTAATGGTTGGGAAGTGTTTTAATAAAATGTATCTTACAGTTTAGCATTATTCTGTTATTCTTGAGCATTTGCTTCAAGTATTTTATTTGCTGTTGTTGATAAAATCATCGGGTTGGCAGCAGCTTGACTTCTAGACCCTGAAGTGGTTCTGAGGCGTCTATTCTCCGAAGAAGTTTTAAGACCCATTTTCCACCAAAAGACCTAAAACTGGTTACTTACCTCACACCAGTGCACCTTCATAAAATACAGCAAAGTGAATTTCAAGGCCAGGAAAATACCTAATAGTCGGTTGCACCACCACTTAATTAAACTCATATAGTAAATTAAACATCTGTTGTTGGTGTTTTCCTTGTAGTTGCCTGACCAGTGGGACCCACACGGCAGCCCCCAAGCAAACCTGTCTGGCCCGGTTTTACCACCTGGCACACCCTTCCCAAACCAGCCACAGCACCGCACGTCTGTGCCTGACTCCACTGAGGGCTTCGATCTTAACAAACCTGACCCCTACGACCTTTATGAGAAGTCAAGGGCCATCTACGAGAGCCGACGTGAGTACTGCGGAAACTTTGACCATGGGACGTGAAACTTGGACATAATATGGTGATTTGCAGTTAAAGAAAAAGCCAAATGTAATGTCTGCATCTGCGCGTCAGGTCCCGAGTATGAAGAGGTGGAGGTGCACTTGCTGAGGGAGAAGACCGGGTTCGGCTTCCGCATCCTTGGGGGAGACGAGGCCGTGCAGGCTGTGAGTCCGGACGCCCGTGACAAGGCTCGTATGGGACGGGCTGGACCACACGCATATTTAACCTAATACACACTAACACCTCATCTTACCTGCACCTAACCTCATCTCACACATTGACCAACATACCCTCCACACACACACACACACACACACACACACACACACACACACACACACACACACACACACACACACACCCTGGCTTTCTCACACTGTCCTGACTCTCTAACTGCTCAGTACCTCCCATACTGAATTAACGCCTTGCTAACTTGCCCACGTGTAAAACAGCATGCAAACTATGTGGCAGAAGATTATTAGGAAGGTGGAAAAATGCCCAAAACTAGTTTACAACTTGGATAAAGCAATCGCTGTGTTGTTCCACTGTGTCTGTGTTTCATCCCCTTCACCTTCATCTATGCTGCTAATATTGATTGTCTTTGAACAGATTGTTATTGGCGCTATAATAGAGAACACTCCTGCTGAGCGCGATGGGCGGCTTCGACCCGGGGACGAGCTGATTTCTGTGGATAAAAATGTGGTTGCTGGGAAACCACACAAATACGTAATAGACTTGATGCATGCAGCCGCTCGCAACGGTCAAGTCAGCTTGACTGTGAGAAGGAGGGTGCTAATGCCTGGTGAGGACATGTTTTATTTTGTGTGCCTCTTTTGTTTTTGTGTTTTGTTTTGTTTTTTCGCACTTTACCAAGACTGGAGAACAGGCTGCACATTTCACTGGCTTCAAATTAAAAAAAAAGAAATACTTGGACAGGACACACGTGCTGACAATCTTCTCACCCACACATCTCTTCTGTGGTAGTAGATCGTACAGTCAGTCAGACACTGGGGGGTTAACCCGGGTTGGGGGTATGTAGAACCATAAAAACAGACACAAACATTAAAATAAAGCACTAATGGCTGGTTGTTGGTCAAGGACTATGTTTACATGCACAAAATATTTCATTTTTTTGCCCTTATTCCAACAATTTTCCTACTAAGCTGTTTACATGGCAAATAAAAATGAATATTCCACTAATATTTTTGTTTACATGCAGCTGTGCATACTCTGATTAACTTTACTACTGTACATCCTGCAGAGGAATTTCCCTCCTTTTCAAATTGCAGTCATGTTGCTTCCGTGGTAAAAGTGGAACAGCTGGAGCAGCTTGAGCCATTTTGCCTCTTTGCATCAAAAGAAGTTTTTTTTTGCAGATTTCAACAGTGTTTGACCATGTGAACACACAGCCTCCCTCTCTCATTCATCCAAACATCTGCTTGAAAAGGTTGGCGTTGCAATATTTGTGCATATCCAAAAACCTGTTGATAAACCTTATGTAATGTTTAAATGTAGGTTTGTTTCTCCTTCCGACTAGAAATGTGGATCGGACAGGCTACGCTAGGCCAACACCAAATAAGACGCATATTTCAAATGCACTGTATACATGTCAAAAAAATGCTTTTAAAACCTAACTAATATCTTCATATCTCACATGTCGTAATCAAAAGATGCTCTATTAAAAATAAGGCCTTATTACCCTTATCAAATGTGGAATATCATCATATTTGGAATAATAGTGAAAAATTAGTGTGCATGTAAAAGCAGTCACTGTTGCTGATATCTAGCTCCTATCTGTATCCTTATGTGCACACATGACACACAGTCAGTATATACTAAGTATTTCTCTATATTTCCAATATTAACTCTTTAACCAGCAGCTACATGTTGGATGTTTAGTAAAACACAGAACTCACACAGGACACACCGTGTTAAGGTGAAGACCTGGCCGGTTCCCAGCAACACAGTTTACTGACAAAACAACTACAGACCCAAAAGGCAACTAAAAGAGTTTGATCATCCTCCAGCCTGTCATACTGAAAAACACCAGACCAAATGTGTTCATCAACAACAGCAGAAACATACTGTTTTATATTTAACATGTCTATCAGTGATACTGTGATTTAAACTGTTTTACTTGCGTAGGAGACCTGTGAGTGATCAACTGCACACACCGTGTGGAGGATACAGAAAACGGCCAAAAAGAGCCACACAGACAGATGTTGGTTGACATGTAAACCAACATGAGTTCAGTGACTTGGAGGCATTAGATGACAAATGTTGGATGGATTTCCATTTATCATATACTGGGGGGACGTGACTGCACAGCAATCACATGCTTGATCTATCCTTTGTTCATTGTAAATACTACCGCCACCTCTGTGGTTTGCGTCTTTCTTTCTGCACTGCAACTGCAAGGGCGTACACATGCCAAAAACAGGCAAGCAAAATTTGACTTTCACAGAGAATCCCTGTGGGAAGTAGACAAGTGCACTGTTTTAGGAATAAAACTCTGATTTCTCCAATGGCTATATCTTAAGCCAAGCTTTAAAATAGCCATTAAGAGTAAATTGGTCACGTTTTACAGTAACAGAGCTGCTACTTTGGACTCACCCTATCATCTCCTCCCTGGCTCCCTTTCCTCCAGGTGAACCGTGTCCTGTGAATGGCCGCAGCCCTGGCTCGGTGTCGACACAACACAGCTCCCCACGTAGCGATGCAGCCTCGGCTTCGGGCCCTCCGGCGGTCGCCGTCCCCGCTGCCACCTCTCCTCCAGAGGCATCCGCTCTGCAGACCAGTGATGTGGTAATTCACCGCAAGGAGAATGAGGGCTTCGGCTTCGTCATCATCAGCTCCCTGAACAGACCGGAGAATGCCACCGTCATCAGTGAGTTGCTTCTGTCTGGGGTTTAAAGGTTGTAACTGAACACAAATGGTGATTTGTAAATCCTGATGACAACATTGGGGACTGTCCTGAGTGATTATTTAAGGTTTTTTTTCTACTGTTTCAATTTAAAAATTCAAAAGTATAATATCCATTATATCTGCCTTACTAATAACCCGTGGACTTCATGTCCCTTAACAATTAATTTACTTTAGTGGTGTTTCTTATCCCGTCCAATAGCTTCAGAGCCTTAATTTGCTAGGGTCTAACTGAAATTGACGTGTTTTTTAAGTTTACTTAAAAAACAAGCCTTAAATTTGTCTTAATTTCCAGTTAAGGTAATATTAAGAGTCTTTAAAAGTCCTAAATTTGGCTGTATTAAACATATGGCCACACTAAATGGAGCTGGTATCTTCTTTTTTTTTTTTTGGCCTTTTATTGCCTTTATTTGATAGTTACAGCTGAAGATAGACAGGAAAGGGGATGACACGAAGCAAAGAGCCGCAGGTTGGATTCGAACCCTGGGCCGCTGCAGCAAGGACTCAGCCTTGGTACATGGGGTGCCAGCTCTACCCACTGAGCTAACCGGGCGCCCTGGAGCTGGCATCTTTCAACAAAATGTGGCATTCTTGAGTCAGTGTGGTTTGATTGCATACTGCACTCAAAAATATTCATATACATTTCTAAGAATCGCATCCCTAAATTCATGACACCCCCTCTAGGTTTCTGCATACACCTAGGAATATGAATACCCCAAAAGTGGGTCTAATATACAGTAGTCATTATAATATCAAACATTAGTTCAGAATGTAATGGTGCATGTTCAGCAGTCCCTCAGGGATTTTCTCTGCTTGGTGGGTCCAAAAGTGTGGAATTGAAGTGGAAATCTCTCTTTATCTGTGTGAAAAGAGCTGAAACTTAGTCTTATAAATTACATGTCTTAGCCGGTGTGCTTCTGTGCATGACATAGCTTCATTAGGAATAACAATATTTGGATCTGTAATTTTAAAAAGTGGCTGTACTTGTTCCAAACTGTTTCATGTTGTAAAACAAATCTTAATGTTATTCTCTCCACTTCAGAATTAAGTTTTGTCAGTGCTGTTTTTACATCTTTCTTCAAAATTACCGTTGACAACCACCTTGTTATTGCCTGTTTCCAGCTGTGCCTCATAAAATAGGACGTATCATCGAGGGCAGCCCTGCCGACCGATGTGGCAAGCTGAAGGTGGGTGACCGGATCCTCGCTGTGAACGGACAGTCCATCATCAGCATGCCGCACGCAGACATTGTCAAGCTCATTAAAGATGCTGGGCTAACAGTCACACTGCACATCATACCAGAGGAGGGTAAGTGTTTGCGTGTGACATGAAATCAAATATTGTTGTTAGCTTGTTTAGTTTTCTCTTTGTACTTTATGAAAAAAACTCCCCGAAGTCAAACCTTCGTCTTATATGAATGCATTTTATTTTAGTCCTGTAAAGGTTTTACATATAGTAAGCCAGAAAGGAGCACAAGGTTGGGAAGAGTGATGTTCCCGAACTGCTTTGGCTGTGGTGACAAACATAATCTTCAGCCAGAACCAGCTTTGTAGAGCTAAAGGTTATGAGGCCCCTTTAAGTTATACAGCTGATACTTCAGTCGTTTTCCTAACTGCATTTCAGAAAATTCTACAACAGCACTGCAGTCTTCTGCATCCTTAGCAGATTTTCTTTATGTATTTTTATATATATATATGTTTTATTTTGTCTTTCTTCTAAATCACTGTCTTCATACAGAGATTGACATTTTCCACACTCACCTTCTGTCCATTACAGGTTCCCATTCTGGCCCCAGCTCAGAGAAGCAGAGCCCCATGACCCAGAAACACAGCCCCCAGACCCAGCCCAGCCCTGTAGCCCAGCCAGGCCAAGGAGGCACCCTGCCTGGCCAAACGGCCACTCAGACAGGTCAAGCACCTGCCCAGACTGGCCAGACACCAGCTCAGACATGCCAAACAGTGACTGGCCCTCCTGCACCAGCAGCCTCCCAGCCTGCACCAGCTGGAACCCAGCAGAGCCCAGTAACTCAGCCCTCCGGCCTCCCTCCACAGCTCTACCTCCACGACGGCAGGTAAAACGGCACTTAGAGGGATGTTCTCGTTTGGACTCAGCAGGAGCATTTTGTAAGACTCGTAGCGCGCTGTGGTGACTGCAAAGAGTTCCTGGAAAAAGTGGAAGCAGTAGTCTTCAAAGGCGATAGATATCAAACTGTGTACAAAGATGAGAGTGTGCCATCATCTCCTTGCATGCCATTAAGTTCAGGAGAAAACCTGTGACTGCTGACAACTTTTGCCTCAGTCAGACTCCCAGTCTTAGGCTGGTTTCTTCCTTGTTGCGTAACACCACTTAGCTCTTACGGTGTCAGTGAATAATTTACATTAAAGTATCTCTTCTATAATGCAGGAACCCAGTGATCAGGCCCTGTTCCATGTCAAAACTATGGAAGTATGAGTGCATGCATGGGCGCGTGTGTGTGTATGTGAGTCTCAGATCAAGACACTGAGAGAAGCACTCCCAGAGCTGTGGATTTATGCCCATTTTACAAGCGGGGATGTGATAAAAGTTTCAAAACACAGAGTGATATTTCCATCCCCTTTGTGGCGAGCATCCTCAGCTGCACATACTCAGTAATCCTTGCACAGTCTTCCTTCACATGGCAAATTAAGCTCCAACGTTACTTTGCCCAAAAATCTACACCGTGAGGGACACTGTCCACTCTCAAGAGAAGACGTGAGGTTGTGTGCAGCAGGACACCAAACAATACTCTCTACATCATGACACAAACTCTCTCCTCAAATTTTGTTGCTTTCTCCTCACAGGTCAGAGGTAAAAGCCAGACAGGACGTCAAACCTGACTTCCGCCATCCTCCATTCACTGATTACAGGCAGCCTCCTGTAGACTATCGTCACCCACCGGTTACTGATTATCGACAGCCCCCGACGCTGGACTACAGACACCCACCTGGTCTGCTGGACTTCAGACAGCACCCTGCAGCTGCACAGTTCCCTCTGGGGATCCCTGCTGACTTCAGACCACAGGTACAACTAGACCAAGAACTGTTTGCTCAAGCTGAGCATTGAGTGTTTAGAGGGTGTTAATAATCTTTTTTTTCCGGCATAATGGGCATATACTGTTATTTGCAATGAGTTTGTTGCAAGTTGTCTAAATTTCTTCTGCAGGATTTTGATTACTTCACGGTGGAGCTGGAGAAAAGCACAAAGGGTTTTGGCTTCAGTATCCGCGGGGGCAGAGAGTACAAGATGGACCTATTTGTGTTGCGCCTTGCTGAGGATGGTCCTGCAATACGTAATGGAAGAATGAGGGTGAGACGACATGGATGAGATGATGAAGACAGAGTTAAAAAGCCTTTGGGAGATGATTGGAATTGCTGTCAGTGTTTTGTTGAAGAAATGTAGAAAGAGCTTTCGTTTGCTATGCTTATTATCTGTAACTCCTTCTTTTTGTGGATTCAGATGTTAATTTACTTTCTGCCCCATCTTCTTCATGAGGCAGACATAGTTTAAAGGTTAGGAAACGGGCAAGGTGAGTAAGTATAAGTGCATGTGAACTCAGTATAACCCTCCACTCACCTAGAACAACTTCTGTTCAGGTGCGCTTGAACAAGGCACTTAATGGCACTTATTCCCAAGTTACTCACCAGCGGAAGACTGTGCTTGTGTAGAAAAGTCAACTTTCCATGGACAAACAGAGGCTGACAGAAATCGACCCTGTCGTCTGTGTCTCTCCTCCAGGTAGGGGATCAGATCATAGAGATTAACGGGGACAGCACTCGGGACATGACTCACGCCCGCGCCATTGAACTCATCAAGGCGGGAGGCAGGCGGGTCAGGCTGCTGCTAAAGCGAGGCACAGGACAGGTGCCAGAATATGGTGGGTTTTCCTGGCACAAAGTCTCTAAATGTCCAACTTTTTCTCTCTCTTTAGGCTCTCACCTGATCTCTCTCTCACTTTCATACTAGAGATTCATTGTTTGAGATTCAACATTACTGTTTTTTAACCAGAATGGCTTTCTTCTCGCAAATGCTATATGTTTTACTCAAGAACATATTAACATGCATTAATATCTTCTGCATTTTACCCGTCGCTCCGCAGTCTTGTCTTCTGTCATCTGAAATTAAACTAATAAAAGTTAAAAAGTTGTGAAAAAGTATTTTGATCGAACAGTAAAATAACACACTAGCTCTTTGTGTGTTGTAGCCCCTCTGCTTTAAGTCTAATGATTGGTATAGGCTTTTACTTGCCTTCCCTCAGGAATGGTACCTTCCAACCTCTCCATGTGCATGAAAGGTGACACACTAAGCTCCCCCTATTTCTTCCTAATGGGCCACTCTAAAGACACGGTTTGTGAAAAACTGCATGTCTCTCTCTCCATACTGATTAATATGTGTGCAGTGTAGCTGTGCTCTAGGCATGCATGCGTGTATGCATGATCACAAGTTAATGCATGGATAAATAGCAGCCGTGTGTGTGTGTGTGTGTGTGTGTGTGTGTGTGTGTGTGTGTGTGTGTGTGTGTGTGTGTGTGTGTGTGTGTGTGTGTGTGTGTGTGTGTGTGTGTGTGTGTGTGTGTGTGTGCGGGTGCTTGAAGTGTGTTGTAGTAATAGAGCAATATGGTTTGAAGTGACCCTCCAGATGAAATTGTATCATCCTGAAGAGGGCTGTGAAGTAGACTGTGTGAAGTCAATCTGCTCAGGATCAGTCTGTCACATAACTACAAATATGTTTTCAATCACTGAGTGAATCCTGTCGCCCATGACAAGGTTTTTGTTGAAGAAGTGTAGATAAGGCCATAGGAGTATCATAGAGGCCTACATGGTCAGATGTGTGCTGCTCACACACATTTGCATGCAAGTTTGCCTGATGTTATATTAGGATGTGGTGTTAAATTGTTTTGATGTGTACATCTTTCTTACTCTCTCTGTGTGCATGTGCATGCTGGTTTGTGCCACTCTGCTTTTATCTCAGTCCACCTGAGCATGTTTTGTTTCTTCCCTGACAGACTGTGCCGGCCCCTGGGATTCCCTTTCTACAACCCACTCTGCCCTGCAGGAAGTGACCCTCGAAACCCACCAGAATCCATTGCTCTCATCCCATCCAGCCTCAGCCCCAGACTCCCCTCATCAGCTCCCTCTAGAGGCCACAGTGTGCATGGCAGACAAAGCTCCACAGCTGACAGACCACAGCTCCATTAGAGGGGCTACAGGTGGCAGGTCCACCCAGCAGAAGTGCATCACCAGGGGGCAGGGAACCCCTCAGGGATCTGGAGAGGTGGACTGTGGACCAGGCGACAGACAGCCTCGGGCTTTGCCTCCCAAAGCTGTCCTGGGGAGGTCTGTTGAAAGAAGAGAAAGGCAGAGGGACACTTGCTCCCCCTGCTGTGAGAGAAAGGGCCTGCACACACAGGCGATGAGCACTGTCTGGCCCTGGGACCCGTATGTGAGTGTGAATTTTAATGGAGCCTCTCTAGGCAGTGGAGACGGACATGTCAGCCTCCAGGAGAGGTTGGTGTCCAGAGGTCTGTTCCCCAGAGAAGATGAGAGGGCCAGTGGCCACAGTGGGCTCTGCTGCCCCTCTAAAACCATGGAAGATCCTCCTCCGAGGAGCGCAGCAGCCTCCCCTGGGCCCTGGAACGTCCCTGGGTCTGACAAACTGCCTGGCACCCTGAGGTCCTGGACCTCCACAGTAAGCAGGTAGAATGGATCTTGCTGGTTTGGACCGGATCACATTGTCTGGCTCCTCATTCAGTTCACCATCGGATGTCTGAGAAAAACAGTTAATCTCCCTCGCCCCTCTCTTTCTGTCCCGTTTTCTTCTCCATCTACTTCTGAGATCATATTTTATGTTTCATTTGTTCTTACAAGAGAATTATTACACCCACCACCTTAAAAACAGAGGAACTTTCACAGCTATTGTAACATACAGTATAAAACTGATGGGGACTGCTCAATATGTAGGCATTTTGGACCCTCAGAAGCCACAGTTAATGTTCTAATCACAGATGGAGCAACGATGTCTGATTCTGAGTGGAGCTGTTTTTTCGACGCGTACCTTTAACTGCTCGACCGAATCTGGCTCAGATTGGTTAGTGCAACGTAAGCTTAGATGGGAGAGAGACATATGCACATCCAAGAGATTTACTTTTGCTCCATTTTCTCTGAGTGGGAAGAGTGAGACTACAAATCTGTCAAAGAGGGAAGCTGAGACACTGATATTCCTGGAGGACATGGCACTGACCCAAGTGACAGCCTGGTTAACCCGACATATGTTAGATCTCACATGCCTACCAATATATCATATACTGTAAATGTAAAGATGTGAAAAATATGTACATTTGGTAATCTCAAAAACATACCTGTTGGTGTTTTTTTTGAGGCAGTGTTGTAGTTAGATACATTATAAAGAAAAGACTAAAAAAAAAACAACAGAACAGTATTTTAGGATGACTATTTCCATGGCCTCGTCTATAACTACATATCAAAGACTGTGCAAGTCACCAAACCCAGACCACTGAGAGAGGTAGTGGTCGTGTGCATGGATATAAACCACCATGTCATTATACAGGGACTCACGTCTTTTAGAGGTAGAATATAGAGAGGATATCCTCTGTGGAGCTGACCAGTTGGTACTCATGTGAGTCAAAAAATATCTTTTTTTTTTTTTTCCTCCCCATCAAATTGAACTTTTGAGTGACTGAAAACAGTTGGCTTAGTAAGGACTCATAATACTGTTCTGAGTTATGTACACAACTTGATCACAACTCAACCATGCAGTCATTGTGCAGAATTATAAGCTGTGTTGTATTCATTTAAATTCTCAACGGAAGGGATTTTGTCCTGTCTGTATTTCCCATTTCTATGCCTTTTACTGTGCTAAGTGTACCACATCACTGTGGGAGAGGGGCATCGGTGTTGGGGAAGGGGAGGCCGATGGTTATGAGGTGGGGCGGAGTGCCTTACTCAAACTAATGCAGAGCTGTTGTGATTTGTTTTGGGAACTGAATGCAAAACAGATGTTCGTGACCAAGCGCACATATCAGTTGTGGAGCCTGTTTTCTTCGGACTTAACACCGAGCAGTATATACGGTTATCTTGATGCACTCAGCTGTATAGTTTATCAATGTCAATGATTGCCCTTTGTCCCCTAAGTTCTTAAAAGGGGATCAAATGTAGCCTGTAGCATTACATCCTCTTCTTAGAGAGTCGAGCAGTGAAAGTTTATCCAGACTGGGTCATTATCAAAGTGGAGGCTCATTTCAGCTTTATTTGTCTGTTCCTGTGTTGCATAGTTGCAGGAAGAACCAGTGCTCGCTGAATCTGGACCCCAAGACTTTAGACGATCTGCGAAACACAAAAACGCATTGAAAACGTGCGTTTGATCATAAAGTTTTGTTACCGGCAGAGTCGAGGCATGCTGCTATTAAACCAAGACACCCAGAGATGAAGTCACTGTCCTCCTGCATTTCTCCATTTGTCATCCATTTCTCTCCACAAGATGTTTGATGATTCATTTTTAATGAGAGCAGAGCTTTTGGAGGAGCAAGATGAGTTTAAAAAAAAAAAAAAATCACAATGCAATGTCATTATTTGACTGAATGCAGCACGATGGCACATTCAAGCTTGTGAACTGGTATATTAGTCCTACTGGTAAACTGCTTTTAGTGAGACAATGCACCTGCAGACTGGGACACTGATAAGACCTTGTGCATAAAGCATCATCAAGACGGATTTTGACCCTTAGTGGTTTCTGAGTAAAAACGTGGTCTGGATGTTTCTGAGCTGACTGTGGTTCACGTGAATGAACTGGTTAACACGTTAACAAGGAGCATGACAACATGCCTTTGGGCTGTAGAAATGTGTTTACTGTATGTACAAATGTCAAAGTTCAGAAAAGGTGAAAGAATATGTCATCAAGCCCTCTGTCTCCGTCCAGGCTGTCCCCCTGCCTGCTGTGAGTGATTTTGTATACAGAAACAAAAAACTGCTTTATTGGAACCTGTGAAGGATGGCACGTTCATAAATCCCCATTGAGATCAAGTATAACTGTGTAGTGTTAATTGTGTACTATTCACCTTGTACAGCTGTATTCCTACAAATATGGTTTACTGTATCATTGATACTGTAGTTTCAAAGACGTGAACAACTATTTTTATGAAATGCGACAGTACTGATATATTACATTTTGCTAAAAAACAAAAAACTTGTTTACTGAAAGATATTCTGAAATACTGTCAAATAAACTCTTGACATGGTGTAAAATATTCTTTTCTACAGATTGTTTTATTGAAAACTACAACCAGAAATGTTTAGAAGAAACAACTGGACGATTAATCTCTCTAATTTCGATAATCAATCATTTACCAGAGCAAAAATGGTAACTACAGTTGGCTTCCAGCTTCTCAAATGTGAAGTTTTGGGGCTTCTCTTCATTCTAAATTGAGTTTTTGAGGTATGAAGGTTTGACAAAACAATACAATTAGACATAACCGTGGACTCTTTTTTGGGGGGGGGCGGCGTATTTTACAGACCAATCAAACTAATAATAAACACATTAATCGATAATGAAAATAACTGTTTGTAAGACTATACCAGAATATAGTAGAGACAATGTAAATAATAATGAATCAAGTCGAAAGTGTACTTTATTTTACAAATCAGCCTCATTTGCAACAATCATTTACACACAGGCACACTTGTGGAACAATTAAAAACCCTTCCAGTCTTTTCACACAATTCCCCTTTTTAAAAAAAAGGCCCTCAGCACACACAGATTTTTTACTTTGTTCCTGATTAGGCCTCTTTCAGCTTGAAGCTGAGCAGACGTATGCAGGGAGTCACCAAACTACATGAAAGAATCAGAAGAATGTCTCTCTTCCACATGTTATCTTTCAGACAGATGTCAAACATACACAACCACATAACCCTGAGAAAAGGTCTAATTAGCCAAAATAAGAGAAAACACCTGCGTACGTGCACCATGAGAGCTCTAACACCAGGTACCATCTATTTAATGAAGTCAGATCTACAATAATGTTGTAAATAATTTGTGTTTAGCCTGTCCAGTCACAGATGATGAGTGGAGGTATTGAATACAGTGATAACAATTCTTTTTTTAAAATCATACAAATATTTACACATTTCTGAACAAAGCAGGCAGATAATAAAACAACTTGTAAACATGTTCTCAGCATCTCATTGCTGGGTAGTGGGTTAGGCCAATACGGTGAGCTGTCACTTGTAAAGACTCACATTATTGTTATTGAGTGTAATTTTCAGTAGGAACCGGGGTTTCACTGTTAGCCTGCTCATTCAGAGGAGCCTCCTGAGGAAAGAACAGAAAAATGATCAATTCTAACACTTTTAAAATAGTGTCAAATGTCATAGGTTAATGGTCATATTAATGGCTTACCTTAAGATGTCTGTAGATTCCCATTTGGAAACGGCAGCAAATTACATCAACCAAGAATCCTACCATACTGTGGACCATGCCTAATAGTGAGAAAAAGAGTCAGTGTGCATGTCTGTGTTTAACAAATTTATGTTTCTATGCTCACATACATCGATAAATAATATATAAGAACGATTTGCCTTTTTATGAGCGTTTAATTCCAGTCTTTTTAAGATTGAACGTCTACCCTCACAAGCATCTAGCTTTCCAGTAACTCTCTTTTTTGGGACAATTAATGACAATACATTCATCACCTCCTCCCATTATCTTTATTATTTCTGTGAGAATATCTGGCAACTCCGTTTTAAATGATGATTTTTCTTACTATTTACTGGAATAGATGATAAAACAAAAGTAATCTTAAAACCTCCTTTACGTGGTAAACGAATGGGGCTCTGGGTCTTTAAAACAAGCATAAACAAGCGTAATGTGTGATTTATCCCATTATCTACATAGATTTTAGATCTAAACCATCTAAAGGGCAGGAACCACAATAAAAATGTGATATTGTGACAGCTGACTATTTTCCAAAGAATCCAATTATGTTTTTAGGTTGTTTTTCTCCCTTCATTTGTTTTCAGTTCATGCCAGAGTGAAAATAAACTTGCAGGACTTAAAAATGTTCCTGAGTAAGTTAATCTATGGTAATGCAGATTTAATAAACAGTTGAGGTGTTCAGGTGTTTGTGGGATGCTCTAACATCCAGGATTAGATAATTAGCAACAGAAAATGGTTTAATTCATGGGCTAAAAAAAATAAACCGACAGATAAATAATAAGCAACCATAGATACTGCTTATGTAGATTGCTACTTTACGACTTTAAATACATACAGTAATCTACTGTATGCATTCAAAGCCATCAAAGCTGTTCGTGACTCTATGACTCTATGAATGTCCTACAAAGATATTTTTGCATTAATGTGACTAAAGAATAAATCTAGCAAAAAAAAGAAAAACAGGTTCATTGTGCTGGATGACTTGGTGTAGCTTTACCACGTTTTAAGTGTATGCAAGTTGATTTTCATACTGTAGTTAAATTAATAAATCAGAGCACCCAATGGCCGCCTGGACGTCAGGAAAGCAATCTAAAAATGTTGTTAGAGTATACCAAAAAAAAGCAGTCAGCACTTAATTTAAGGAGCTAAAACATGATAAAGCTCCAGTATGGTCCTTTAAAGATGTATCTGTCACTCTGTGAAACATATTACAAGTGTCTTTGAGAGAGAGTTTGTACCTGTGGTAGAGAAAATGCCTCCGATGATGCCACAGAGTCTGATAAGAAACTGCCAGAGAGGCATGTGCTGCTCGGTGACTTTGACCATTAGTGAGCTGATATCGTATTTCATAAAGATCCCTGAGACTCCATGGCTGCCGGCCGCATGGTTTATTGCACGGTCCTGCAGAAACAACAACAAGAGGAATGCATATATATTCACCATGCTGATACATATCATACGACACAAACATAAAAACATTATTCCAACCTACCTGCTCAGTGACTGAGTACTGATGTGTTTCTGCAGACACTTTGTAGGTCTTCAGTTTGGTGGGCACGATGGTGATGAAGTACTGAAACATGTGGTTAGCTAGAGATAATAACCACAAATGTCTGTTAGCTCAGCGGCTTTAAAAGCTACACAAAAACAAAACGGTGCATCAATGAAAGATATATACGATAAAAATCTGATTAATGTTTGACAACGCAGACGTACGATCGACAGAGATTTTCTCTGTGCCGTCCAGAGGGCTGATAATGCCAGGAATCGCTTCTCCAAAGGACAGGTGGTCAATCCGGTGAGAGAAGTTGTAAGCTGTAACACAACAAACCAAAACAATTAATCATCATCAGAGCAACCAAGACTTTAATATACATATACAACATTATTAACATAATAATACATTTAATACAGAGTGAATATCGTCGCCAAGTGACCAAAGTATGAGATCACACATAAAGTATATGTGTGTGTGTTCAATCAAAAAGGATAATGAACTCACTGTCATGGCTAACTAGTGCAGCGAGATGGGCGTGTCCTCTGGGATGTGGGATGGACCTATGCAGGGGATGAAAAGGTCAGAGGTCACACACTGATACATAATAGTCAGGTCTAGTTCTTTGTTCTGGACAGAATGTCTCAAACGTTTTGTTTTGTTAGGCTCTCCAAACACCCCCATTATGCCTTTAAAGAAACAATGGCTTAGGCACGCAGCTGCAGAATGTTAATGCAGGAGGCGAGATTTTTGTGATCTGACTGTTTGTTACTCCAAACTGTTTGGAAAAGGGCAGACACTTGCAGTCAGGAGTGAGAGTGAAAACACCTTTGTCACCAAGAAAAGCCTTCAGTAGCGTTGTTTGCTCCTTTTTTAATGACTAAACAACTCTCCAGTTCTGGTATGACTGATGCTGGCAGCATCTACACTAACCTCTACGCACCCATCCCTTAAGCAACCACTACTTTCTCAAAGACCACTGATTGGTCCAGTATCATAGTACCGGCCATACACGCAAAGATTCTCATGTGATTTTGTGATCTTGTGGCTTCAGCTTCCTTGCAAGGTTTATTCCTATTCCTATTGTTCCTATTTAAGAAGAGTAATCATTGTTGACAGCCACAGACATGCTCGGATGGCAAGTTATCAGCTAAATCAGCCATCTCATTTAAGTATTTCCATTTAAAATATATTATTTTGATAGTATTATATGTTTATATGTTAATTTATTTCATAAAAAAATATATATATATATATATATATATATATATATATATATACACACATTTTTTAGATGCCTCCACGTACCACTAGAGGGAGCTCACATGCCACCAGTGGTATGTGTACCATAGTTTTGAGAACCAGTGTCTCTAATCATTAAGAGTGTTTATTTAGACCACGTAGATACATACTTGCCAACGGTAACGTGGAAATTTCCTGCCACCTTGTTGACATACAGATGTCCATGTATCCTGCAGGCACTAAGGGAAGTGGGACTCTCCTCACTGTGGGGAAAAGGAGCAACACAATGCGGAGGGGAATCATTTTATCACAGTATCACATCTTCAACTGCAAACAGAAAAGAGCTCATCTTGAGGACGCTGTACCTTTCAGGCTGAGCAGGAGGAACAGCTTTTATGGCAGCCTTGAAAATTACATCCTGGAGAGAGTGCTCAACTTTCAGACGCTCCTGGATGTGCAGAAGTGTCCTGACGGTGACAGAAAAGAGGCAAAACTAATTCAATGTGTGAATCGGCTTTTTAAATTTTAGGCTTATAATTTATCTTCCCAAAAAGAACAGAAACTTTACACTGCTCGTTAGCCAGCTAGAAATACAGTAAAACCAAAATAAGCCCTAAAGCACATCTGAACTTTAAATAACATAGCTGTAATGTAAACGAACAACTTGAATCTTACATGTGCCACAATCGTTGCTGTGGAGAGAGATCGAAGTTGACCTAAAATGTGACAAAACAAAAAAGTCAGATGAGCATAAATGAACTTTAGAATAGGATTTAATGAATGTTTCCTCCTTCCATCTTTATAATATAGTAAATAAAATACTATATTGCACATTGAACTCACCGGTTCATATTTCAAGCCGTCAGAGGCAACCATCGTCTCTGCCAGATCCAGGACATCTGCACCGATATCTGCATTCAACCATACATACAAAGTTTTTTTAAAAAAGCACCTAATGGCACCTTTCACAAACAAATATGAATGTGTGCTTTTTTTAGAGCTGGAATATGAATAAACTGTATTGTACTTACATTGGCATCTCATGGCCACTGTAATGTCAACATTTATCCTCAGTTTACTGTAAGTGAAGAGCAGACGCAGTTTAAGTCCCCCTCCACTCAAAAACATGTTGAATGATGTCTGTTCAGAGTTTGACACTAGAAGGATGTTTCCATAATTCATCTACTCAAAGTGGAAAGTTTCTGACGTATAAGCAGCATGTGCCTTTTTAAGGATTTTAATGTGGAAATTATACTTTTTAAACACATATCAGACATTATTGCTCCAAGAAGACTATTTTTCTCCTAAAAAGGTCCAGTGTGTTGGATTTAGTGGCATCCAGCAGTGTAGTTGCAACTCCTTCGTCTTACCCTCCCTTTTTCCCAATAAATTTATCGTGGTGAATTTCCAATATCGTAATAATCGTGAATATCGTCACAAATTGACTTGAAAAAGCTGTCTAGCTCACCAGCATACAGTCCTATATTGATTTCCTGATACATTTTGAACAAGGGGGAATCCACATGCCACATGTGATGCAATAAATATGTGTGTTTCTTGACAAAATGTAAGGTTTAAGTTATTCAAAGTATGTTTTAGTGCCATTTTAAAAGTATGTATCCTACATTCTGCTGTAACGAAAACACAACAATTCCTATATTCAGATGATTATAGGCTAATGAAAACATTACAATGAAAATGACATTTAACGTCTGCTAATGTTACACACTGGACCTTTCATTCATTGGTGGACAGCCTAACTTTAATTGCACATAGTTTACATTTATCCCTATTTGCAGTTCTATTTCATATTTTTTATAAAAGCTATTTTAGATTCTGGACTGTCATCCAGGTATGCTGCCTTTTTATCTGCCTGCGTCAAGTGTGATCCTGTGTGGGATACCGTATATGTACTTATATGTTTTGGGGCCCTTGTGTTGTATATGTATTTACATGTTCTGTGTCCTTTTTTTCTGACTTTGTTGATGTCTTGAGCACACTGAAGCAAATCCATAGCAACTTGCACCGAGTTGTATGGCAATAAAGTATTGAATCTTGAATCTATTTTATTTCTACTTTTATTTTTTGTATAGTTTTCTATTTGTATAGATGCTAGCCAGGCTTAACCTCTAAACACTTAATTTACCTGCACATGTTTCATTTCTATTGTTCTAGTTTATTTTCTCTCTCTGCACTTATTTAATTTCTCTGCACATTATTTAATTTCTCTGCACATTATTTAATTTCTCTGCACATTATTTAATCTCCCTGCAAATGTTTAATATTTAAGCACAGGTTTTAATTTAAATTCAGATTTATTTCAGGTTAAATTTAATGTACGGCTACTGTGTTATAGGTTAATTTTAATGCATGTCTAATGTATGTTTGTATGCTGCTACTGGATGCTTGAATTCAGTATCTCTCTATTTATCTCTCTCCCTCTATCTATCTCTCTATCTATCTCTCTCTCTCTATTTATCTATCTATCTCTATATCTATCTCTGTCTCTATACACATATATATATATGTATGTATGTATGTATATATCTCCCTCTATCTATCTCTCTCTCTATACATATATACATATATATATATATATATATATATATATATATCTCCCTCTATCTATCTCTCTATCTATCTCTCTCTCTCTATTTATCTCTATCTCTCTCTCTCTATTTATCTCTCTCTCTCTATCTATCTATCTCTATATCCATCTCTGTCTCTATACACACATATATATATATATCTCCCTCTATCTATCTCTCTATCTATCTCTCTCTCTCTATTTATCTATCTATCTCTATATCTATCTCTGTCTCTCTATACACATATATATATATATATATATATATATATGTATGTATGTATGTATGTATATATCTCCCTCTCTCTCTCTCTCTCTCTATACATACATATCTATACATACATATATATATATATATATATATATCTCCCTCTATCTATCTATCTCTCTATTTATCTCTCTCTCTCTCTCTCTCTCTATCTCTCTCTCTATTTATCTCTCTCTCTCTCTATCTATCTCTATATCTCTCTCTCTCTCTCTCTCTATATATATATATATATATATATATATATATATATATCTCCCTCTATCTATCTCTATCTATCTCTATTGCTCTATTTCTTTCTCTCTCCCTCCCTCTATCTCTCCCTCTCTCTCTCTCTCTCTCTCTCTCTCTCTCTATCTATATATATATATATCTATCTATCTTTAAGGACACAGATGTACAGTACTCACACATTCACCCTTCCTTACCTGCTGAAGTCTTTGTCCACCTCATACTCATACTTCATCCATGTGTCTCTGTACACAAAGAATTCCAGGAAGGCAAGGACAGCCATGAGAGTGAATGCTATCAGAGACACTAGAGAGAGTGTGACAATGAGTGTGTGAGTGTGTGAGTGTGTGTGAAGAACCGAAGGCACCGTGTAAAGCTTTGTTAGTACCCGTGTGTTACCTGTCCCACCGCTGGCTGTGGACTCCACGTAGCTCTCGGGAACTTTGGGGAAAGCGTCCAGCTCCTTCACCAGAGTCAGAGCCTTCTTCTTGGTCAGTCTCCTCATTTTAGGAGCGGCGACGATGTAGCTTCGGGTGTCTCCCTCATAAAGTCCAGGAGCTGGTTGAAAAACAGAAAAACAAAACAAAAAAATGACCGTGTGTCGCTGTGTAGTCATACGTGCGCTTCCTGTTTGTGCTGACGTTGCCCATGACGTCTGTTCGAGCTAACCGATGACCGCATTGCGTGAGGAAAAAAAACTGCTCACGTTTGTACGTAGCGCCCCCTGTCGGTGGAGTTACAGGGTTTAAAAACATGGTTTCATTCAATTACATTTAAAGCTATGTCGTTGGTTTAAGACATTTAATTTCTTTTACAAAATTATAGATTATTATACAGCTCGGAGTTCATTCCCAAGCATGCTGGAGAGCTTCATTCTCAGTTTCACCTAAATCACACAACAAGCAAAGCCTGTCTTCCTGAGGAGTGGCAGTAAACCTACCGGTCCCTGGGGCTAATGGTAATGTTCAATGCAAGTGTGCACATAGGGATCTTTGTCTGTTAAACTGTTGTGTATGAAGAGTTTGGTGTTAACTTGTAAAAGCTTTTGATCTATAACCAAGACTGGATTACCAACCAGGTAAAACCAGCCACAAGACTCCAGACGAGTCTCAGGGACCCCAAAAGCCCCAGGTTGTCTGTGTGTGTGTCATTTACTATTAATATTATGAGGCAATTACTTTGTGTAATGTGTTATTTGATCGTTTGCACATTTGTTTGGTAATAACCACTAAAATGCAGCTCCTCCTGTTTGGCCAGATTATGCTACTAGGGGACCCAGGGGCAAAAAGGAGCTGCATGCCTAACCTTACCTGTTCCTCTTCTTGTCTGTTCATTGTGTAAAGTATTTTTGGGCTATTACAATGTTACTTGGCTGCATGGACGGATAATGAGATGATGGTCCTTTAGGCATACGTACAGGATGGCTCAGTGGTAAGCACTGTCGCCTCACAGCAAGAAGTTCCCGGGTAGAGTCCCTGCTGGGGCAGTTTGTGTGGGTTCCCTCCGGGTGGCTCCAGTTTCCTCCCACATGTATGTTAGGTTAAATCTCCAGTCAGTGCCCATGACAAAAGCATTGGCCCAGATCTGGAGTTGGTCCCAGGGCATTGCATGGTGGATGCCCACTGCTCCTGGTACTTAGGATGGGTCAAATGTAGAGAATGAATCCCCCACAGGGATCAATAAAGGATAACTTAATACATGCCATAGAGCAGAGCAGAGTCTTATTCTCTCAACGTTTTCACACCCTTACTGCATGGTGTCAATACTGAGCATAAACTGAACTAGACCTCAATAAACCCGAGCAGATAATCCCTCCATTTGAAGGTGTTATTTCAGAACATGCCCCAAAGAAAGTTACAGTTAATCAACATTTTGCCACACAGTGCACCTTGGGCTTTTGGGTACTAGGGTACCATAACTCTGTATTTCAGCGTTTAATGTACTTTATTTATTGCCCTAATACCTGCATTTTGAGAGGGACTACAACAGTTTACACCTTTCTGGTCGTTTAACTTAAGTGTTGTTTAAAATTCAATATCTTTCTCTTCACATCTTCGACTGAATTTAAGAACCAAAAACACATATTTGTGAAGCAATTCTTCTGATACATAATTCACTCTTAAGTTCTCAGGATATCTTGAGGACAGCAGCATGTATTAAAGCTCGGTCGAGGAGAATAAAGATCAGCTGCACAAGTAGAGTCATTATGTAGATGACAAACCAATCCTGAAGGTTTTTTCCTGGTAGGGAGCATTTTATTATTAGGTTATTCTTCATCCAGCTATATTTGTGTAAAGTTTATCTTTGTTTAGGAGCAAAACAAGACACCCTGCTTACCTCAGTTGACCTAAAACAACCAGTCTCAGTCATACAAAACACAGCCTACAGAGAGACAGTCAGTCTTTTTGGTTTATCTTAACCTTGAGCTATGAGTATAGCCTCTTATAAAGCTGCATAAGATGACCTGGGGACTGATATTACCCTTAAAGAAGGAAAATTCCTTGACAATATTCAGTTCATCAAATGTTGTAATGACAAAGCTGTAACACACTTGTAAGGACAAAGTTTGCTGAGCCAAAAACATTTTTCAAGACACAATCCCACAATAACTCAACCGTATGAATTAATGTATGTTATTCCATTGATTTTTAACAATAGTCAATACAATTATGAGTCTTCTTTACTTCACTCTGTATCTCTGCTTTTCAAGGGGAAACATTTTTCTAATCTACAAAAACTGAGATGTAAGAATCTGACAGAAATAACAAGTCCACTTTAGGCTGGACTTTCCCTTTTACACCAAATCTTTAACGGGCAGTAAGGAGTGGTTGGATCCTCCACTCACACAATCTGGTTTCCAGCTCTCATATCAAAGAGCCTCTGCTCTGCTAATGTGTCCTTGAATGGTTTTCTAAATCCCTGACAGCTCCAGGGACGCTGATCACTGACAATTAAACATTCCTGAGATGGAAGAGGCAAACAAGGAGACTTCTTGGCAGGGATCAGTAAAGCATCAGATTAAATGCTGATGAAAGTATTTATGAATGCATCAAAAATAGGAGCCCATAGAATAACAGTGCAGCAATGTGACAATATGAGATGATATTTGAGACTTCTTCCTTCAGTCAGGTGTGCATCTCTTAAAATAAAATAAAATTAAATATGCTTATAATCACATAATGAGTGTGTGTGTTTGCTCAGGTTTGCCATTAGTACCATAGATTTACAGTACATTTATAGTGAGATACTATACAACTTCAAGTATTATCTGCTTTGTTTTAGTGCTGTGCAGGCATAAGACTAATAAGCATGCCAACAAAAGTGTCCTCAAGGACAGTTCATAGCCACATCTAACATCAAGGTTGTGACGCTCTTCCCAACAGATAGATTAATGACTGTAAAAGTCAGCAAATATTGTAGAAGCCAACACAAACGCAAATATACAACATGACCTCCTGCTAAAATAGTTTTAAAGGTTGAAAATCCATTCACAAAGTGCTCTGTTCTGCAGGTACAGAGTCAGGGCCCTCGTCCCGTAGGACGGCTGTCTCTAGGACCTCGGAGGTGGGCGTGTCAGGCGGCTCTTGAGAGAGATCTTCAGAGCATCTGCTGACAGTGGGTGAGATCACATCTGGACTCGTGTCGCAGGACTCTGTGCTCTGCTCCGAGGTGGCTGTTGTAATTGTTGTGGCAACACTGGGTGGAACTGGGTCAAACTCATCATCGTCGTCCTCCAGGATGGGTGACTCGTGGATACCTGCCAGAAAAACAGAGACATTTTTTAGAAAGAATGATTTGGAAAAGTTGCCGGTGCTTATAAACTGAAGAATGGAAAGAAATTGCTGACTCACTGCTGAAAGCTTCTGGGTACTGTTTAGCAATCTTCCCTTTTAGCGTCCTGGAGAAGCAGAGGAGACCAATAATCAGAGGTTGTGTGTGTGTGTGTGTGTGTGTGTGTGTGTTTGTTGTGTGTGTGTGTGTTTGCACTTGGGGGGGGGGACTAAAGACTTACCTAATCCTTCTGAAGATGCTGTCTAGATCTTTCTTCATCTCCACAAGGGTGCGGGTGTGGAGCAGGAAGCGCTCGTTCATCTGCTGCAGTCGCACATTAGACAGCCCGTTGAAGTTGATCAGCATTTCGTTGGTTTTCTCAAAGCGATCAAGCCTAGTTTCACACACAAAAAAGCAACAATTATCTTCAAAAAGACAATGAACAAAAGCAACAAGGCAGGTGTCAGCATCACTGTCATGTACAAGTGTAATTAGCTACGCCAAAAAGCACACCCATTTTATATTTAGCAGTGTGAAAGATCAGAAAAAGGCACACGAAGCCAAAAAAAGACAAACAAACGATGACACTCACATGTGTCTCTGAGCCTGGATGATGGCGTTGACATCCTCGGAGTTGACCATGCTCAGCATCCTGTTACAGAAGACGCCGGATGCTGTTGGCTCCACCATGATGAAGATCAAGACGGAAGAGAAGCTGCACATAAAAACCTTTATTTAGAAATGTAGTGGGTTGCAGTAATATGATATAACACACGAAGAAAAGCTTAACACATTCAGTAACTTAAACACACGTATCGTCTTCTGCAGGGGGCTGTCAGCTCCCACTGTTAACGAGAGCTGACGAGCGAAGCAACACAAATTCATATTAGTTACCTCAGTTGTTTATGGTGGATGTCTGCGTCGACCTCCTGCTGCCTGGATGTGAGTTTAAAACGACATCTGCAGCCTAAATGCGCCTCTGACAGCTGGCTGTAAAATAAAAACAAAGCATGTCCGTGTTTCTGTTCTACTTCCTGTCATATGACCACCACTTCCGTTTTTTTGTTTTTGTTTTTTTACGTTTCTTCCTTTTTATTTTCTTTATTTAAAAACTGCGCAACTCACAAGTCTATTAAAGTAATCTACTTGTATCGTTTGTTGTTTTTAGATGCTTAATTATGTCGTTACAATAACGACAAAAGTGTGTTACATTTCAAAACAATACATGAATAAAATATAAAATAGTAGTAAAAAAAAAGTTATTTGTTAATGTTAATAAATATGTTAATACTTTTTAAACCCAGGAAATTAAAACAACTGCATACTATTAGAATGTGAAACAAAAAAATAAATACTATTATACTATACTATACTATATTTACTTTATTTAATAGATTTTACGGCTTCATCCAAAAACCATGTGTCTGAGTTCTCGACAGCCTTGTTCCCACTGGGACTTCTCAAATGTCATATGTTCAAAATGTTGTTTTTTCAAGGGTTTTCATTCTATCCTTGTTTCAAGTTTACATAAAACACACAAGTAATATTTCTTACGGATGCTGTCAAATGCAAAGGAATAGTGCAACGCCAAAAGTTTATATTTCTTTGTGTTTTAATCTTAAGCAAAGTGATTATAGTGTAATAACTATAGTAAAGTAAGAAGGGTGAGGTACATGTGAGCACAATTCGCAGTGCATTGTCTCTGAAATGTTGTAAATTCACTTTTACCTTATAAGTATATTCCCTTATAATACTTACAGTATATATGTCACAGGCATGAGTGTTTTTGATGAAATTAAGTTCATTAATTTCAAATCCAACATTATTATTATTAACTGAATTTAGTTCATCTTTACCCACCTTATATCAATAAAGTCACTGACTCCATGCTTCCAGAAAAACTCACAAAATTACTTTTATTAAGGGACATGTAAAAAAAGTACATGATGTATAAAAAATACAAAACCGCTTTGTCTAACTTGTAAGCTAAGTAAATGCATAGCAACAGTACATGCAAGTCTAGAGTTAGGTATCCTACTGTTCTGTAACGTTTTTTAAGCTACAGGCTAAAAGGGCAAAAAGCACAGTTTGGTTGCAATCTATCATTCGTTTCAGTCTACATGATACAGATCCAAAGTGATGATACAGAATAAGTTAGGTTGCACGCAACTCAACTGATGAGTAAATAAATATTTAACGTTTCACAAATATTGACATCCAGTAATTCAACGCAGTGTTAAACAAAGCCTGCGTGAGAATTACATCGATTTCTGATGTACAAAACCATACTACGTATAAGCTTAAAGATGAAAAAAAATTCATAGTATTACACTTCTAAGCAGGGATGCAGTGATACAAATAAATATGAAATAAATAAATAATGAAACCCGAGAGCCACGTGGCTCACCCAGCCCCTATGTACAAAACACACCCTCTGCTCCCAACTACAACATCACATGTATGAAATTTCATATTAGTGTTCTTTTTAAAATACCATAAACATACATACAAATGACCTCGGACAAGCACAAGTGTCCATAGAAAACCTGCATTGATTTGACATTGGGTGAATTTCAATGTGCTTTGGCTTTAATTTGATAAATAAAGTAATATTAGGTTATATATATCACAACACATTTGTGGTATATAAGAGGCAATGGCATAGAATTTCAGTTTGTATAAAGTATTTTACCATACACTGACCCGGGAATGACGGAAATCACTGATACTGATATTGCTGAATGACTATAGACCGATTGTGTGTTTTGCTGTTGTATTTGTGTGGTATTATTATGCAAAGACACTTTTGTTTTTCCTTTTTCTGTTTTTTCTTTTTTTTTACATATAAAAATAAGTTAAAACTTCAGAAAAATGGATCCAAAAAATAAAAGTAAGATTTACAGTTTATATAAGGCCATGCAATTTTAGTAGACTCATGCATCAGATCATTAGGTCTTTTGAATGAGTGGGCTTGCCATTCATGCAAAAAATGCACTATGTGTTGCTGAGGCCACAATAAATATAGCTACTGTCCCTTTTTTGTTCCTTAATACCAATCCAGAATTAACACTAGTGCTGTCTGTAACACATAATTAAGGCTGGTGTATTTGCTGTTGAAGCTGTGAATAGGCCTTATTTAAATGGGACCCACATACGTATTTGCACACAGAGACACTAATCCAGTCTACAAACACAAACTCTTTGATAGGAGTGGATGTCAATGTGAATAGACACAAACACAAGGGATACTGTACAGGTCTGTGCTCTGTCAATGTAAAGTGTCATTCATTCCAAAACGAGATATCCACCATTTAAAAAGAAAAAAGAAAAGAAGAGCTGTCTACTTCCTAATGAACAAAGCAAAATGAATCTCAGTATATTAGTCTTCTTAACATACAGTATATGCTCATACAATATCCGCATTGAGAATGAGTTGAATCTGCTGAAAAATGTTGAGTAATGAATTTCAAGTAGCACCTTCTGTTTTTGTTTTGTTTCTGTAAGTAAGTGGATCTATTGCGTTTTGGAATAAAATCTTGTAAAATGTACCAGCAAACTAGAGCTCCAGCATTTCATCTAAAGTCCATCAAAAAACACCACAGATGATGGTCCATCGTCAGGATGGTAAGAATATTAAATACAAAAAAAAAAGAGACAAAGTGGAAATACAACAATCCTTAAGTTACCGTTTAAAAATAACAAAACGAACCTCCAACATTATTACGGAGAAGACCGAAGGATTTACAGCTGCTTTATGATTGAAGGCAATCTGAGGCAACTTCTTTCTGTAAGTGCTTGAGAGAGAGAAAACAAAAAAACAACCAAAACAACAGCACCCCAAGATTTCTTCAGAGATGTGTGCAATGTGTTTGACTTCACCACCCTTCCTCCACCGTAGGCGTTGTCACGGTAACGCATAGCTGAGCAGGCTCCGCGTTTTCCTCACACGTCGGCGTCTCCTTCACTTCCTCTTCCGTCTGGGATTTCTGCCCGCCGACACCCACGCCCACGCCCACCTGGCTCTCCTCTACTTCCACCTCCTCCTCCTCGTCTTCCTCATCCTCCTCCTCTTCCTCCTCCTCCTCCTGTCGCTGCTGCTGCTGCTGCCGTTGTTTGTTGCGGCAGCACGGTTTGAACAAATGGGGGTCGATGAGCACCTCCCCGAAGCGTCCCTTGTAGATTATTCCACAGCACACCTTCTGCCTGGACAAAACACGACACAGTGCATCTGTTCAACTGTGTGAAGTGACACCAAAACTAAAGCCTGTGTTTGTGTTTGACATACTTAAGACCCTTTATAGTACTGCAACAAATATCTAAAGTTAGTGAATTCTGTCCAGTACACACTTGGTACAGAGGAGAATGAAGTCATTGTGAGTTAAAAGTGCCTGAAATATAATTATTGAATTATTTAAATCTTACAAAAGAAGATATAATGTTTGATGTGGAGCAGAGTTATTATAGTTTTGTATTTTTCTTAGTTTTTTAACTTTTTTGTTTTCAGTTCCAGTTTCAGTGAGTTTCCAGAGTGGAATTTAGTTTGTATTGTTTAAAAATGTTATATTTGAGTTTTTACTAGTTTCATTGTTAATTTCAGTTTTTCATTTATTATAATACAGACAGGTTTAAGATGTTCAGAATAGGTATTACCAAACAAACACATTGACTCACAGTACACAATCTCAGTGAAGAAATGCACCAACGCCTCCTCATGCTTGTTGTGTTGCCAAATTTGACCAAACTGACAAACACTGAAGACATTTCCTGAATATTTTTATTTTAGTTAGTTTTACATAATATTGTTTCTGTTCATTTAGTCTACTAACACCTTGTTTTAGTTTTAGTTAACTATAATAACCTTGCGGTGGAGAATTATATCTCTCAAGAGAGTTTTATGTCTCTGCAAGCTTTTTATCCTAAAGATGAATGAAAATCATTGGCTGTCAGGAAGCAGTAAGGCAGCGTAAATGTGATTTTTACTTAAAAAAAACAGAAACAAAACTTAAATAAAGCCCTTCTTCTGAATTAGACGAGCAGTCCATATTACTTTTAGTAGCTTCAGACCCAGAGCATAAAGATGTCACACTCCTAGTTCGTCTTAAATTGCTACCGCATTGTGATTTATATTTAAACATCAACTAGTTGTACAAATGTAATTTAACGTTGCCACCATCTTTATTCAACCGGTGTGACAGACATCAAATTACACAGGTGTCTTCAATTATCCTACCTGATTAAATGGAAACACTGTGTGAGTAAGAAACTGTCCACTTGCCTTTACATTTTGAGCAACTATGATAATAAAGAGCTTTCTGTTTCCCTGTAATAAGGTCATATGAACTTAGTGTCAAAAACAAGATGCAATGTGCTGCTGTGAAACCTAAATAATGAGTCAGCAGATTAAAAAGGTTTTACCTCTTCCAGTATGTTAGGTCCAGAAATGAGAAAACCGGGGAGCGGCTGGATCCCGGACTGAGCTCTGTGTCTGAGCCGTCGTCTGACAGGTTGCTGTAGCTCGGAGACTGAGCAGGAGAGGCGCTGGAGGTGGTGCTGTGGGCATCTGAATCTGGTGGGCAGGACAAAAACCAATGCAGGGATGATTAGGTGTGAGACATGTGGTAATGTATGACAAAAAATAATGAATAAATTAGTGAATTTCATCAACTCACTGTTTCTTTTCAGCTCTTTCTGCAGCCTGCTGATCTGACTCGGTCGCGCTTTCTTGGAGATGGACTTTATCTTCTTGGGCCTGGAAGTTATCTTTAGGCTGGGACCTCCTCTGGCATCCACAACCTGTATGGAAGAGATTAGATGAGTTTGCATAATTCATGACAAAGTAATATCTGGACCATAACATCAGCACTTTGATCCAGACTCACATGGTTCCAGTTCTTCTTGGTTCCCACCGGTAGCTTTTTCCATCGTTTCACCAGGAGCACACAGGCGTTACAGATTTCTCCAGATCGCGTTTCACTCAGTCTGCAAGACAATTACAGTTTGTGAAGAAATGCCAGAGAAAAAAAATGTCCCCCCCCCTCTCTCTCTCCATACCCCCACGTGTTCTGCTGTGTCTCTTACCCAAAACAGCTCCTGAAGTCTTTCTCATACCGCTTGCTGTCCGTGAAACGAGAGCTTGAAGACTTTGCCCGGCAGATGCAGCAGCCGTCCAAACTCCTGTACATTTTTGGCTTATGAAAGCCAAACATCTGTGTGCAAAGAAAAACACAAAACATATAAGTATAAACATCTCAAGCTCTCAGCAGTGTGCGCACAGTGTATTAACTGCGGCACCTCCCTAAAGCCGCACATTTCTGGCTCAGATCAGATATTTAATTTGTACCATTTCAGTGTAGTTTAATGTGAATTAATTAGAAAAAGACATTGGTGGTGTTTTGCGCACTCTAAAAACATCCAGGGAAAGCGATTTTGTTGGGAGCATCTCTCCGCTTTGACCCACATGGCGAGGGGGGGGAAGTAGGTCAACAGTCAGACAGCGTGTCAGACAGATCATGTCACCATGCTGCGCTCACAGGATGCACGCTTCATTTTGGAAACTCAAAATATAAGCACGCACATATCCCGATCCTGCAGGCTGCAGAGGGACACCTCAAACACAAACTACACGAGATAAGGACGCACTGCCAGAGAAATGCAAAATGTATTTATAAATATATATCAAATGTGTCCGGGGGAAATTACTCGAAATGCACTGAGCGCCCCGATTATGCACAGGAATTATGATTTATGTTGCTAGGCAAAAATTTTATCTCCACAGCACATGTAGACCTGAACTGCGGCAAAACTGCGAGCCGCGCCCCCCAGACTGGATTTTTTTTTTCTTGCCATCAGTCCTCGGGGTCTTCTGACAGTGCGGTGCCACAGAGAGCAGACAGAGAGCTGCAGAAAGGAGAGAGCTCTCACTCCGCTGGTTTTATACCGAATTCAGACTGGGGCAATGTGGGTGGAAACATGAGAACCAGAACAAGGTCTCCTGATGGCTGAAGATATCAGTATGTGTGGAAGAAACTATGATAAGATGAGAATGGGAAAGTGTGTAAGTGTAAAGTTAAAATAAGACTCGTTCTCAAGGTCTGGGGCCTCAAGTATATTAATGAGAGTAAGTTTTCAGATATTCCAAACTAATAAATTAATTCTGGAGGGGTAAAGTGAGGTTTTTTCTTTTGTTTTAAAGATGTAGACGTACAACATTAATGTGCTGCTGAACATCATTAGTATGTGTTTCTGTTGTTTTTAAGTTTGCTTGTTTTCCTACTGAAAATACATGTTTTTGTCCCTTTTATGGCACATTATAAAAGGTTTTTGTAGGCTATCTGTCATTGAAACAAGTGTTTGTATATTGGGTCAAAAATCCCAATAAAACAAAGGTCAGTCTGTAAAATATGAAACATAAGCCCAGACCTGCATAGTATAGCAGCCACATTTCAATGTCAGAGCTTTAATGTATAGTTTAATGTGGCAGGAAGTTTAACCTGCAAATAAACTTGCAAATAAAGCCTTAAATTATAACTTTATTTAACCAGAAAAAGCTCTAGTCCTATACCGTAGCGGCAAATTTAGGTCACAAATCATCACAAGCGTCTAATTAAATAGATACAATATGAAGGTATAATAAACAATAATAAGAACTTAGTGAATAGAAAGGTATTAAAATGATAAAATAAAGCAATACATACCATCATTTTAAATTAAATATTCTGAGCATGTTACAATGTCAATCACATATTTACATTATTACATTATTTTCCCGCAGTTTCTTTTAAAACATAAAACATAAATACTACAATATTAAATGAACCTATACTGTATCTACTGTATCTACTCTGTCATATCCACCTACCATGTACAGATACCTGCACCTAATATATATTTTTCAGCATCCTTTGCACTCTGCACCATTACACTACTGTCTACAAATGATTGTTTATAGATATGTATAACAGCACATTTAAGTCTTTTTTGGTGTTTTTTGTTGCACATTGAGATTCGTTATATATGCCCTCACATACCTGGCCAATAAAAAGTGATTCTGGGTCTGATTCTGACCGGATGAGTGTCTCATCTGTGAACCGACAGACGATCTCTTCAGCAGAATACAGTACGTGACGCAACGCAACATGGCAGCACACTTCAAAGGCGGAGGCAGTGTGTGGAGAAGGGGGTGTGATGCGATTTTCCGCAACAAAAAAATAAAACCCCTGTAATAATAAAAGTAAACTGTAAAAATCCGACCGAAAGCAGTCGGTACGCGTCCGAATAACGCCCCGGGTTTTTAAAATAAAAGAAGACACCGAGAAATCCACTTGTTTTTATCGAGAGAAAAGTGCAAGTCGCCTAATTTCACCGCCCACTCCAGCGCGAGGAAAGCATGGCATGCCACACGACCTGCTTCATGCGCACCCATTTTATGATGAACGCCCTCTGCTCGACGATGCCTTCGACTTTATCCCACACCAACTAACACAAAACACGTCTTCCGAAAGCAAAAAAAACCCCTCCTGTTTTTTTGTTTTAACCCCGAATAGGAGCCGCTTTCAGATAATAGTGTAATTTGATCTTTACTCTTTGTTATTGCACAGCCGCGTCACTGCAACAGTCCTCCTCACAACTACATGTGCACCAAGTTCAAAGCGGCGGCTGCTTTAAAGTCGGTGTTTTATTATAATATATGTGTGCGTGTGTCGCGTTTTAATACGGATACATTTTGTTTGTGAGTCTCGTGAGGGTGCACACTTTTTTTTGTGTTTGGCTGTTTTTGTTGACAGCAAGCGGCCGCGTGCTGAGACGCATCTGTGTGTCCGGGTGGGCGTGAGAGATTCAACTTGGGCTTATTTAGCGAAGCGTAAATGTGTAGTAGACTGCAGGCGCACTGCAGCCTCGATGTCGGCTTTAATACTGTGCACAAGAGTTATGTTTATAACCGACTTTAGGTCACATTTGTGGAGCGATATCCCCTCCACCACCACCACCACCACCACCACCGACACACCCCCAGCAGTCAAATGCACGGAAACAAACAATAATAACAGCCACCCATTGCTCATTATGGGTGCGCGTTAAAGCCTATTCTTTTAATTATCTGTCGCCTTTTTTAACACTTTTTAACCCGCTAACTTTAACTGTTTATAAGGTGACCTACACGTCAAGTTGACCACCCAGTCGGTGTTGTAGCAGGCCTTAAAAAAAAAAAAAAAAAAAAAGAGCAATTGTTCTGAGACAACTCGAAGCTTGTTTTTTTTTAAATTACACATCTCAAAAGCACCGCTAAGACTTTAAACCCCCTCCTTAAAACCCCCAGAAGACCCGACAAAACACATAAAACCGGCTGCATTAATTACCTTATTGCAAGTTGCGTGAAGCTGATACAAAGTAATAGTCCTTATAGCGCCTCGTTACGATGTGAGTATTATGAAAATCAACCCGCATCAGTAAAAAAAAACCCCGCTCCCCTTGTTGATGTCTGCGCCTGTGGACGGGACTGGATAGTTGTGGACACAGTGCGCATGCGTCGTATCCACACCTCCATTTCAGAGTAGGGGCAAGAAGGCTTTTTTCTTTTTCTTCAATCAAAGCATTTACATAAACGACGTGTGACGTGTCCGTGCGTCTGCATGCTACTGGCCTTATAAGGATGGGAACATTGCGCGGGAACAGGGGGCTCGGCCCCGGTTGCTATGGCACATTGGAGAGTGTAAGCAAAGGGGCGGGGCCTGACGTTTTTTACTACAGGACGCCAGATGGCTCGTCTGGAGGCCTACAGGGGTTTTATTTTGTAGGAGGAGGGGAGTGGGGGGTTGCTGGTCGTCTAGCACGGAAGATGCGCTTTGTTGATTTCAGTTGCGTGACAACTGAACCAGATTAGTGGTTAAATAAAAGGTGGGGAAACATGGCCTCCATCCAGTGGCCAGCTTTGGAGGGACAGCCGATTTATTTATTATTTTATTTTTTTAAGACAGTAGTGAAGCAGTGAGCTGCAGTCACAACACTTTTATAGCATGTATAGACTGATGTCTGTGCTGCTATGTCAGGGTTTAAATTTGGGAAAGCTTAATTTAAATTAAAAGGGGATAACCTGAGTTACATGGCTATTACAGAGCCTTAAATATCACCTTAAAATGCATTAGGTTCTCTACCCCGAACACAAACATCATAAGATGAGATGTTCCTTTATTGATCCCACGTACAATAAGAATAGCAAAATTAGAATATTATAAAAAATAAACAGAAAATATAAGACTATAATGAAAAATATATACACTATATGCAATATGCACTAAAATGGTTTGCAAAAATATTGTGAGCAGCTTTTGACTAAAAACTAAACTGTACATGTGCAATTTAAGATTAATAGTTAAGTCTTAATACAAAATCAGCCTCTTGAGCTTCAAAAAAGTACATTTTTACTCCACAGTTATTTAAATGAATTGCATTACACTGCAGACTTTGTATTCCTTGTATGTTCTCATGTGTTGGGAACTGTTGGGTCTCTTAATAATTTTATAGGGAATATAATTTATTTGGAAAGTCCTGAGATAACTTCTGTTATGAAATTGGCAAATAAATACAAATAAAATTGAATTGAAATAGAACGTGGTATAGTGACTGTGGTACTGTCAGTCTTCTGTCAGAGGGCACAGCCAACAGTGTACATAGAGCTACGGTACTCAGTTAAATTTGCATTTGGCAAACAAAAGTAAAATCCAAACCAAAATTAGATGCAGTTAAGAGCGTACAGTCGACGTATTTGCAACTGAAAATAATTTTACTATGCAGGAATCTTTTCACATCTTTTCCGTGTGAGTGAACAGCACAAAAACAACAACAAGAACACATCAGTTATGTCAATATTAACTTTAATCTTTTGACAACACATTTCATAAATAACAATTCATTATTGCTTTTCTCTAATTTGTATTTAAATGATAATAGAGGCTCGGTCATCGTGGGTTACATAGTGCTTGCAGGACAGTGCAGGAGACGGCATTTTCATAATAACTGTTAAATTAAATGGGACATCAACATAATACCTAGCGTTCATAAAGAACCTGTGCTCTATTCATTGTCTGAAGACAGATGAACAGCTTAGAAACAAACAGCCTGACTATCATCCACATAATCAGTAAAGTGTGTCCATAGTTTAACTCTATTGTTTCACACACACACACACACACACACACACACACACACACACACACACACACACACACACACACACACACACACACACACACACACACACACACACACACACACACACACACACACACACACACACAAAAGATGCCTTTATACATAAAAAATATGTCACAAATTCATTACACCATAATAACAAATGGGCACAATTCTATCAAATATCTAATGAAGCAAAAATATTTACAACAAAAGAGGGAGGAGGGGGAACCAAAAAAAAAAAGGTTTCTGACAAAGTGACGAAGACTATTTGAACTGACACAATTAGGACACACCAGTTTGGTTTTCAATGTTTCCCAACTGAAGACTCACGAGCTTGACTCTGCAGCGTGTGACCCCGAATCGAAATAAACAAAGGGAAACAGGCAAGAAATAACAAGAGCATAATAATATAACATTTTGTATTATAGAGTATATTTACCAAGATATCCAATGAATTAAAAAAAAAAAAAAAAAGAAGTTTATATATAATAAAGCCTGAGTCCTGGTATTTCAGATCACAACACACTGAAGACGTACAACAAACCAAACAGATTTTGGCCATGCATGTGCTTAGTTTAAAAGTCAAGTGCAAGCAATACAGCAGTTGTAGGAGGGTTATAGTCGTCCCCTAGGATCGGGTACAGTAAATGACTTGGAGCTGTGAAAATATCTACTGTAAATGTGGGATTATGAATGACTCTCTATTTCTCCTTGGGGAAACAGAATTTCACAGTGTAAACAAGCATAGGAAAAAATCGGACTATTTCCTGAAGCAAATACAGTATATAAGACATTTACATCAGTGAACAAGGCATTATGTTTGGAGCTGGAGTTGCCAGTGACTTTCATCTGAGTCCACTGTCCTGTTTTTTATGATAAAGTCACATTTCTCAAGTGTCCTGTTTCCCGCAGATGAAAAGATGAACATATGAACCCATCAGCATTCCTGCAGTGGGTTACTAAAAGCTTCTGTGATCCCCTGGCAGGGTCAGAGGTCAACTCCTTTCACCAGTGCAGTCTCCAGGGTGACTGTGAAATCATTGAGCGTGTGTAGGATGCGGGAGAGAGAGTGCACGGCGGCACGGTCCCGCAGGAGAGCGCCTTCCTCGTAAGTCCGTGCTGTCAGGGGACAGTCGGCCAGCACGGGGAGCCACTGAGAGAGAAGCCGGTCCCTGCCAAGAGGAACACGATCAGTGGTCAATAATAGTCCAATAAAGGTCCAATAAATGCCTAATGAAGTTTAGTATCAGGCTCAGGTTACTTTATTTGTACTTCGTTTGATTAAGACAAAATATAAACAACTCAGATGATATCGTGATGCAAGAGGATGCAAGATAAAATCTAAAATAAAAGTGTTCCCGGCTCTAATAATCATGATTTACAAAGAGAGAGCAATAAAATAACAGTAAAATAAATAACTACTAGAATAAATAAAATTAAAATGCAGGTAAAAAAAAGAAAAACTCTCACTGCCAGTCACTGTTTTTAATTCAGGTTAATTTTCCAGGTTAAACAAGTATTATTAATAATAATAACACATTTTATTTATAGAGCGCTTTTCTAGGAACTCAAAGACACTTCACATAAGTAAAAAAAATATATATATCTACAACACTCAACAATGAATCGAACATTAAAAGCAGTTTGAGTTTTGATTGATTGATAGAACTGGTGCCATTTCTACTAACTTTCTCTTAGTCTTTCTTATATTTATTTATTACTTAACTTTTTCTCATTCTGTAGAAACTGTTTCAGAGTTTATTAACCTGAATGTTCAGATCATTCAATGTCTGAATGTCCAAAATACAAGAACTAATATCTCTGAGTGATAAAGTTACAGTCATTGGACACAGCTGTTTTCATTAATTGACAGTTCATAAAGAGACAACTTGTGACTATAACCACTGCTACTACACAGAGACCCAACTACTGTCTTATCACAATGTTTGTCTAAATAATTATACTGTCTACATAAGGTATAATAAATTAGAAATAACTAATTAAGCTTGCTTTGAAATGTCAGTAAACTATACAACTTTAATTTATCTTTATTGGTTCTATTGGCGCACAGATGAGAGAAATAAGGATGTTGTAGCAAGAATGTCAGCCGGTGTCACAGTTATCTGAATGAAACTCTATTTTTAAACAAGAAATTAATTGAAACTACATTTCTAAATGTGTATTTTAGTTGCTAGACAGAGACAGACACAGTTGACAGAGAGAGCTTTTTCCTACATCTCATGTCTAACTATATGTAAATGATTCATTGTAATGTGAGTGTAGCTAGAGAACTACTTCCTCAAGGCCTCAGTAAAGGAAACTATATCCCCTCTGTCCAACACAATATAGCGAACAGGAAGCTTTCTCCAGCAGGGAGAATAAGTCTCCCTATTTCTGGTTTACATATGGATCATAAATCTATGTCTTAGACTTATTACACCCAATTATATCATGCTATTGTGGGATTATAATTTTGTCTCTCTGAGGAGTTAGAGACAGAGAGAGCGCTCGCAGCTGCTGTGGGCTCCCCTGATTGCCATGACAACCAAAGCCTGCTCACACACACACACACACACACACACACACACACAGCTAGCTACAGAGAATGACAAGACATTAATAAGCTAGCGCTAGCTGGCTAGCTAAAGATAATTAGCAGGTGGCTAACAAACAAACAATTTAAAGCTGAATGATTTTAATATTAACACAAAATAAGAACAATACACCTTAAATATTTTACCCTACTATGAGCTGTTCCTTAATTTACATTAGCACTCCTTCAGGAGCATAATACAATTAAACACATTAACCAAAGCTAGCACTTAGCTAGCGATTAGCGGTTAGCACTTAGCTAGCGATTAGCGCACAGCTTAGCGATTAGCGGTTAAATAGCGGTTAGCACATAGACATGGTATTAACATATGGGCCAGAGCAAGGCACAATCAAAATTGCTTTAGGAATTTTCTAGTTGGTTCTATTGGCGCACAGATGAGAGAAATAAGGATGTTGTAGCAAGAATGTCAGCCGGTGTCACAGTTATCTGAATGAAACTCTATTTTTAAACAAGAAATTAATTGAAACTACATTTCTAAATGTGTATTTTAGTTGCTAGACAGAGACAGACACAGTTGACAGAGAGAGCTTTTTCCTACATCTCATGTCTAACTATATGTAAATGATTCATTGTGAGAGTGTAGCTGAGAACTACTTCCTCAAGGCCTCAGTAAGGAAACTATATCCCCTCTGTCCAACACAATATAGCGAACAGGAAGCTTTCTCCAGCAGGGAGAATAAGTCTCCCTATTTCTGGTTTACATATGGATCATAAATCTATGTCTTAGACTTATTACACCCAATTATACATCTATTGTGGGATTATAATTCCTTTTGTATATATAATAACATTTACATCTTTCTTCTCTTTCCTATTACACACCCTGCCATATTGGGAGGGAGGGGAGTCTCTTTAATTTTTTGAATTTAAAGATGTTTGGGAGGAGTTTTTCCTTGATGTTTTCTTTGGATTAATCTTTGAGTCTTTTTTTAAAATGATAAACACTCACCTAATTCCCAGGCAGACGAACAGCTGGAACTTGCCCTCCTTTCCAATGTTTCGCGGCGAGGCATTGATGGCGTTGACATAGTGGCACAGCGAGTCGCAGGGCAGACCCTTTGTGAGTGTTGATCCATGCAGGTCACCCATCTGATCAGCTGTGTCCATGGAAACCGCTGCTTTCTCTACGGGGAAGAGTTGGTCACACTGTCAGTTCATAACAAATTACTGACAATCGGGGAAAAATAAGGATGTGGAAGACAAAGACTGGAGATAGAGGGAGAAAAAACACGTGCTTTGTTGCATGCAATTCGATATGTGACATTCATATTCACCGCCACCAGATGGAGATAGAAAAACAGACATCAGCGAGAGAGTAAAACGTCACTTTAAAAATGAACTCACATGCTCACATTACTTACCCACAAAGTCCCAAACAAACACGTTCCTCTGGAAAAGACGGTTCGATTTAAACCCATGCAAGAGGAACTTCTCCAAAGAAAGCACCAGGCCTCCTTCACCGCACAACAACACTGTCAAGTTTCCCCTCTGGGATGAGAGAGAAAGGGAGAACTGAGTTAATTAGAGGCACTGTAAGTATGAGAGGCTCATCTTTCAACTTCAGTAAATCCTCTCTTATGAGCGATAGAAGGCGCTGCAATTTTCCCAAATCCTTTAGCAGCAGAGAACAATTTGTTTGTTTTTTTAATCTAAAAAGGATCTTCTTTCATTTACTAAGAGGAAGTAAACAGAACAGAGCAAATTCTTGTGCACTGAAGATGTTATTACAATGAACTGCAGGCCCATTACAGACAGACTAAAGTCATCCATCAAGTCTCCTCAGCGCTTTTAACTTGCATGAGATAAGAGAGCCTAGTCTGATACACCGATGAGACAAATGAGGCTCAGGATGGAAACAAAAATGTATTAACCATTTTCTCCATTTCCACTTAGTGAGCCAACAGGTTAAAATAATGTTCAGGAGCTGAGTTGGTGGGACAACACTCACTATTACAGTCACATACCTCTTGTTCGGGTTTGTGGAAGTGTTTCACAAGGTTATTCGCCGCCTCCCTCATGTCCTCTTGCACTTCAACAGACAGCATTCCTGACAAGATAAATCAAGTTAAAAATAGGAGCATGGGGATGAATGATGACAAACATGAGGAGAAGTGGACAGGGGGCTGAGGAGAGAAAGGCGATACGGAGAGCAGGATCTGTTATTGTAGTGAGCATACAAACAAGTAGGTCAGCTATTGAACTAAAGAATGTGTTCTTTGTCAGCACGTACTGCTTCGGCTGCCAAGCGATCCCAGGACTGCCCGCACACTCTGGGAAGGAGAGGCCAGCTCCGGTGGCGTCCCTGTCCACCTTCCAGCATCCTCCTCCCCACCAGGTGACACCAGCTGACCAATGAGAACTCTTTCCAGGCTGCCATCGCCCACACCTTTCCCCAGCCATCGGCCGCATGGGAACCTAAGGGGAAAGAAGACAAGTGTTTCATTATATTAAAAAAGTGATTTACAAAGACACGGCGTAGGTTTGGGCCATCTGTTTCAATCAGCTAGTGTCGTGTGTTTATTTTTCTAAATAACTCGAACAGTGAGTCCATTAACTACAAATCACATATTGTTTACATCAGCAGTTCCCAATCTTTTTAAATGACCCCTTTTCTATCATTGAGCAAACTGACAACCCGTATTTTATGGATATTTCATATTATATTCAATGCAATAACAGTAACAGGACAGAACAACTGATAAACTGCAGGAGGTTTGTGTAAAATGAGCGAGCGATTTGAATTAAGTTTTAGCAGATTATATCCTGTTAATACTGCATCAGAGATGAGATGTACTGATTTTTTAGGGACTTTTTATATAATTCTCTGTCTGTATTATGCATTTTTCTTATTTTTTAAAACAATAATACATGTTTAATAGGCTTCTTTTTTTTGACAAATTCAGGTTTTTGTTCTTCCTGACCTCCCTTTTTCCATTGTTCTGTTCGCGCTTTGGTTTTGGTTTTGGTTTTGGTTTTAACTTCAAGGTTTATCTTCAAAGTTTAGATCTTAAATAATAATCTAAACTTCATAAATAACAATTTTGTTTAGTTTTCTTCACAGAAACAAATAAAATGCTGAGATATCTTTCAAGTTTTCTTACACCCCTTAAAATCAAGAAGGCCTTGCGACCCCCAGGTTGGGAACCACTTGTTTATGTATTTTCCAAGGCAATACATAAATCTTTAGACTAATTTGCTCTTTACTAGGCAGCAGCTGTCAGTTCATGACAGTATGGTGTTAAATAACCTTGCAGAGACGTGAAATATGCCCCAAATAGGAAATAAGTATGTCTACACTATGATATTATCATGTGATAAAGCAGCTTTCTCATAGACACATTTAAGGAAGCAAGAGACATCCAATATGTCATCCAATCTTTACCAAACGGGGAGCTGTTAACTACAAACACAGCCACAGTTCTGTGTTTAGAGTAAGTCAGAGTGAGAATCTTACTTGTAGGTGTGTCCAGTGATCTCATTATACACCATCACACAGTCTATCAGACACTTGGCCAGTAAGCCAGAGTTCTCCTGGCCCAGCTGCAGAGTGCTCAGTCTGCCCAGGTTCTTGCACTGAAATTAAAAGCACAACAGTTAAGTACAGTTAAGTGTATGTATACATGCGTGTCTGTCCGACCTGATGATGACCTTACTGCTGAAAAGGGTATACAAACCTGGAAAAAAATCTCTTGCGTGTTCTTCGATATCTGTCTAACTCCTGAATCACCCAGTTCTCCCGACACACACACCCAAGGGTTAACTGTCGCCATTGCAATGCTCAGCTTCTTCATGGGTATGATAACAATACGGTATGGAATATCTGGAGAGACACAAGAGACCGAAAAGCAAAGTTTTATTTATTCATGTAATTTCCTTCGCACTAAAAAATGTCTATTGATTGAGATTTAAAGGATTTATGTGAATCCATAATTATTATTTATTTTATGTAGCGCTTTAAAAGTTACTCAAAGGCACTAAAAATGGTAACAATAATAACAAAAAGACAATCAGCACAGGCAATATGTATAAAAACAGGTAATATAACAGCTATAAACAAAAAAAAAAACAAGTGTATCTATTAAATAGGAGGAAAAAAAGGGGTTGATAGATCACAGATTCAAAGCAGATTTACATGGATGGGTTATGAGTGTGATTTTTAAAAGATGGGAGAAATGTCTGATGTGTCGGTGGAGAGAGTTCCAGAGGGAGGGACCAGGTAAGAGGGGTGAGGAGGTTGGCGTCAGCAGATCTGAGTCTGTCGGTGCAGGAGAATTTTGAACTGGATTCTTTGTTGAATGGGGAGCCAGTGGAGGTTTTGAGGGACTGGGGTGATGTTATCTCTGGTGCGGCAGTGGGTGAGCAAACGATCAGTTTTGGATAATCTGTTCAGGATTTTGGCGGATTTGCCGTTCAGAATGCTGTTGCAGTAGTCGAGTCGTGAGGTGATGAAGGTGAAGGGCAATGTTTTTCAGAGGATTTGTCCAGAAGCAGTGAGCCATCGATGCAGAGGAAGAAATTGTGGCAGGATTTGATGAGGGATTTTGGGCCGATGATCATGATTTCAGATTTGTCACTGTTAAGTTTGAGGAAGTTTGCTTGCATCCATGATGTCTGTGAGGCAGTTTGTGAGGTTGGAGTAAGTGGCAGCATTAATGGATTTGGTGGAGATGTAGAGCTGGGTGTTATCGACAGTGGAAATGTAGTGTATTGTAAGTGGCAGCAGTAATGGAATCCATGGGTGTAATTCAAGTATATGGAGGGGTGGAGATGGGGGTTGTAAAATAACCACAACTCAAAGCAAACCTTTAGTGTCCTTGAAAGCTCTAAAAGCTATAAACCTGACAGTACTTTCTACCATTTTGTTGTTAAAGTTTACAGGACTTACTGATGGAGGTGAAGACGCGTGTGAAGCAGAGGTAGTCCACAGTGTTGAGAGAGAGCAGGTGGAACAAAAACTGCTCCCTTTCTTCCTCACAGAGCAGGAATGCATGTGGTTTATACAGCTGCCTGTCGGGAGACAAGAAAAAAGCAAAGCAGTCAGTAATAATCATGGAATATGTATATTTATATTTGTGTCATTAGGTAAACTATGAGGGGATTCTGACCTGAGCAGCTCCTGGTTTGTAAGAAGCTCTTTCAGGTGTTGGGACAGCATTTTCTTCTCCAGAGCCAGGTGGATCCATGCCCGAGCCTGACCCACCTCAGACAGACCCTCATTCATAGTCTGGATAAACCTGCAAGAACAACAGACAGACTCACATAAGCAGTGAAAAACAAGCTCTAATGTTTTACTATTTGATTTTATATATCTTATCTTTACATCTTTTAGAAAAATCAAACAATGTGGCCAAGAAATATAACCTCTCATGACCCCTCGACAACAGAAACTTCAGACAATATATTGGTTGTTTGAAAATGGAAATGAAGCAGCATTAAAGTATGTTACCTCATATCCTGTATTAAGGATTCTCTCAGGAGCAGAGCGCCATCATCAAATGTTCTCTGATCTGAACCGTTGGACCCTGAACAGACAACAAGTTAAACACCAATGATCATTCGACTCTTAGCTCAGTGATTTACACAAACAAAAAAAATGTCTGTGTTCAGACCTGGAGACTCAGTTGGTGTCTCTGTCTTCCCCTGGGCTGCCTGGTAGTGAAGCAGATGGGACCAAAGAGCAGACTTCCCCTGTTGAGAATAAACACACTTGTCAATATTCAGCATGTGCCTGCTGTCTCCTCTTCGTGTGCATGATGTGAATTGATTACATGAGAAAACACAGTTCCAGATGGGGTTTTTTTTTAGGTCATCTGAGCTTGTAAGGCATGTTAAGTTATGTCTCTGACCTGTTTCAGCTGCAGACCATGGCCCCAGGTTCTCTCCAGTAGGTCACACAGACCGTGGATGAGTGTGTTCTCCTGCAGGCCTGTGATGTTGGCTTCTCCCTGACCCAGTTCCACACTCTCCTTCCCCATCCTCTCCATCAACATCCGTTTGGTCTAAAAGAGCCAGGAAAGATTGTGGCATTAAACTCGAGCGACAATTTAAGAAATTAAAAGACAGCGTTCAGACTCCATTACCACGCAGACAAAGCCCTCACCTTCAGACGACACTCGCTCAGCAGCCCGTCAACGAACTCGCGGTGAGTCTGAGTGATGGCTTGAGGCGATGAGTCAAGCAGCTTAGACTGGCGGAGGTTCTTCCTTGCAAATGTGTGCTTCTGTTAAATAAACAAACGGTAATAAATCAGACACAAGCTTCCTGAGGCCTGTGTGTTTGTGTCTGTGCGTCTGAATAGATGAAAGTACCTGTCTCTGGTCATTGTCCACTCCTGAGTGTTCGGCCACTGTTGATCTCTTGGGGTCGGTCCTGCGTGAAGCTGTAACCCGACTGGACCACCTGTTCACCCAGATAACACAGCAAAATAAAATTCACCATTATAACTGTGTTTTTTTTGTTTTTAAGGAATGTGTGCCTGTGTATTTTGGTAGGTAATAAAATACACCCTGGTAACTAGTGATACACCAATGCATCCTTTATTGTGTGACGTACCCCCACAGCTCTATCAGATGAACTCAAGTATACCTTCGACATGTTTCCAAAATGTGTTTTTATTTTAGTTGACATTATAGCAAATGTAAAGTAACATTATGACTCGGATAAACATGGGAATTAAATCAATATGTTCTATCATACAGTTGAATTGTGAATGTTTATGTCATTTTGGTGAAATTTGTCCATTATTTTTAAAGAGCTAACAAATTCAAATTATTTTTAACAATTTTAACTGTAAACTACTTTTAGCAATTTCAACCCGATTATCAATTACTTTTAGCTAACTATATTATATACTATATTAACCATTTATCTAGTACTTTTAGCTAATTCTTTCAGCTGTTTGTAAATAACTTTTAGCTAACTATTTACTGTGATAATATATTTACATAAGATCAGCATCACCCTCAATGTGTAAACTTATTTGGATGTTTATTTTCCTCCTAAAGTATGTGGCTATATTGCTTTAATCACATTTTTTCCCAATTAGATGAGCTACTCCCTATTGTACCATGTGACGACTGCACAAGTACCCTCGGGCTAAAGTTACAAGTGCACGTGGTTGGGAATCACTGTTCTTCTCTGTTCTCGCTGAATGACGGCAGAAAACAAAGGCTCACTTGTTGGTGTTTTGTCCCTGTGCGAGCACATCAGCCTGCAGCTTGGGGAAGTAGCCCTGCTGGTGACGACCCTGGCCGATCCTCATGTCCAGCAGGTGGGGGTGAATGGCTGTGTGGTCGGCCTTCAGCAGCCTGCGCTCGATGGCCTGAGCTGCAGACACAAACACAGCAATGGTTAATCTCCAACAGGAGTATCTACTGTGGATATATTCAGGTTGTTTAAGTACTAAGTTTGTTTGGTTGCAAGGAAAGTCACAGAAAGTACAAACAATACAAATAGTACCATATATATATAAAGGGATGGAGCAACATCTTTAGTCTAAACAACAATGGTGCAGACACACTGAAACTCAAGCAGATAATTCATTGTAGAGCGGTTGGCAGGACTTTAAAGGAGGGTTTGACATAAAGCTCTGTCCTCCGCTTATACCGTATAATGCTCATCCCCTAAAATATCCTTTCGTTCCCTCTCCAATCCCCTAAATTTACCCTTTTTTCCTCCCTCACATCAGATTATAACCCATCCCCTTTGTGTTTCAGTGATTTATTTGATTTTCATTTCTATTTATAAAATGTTTCCATCAGTTACTCTTTGAATAGTTAAATGTACTGGTACACAAGTCCCCTCAAGCAGAGTTTAGGCAATTTTCAGCACTTATTACAGAGGAGAGAGAAAAATGTGGTTGCAGAAAAGCCAGGCAACATAATCAACATACTGTACAGTATAAACCCAAACACAAGGACAGATGGTGAAAGATTTGCAGACTCCCACTTTAAAATCTGGCATCCACTTCAATCACATCATTCTGCTTAATCTACCAACTGGGGCTTCAGTCTACTTCCTGTCTATCTATATCCTGAAAATAAACTGGGGAAACATCCTGATGTTGCTCTTGTTTTGTTGTAGGGTGTCATTAAAATGTGCAGCGTCTTTAAATGACTATATGTAATAATTTAAGTTACTATTAAGTGCTTTTAATTGTGTACATGTCATTGTCTGTTTCCAGAAGCTGTAAACTTAACTAATCAGTCATGTCTACACCTGCACATCACTGTCAAATTTACATGAAAACATATGAAAATGTAGTTATATTAAGAATTTCTTGGTCAGAAAACAACATTGATTTGTATGTATTAAAGGTAAAATTGAAGCTGGATTTCTGTTTTTGTTGCATATTTTGCCTTCCTGGTCTTGACTTATTTTCCAACAACATGGCACTTTATTCCATCCTCTTTTGTTAAAGAGCACCTCCACAGTACCTGACTCAAAGAGTGAGGTGCACTTCCTGTAGCGGCAGGGGGTACGGGAGTCCTCTTCGTCTGTGTCATATAGTCGATCTCTCTCCAGACGGCTGTCAAACAGCTGCTGCAGTGGCTCTCTATCCGCCCAGCGAGATATGACCTTCCCGTCCACAAAAGAAGAAAACATGGAAGTCTCCAGGAACCGGGACAAGAAGTGCAAGTGGGTCGCAGGCTGAACCGAGAGGAAGGAACCCTGAAACATTGAAAAGCACAAACGCTTTTAACATAAACAGAGTTATAATGTTTCTATCACAGAAGCACAGAGACGCAATCCTAACATACATTGAAATGTTTGGCATGAATACAGTAGTTTTGGATCTATCTATTGATCTTTGTGTATTGATCTACTGAAGTACCTTGTCAAAGCTGAATGTCCCCTCTCGGTTGCTCAACCAGGAGTCCAAATCAAGAGCGCTGTGGATGACAAAGTCCTCATACCTGCCAAACATGGCAGCAAAACGTCCAGCAAACACCTCCCTTAGCTGAATGTTTAGCTTCGCAGCCTTCAGCTCTTCCTCCTCCTCCTCAAAAACGTGGCCCAGCGTCTTCCCTCCATCTGATATTTTTCCTCCTCCGCACCTCCGTGCCAGAGCCTGCAGCCTCTCCAGCACCGCCAACTCCTCGCCTCCGAGGTTCCCGTTCCTTCTGTCCTCCATCAGATCCTCCAGCACCAGGCTGTTCAGGCGAGGGGAGGTGGTTGTGGGCTTAGTGATCGCACCGCCCTGAGGAGGGAGCCCAAAACGCAACAGTACCTCACTCAGTTCCTGGATCAGCTCGATCTGGTCTGGAAACACGGGAAGGTCCTCAGGGGCCTCGACACAGTGGTTGTCAATGTCCACAAAGCACAGGTTGGCCTGTGGAGAGACAGCAAGAGAGTTAAAAATATGAAAGAACAATATTCAACTGGCTCATCCATCAGATAATCATAACAGGTTTAACCAATCACAATGCACAGACTCTTCTGGCTGAGCTTTAACATCCAATTAAGATCAGAGATGAAGATTTACATCCCATTAATAGATTCTTGGCATTTCACCGTGATAAGCCCTCAGAGGATATTAGCATATGAAGGATTATCAAATGATTACTGTTATCACTGGGAAAATTATGGAAATATCAGGCTTTCACACTCGCAAACAAATCAGAAAAAAATCTGTGCCCATGAAGCTGCTGAGAAAAGACAAGCGTGTGAGAGCGATGGCTACTGATTTGAAAGTACTGCTTGTGTAAGCAGTGGTGGAGCACAGTGTAGTCAGCAGCAACGTGACCTTCAATGGTGACCTCAAGCAGTCAGTTTACAGCCTCAGGGGAAGTTGGTAGATGTGCTCTAGAGTGGATGGTTGCAGACATCCTTTTACTCTGTGCAGCTTCATCCTACTAGTTAATGTCTTCACTGTTTAGTATTTTTGTCATCTCTTTATTTAAAATGTCATAAGACCATGTTCTGAAGATTTTCCATGTATATCAATATTAAGAAGGATCACCTTTCTGTGTGTGTGTGTGTGTGTGTGTTTTTAAGCCACTCGAGTAAATAATAAAAAAATATAAAAGAAGAAAAAACTAACCAAAATCATACATGTTTAACCATGGAGCCTAAGCTTTTCTTATTAGGTTGTTATCCAAAAGAACATTAATATAAGAAAATCAGACAATGGCATTATCATGGAAAAATTTACATAGTCCAAGTATTGGTAAATGGCTGAAGGAACTGCTTTTCTTTTTTAAATTAAAATAAATAAGGGTCCATTTAATAATGATCTTAAAACACAGAGACTAACATCAAGGTGGCTGTGGTATTTACTTATACATATTATTTCAATTTTCATATCTGTTTATGTTTCTTGGAAAACGAATAAAGCATTTAAAAAAAAAAAAGAATCACACACGAGTAAAATATTTTCCACTTGCCTGCAAATTACCACCCATACATGAAATGGCACAACTCAAGAGTTAAGTGGTGATCCCTAATTCTCATTAATTATTCAGCGAGTCCCATTATTCGGGATTTCTCATGCTCTGCGTTTTTGCTTTCATCCTCCCCCAAGCTATCTTTCAACTGCCTCCTTTCTGGGGCAGAGTGACTTCAAAGAGGCTTCAGTGAGATATTCATGCAGCATAAAGTGATCTCGGGTGCAGGACTGGATTGGTGAAAGGGAAATGTATCGTCTCAGTTCGACAGGCCGGAGGCAGAGGGTAAGTTGTCACGCATGCAGCACACAGAGGGGATCAGCAAATGGCTGAAAGAACACTTCGATTTAGCAAAACATTTTTAGATCCTTTTGTGTGAATGTTTAACGACATGTCTCCATCCTGAAATTCTGACTGGCATGTTCACACAGGAAACTACAGATGCATTGCTCAGTGCTGTACCTCGTGAGGCAGGTGGAAGGAGGATCGCTGAGCTCCTTCTCGGCGCTGGATACCTATCAGGAACGGCACGGGAGCATCCAGGAGGTGATGTAGTGGAGCAGAAACAATGGGCAGGTAGATGTGTTGCCACTGGAATGGAAATAGCAAAGTGGTGATGCCCTCTGCCACTGTCATCAAGCGCTGATAGTCTGAGGAGATGAGAAAGATGGAGAGACAGATTAGATTAGCATGGACCAAGAACATTCACCTTGAACAGTATTTTAATGAAGCTGTTTACACGAGCTGCTTATAGAACGATTTAATTCATATTCCTGTTTACATGCTGCACAGTGCGGCCCAATTAATGACTGACGATGTTCCATACTCATTAAGTTACAATTTCCCTGTAGTATTAAACATTAAACCCATTTGTCATGCTGTCACTATAGATTACATTGTGGTGTAAATTGTGGAAAAATTTGATATAGATTTAGTTTCAGTTTACATCATGTATTGTACTTGTCTTATCGTTCTGGATTGCTAAATCCTGCAAAATGGATTACGGTGCTCTCTAGTCTATACTCACATCTGCTATCCTACACTGTCTTAAAACTGATTTCCTTTATGTCATTAATAATATCTTCCTCTGATTATGACCTTTTCCGCATTTAGGTAATCTGTACATTTTGGCAATCTCAAATAACTGAGTAGTGTGCTGACCTTGAGAGCAAAGTAGGACTTGCGTCTCCAGAAGTGCACAGGTAAATAGTTGCACCATATTGTCCACACCCAGGAGGGAGAAGGCCTCTCCAAGAGGATACTCCCCCAGTGGAAGCTCACCGGGCCCAGGGCGCTGGCAAATGATGGGTCCCTGCACCCCATGGAACCTCAGCGACCTACCGGGAGGAGGCAGGGGCACCTCGTACAGGATGTTATGGATGTAGCTCTCCAGAGGGAGGGGTGGGGGTGTGTGCGATGTCACAGCCTGGTGCAACTGAGACAGAAACTGTCGGGCAGCTTGAAGGAAGGGGAGCGGCGTGAAGATGCAGAGGGCTTTAGACACGTACAGAGTGTCTCGTGCTGGATCAAAGGAGCCTGCACAGCCGAGGCAGGTGGTCACCCCGGCCAGAGACTCGACGTCTGACTCATCCAAGCTGCTCACAAGTGAGTCCATGCTGGAGGTGGACGGCGAGGAAGCAGACGAAGACGATGAAGAGGGAGAGGAGGCAGAGGAAGCTGAATGATGCTCCACGTGGTGCATCTGGTAGAGAGTATGCATGGCAGTGATGATCTGAGCACTAGTCACCTCCTCGTAGAAGGTGTGGACAAAGCCGTAGGAACGCGTGCCATCGTCAAAAGACATCGTGAACGAGTGAAACTGGGGATCGAGCCGGTCTGCTTGCGTACGGAAGGAAAGACCTCTCGGCATACAGAGCTGAGGAGAAAGTGTGAGGAAGGAAGAGTAAGAGAGGGTTTAGAATAAAGTCGCAAATAAAATGTAAAACTTAAAATACAATAAACTATACTATACAAACTGGGTATGTTTGCTGTATTTATGCTACTGGCACAGGTAGTTGTTTCGGGGTCTAAATACCCAATAAAATTACTAATACCATAAACAAGTACTGTGGTGTCTACTCAGAGGTAGGGAAGGCAAGTAATTAATTTAATTCCACCTGACTGCTAACAATTCTTCAGAGACTCATGCTTTCAACAGCCTGACCTGCTTTTCCAAAGGAGAACAATAAACATGTTCTGTGTACTTGGACAAAAAAAAAAAAAAAAAAGAGTATAACCTATTAGAGGCAGTGAACAAACAAAGCTCCTAATACACCTTTATACCCAGCTGATTTTTGTTATCAGGTTCCTCTTTTGTCATTTGTAACAATAGTCATGTACACTGGTTGGAGGAGCCACAAAACATTTGCCCTACAAACATGCACATCTTGTCCCTCCTTATTGTTTCCATTGTCATGAGAGAGAATGAAGGACACTGAAGAAGGGCGAGTGGAGTGTGAATGTGTGATCCAAGATCTCACCATGTTCACAGCATCTTTATTGAAGGGGTTCCTGTCTGTGCTTTCAGGGTAGTGCACCAGAACCTTTGACTTGAAGGACCGACGAATGGGGCTCTGCTCAAAGGCCTCGCCTGAACAGACAGGAAAAAAAAGGAAAGAGATGTTACAGCAGTATTATATTAGTACAGAGTGATCTTTCACCTTCATCACTGCTGAGACAGAATTCATTACAAGATGAAAGGGACAGTGCAGAGGACATCACACAAAATGACGGCAGCTTTGATTCGTGAAAAAAAGCTCGGTCAGGATGACCTTGTCTGACTCTGCTGGGGGAAAAAAAAAGAAGTTCATCTGTTGTCAACAGCGAGAGCCATTCTGCAGCAAAGAGGGAAAAACCCTTCCAAGGGTTATGTAACTCAACTCATTACCATAGAGATAGACTTGAAAAGCGGTACAACACCCCTCATCCCTGACACTCTGCAGTAGCAAACTCTTTACACTTGTAGGGAGTGCACAGGATAAAAAATAGGATGCTTTTTTATATATCAGGAGCGCTCTAGCTCGGGGGAAAGGAAGAGAGATTTCTATATAACAGCTGAATTTGCACTGCATGCAAGAAAACTCTACAATACACTCCCACATTCCCAATGCACCGATTTTGATGTATCGTCACGTCTGGCTCAAGTTTCTCCTCTCTTCAGTCTCTGCACCTTGTGTCAGCTTCTAGCTCCGGTTACATACAGTCTGTGTGAGCATGAGATGAGGAAGAGGAGCTGCTGAAAAATAGACAGAAACAAACTGTGTGTGTATGATTCAGTGTGTGTAATAGTAGTGAATGAGATACTTTCATTATTCATCTGCTTTCTAAGAGGATGCCCTTGAATAGTCCTCCTCACTGTAATCCACCATGAATTCACAGTCTTCATGTTCAGCTCTAACTGACATCACTAGCGTTGCAAGAACAAAACAACTGCAAATGGCAAACTTAACAGTCTTCTCTCAGCTGCCAGCTTTGACGCACTAGTTCAGCATTCAGGAACATCCACCTCACCTGCCTACGAGATGACGCACGGCACCCCGAGAGAGAGGAAACCGAGCCGCAGGCAGAGCGAGGAAGGAGCACCACTTCAAGTTAAACTGAGTCAGACTGGTAGGTGGGAGACAGAAGCTAATGGATCACAGAGACAAGAGGGGGAGTCAGTGTTCTTTGCCACGGATACAAATTGGTGTCGGCGATGAGAGGCAGAAACGAAAGCCTCGCAGAAAGGACACCTAGTTGCCATGGTAGCAATTTCCGCTGCGGCCTTGAAGATAACCATCAAGACAAAGCTCGTCAACCGTTACGTCACATTCGAGTTTCATCAGCTGACCCAATTAGAACCAACACGGCTCCTGACACAAGTTCCCACCGAAGAGCTTACACCAAAGACTGTATAATTAAAAAGGTTTACACACAGGCCACATTCATGTTCTCATTCTCCGTGTTCACAGAACAGAGTCAAAGGGAGGTTTGCTTTAGTGTTTAAATTAAAGCTTAAATGCCTTTCAGTTGGGCTGTAATTAGCATGTTTCCTCCTCTCCCTACATTAACATACACACAGTAGAAAGTATGTGTGAGCTAATACGGTGCAGAATACTTCATCAGAAAGGACAGAAACTACAGATTATTTTCAAAATCATTTAGTCTGCCAATTGTTTTCTTGACTAATCGACTGTTATTGTCTGTAAAATGCTGTCCTTGTAGGTTTCCTTAAACCAACCTTCAATTTTCTCTCACATAAGACGAACAAAATCCACAAATCTTCACATTTTAGATGCTGAAACTAAATGATGTTTGCTCTGTTTTTAAAAAATTAACAAAATATGTGCTGATTAATTTTCTGTCTAATGGACTTTTTCAGCTCTAATCCTCAGTCCATTAAATTCCTCATCACTGTCACCATAATATCAATACTGTCAATGTTTTTCGTGGAAAAACAACAACAACAACAAAGGGTTTCATATTCATCCCACGGTTTAGACATTCATCACAAAGATTTATGGCCCTGAATGGTCCCCCATCCCCTAAAAACAGGCACACTTAATCAGGGATGATTGAGCAGCCATAAAGGTAGACATCTGTCATATTCGCCAACTAAATTACCCTCAGCTGTCCATCACATCATTACATGAGAAGATGAGGACAGATATAAAAAGTGGAAAGAGATTAAAATGACAGCAAATGTCAGCTGGCACTGACTGATGAGGAGTTGTTCCTTTTTGCCTCGTACAGTTTAAATCACTCCGTCTTTGCATTACAGATTTGTCCGTCCACTGAAGGTGAATCATAAAACAAGGAAAATGACACATTTCTCTTTTAATCTCAGAGACATGGTGCTGGGCTCTTAAAATAAAGGATTAAAGAAAGTGTTGAGTGCCTAAAAATAAAACAAGTCAGACTCAGACAAATGCAAAGAGTATACATCTCAGTTCAACATTATAACGCTGCTCTCAAATGTTCGGTCAGGGAGTTCTTGCCCTCCACTGATGTCATCCCCCCGTGACAGTCATCAGGCCTGAACCGGAGCGCTGAAGCCCCGGCCATTCGGCGTGCCAACAGGCAACGTCATGTGAAATTTGATTAGGCTGCAGAAAATACAGTGGCATCTATTGAGAGGCCAACAAGAGCAGATTGTTTCTCTGTATGCATTCACTAATTACAACAAGAAGAGATACTGTATGACCTCACACAACCAAAAACACTTGGTGTACACAAGTGATTTAACATCTCTTGCTTGACTGCAGCTTATAGAATATGTATGTAAGGAGAAAGAGATCCCTTAAACAGAGCAGAAACCACCTCCCCTGCTGCAGTGGGTCTGTGATGACCTCCTGTTACATAAGGAGATTGGTGGAGCTCAGATATATAATAGCCAGCAGTGTTGTCACTCGCTGCAGGGACACAGCCATCAAAGTCCCCTGATGGTTTAGTTAAAGCACTAAATAATCTGCAGCAGAACAACGTGTTCCAAAATGATACAGAGCTCATCCTAAATATATATATTTATTATTTGAAAGAGGCATGGTTAAGCATGTTTTACATCCATCTACATCGCCTGAGGATGTCTTTATTCATGAGCTACCTTTCTGCTACCAAGAACAGGTATAATACAGGGTGTGACGGCTGCTGGAGCTCCAAAAGAACTCAAAACCTGGAAGTGACGCTCAAGCAAGCACACCTGCATGGTTGTTGTTCCTCACACACACACACACACACACACACACACACGTGCAGACGTCACAGAGGGCTCCAGGATGAATCTGTCCTCACCTGAGCCGAGCCAAGTGTCAACAACTCGGTGTGGTGGAGGAAAAGCAACACCACCTCTATTTTCTATCCACCACAAATAAACCACCACTGCAGATGTCATTGCCGTGGCAACCCCCCACATCCACCACATCCACCTACAGTATTTCTTCACCACCTTTTTCTGCTGAGAGGTGTTTTTCTTGGTAAAACAAAGGGGTCCATCTCTCTCGTTTGAGAACAGGGGAGGTGATGAGAGAGCTGAACCTTATAGATTATCTCCATTGTTATCAACCCTGGGTTAACCACTGCCTGGATGCTTCATCTTCGTTCACTGGGCAGGACAGGATGCTGTTGTCCTCCCTTTACTGAGCCCTTTCTCTGCTATGCTTCTCATCAGGGGTGTAGCAGTGGATGACTTGCAGAAACCAACAACAGAGGAAAAACTATCATCCTATTTGGATTTTGTGCTTTTGGTTATTTAGTGAAAAAAAAAATATATATATATATATAAATATATATATATCTTATATCAGCATTAAAAGGTTTAAAAAAAATACACAAATCCTGGAAAAAATATGTAGCAAATTCTGATGGGATATATCTATCTATTTGTTATTAATAATATAGGCTACTAGCAGATTTGGTGTTGTCAACAACGCTTTGAAAGCGGAATGAGGCGTACAATCACAACACATGGACACACAAACAAAAAAAAGCCATAAAATGGTAAACATGAAGCATGACATTAAACATATTTGTTTTGTAGTGTGGTATTTGTTTCCTTCATGTTTTATAGACCATGTACCTGCTCCATCGTCCGGCTCCAGGCCCGTCTCCGTGTCCACTCCACACACAACAAAATAGTGGGCGAAACGGCAGGAAGCCGATCCGGTGGCCGCTGCGGTCCCGTTCATCCTCGACGCGTTAATGGTGAGAGAGAGACAGAGAGAGAGAGATAGAGAGAGAGAGAGCTCCGTTTATACTTTCTGCTTCACGGTGTGGATGTTCATAGCTGAATGCAGCTAATCCGAAATGTTTGCCGCCTCTCTCTTTCCTCTTCTTCTCCTGGTCCTTTACCTCCTCCGCCGCGTTGATCCGTGCGCTGGGTTGTTCGCTTGTGTCCCCGCCCGCCTGCAGCCACTGATCCACGGCGTCTCTCTGATGGAGCTCCGGAGGATCCAACGATGGTCATCTAGTGTGTTCAGATGGGGGGAGGGAGGGAGGGAGGAGGCTGTGTGTGTAGGCCGGAGACAGAGGGAGGGAGGGAGGGAGGAGACAAAGACATCATCGTCAATGTTCATCAATCAGCCTCAATTTAATGGGTGTTGTCCAATTTCATCATCTTTTTTTTTTTTTTTTTAATACATCAGAATGACCGGAAATGCATATTTAGACTAACACACATGGTTGGGAGGGTTACTGTCATCTGTAATCGATACAATCACTAATTACCTGTTAAAGAATGTAGTGAGTAACTTAATACTAAAAGTATCACAATATTAAAGTAACGTAACTTGATTAAGGACAGAAAAAACACAGCCAATACATTTCTCACCATTTTATTGCATATAGTGAATATATTTTTCATTATAGTCTTTTTTTATTATTATATATATTACTATTTGTGATTATTTATGGTACTATTTCAACTATATTCCCATATGCTGCTGTATCTGTTTTTAATTCCTCCTACAGGGGATCAATAAAGGAACATCTTATTTTATCTTACTTAATTGACACTGGCCATGTGTCAACACTGGAAAAATGATTACTTCTTCCTTTTACTGGTTACTTTTGGATTACCTCAACACCAAATATGCAAATAAAGACAAGACATATCAATAATACGTATTCTATAAGACAGCAGAACAATGTGACTTTAGAAAATAAAATGGAAAGAATTTTAACATCAAAAATGTTTTTTCAAAAGAAAAAGTGATGTATTTTTAATTTGTAATCCTGCTAAATAATCCCAATTTTTGTAACTGTAATCTGATTACCCTTTTTTCCCCTGTAACTGTAATAGATTACATTTAGCCTACCTTTTTTTGCATCCTGATTACGTAACTCAGTTACATGTAATCCGTTACTCCCCAAGTCCTCCATGTTTCTACAGTAGCCCAGAATGGACGAATCAAACACTGGCTCTAGATAGGGCCTTTCACAGCCACCGTAGTTTCTCCTACACACATCACAGCTCGTTCTCATTCTCAGGTCGTCAAATATAGACGCGAGCAGTGTTCAGTTAGTTGCAATCTACAACTTCACTCCCACTAAATCCAACACACTGGTCCTTAAAATACTCTTCAGTAAAGTTACTTGTTATTCCTTACTTCTATATCTAGTCTTTGTTTACACAATTATCTGTATTTTTACTTGGATTCTTGCTCTGCTTTTAAGACGTCGCATGCAGAGTTTGTTACTGATAAAGCCAACTGCACAGCCTACAATCTAATGACAGCAGAGCTTGTCACAAATCCAGTGAATATTTCTGGTTTAATATATGTGAGCTAACAGGAGAAATAAGGATCTGGATGTCCATCATATTTCATATCAGGTATTTATTGAACCATTCAAAAGAGACATAACAAGCATATTTCTCATTTTATAGGCAAAATGTTGACTAACTTAATTTAATAAATATGAGAATCTAAGTCACAAGTAAATCAGCCTCCTGCTGTATCTGTTCTGGTAAACCATGTTGCCTGAGAGATATTTAGGATTTGGGTTCAATAAAGTCAGTGTCCAAACATAAAAATGTGCAGCATTTTTTTTTTTTTTACACCCTGGCTCATGCCATAAAATCCTTGCATTAAAAATTATATTCAAACACACAATTTTTCATGCAAATTAGAGGTACGCACCTACACCTACCCTCCTCTCGTAAATATTGTTAACAAGTCAGCAGATGGGTCCACAGCGCCAGTCCTCCAGCTAGACAACATATGGACTTGTCACTTACAGCCTGTCTTATTACAGTAAGTGCATAACTTAACATAATAAGGCTTCAATTTAACATTCACTCGCTGTTTTAATTCACATGTTCAAACACAGAAATCGTGGCTTTTATCATTGTTGTTATCATTATTATTACAGACTGCTTTCACAGGTCATCCCTTCCTACATTTATTTCCAAGCTACATATCTGCACGATATTTGTGGTAGTTGAAACAATCATAGCAGTCCAGACATCCTTTTCCCCTGCAGCTTCCTCCAGCTCCTCCCTGGGGAAATAGCAGGTGTTCTTAAGTTGAGAGATGCAGCCCCAGCAGTACGTCCTGGATCAGCGCTGGGGGGTTTCTCCCAGGCGGTTATTGTTGGTGCACTTCCAAAGCCAAAGTTACATCCTTTACAGGTGTTCCAACTACCTCAACTAGCTCTTCTCAATGCGGTGGAGGCAGTGTTTCAACTCCAGGGTCTTCCTGACACATCGAACTTCTCACATTGTCACAGAGCATGCAGCCAACCGCTCCGTCTCACTTTGGCTCTTCTAAAGTCACGATGCACTAATTCTTAAATTAAATATGTAGATAAAAGATGTTGCTTTCACTGAAGAACCGTCAAGGGGTCATCTTTAAATCCATCATGTTGATGAATTAGCGAGGACTGGAGCTGTAGCACATCCATTCATTCGTGTCTCGAAGGCATGCTGAGGTGTGCGGCCAGAAGCCTCTTCAGCTCTCCGTCTTAAGTGTCTCTCTGAACCACAGAGGAGCAGCAAGTGGGGTCATGCAGCACAAGTCATCCTGACACATTCTCTAGAAAATGTTTGGCAGTGGGTTTGGGTTCAGAAGTTTCACCTGGAATATATCTTTCAGAGAAAGTAGGTGAAGTTCTCAGAAAGAAGGGCACTGTGGATCTTTGAAGGAGAAGAGTCTCTGGCAATAAGAAGAAAACTCTTGCTGGCAGGAAAAAAGAACCGGGAGAGGTGGCCTGTTTTTACACGACTGAATGAATGAATGAATCTTGCCTCCTGCTCACTCATTAATTAATTGTAGTGTAAGAAACTCGGAGGAGTGGCTGGTGAGGTGGAATAGATAATTTAGTTGAGTATATGTGTGGTAATAATTGATCTAGGGAGAGAGTGTGCAAGCTGAGTATCCAGAAGAGGCTACACAGCTTGCTCTAAGGTTAATGTCAACAGATTTATAATTGAACTGGAAGGGTGATAGGTTGACGGCTTTGGTAAAATGTGTGGGAGCTAAAGCTGTGCATGGATCAAGAGTGCAGTTCTATGTCAAGATGCGAGCCACCTGGGCCTGAATCTCCCCATCAGGGTGTGAAAGCAGCTGGACCAGTCTGCTGTGGAGCTGGGAAGACTCATCTAACATGACCCGGAAGAGGCAATCCTGCTTCCGCCTCAGTTCATCCGCCACCTGGGCAGACGGCCTCCAGGCCTTCAAGTTCCCTGCAAACGTCAGCAGTCGCAGAAGCACCGCAGGAGCTGTGCGTGCATCAAACACCAGCACAACAGAAGCCGGTGCCTATGGCAGAAAGCATAAAAAACCAGTATGAAAATTAGGATTTATAATGAAACTTGGACCCCTGTTTGTTAATGTTAATAATACTGCACTTCTGTTTGTACTAGTTTAACACAGAATCAACTTCTATTGCTTGTCCAAAAAACCCTGAACAGTTTAGGTCCAAGATACTGTATCAGATCTGCTGACCCAGTATGAACCTTGCAGACCTCCCTGGTCGGCTGGCTCTGGATTACTGGCTTGTTTCCAGTTGTCAAAACAAAGCATGCCTTCAATTTCTATGCTGCTTGGAACAAATTGCCAGAAGAACTAAGAATTGAAACAATGCTGAATACCTTTAAATCCAAGTTAAAGACCTACCTGTTTAACATTTATTTTAATTTATTTTCTTTTAAATCAATTATATTTGTTAGTTTGTTCTATTTCTTTTTTACAGTTTTTAACTTTGTGGTTTTCTTTTTTCTCACCTGTCTAATTTAATAGTTTTCATCTCATGTGCTGCTTTTGCTTGCTTGCTTTTATAGGTTTTATCATTTGTTTATTTCTGCTTCTGCTTGTGAAAGCACTTTGAGTTGCCTCGGGTATGAAATGTGCTGTATAAATAAATGTGCCTTGCCTATAAATACAGAGCCATGCTAACGATCCTGCTGTGTGTTATATAAAAACATGCCCGACGACACCAGTTGTTTGACTTACATGGGGATGATGAGATTAAGACTGCATTATCATCCCTTTGTTCTTACCTGAGCTTGAACAATGTCATCCATCATATCCGGATTAGACGACAGATTCACAAGGACCTTCGAAGCCTGAACCTGAAACACAAATATTATAAGCGCTTAACTCATTCATATTGCATCCTCAGCTCTACTGGCCACGTCTGCTTTCCAACAAACTTTTTTAAAAATGCGCCAATACTTTATAATCATGACATAACAATCGTTTAAAAACAACTTTAATAGCTTCTGACAACTGATTTTGGAACGAATGTGAGGACGATCATTCAGGTGCAACGAAATGATACTGACCTGTAATGCTTCATTGCTCACGACAAGCAGAGAGAGTAGAAGTGTAATTGATTCCTTCAGCAGGTGTTGATGTTTATCTGTGACTGAGAGGTTTGTCAGGAGCCTCAGAGCACAAAGCTGAAGGTCAGAATTCACCGGTGACATCTCAATCAGCTCCAGCACTTGTGGCACATAAACCTGTGAAACAAGGTGAGTTTTTATGTGAAACGGACATGAATATATAACCCAAAAACAATCTTGTACAATGCTATTTGTACACGACAACATACCTTTATTTGTTCCTGGTTTGGGATGTTCATACACAGATTATTTAAAGCATTCAGAGTCTGCACTCTAACCTCTGCCGCAGGATCAGAGAGGAAACCAGCTACGATATGAATCCCTTCAAATTCCCGTATTAAATTCTGGAGGATCAGTGAAAAAAGAAAAAGAAAAATGACATTACATGGCTGCACAGAGATGTCACAAGCTGTATACCGAGCAAACAGCACTAACCTCACTTCCAGAAGGTTTTAGACAAAGTTTACTTACCTGATTCACAGTGAAGGCAGCAGCATTTCCCAACGTAAGCAGGATCCGACATCTGTCAGATGGATTATTGCTCGTCTGCAGACACGACAGCAACATTTTCAAGTGCTGTGGCTCCAAGTTGCCAGGAGACTGATGAATAATGTCACCTATGGAGCAAAATAAACCTTTATCTTTAAAGAATACATAAAAAAAATTGCTCATTCATGACATGAGTGAGTAAGAATGATTAGTAAAAATGAGAATAATGAGCATTTAATCCATCCACAACCCTCTCACAGGGCAAATTATTAAATAAATATGTAAACACACAAGCTTACAGGACTTGTTTAGCTGTAAAATAAATAGAGACAGCCTAGGCCGGTTTAGGAAACCCTTGCAATGAGGAAGATGACATCAAAATGAAACTATTTAACACTGGGATGTTATTTTTAATAGGTGATAGCACTGGAGGACACTGGCTACCACCCAGCTGCAGTTATTGTTAACAGTCCAAAGCTCTCCATATAATTCTTTTAAAAGCCTAAAACTGTGACCACAGTCAGGAAAAGACTCACTCTATTATACATAACAATGACACAGGTTTATAAGCTTCATGGTTCTCACCTGATGCAACATCAGGTCGGGGACAGACCACATCCAGTCCGGACACTTTGGCCAGCAGACTGCCCCGCTGCAGGGTAACTTCACTCGGCTGACTGGGGACACTTTTCTTATTTTTCCTGAAGCTTCCGCTGATAAGTTTGTATATCCCGTAGGAAGCTCCGGCTCCGGCAACTATTCCCAGCAACGCTTTCATGTTGCTGAGCCTGGGAGTAACGCTGCCATCACCCATGCTGCTGTGTAGCTAAAGCTTTAGCTACAGATGCTCTGAAAACGTTGCGGGAGTGAAATCTGTTGACTCACCGGCTCCTCGGTTCGCTACCACGGACGACAACGCACCGAAACCCGCCACAAAGCAACACACAAACTCATTTACACGGTCGCATTGTTGTGTGGGGGGGAAACCTGGAGAAGTTCGCTGACGAGCCACAGTTGTCAACAATGTTCTGTTCCTGTTGTTCCGGAGGGGGTTTTGTGTTGCCAGATTTGGACCGACACAAAGTGGCCCAATCCGAGGCTAAAACCCGCCCAGTCATCATAAAAACGACCACATTTCTGTGGTTCGTTTAGGAGAGGTGGGTTTATATACGCATGTATGTATAATACGAGCGAGAAAATATAATAAGTTGATATATTTTTTAGGTGATTTTTAATAATAATGAAAAATGTGTAGTTAGTCATACGTAAAATAAGTGGCTGTTGACGGGTGCAAGCGTTTATGAGTATTTTATCATACAGATATGACTGAATGATAATAGTGGGGTTTAAAAACAGCTTATTTGTAATTAATAATTAAATTATATTTGTTTTTAGGCCTGACTATGATCAGTTATCGTTAAACGGAAAACCGTCCGATCTGGCAACATTGCGGGCAGCTCAGAGTGGCCGACCAAATCTTTCGCTGGGTGATTTACAAAGCGTTTCTAGCAATATACCAAATCTTAGCTTTCAAAAAATCAAATGTTAAAAAAAAATGTGTATATAAATGTGTAATTTGTTAACTGAAAAAAAAAAAACACCCGTGTCCCAGCGTTGACTTTGTACACTTCGTTACATTTAAATCGTGCTGCAGCGCATTGGTTGCCCAACACTTAAAAAGTTAAGTTTTACTTCGTTACCTAGCAACCGTTTCCAAATGGAGATGGAGTACCAGGCAGAAATCTGACAGACGCTGAACTGAACCAGCGTTTAGTTAGTTTAGTTAGTTTAGTTTAGTTAGTTTAGTTTAGTTAGTTTAGTTAGTGAGGCTCTTAACACCTCGGTAACTATCGGACTTTGGACAGATATGGCTGTAGCAAACACCACGTCTGTGCTGAAAGAGTGTGAGCTGAAACACTGCCTGCCACAAATATATAAGGTAGGTTATCCTGTGTCATAGTTAGCTGTAAGTTAGTTATTTTTAGTAGTTAATAATAAACATTACATTCACTTTAAATATTTATTTGTCCTGAATTTGTAAATTCATAACGTTACCTATGCTGATTCCACCTTCTTCCACGACAGGCCTTATTGACAGCTTCATGCCTGTCATGTCCCAATGACCCAATACAGTTTCTGAAAAACGCCCTTCTGACCTTCCAGGGACACGATAATCTCCAGGATGTTGACTGGTAGGTTAGGTAGACCTCCTTGCTTGTGACTTTCCTTGAGATGGACACTTGGTGGCTCACTTGCTCAAGTTTTCTTTTACTGCTCGGTAGTGGAAATCCCTGGTAGGCTCCCAAGTGCAGAGGAGTGAAGATTTCTCTCTCTGTCTCTCTCTCCAAAAATGTAAGTCAGGAGAGGTTTCCAGTTGCATCATGATCTCCTCGGGTTACACTGACCACCACTATTCATTTGCCCACATTAAGGGACACTTAATCTGTTAAAGTACAGATTATCAAGTACTCCATGTACAGTAGATGTACTTGGATCGTCTAGACCTTTACTATTATACTTAAAGTGACTTTAAAATGAAGCACCCATGGGGATCATACTACTACTACTACTACTACTGTACTTAATTCCACTTACAATTACAGGCATAATTAATTTCTAGACCACATATTTGATGGTCTTTGTCATCTTGTTGGATGGTAAATACATTTAGGTTTAGAAATATCACTAAACCTAAACAGTTCAGTAGCATTTTAATTCTGTTGAATCATTCAATAAGTAAGAATTCGCTCTGGATATGATCTGTTTTTATGTTTTTTTTTTTTTTTTTAAAAAGGCACAAGTTTGTTGCTGATGCAGAACATCGCACCACAACTACCTCTCTCACACGTAGGACAGTGGACGCTGCCTATATGGACCAAGATGACGCTATGGTACAGTATGGTTTAGTAGTGTAGTCAGGTTGAGTCCCAGATTTTACCGACACATTGTTTCAGACTTTTTACTGTTTTTATATGAATTGCTTGTTCTGTTCCTTTCTAGCTGTCCTTTTGTCTGTTCGAGAAGGCCTACTCCAATTACAGGAAACATTTAACAAGCTCTTGCTTCAGGTAGGCCGGCAGCATTGTAGTTATGATCAACACATGAGGGTTTGATTAACTGATCAACAATGTCCTGATGGAAAAGGAAGGAAATACCAGTATGTAGTTATTGTTTTTGGCCTGTTTGACAAAAGTGCCTTAAGCCTAAAAACACTATGTGACCTTGTAGCTAAAGATTGAAGTTAAAGATTATTATTTTCAACCCATCACTAAAGTTCAAACACGACATTTGAGACTGAAAATAAAGATCAACCTGAAATTGTTGATTAATTTCATGTGACAGTCAAGACAAGAGATGGAAAACTGTTTAACTACTGCCTTTACTAATTAGAGCAGATGTTTGTAGAACTGCAGAATCTTGATTTTCCTCCCGGCTGAAGACGACAGCAGATCCTAAAAAAAAAAAACAAGGAATGAAAAGATTTCCAACTTTAGATGTGTGAGACTTTAGTCAAAATACAAAATACCAGCATTTTTTTTTTAAAAAAAAGGACTTGTGTCAGTGATTTTACCCAGGATAAATATAGCAAAACCCAAATTTAACTGCAGTATTATTGGACCAGGCAGGTACATTTTTTAGATGCATTCTTTCTGAAGTCTCAAACTCGAGCTATGCGTAAGAGCAGATCAGCTGCAGTGGGACTATTAGATGTAATGGTCTCTCTAGATTTGACATTTCCCTCCAGTGCAATCCTACATCTTAGAAGTTCCCTTTAAATACATCTTAGTTCAATTTACTTTATAAAGTTTCTTATAGAAATGTCTGGCCTCTGCCGTCTTTGAATCTGTATACACTTCATTCAGGATCTCAATGACTAAACTGATTTAAGAGTTGCTTGAGAACATTTGAGATGTGAGAAATGTTTTTGTTAATATAATTAATCATTAGCACAACATTGATAACTAAAATATTTTCCCATACCATATCACTCTTAAAGGGGTGGTTATCTCTGTTCTCTCATTCAGTATTTGTGTAGCATTGGAGCAGGTTTCCGTTGGCGTGTACCAGTTTTGCCTCCATCCAGCTGATACGGTGCATAACGGGTGTTTGATTGAGATACTTTGCTCCTCACGTAGGCGTTTCTGGACTGCACAATGTATGCGTTTACAGATGGTTGTGACACACTGGGGCCAGTTTGAGAACGAAGCCTTTTTGTGTTGCCACCATTCCTCCGAAAGACACCACTTAAAACAGAACCAGTCGCTTTGGATCCAGACGGCGGTTTACGAGGCTTCCGTACTTTGGTTGGTTGTATGAACTTCTGTAGAAAGCTGGTTGCATCATTTAGAGAAATGCCTCGTTTTTGTGGGGTAGAAAATGAGCCCAGAGTGTTTCTGGCATCACGTATATTGCCGGTTTGAAACCTATTAGAGATTATATTCTTGATTCCAAAGTCCCTGGACGTGACTTCATTGCCAGCTAATATTGAAAGCGCTGTCTCAGATAACGAAGTTGGAGCCAAGTTTGTTAGAGAGTTGAAACTTACATAACCAACTCCCACCTGAGACGAAATCCCAGAAACTGGATTCAGCTCAGAGAGGCCTGATCTCTCCTCGTCTTTTGCCTGGTCAGATAAGCTGGATGGACGAGTAACGCCGATTCTCTGGTCTCCGAGATAACCATCGTATCTACTTGAGCCAATAAACTCTTGGGGGGACAGGACCGGCTGCTTTCTGTTGAACATTTGATCCTCAGCATCATGTGGGCTGCTTGTTTGAGCGCCCACATGACCATTACTCCTCTGTGGTGAAAGGTTGTCAGACCTTGAAGAAACAGAACCACTAGATGCAGGCAGCTGAACAGTGGGGGTGTTGTTTATGTACTTTGATTCCTTGCCAATAGTGGGTTGATAAGCTTGAAATGATGGGGCTGGTCTTTCCCTAAGTTTTGGTGGATAACTTAAGATGTTGAGGTGACCTCTTGGTGCATTGACATATACACTTTTGGCATAGGAATTCAACAATGGGGGCTTTGGTGCAGACACGACATTGGCTGGAGTCACTCTGCCTAGCTGCTGACTTTGAAAATCTTCAAATTCAAAGCCACCGGATGGTTTTTGATACCCTGTCAAAGAGTCTTCACTGTGAGATGTATATATTGGTTGTTTAATATTCCCATTAGAGACTAAAGGCATTATATTGGATGTTTTACTTGGATAGTAGCTGAACTCTTGAGATGGGTTGTTTGGAGGGTTGGCAGGAGATTCAGTCACATGGCTGAAGAAGGAGCCTGAGGGTATTTGTTCAGGGAGCTCGTAGCTTGTTGACGGAACATCTTCATTTTGCACATATTCGGAGCTGGTGAAAATATCGGGGTTTTCCCCACTCTTGTCAAAATTTCCATAATTACTTGAAACATACTCAGAGGCTGTTGAATGAGGGAAAGGGTAGAGAGCAGAGCCCGAGCCCGAGTCTTGGTTGTCATAAACACTGGTAGAAAGGAGAGTTGCCATGGAGTCGACAGGATCAGGGACAGAGAGGCTTTCACTTTGCATTTGGTAGAAAGTTGTATCCACAGGTTCACTCCAGACATTGTTTTCACTGACGCCATCATGGTCATTAGGCTCGCTCTTAATATTTTGAGCATTAGAAGTCACCTCGTTTTCCATCATGTCCTGTTCAGTTTGAAAATGTCCACTCAAGTCACTTCCTGGCTTTAAGAAGGAGCTTTTAATAGTTTCTATAAAGTGTTTGAAATCTTTCATTGTTGGGAAACTGACACCCTCCATAGATGTCTTTTGTTTGTGCTCCTTCACTAAAAGGCCAAAGGGGTGTTGATCACCAGCACTTTCTTGCAGATATTTCTCCATCGAGGGGTCCACTGAAAACTCATCTGGCTCATGTTCTGACTCTGGGTTCTCTTCACCGAAGCTTGTAACAGAGCTCGCATCCTCATTGTTTTCATAGTGGACTGGTTCTCTCTGAAGGGAATCAAAGTTTTGCAGGTCATCCATTGGACTAACAGAGTCATGGTCTGAGTTTAAAGATGCTCCAGAATGAAACTGGTTTGAGGTTTGTGGACCAAGCACTTCTGCATGATTACTGACAGAGTATCCATGTGCAATATTGCAACCTATCAGGGAATAAACAGACATTGAATTAAATCCATATGGTTAAACATCGGCAATAATTAGGGATGGGAATCGAGAACCGGTTTCAAATGGCCAGATCTATCAGAATCATATGCCTCCAAGGTTATCGGTGCCTTTTATTAATGCCAGCATGTTTTTTTGACAGTTTAAACTTGCAACAAGTAGTCATGGCGGAGGAGAAGAAACAGTCCAAAGCGTAGCTTCCTTTCACAAAGAAAGATGACAATAGTGCTTGTTGCAATGTCCGTAAATTATAGTTTTAGAAGATTTACTTTATTTTTTACAATAAGGGTGGAAACACCAGCAGTATACTGAAACATCTTTATGCTAAATATTTATTCTATACTGTAATTGAACCTTATTTTCTTGTCACTTTTAGATTTTGTGATCTTAATTTTGCTGTTTGACATGTGAGCTGCTGTAACTCCTCAAATTCCTCTCAGGTATATATAAAGTTTTTAACCATTTATGGGCTTAAATTCCAGAAAGTGCCACTGCTTCCCAACTGAGAAGTACAGAGGGTAAACATCATATTTTATAATCAATTTTTTCCCCACACAGAAAATGTATTAGGACCAATAAGCAGATTCAATAACAACACCGATATCTAAAACTGGTATATAAAATTGTATCAATTCCCATCCCTAGCAATAATACAGACATTCTTACCTTTTTGAGGAAGAAAACAAACGCAGCCCCATAACATCAGAGTGCAAAGCCAAGAGCCTCTGAAAAACAATAAAGTTAGAAAGAAAAAAGTAAGAGGCCGAATTTAGCCAGCAATGCATGTGTGTTTTATTTACCCAAATGGAAGAGCCATGGCAGTGAGTTCAACCACCTGCAGCAGCAGACTGTTGATTAAAACAAATAGCCCAGATAACAATAAATCATCCTCTGTCCCATTTTTGTCCTGAAAATTTGAGAGCAAGAAATGTGGAAGGAAGGATACTGAAACCTTTCAGATTCTGCTTACGCTGATTGCAATGAGGTGAATGTAGACAGCTGGTGCTGTGTGAAAAATCAACCTAATTAGACAAGCACAGGTGGAGCATCTGCTCAAAGGGTTGCATGGTGATGACTTTAATATCACTAAAAGCAATTCAGAAATACATCTGTGCTATCAGGATACTAGCTTTTAAACATCTTCCTCTTTATGTCTTCTTGTATATTCATATGTCTAAAATATGTTGTATATGACTTATAGGAAGACACACCAAGAGAGAGTGACACAGATGTAACTCTAAGCAGAAATTTAACCCTTGTGAATGAAAGTCCTGAATGTTTTTAGATGATCAACATGTTGCTGAGTTCATGAGGATATTCTGTTTCACAGATTGCCTTTCACCTGTCTGTTGTCAGTGCTGACCTCTGTATCATAGGCCTGTTGTCCAGTCAGTCCTTCTCCTGTCTGAATGTCCAAACATGCTTCAGTTGAGATCATCATTAGAAAAAAAAACTTTATTTGAGATTAAATGATATAATTTAAGTGTTACTAACTCCTGTACTGTTGAGTTAAAGCAGGTCTCTGGCACTCTGCCTGTGCACCTTTCCACTGAATTAATCATGAGCTGTGTTGTTGCTGTGTGGACAGGAAGTGGAAGAGGTTCACTACGCAGAGAAAGAGAAGTGCCATAGAGCTGACTCTGAAGATGAACCTCGCAAAGAAGCATTATGAGAGGAAATGCCAGTGGCTTGCACTCACCAAATGGTCAAACTGGGTAAAAATGCACAAGAAGAAGCAGGCTGGTAGGTGACTACTTTAGTATGTCTGAATGAATATATAATAATATATATATATATAATATAAAATGATCATGAAGAATTTTAACCAAACTAATGTGGACTGACTGTTTTTGCAAGCTATGACTCTCTATGAAAATAGCCAGAGAAAACATACAGTGTGTTAAAATATGTGTCCAGATATGTATCATTTCTTCCCCACTGTGTGACTCATTCTGTCCCTCACATCTTCCACTCTTAAACTCTTCCACTCTTGAGACTTGACTCTACTTTCATAAACTAAATTTGTCTTGAGATTCAGGACAAATGTGATCACCATATTGTTGCCATAATTTAGTCCACATGTTATTCTCTGCTAAAAAATATGCAGAAGTTAAAATACTTACAAAAGTGATGGACATCTATCATGAGCATGTCTTCTGATCTTGTTCCTAAGGATGGAAGTGGCAACAATCCTTTAAAAAACTCTGGGTTTCAGTATCAGTACAACATTTAAATCCCTCTATTTTGCACACATCACTGAAGGGCTAATTCAAGATGATACCTACCTCCTGGCAGCAAATAAAAAGTCCATTACAAAATATTGGCTTTTGAAAAACTGCCTCACTCCCAGCCTATTTGTCAATGTTGTTCAAAAATCTTCATCTCACCTACTCCAGATAACTATATATGACTTCAAAAAGAACTGGGAGAAAAACAGTGGGAAAATCTTTATAAGCCAGATCTCTCATATTTGTATATTATTTTAATTATATTTTTATGTTATTATGTGCAGTATTTTGTTTATTTTGTACACTTACTGATTACCCCATGATCTCATATTTGTTTGGTCATTGTTAGGGCTGCACGCTATGGTAAAAACATCATATTGTGATTATTCTGACGGATAATATGATATGATTCACGACTATTGTGGGACAAATTAAATTTTCATTGAAAAAACTATTAAAATCATGATGATGTGAAACTTTTGGTGTCTGTACCAAACAAACATGTTCTCTTACAACAAGATTTGTAGGCCAGGTCATCTCTGCAGAACTACGATACTTCATTATAATGCTGTTTTACAGATTTTACCTATATTCAAAAAATGCAGCTTCTACAATTTGCATATTGCGATTTCAATAATATTGTGATTAATTGTGCAGCCCTAGTTTTTGTTTTGTTTCTTGTTTTTTGCTCCTTATTTGCTTTTTGTGCGCTGTCTTTGTGTGAATAGTGAAGTGGGAAAAAAAAGTGATGGATCTCTGAAACAAGATTTAAATTTCTTTTCAACTTAGTTGCCATCGAGAAACTTGTGAAACTTGTAAACGCTGGCCGCCTTAAGCGCATCACAGCTGCATGGCGTAAAGTTGCAAAGGACTCAAAGAGGACAAAAGAGTATTTTAAGGTATGAATTTATTTGGAATTTCAACTGAGAAAAAAAATAATTCCTTTTAGCAATTTTCTACATTTCTTTCTTTGTGTGTTCTTATAAATCTTACAGAGGTTGGAAATGGGGTTTATTGAAAAAAGCAACAAAGTCCACCAGATTTGGGAAGGATGTGACGGATTCTCAGTGCTCCCTAGCAGCCTCTCACTGAAGGTAGTTCCTCTCAAACTACACAACATTCACGTGTCCTTCAGCCAGTTTCTTCACATTTTCTTTTATAATGAGCCTAATTAGTTCCCGGACAGACAGATTACAGCCCTGGAGTTACCGGCTTCACCTCTCTGTTCTCTAAGTAGTCAGTGATGAGATCATATCTGTTACATAAGACTTACTATAAAGTCGACTCCACTGTAAACATGCTTTCAGTCTCTTGGAGGCCAGTTGATTAATGACTGTTGCAGCTCATTATGGTGTAGTATAGCTATGACCCATTACCACAGAAAGGTTTATGTTTATGGGACAACTCTCTCACAAGATATGTTGTTGTGTTTTTTCCACATCAATAATTGTATTTTTGTAGGAGCACTTTCATATCAGTCGCTCTGTAGTTTATAAATATGTTCAAAACTCCAGTAAACATCTTTTCTGACTCTGCTTGCACTTACCAGTTATAGCCCCTGTTTGCTTTGGATTCACACACACGCTGGCAAAGGGAGCACCGTTCTGGCTTTATTTGCTCTGGTGTTTCTTTCCAGCACTTCTCCTGATAAATAGTGCTCCAGCATGACTATGTTTGGAGAAAGAAAAAGGCTGCTTGTTCACTTGCATCACACTGCCAAAGTGGCAGAGGTGGCAGTGGATCCTGTCTGTTCTGGTTTTGGTGCCTAATTGTCTCCTTGACACTGGCAAAATATTTCCAAAGTGACAGCTGGTTATGTGAGATTAAAACCTATAGGACCAAATATTGATCATGTGATCAGTACGGAAGTTGCTTCATTGCTTTAATCTGCGGGTCACTTTATCGTAACATCTGGCAAAGGGCAGGGTGTTCTTAAATCGTTTCACTTATGAAATGTCAACACTTCAATGTTTATAAAATGTATAAACCTTTCAGCGTATCTATACCTTATGACAAGAACATTATGGAAGAACGAATAAAATTAGTGCCCTAAAGTACTCGGATATTATTTAAATAAACAGAGAGGAAATTCAAATGTTTTCACCTTTCTGTATGATAAAATATGTCCAGAGGAAGTAACAAAGTACAAATACTTTGTTACTGTACCTAAGTAGTTTTTTTAGGTATCTTTACTTGAGTATTTATTTTTCTGACAACTTTTTATTTTAGTCCCAACATTTTTACACAAATATCTGTACTTTCTAGTCCTTACATTTACAAAACAGGCGTGTTACGTCAGTTTAACGTATTTGAAGAACTGAGGGAATTGTTGATGATCATTATTATTTTTTGCATCAATGCAAACCTTCCAACATCAATACGGGTGCATATCACACGACAGACTTAACATAACGAAAACAGTATATCAGACAAGAAAGGGAGACTCAACCCTATTTGAAGTTTCAGTTTCAACTTTGCACAGAAATAGTTTGTTAAAATGTCCTTCAGAGAAAACCAAAAGAGGACTTTTCACTTTTATACTTTGAGTACATTTCAGAGCCTGTACTTTTTCGTTGAATCAGTACTTCTTCTTGTGTAAAAGGTTTATGTATTTTTGCCACCTTTGAATATGTCAGGTGATTGTTTTCTCTGCAGATCTTTCAATATTTAGAACTGCGAGACTGGCTAAATTGTGCCGATGTGTGCTGCATGTGGAGAGCTATCATCCGGTCAGGCACATTATGGAGTCAGGTCTGTACTGAGAGATTTCTTCCTATATTTAATTCATAGTAGTGTTTAAGGTTGTACTTGAAACAGAAGTATAAATGTTCTCTCATATGTGTCCCTGTTAGATCAACTTCTCTGTGGAGAAAAACTGGATAACAGACAGCACAATGAAGCAGATTCTGCAGAACTACCGCCCATTTGTGATCCACCTCAACCTGCGCGGCTGCACGTCTCTAAAATGGCCCAGCTTGAAATGTATCAGTGAGTATTTATTATACCATATTTCCTGTAGGTAAGTGTGCATTGACCCATACAGATCATGTTCTAATACCAATAATTAGTCAAAACAATCAGAAAATGTGATCATTCTTATATTTTAATTAAAACGACAACACTGACAAAACATAAAAGTACTGCTGAAAAATCTAGTTTCTCCATCTGATACAGACTGTTACACAATATTGAAAGGAAAACACAAGCCTTTTCTAAAGTCAAATTTTAGGTCACATTTTCAGGACAGCCTGATAATCTGGTATTTCTGTGGCGCTCTCAAGTGGCTCGGCTCCAGCTCCTCCTCCAGCTCTCCCTGCACTTCCATTGCTGTGTTCCATAGCTCAGGGTCTGTTTGGTCCTCATCAGTTCTGCTGTGCTGTCTGTCCTTTGGACACTCTCTGTTGTAGGAATGCACATACTCCTCCACACTTTCCCCAGTATGTTCAGGAGGGGAACGACACAGCAGGCCAGAGTGCCTCACCCCTGGGTGCAGACGCAGCCAGTACACCATGTAGTGGATGCTGAAAAAATACAATTGGGTTTTGATCATGATTTGGATTTGTCCAAAAAAGAATTATTGTAAACATTTGAGCAAAATAACCTACCTGTAGTCACACACCCATGGGTTTCCTCCCAGTTTTAGCTGTGACAGGAAGTAAAGGTCTTCAAGAACCCCGTACTTGACAAAATGTATGCTGTTGTCAGATAGGTCCAACTCACGAAGGTGCAGGAGTCCAGACAGGGAAGCTGAGAGAAAGAAGAAAGAAATGCATGAGCATACTGTATTTTTTTGTTTCTTGCTTTCTTGTGTGGCTATATTTAGACAAACCTGTTGCTGTTTATTGTTAACCGGAAGTTAAAAACCGGTGTTCAGTTTGTGTCTGAATCACTTAAGCAACTCTATGTGTGTAACCCTCTCAGCTTTCCCCACTATAAATAAAGCCAATACTGTGTAGACAATGATGGCAGAGTGCCAGGTGTCTCTTATAAGGAAAAATGGAAAACAGAAGTTGGCAGCAGTTGCATAACATCTTCTTAACCTTTTGGCTTTCCATATGTTATCTATCAGCCAAAGAGAAACTGGACTTTGTTTGTGTAGGTTTTCGTTACAGGAACATTAAGTACATGCTGTAACATTCACAGATTGTGATTAATAGGGATTCAGTAGTAATAGCACACATACCTGTGTCGATGCGCTCCATGTTGTTATTAGTCAGGTTTAGGGTTCTGAGGCTCCTCGCTCCTTGGAAATCTCTGGCTCTGAGATGATGGATTGAGTTATGGGACAGATCGATATGAACAACATCGTCTGGAATACCTGTGGGCACCTCAGTTAGACCTAAACATACAGGGGAATGCATTAGTCAGATGTATTAGATTAAAAGTCAGCATTTCTTTTTTATTAATTACAATAAAGTCAAGCCAAAGAGTGTTCTAAGAAACCAGCTTGAGTTTCAACTCTTACTACTGCACTGAAGAATTGGTGCAGAGACAGATTTACGCTCTGCCTCGATCCATAACCTGAATTTGATATTAAATCCAGGCCTCCTGCCAGCACGGGACAGATAGTAGTAACACATTATTTGATTTACTTTATTCTTGGGCAAATTTTAAATGCGTTTGCATGTTTTGCAATGAACTTAAGCTGATGTGTTAGTCAAACTTTGTTTAGCCAGTGCTTTCCAAGTTCATAAGATGAAGTAGAATCAGAATCAGTCAGCGGTTAAGGAAGCAAGCAATGTAAAACTGAATAGAAAACACCTGCCAAACCAGATATGTTTCTTTGCCAGCTTTGTGTCTGGCTCTGAAAATCCTTTGAGAAATAGTAGTTTAGTCATTCCAGTCATGCGACAGTAATATTTAATCACAAGCATACGGGCTCTCTGACATAAAGCTTCACAGATATTTTTCTTGAGTGCTCTGTTGCATAAGAAACACGTGGACTGAAACACAGTGAGGTTCAGCGTAGGGTAGAGTGACTCGAACTGATTCAGGAAAATAAAAGCAGATTATGAGCTTGCCTCGTTTACTGCAGTCCATCCGTTTTTGGGGGAAATGGTAGGTATGACAAGATGTGGTGGCGTCTGGTTTGGTGCGAATTGGAATGGGCTCTATAGGGAATAGGGAATCGGTGTCGTCGTCGCCCTGTGGGTCGTTGGTTGGGTCCTTCTCCTTACAGAGTAACTCGGGGTCAACCTGCTTCAACTTCATGCCTTTTAGTCTGGTGGGTTCTGCACACCTAGAAGAGGAAATTTGAAGGCTGTTTGTTATTCTGAGGCTCAGTAAATTACTCTTTCACCTGTAGAATCAGAGCAATTGTGTTAGGTTAGTGTCAACCTCTTTGTGGAATCCCTCACCTGGCATGATTTCCTAGATTACGGTTGCTCGGGACCTGAAGGGTGCGGACGAGACTGTCCATCGGGCAGAGACAGTTCCATGGATTATCATATAGACGTAGATAGTTGAGGTTCGGCATGATGATGAGGGCCTCCTCGCTAAGTGTTCCCAGGCGATTGTGCTGCAGCAGCAGGGTTGTAAGGCGTGTCAGACCCTGGAAGGCCCCTTCTTCTACTAAAGAGATCTGATTCTGCTGCAGGTCCAGACTGGTTAAACTCTCATATCCAAAGAAGGCCCCTTCACGAAGGACTTTGATCCGGTTGCGGGCTAGGAGGAGGTGCTTTGGTTGGTTGGACCAGGTCTGCGAGGTGGGAACGGAGGCGAGGCGTCGATCCTGACAGTCTACAAAGACTTCTCTAGATTCTGTCAGTTCTGAGCAGTCAGCTGCTGCAAGCCTGGAGGGACCTGATCTGCTGTGACGCCCAGCACCCTTTACCCTGACAGATTTCAAACACAAATGATCAATCTCATGGGTTGTCACTGTCTGTATACAATATGTTTACATGGTCATTAAAGTAGGTGAAAAATGGACCCAAGAGTAAATCCATACCTGTCCCTCGTGAGTTTATGTCTTGCTCCTCTGAGGCCTCTGCCCTTCCCCGGTTTTTTCATCTCGGTGGTCTGGAGCAAGAGGAGGAGCAAGGAGGCTAAGAGGAGTGAGGAGGTCACACGCATAATGAACCCTGCAGGGATTGTCTTTTCAGTAAGAAGAGCTTGAGCCAAGGCAAGAGTTTGGGATGAAAGTCTTACGAAAAATGGGCTCGGAGACAGAAGCAATGGGTCAAAGGTGAACAGTGTTATTGTTGATGTAACACAGCTGCTGCTTACCCTACGGAAGAAGTGAGAGTTAGCGCATTATATAAGAGATAGGAGCCACCCAGGAATTTATATACAGCTTTGAAAGAAGGCAGAATACTATGACACTTCACGTTGTTCCTTACATAATGTTGCATATTACTTTATTATATCGCAACATACATGTGATTATAGCAGAGTATTTCCAAAAATGGACATCACAGTTTAACCAGCTGTTTCTCTGTTGTTTACTTGTTTCTGTTTTATCAGGTGAATGCAGAAATCTCCAGGAGCTGAATGTGTCAGAGTGTTTTAATGTTACAGTAAGTAAAACATTGTTAAGTCTAATGATTATAGACAGTGGATCATCTTCATATCACATGTCCTGCTTTACTATTTACACTATTTTGTAAAGTTCAATGACAACTAGATTGCTAATAATGATAAATATTGTTAAATATTGTTTCAATTAAATTTTATTTGTATTACGCCAAATCATAACAGAAGTTATCTTGGGGCACTTTTTAAATAGAGCAGGTCTAGACTGTACTAAATTATTTACAGAGACCCAACAATTCTCATAAAGCCCCGTCCTATAATAAATCAATGAAAAATATACTTTAGCTAAGAAAAGATATTTTGACAGACAATTTATTTGTCTGGGAAAGTGTCCCTCAGTGTTTGTCTTTATGACGTCATCATTGTTCAGATCTCACAGTACGTCACAGATAAGAGCTACATTGCATTTGTTTAGTTCCTGGTCAGATTTTTCCAAGTTGTTTTACTCTATTTTATGCATTTTAATTTAAATTTTTTTTTTACATAAAATTGATTTCCCAAAAACCAACACTGGACATAAAGGACCTGTATCTGTAAAGATCCAATGGTATACAAGTTTATTGGTTTGTATCCAGATCTTCATATCATATGAAAATAAAAATAAAATCAGTCTGTAATCTTCTGAATACTGTCCGTATCTTTGACAAACACAAGCGTATCATTTCATTTATTCCAGTGCAAGAAGTTAAAATGTTTGTCAATGCCCTGTTGATTGATTGTGGTATTACACTCTCAACAGATGCATTGCTGAAAGAACTCAAGGTAACATTTGAATCTCTGCTCTCTAACAGGATATGATGGTTCAGAGAATCGTCGAGGCTTGTCCCTGCCTGCTCTACTTGAACCTTTCTTGCACACTCATAACAAACAAAACTCTGAGAGAACTGTCCAGGTAAACCTCCAGTTGTGGTAAAAAACCACCGTGTGACTAGAGCTGTGCTCTAAACTGAGGTCCCGCATCTCCAAATTGAACAAACAAAAATCCTGCATGGTGCTGCTTTTTATTTTTAGCCTCCTGCCCCTCAGTTCCCAGAATTATCTCCATTTATCCATTTCTGTTTGTCCAAAGTGCAGCTTGTATTTAATGTCGGGAAGCAGCTCTGTCTGTGCCAACTTAATGATTTAGAGGAACAGATGTGCTCATAACATCTACTTCTAGACTCTATGATTGTTTTTGATAGATTTGTAGGTTCAACAGTTTTCAGTCACTAGCTCTCTCATGGCCAGAAGTAATATGCACATTGTTTCAGATAATTCATTTTTCAATTTCAATTCAATTCAGCTTTTTTTTTTTATGTACTCAAATTTACACAAAAAACAACAACAAAATGAGAATCTGAGAATCTGCACAAAGCTTAAACACAGTGCATCTTACATTAACTAATCTAACTATTGATTTCAAACAGGAACTGTCTCAGCCTTCAATACCTGAGTCTGGCCTACTGCTACAGATTCACAGATAAAGGGTTTATGTACCTGACCACAGGGAAGGGCTGCCACAATCTCATCCACCTCAACCTGTCCGGTTGCACTCAGGTCAGTTGGTATGCTCCTCTCAGTTTGGTGTATAGTCACTCCACTCAGGCTTCAACTTTAGACAGGCTGCACACAGCTTTTTGCCTTTTTGAAAGTTCAGTCTTCAGTCCGCCTTTGGATAAATCCAGTCACTCCTCTCTGTTTGCACGTGTCTCCTCTTGTTCCTGGCTGTACGCTGGTGACTGTTTGCACTCAAAGCATATGAACGAAGATCTGAAGGAGAGTGAAAGGCAGCTGTGACCAAGTGGAGGGTTGGGTTTATACAACCAACTCTGGCCAATCCCCTCACCATGTGCACACTCTAACATTATAACACATGTACCGCAACATAAAACACACCTTCTTCCAGGAATGCGCATTAGTTTGGTTCCAGATGTATGGTTTCACTTTATGGGGCCCTGTACATGTGGGGATTGAGGAAAACTGCATCCAGGAGAATGAGTCACATTGCACACATATTTTCCTATCTCTCTCTCTCTATCTAGATGACGGTAAACGGGTTCAGATACATTTCTGCCGGATGTCCTTCACTCAGAGAGATTGTGATCGATGACATGCCCACGCTTTCAGATAGCTGTGTTTTGGTAAGTTTGTCCATTTCGAACACACCACAGATGTCATACAGGGTCAATATCCCAGCACTGGAATTTTCTACAAACTAATTGTAAAAGAATTTACTCTTTCAACACATGTGTCATTGTTTTGCCCACACACCCTTAACCCCTCATAGCAGAGAGACGTTTTGAGTCTTAACTCTTCTCTAACAGGCACTAATTGCCAGATGTCGCTGTCTGTCTGCCATTTCTCTCCTGGATGCTCCTCATCTTTCCGACATCACCTTCAAAGCCATCGCTGAAGTAGCCAAACTGAAGACTTTTTGCACAGAGGGTGAAGTCATTTTGCATTCTGCAACATTCATTTCCATATATGCATGAAATTATAGAAGTAATTTTATTCCAGTTATGTGCACTTTAGGGAACAACCAACTAACAGACATAAGCTGGACGGCCTTGTGCAGCAGCTCACAAGGCCTCTGCAGACTCCACGCCGCAGAATGCACCCGGATGACCGACGCCAGCCTCAAATCCATGGCCGCCCTCAAGAACCTGCAACACCTGGACATCTCTTGTAACAAGTGTGTGTTTGTTGCTGCTGTAGATAACATTCAGAGGTTTTTCATGCTTTTCGTATGCTTTTTCATATGACGTAATGGTTTTATTGCTTATATTTTAGGGTTAGTGATATTGGTATCCAGTGTTTGACTGAAGGTTCCTCATCCACCAAACTGAGAGAGCTGAATGTCAGTCAGTGCAGTCACATCACTGACATATCTGTCAAGAGGATTGCACAAAGGTATATATATATATATAGTGTCACACAAACACACACGTATATCTCATTGTGGTCTGTTAAACTGTGTCACACAGCAGCTTTTTATCTTTATCAGGTTGTGTAAACTGTACCATCTCAACATGAGTTATTGTGAGAGACTGACTGACATGAGTGTTGAGTGGCTGAGTGGCAGCTCTATCTGCTCTCTTGACATCAGCGGTTGCAACATCAACGATCAGGTATTGTTTGGATTGTTTGTTCTTATCATCAGAAATGATGAAAAAAAAGATAACTGGTGAATCTGTTTGTATATTTAGGGACTGGCAGCTCTTGAGGGAATTCCCTTGAAGAAGTTAGTCCTTTCCGAGTGTGTCTACGTCACAGACATTGGCATAGAGGTACAAACAACAAATCTAGCTAGAATTTCAACACATGGCAGATGTGGCGTTTTTATGGAGCTGTTTATAACATTTAACTGGTCCAAGTTTTTTTCCTTTCCCAGTGATTGCTTATATCAGCAGCTGACAGGAAATGTACCCTGTTTTCTAGAAAAGCAAGTTGTTGTTGTTGTATCATTTACTGTTACTGCCTACTAACAGATGTGCACAAGGAAGCCATGTTTGTGTCCTCCATCATTTTCTCATCCGTTCACATTTCATCCCACATCTTTCTCTTGCCTTCTTTGTTGCTCACGAGGGCAGAAGCTGTGCAAGAATGTGAGGGATCTGGAGCATGTTGATGTATCTCACTGTGTGGCTCTGTCAGACCCAGCCATCAGAGCCATTTCATTTTACTGTAGAGGTCTAGTCACACTGAGGATGTCAGGTTGTCCCAAGGTACACACACACAAACACTCTAAAGCCTTTAAATATTCCGTTTGTGTTTCCCCTTGTCATTTAATGACTCATGTTTTCTGTTTAACTCTGCGCTGCCTCAGATGACAGATATGGCCATGCAGTATCTGACAAGTGGATCTCAGTACCTGCGAGAGCTTGATGTGAGTGGCTGCGTTCTTCTCACAGATCGCACTCTCAGACACTTAGAGAGGATCTGTCCTCCACTCTGCGCCCTCACGATGATCTGCTGCAGCAGCATCTCCAAGTAAGACACAAACGTACCAGAACACTGTAAACTTAGAGTCCTACACGTCAACTTTCAATGAGCAAGAGAGTGTTTGTTCGCCTAGGGTGGCCGCCTTAAAGCTTCAGCCACGCGTGGAGTACTGGAAGCACAGCAATGACGACCCTCCATACTGGTTTGGATACAACACGGGCCAAGTGATGCATCCAATCACAAGACCCACGAAGACCGACGACACCTGGGAAGTGGTGGAGCAGCACTCAGTGATGACCGGAGCAGCAAGTACAGAGAGGATATAAACACATCTCAATTAATAAGTGCTTTTTTAAAAACCACGCAATCACAGAAACCATTATTTTTGGGACATTGTTTCAACACCATTTTGAATTATACACTTGAGATAATCCAAACAAGAATGGAATCATAAGGCTAAAATTAAATTAGACGTTTCTGTACTCAGCCGGTCTGAATAGAGGCTCAGACATAACATTGTTTGAACCTGACTGATTTACTAATACACATAATATTTCACCAGCTCCTGACAGTGGTATGTCCTGTGCCTTTGACCCTGCTAGGCTCTAGTGGGTTAATAACTCTTTGTTAGACAACCAGTGCATAAACAGTTCTAATGTCCACTCATTTCTTATATAACTGTTTTTTTCTTGGGTGTGGGAGGGGGGTGTTTAAATCCACGATAATGAAATTGTTTCCTTGCTGTGATTTAGTAAATTACATTTGTACAAAGACAACACAATTGTATGTATTTCTCCAAATATCAGTCAACAGAAGTCTGCAACTTCTCACTTGTAAGGTTTAAGTTTTGAAACAACTAAATGGATAAAAAAGCTACATGTCCCTGTTTTGGTCTTGAGATATGATACACATGGTACTCAGAGAAATTGCCTCAGTTTTAAAAACCTTGGAATCTGGATTGTAGACAGGTGGCTGCGCTGTTTCCACAATAATAACAATAATAATAATAATAATAATAATACCACTAATTATTTACCACAGGCAACAACATGACCATCATTCATGTCTAATTATTTAACTAATACTTGTTGTTATAGTACATTTAAATACCATAAACTAAATTTGAATACTCACAACACATTTCTAGAAAAAATATAAACTCTAAATTAATTTAAAAGTTTGTTTTTAAATTAATTTCTACATTTTGTGATTTATACTGGTTTGTATATGCAGTGTGTGAGTGTGTAGAAAGATTTTTGTTGATTTGTGCTCTTTAAATTAAAAAATCTCTGTATATTTATATTACAATCTTGGTTTATCCTTTGTTTATGTATGTTTATACTTTGTATTTACATCCCACTTGGTTTTAGTTTTACTGAACTATAATGTGTGGATTCATTTTAAATTGTTAATACTGTAAACATACCAAGGGAAGGACTCACTCTCTGCTTTATGCTCCACTGAAACTGAAGCTGATTAGTTGAAACAAGTTCAGATCTTTTAAGTGAAATTATATAAAGCTATATTTGGTGCTTGGATAAAAAAAACTATTAGCTTTCATTCATTAGAGTCAGGAGCAGAGGTGGAAATGTTCCACACTTTACAATTAATCTTTACAGTATTTACATACCATACAGAAAACACACAAGAAATATGAGCAAGCAAACTGTCAGTGGTATGTACAGTGTTGTTTAACACATACAGAATACTTTTTAAATTACTAGATACATACATTGAAAATACAGTACATCCTGAGCACAGAGTTTAAGGTAAACACAACAATAATCTGGTTCTGTCTGCCAGTGTAAAGCCCCAGAGCAGGAATGCAGCATTATGAATCGAACATGTGTCATAACTCAGCTCCCCAGCTTCAGGGACTCAAACCAGCTTTGTGTCTTCAGTCTGACGGAGCCTCTGTCTGCGTGAGCTTTAACCCACTGGTCCACTGGAGCCTCCCCATTTATACAGCCTGAGAGAAACACATGAGGACGGAAAGGAAATAAACGTTCTGTGTTGATTTACGTGTCGGAGGGTTGAGTTCATTAACTGTGCCATTTAGTGTGATGTAATGAAACATCATTGGCGTACCAGTAATTGTGGTTTGGCCCTCAGTTGTGTTGTTTTCTACTCCATGCAGAACAACCTCTGAGCTGATATCCACCGACGCTCCACGGAGCTCCACCCCGGCTTTCAACGAGGAGGGGACGCGCACACACACCGCTCCTACGTACAGACAGAAGAACGAGGGATAAACAAAGAAAAACACTGTGGTTCGTGAGGTGAATATTCTTTTTATACTGTGTGTTTACCTTCCTGACTGTGGAGTTCAGCACTGCCACCGTCTCCCACATAGACATCAATGCTTCCGCTGTGAGAGGAAATCTTCAGCAAACTATTTGAACCATCTGCAAAAGCAAAGAAAGTCTCAGGTTACTTCCACCAGCCACTGATAGATACCATACGTAAATCGTTGCGTAATCTTTCTTACCAATAACTGTATCTCCGGACACATTCGTCACAGTGGCATTACCTGTTAATTAATGAAAGCACAAGGTCAGTTTGAACTAATCTGACATCATAAACCTGCCTCATTTGACGTTAACAAGATAATTGATTCCATGTACTCTATGATGAGAGGCTCATTTGTATCAGGAAGAAATTAAAATTCTATGTGGGTGACGTATTTCTTCACATCACATTACAGTACTGTTTGTCCCTGTGCTCTAATGTCTACTTCAAAGAAATTAGTCTTTTTAGTGATAACCCTTTTTATAGCTAACCCCCAAAACAAACAACAAGTACAGAATGTGTGTTAAATTGCAAACACATTACAGTGAAATAGACTGTGTTTGGATCAGACCCCGGGATTCCTGGCTGTATCAAAACCCTGCTGTATCAGCCAAGTTAACATCATGCAGCTGTTGACTGCAATGGCTGATGGGCAGATTTATTTTTGTTTTAAGGAACAGCACAAATTAACAAGTAGAAAAGACAACAAATAAACACCTAAACAAGAACCAAAGGTGGCACAATCAAAGCTAAACAAGAGCCCACTCATTCCACCTGTATATTAATACATTTAAAACAAGACACATACTCACAAATATACATACAAATTCTTCAAAACGTATATTGTCTGGCTTTCATGGTTTTCTCTCCAGACAAGCAAATCTGATCGTTTACGGTCATCATTTATTCAAACTAGGCGTTCTCTATCATTAGCTTAACCCACTCCGTATATTCAGGTCCAACTTGGCTTTTGGAGAACCGTAGCAGCTGATATAAAGCCTGTTAGTGCCGGCTTCAAAATCCTGGGTAAACACGACCCGCAGAAGCAAAGTTGAACTGATTCATGCACAGGTTTACCCTTCCACTTCTGTATTGTTTTGATTATCTCTAGGCCCACATTGCATTAATAAAGGTGTCTTCATTCCTTTTACATTTCCAGCACAGATCATTAACTAGTAGACCCATTTTAAGAAGACGGACTGGTGTAAAATAATGTTGATGAAGTATCTTGTAGTGTATATATTTTACCAGAGCTTCTCTTGTCAACCAACCTGCACTGGAAATTATCTTTGCCTTTATCAATGTGTCAGGTTTTCAGAGTTACAATATATTGTGTTAGAAGTTAACGTAAAAATACTAATTACCTGTTAAAAAAGGTAGTCAGTAACATAATTCAAGTATCACAATATTAAAGTGACATAATTTAATTACTATTAAATAAAGAAATATCAATAATATGAGACAGAACAATGAAACCTTAGAAAGGAAAATGGAAACCAAGAGCATCAGAAATGTGTCCTCTGCTCAGTGTATTTAATCCTGCTAATAATCCCAATATTTACTTAATGTAACTGTAATCTGATTATATATTTTTTCTGAAACTGTTACAGATTTCAGTTACATGTAATCCGTTACTCCCCAAGCTTGTTAACTTATAAATTATGGATGCTAAATGAGTAATAAGGACATGAAGGCAGGAGATATAGTTAAAGATCCTCCTCGCTGCAGGTGGTAGATTAGATTTAAAAATATATAGTTTCAATTAGTTTTAAGTCCACGTCGTAGTAATTCAGGTGGTAGAGTGAGTTGTTTATTATATATATATATATATATATATATATATATATATATATATATATGAATTGATAAAAAAAACGTTATGTTGTTTTGGACAAATGAGTTTAATCTAACTTTTATCTTTTCCCTCCACTCTACATTTGAGCTATCGCACTAATAACCACACAAACACTACAGATGAGGACAGACAGATGCTTTAGTATAGATGAGGAATAGATGCTGCTGTTTGCTCACCGTGCACATGCCCCAGTTCTACCCTCCCAGAGCAGGAAGAGACACAGCTGGACTCAGCGTAGATGGCTTTGACCTTCAGTGGGCCACGTTCTGTTGAAACATTCATTCTGGTGCCCTGGAGCTTCTTGACATCCACTGCCTGCAAACACACACAACTAATCACTTACACATGACTGTAGCCAGGTGATGTATGATTGAACTTTTTTCAGTTTTGTCCCCAAATCAAAAGATGTACTGTAAACCTCAACGCTGCAAACATGTTTAAAGCCTGTAGTCAGGCTGCTGCTGCCCTCTAATGACTGTAGAGTGTAAGTGTCCTTACACTGTCTCCACACGTGCTGATGTCCACATTGCCATGGATAGTGCCTGCACCCCTGACATGTCCTCCAAGGGATTTGACTTCAACCTGGTGACCCTGAGACACAAAAAAAAACAACAGCGACAGGACCCAAAGTGAGGAACTTCTGTATGAAACAAAGTTCCTTCAGCTGATAAAGCCTCTGTGATGAGACAGATCCACATATTCAACAAACGGTCTAGTCCAGTGGTTCCCAACCTGGAGGTCGACAAACTTCACAGGGGGGCGTGAGGCCTTCTTAATTTTAAGAGGTGTTAGATTATACACATTAGGCCTGTTTGTCAGCATTTTGTTCATTTCTGTGAAAAAAAACTAGATTATTATATAAGATTTAACACCAACACAACCTTTATTCACAGAGCTTTCACTCTCTGATAAACTAAACTAACTAAATCTGAGTTTGCAGTTAAAACAACCAGAGTTAATAGAATAGCCGAACATCAGGGGAGAAGAAAACACTGAATTTATCAAATAAGAAGCCTATTAAGTATGTATGATGGTTAATAATTCAAAATATAAATAATACAGACTGAGATTTGAATATAAAGTTCCTAAAAATATCAGGAAAACTCAAAATAATCTGCTCAATATTCATCTAAATCGCTGTTTTACACAAACTTCCCTCAGTTGTTGCTTTTAATATTTGTGTTTATTGCACAGTTGTTCAGTTGTTCTTATGTTGTTATTCATTAAATATAATATGAACTATCCATAGTATAAGTCAGGGGTTGTCCGTTTACACAGTGATGGAAAAAGGTCCTGCCTCCACATACCTTAACAGAGTGCAGTAAACAGTCGCCTTTCTCTGTCTGCACCTTGCATATATCACACTCCATTTTCTTCACCTGCACGTTGCCTTTTCCCCGAGTAGTGATGAAGAGATCTGACGAAAACACAGATTTATATGATGACATTTGAAAAGCACCATCAGGATCAATATAACTGACAGGATCCATTGAGACACTCACTACTTTTGATAGGTGCAACCAGATCAATCAACACGCTGCTGTTAACCCTCTCCGCTGAGATGAGCAGCTCTTGGCTCTGCTCATCATAGCGGACGTGTAAGTGATCCAGACCGACCTCCTGCTGCTCGGTGTCCGATCCGTGGACCGCGATCAGGGCTCGGTCCGCCTCCGGGAAGGCGTGCGGGTCCAGGGGCCGAACGGAGATGCTGCAGCCCAGCTGTGCCCGCACGGTGCTGAAGGGGCTCACCTCCACAGCCCAATGCCTCAGAGGCCGGCTTACCTCCTCCTGTGTTGGGGGGCACTTCGATGAGGCAGAGCTGGAGAAGAAGCGTGAAGTGCGTGAAGTGCGTGGAGGGCAGCCGGAGGTTGTCAGTGTCCTGACAGCGAGGGACCAGCAGCGGAGGAGTCCGACACATCCCCGCTGACCTGCTGAGCTCCACAACATGTCTGTCCCCTCCCGGTAAACCGACTCATCCACACCTCAACACCGCTGTTACAGATACTGAACTACACAAACTACACAGATAAACATTCAGACAACATGCACAGTCACAGCGAGCGTCAATATCCCGGTGGACGGCGAGCACATGGGTTTACTTCCAGTAAAGACTTTCAGATTAAAAGCGGCATTTGGAACAGAAGTTGACTTAACAAATAAAAAGTTCTCTTCAGTTTTGGTATTTGTAATTATGTAATTGTGTAAATAGGAAAATTATAATAAGTTGTGAAAAAAAAAATTCTGGAAAAGGGGAAGAAATAAACACACATCAAAGTGAAACACGCGCACACACACACACACACTCACACACACTCTAACAAAATTGTGAGTTGCCGTTAGAATAATAAAAGTCATAGCGATGCACAATAATGGGAAATGAATATGATGTGATACTAAAAAAATAAAATAAACCAGTCAGAACAGTTTTTAATTTGTTAACAATAGTGATATCAGAACAGAGCTTTGAAATTTTAAATTATCCATCTTCGCTCCCTACATCTCAGCCTTTCTTGTCATGAATTGTGCATAAACGACATGTTAAGAACTTGTTTTTAAAATACAAAAACATAAAATTATTGGTTATATGTATCGGTATCTGCCATGAAAAGTAGATAATTATTGGCTCAGAAAATATCCATATTGTGCATCCCTAAAAACTAAACTACCACATTTGTTAAAAGGCTGCGTTGAAGTTAATATATATATTTAAAGCAGGATTTGTTGTAAATGCAAACAATTATATATCATACTTATGTAGTCCTCTGTTATCAGAATCAGAATCAGAAATACTTTAATTTTATTAAATCTTTAATAGAAATTATTTTTGTTACAAAACTCCAGCTACACAAACATCTATTAAGAACAAAATATAAATATAAATATAAATATGTATATATATAAGAAAGATCAAATGTACACTTTAATAGCAACAATACAATAAAATATATAGGTCTAAGTAAATATTTGAATATTCTGTGATGAAGATATTTTCAGTTGACACCAGATTAACCTGCAGGTGTGGTCATGAGGTTTCTGTAAGTCCATAATGTTTCTGTTAACTCTCCGTACCTGTGTGCTGAAATACTACCTGGTCCCAGATGGGACACACCAGAAACAAAGGAACTATAATCCACACATCTCCTATAAGATTGGAGCATTGAGGAGTTCTGTCTCTTTTCTCCACTTTATATTGAAATAATAGTCTAAAGATTCAATGCCAGCAGCCTGGATTCTCCCTCAGGCTTATTTCTTCTTTTAAGTTGAAGGAAAAACCGTGTACTTCCGGTCGTAGTCCGCGTCACTTTAATTAATTTGACAAACCGGATGTTCAATCTTGTGTAAACTCAGCACCGCCCCTCTTTTGATCTTGTCCAATCAGCAGGCCGATGTGAGGAAGTCAGAGGTGACGTCGTTCTCGCCGCAAAGGCTGTCGGGAATTTGAGTCTTGAACCATTTTCTTGCTCATTGACAATATATACATACACACATATACTTATATACTTATATATATATACTTATATATATATATGTGTGTGTGTGTATATTCTTACTGCATGAGAGTTAAACCATAAATCTGTCATATAAAACTGAAAGGTCGCATGTCTTAGAGGAAATTGATTGAACTTTACTTCAACATTGAACTTATTGGTTATTTTGTACTTTGCAGATAATGTCAACATGAAGAAGGAGAAACAAATGCAAAAAACCCCGTGATATTCAATCAATTTTATTTATCTTAACAAAACAATATTAATTATAAAACATCCCAAACAGCTTAAATCAACCATCAGCTGGCTTTCCAGTACTGTAATAATAAAAATATCCCTCTCTGTTACCCGTCAGATTATCTATCTATCTTCACTGAAAATAACTCTTCACAAGAGGATTTCCCCTCTCTCGTCATTAAACACTCTTATTGCATATTAAGGCTATAAAGAGATACTGTGTAATTGGGACTATAACCTTTGTAACTATATGTACATCCTCAGTTATTGTCCTAGTATCCTGTAAACAGATCAGTATTACAGAATCAAACACCACAAGGCGGCAGCATTGTGTTAATAGTGTATAATAACTGTGTGGATATAAGGGTTTTTATTAAATTGCATCTGAAGAGCTTATGGTTAAAGTTAGTAGTTAGACCCTTTTATGTTTATTCCCCCCAACATGCCCTAACAGAGAGTCAACTCATGGTGCAAAGCCCTTCGGTCTGATCATCATCCGGACTCTTTTAAAAGACTGTCTGTCATTTGTGGGGTAATACTCTGTGGATATGTTATGCCACGTCCCCCAGAAAATCCCATCCCGGACCCCTTTGTACTTCCCCACATAGTATCTCCCGTTGAGGTTTGCAGCCATGCAGGCATCAAACCACCAGCCGGAGCTGTAGTAGGCCCCGCAGTTCCCGGACGGATAGCGGTCGTGGTCCCGGTCCGGGGTGGTGAACGCCCTGTTGTTGTGGTCGTAAGTTTTGCTGAAGCGCAGAGCATCACCTGCAGTACCCGAGTACCCGCCTACTGTCAGTCTGTAGCGCATGCGTTCACTCGCCACCCTGAACTGCTCGTACTCTGCGTACTCCATCACCCCGTCAAAGTCCTCCAGCTCCACCCGCAGCGCTATGTCCCGGTCCCGGGTCAGCAGGTGGATCAAATTGTTGCCCAGCCAGAACTCCCCTCCGTCCAGCTCCCCGAAGCCGGATCGGTACTCAGCCCAGGTGCGGTTGAAGCTCACGCTGCCGTCCTGCCGGCGCTGCAGGAGCGTCCATCCTCCTCCTTCCAGCTCCATGTCACAGAAGACCTGGAAGCTCCTGCTGCGGAGGTCAGGGGTCACCGTGTACACTCCGCTCTTTGTCTCCCCTCTGAGCAGGAGGTCGGAGCAGTCTCTCCTCGCCATGGTGACTGCAGGAGAGGAAAACGTCAAAACATGCCCCATCATTTAGAGCAGAGCTGCACAAAGTTACTGTAAGGTTAGATTTTGTTTTGAATAATTAAAAAGAAAAGTTTGATATAATTGTCTATTCTTATGTTTGTGAGGAAGAAATGCTCTTTTAAATATTAAGGATCCCAAATTATTAATTATTTTTCATAATGTGAGCACAGGAAACACACTTTGTGCAGCCAGTGAGTCAATTAAGGGAACCTGGGGATGATACTATTTTGCATCTTAACAATACATACAATAGATATTTGCTTTTGGCCTGTAGACCACCATTAAGTTTCAGTTTTTCGCCCTCCGAGTTAAATAAATTGGGTTTGACAGATTTAACTAAAAAACTCTGCTTTTGCTCTCATATGTTGCAGGTGAAATTATCATCACGCAGCTGTGATTTAGCCGTGAAATACGGTCACAAGTGCAACAGGTCTGTGTAAAACTCATTTTCCACCATAAAAGATTTAGTGTTTTTTTGAAGCCTTTCAAGGTGGACCTCCACAGTAGACACATATATAGCATTTAAAACCAAACCTGGAGTCAAAAAAAATAAAAATGTGTAACTATGAGCCTAAGTTTTCAGTCATATAGTGACTTTGTGCTAAATAAAAGACAAATATACAATATAAACCTATGGACAAATGGAAAAATGCTGGGGACATTTAATTAATATGTAGTGTCTGAACACAAGTGATAAACTGAGATTGATAATTCACGTACTGTAAGTCACTCTCCTGTGACGCATGTTTTTAAGCTGTTAGTCTACACATAGTTGTGGTTTTATCTTTAATCATGCAGACACACACATTTTGCACACGTATGCAGATTCCTCCTGTAGCCATGATGTATGGTGCAAAGATGATCTCAGACCACATAATTATATATATATTAAAATATGAGAATCATTAGAGCTTACCGTGTGGTCCTGTTACCTAAAATCCCTTCAGCTCAGGTCATACCAATTATAAGCACTCAAATACTAATGCGCAACAGTTCCTCAACAGGTTTCTCTCAGCTTGATAACTGTGATGTAATGTCAACAGAAGACAATAGATTCTTAACGAGGCTGGTTGTTGCACATGCCACCTATCTTTCCCTCTAAAACTTAATATGTATCGCTCTTTGTGCTGTGAGTATTAATGTATTTTTTTGTGTTGTTTACTGTTATACATGCTAATATAATCATATTGTATGTATCTCCACTTATTTCAGTCACCCTCTTCTATATCCCCTCTGTTGTGCATCATTCAGCTCTGTGAGTGCTTTTCCTGAGTAGATGGAGTATTGTGGAATAAGGAATACTCAAAATGTATAATTATGTAGTTGTCACACTAGTTTAGTGCAAAAATCTGCACCCCTTCTGTGGCTAATGTTAATTTCATAATGATACTTAAAGCCTGAAGTCAAGCAGCAAACGTTAATGGACTAATGCTTCTTACTGGCCCATATTAACTTAATATGCAAGAGTTTCTGGCACAGGGCTTTCATCCTTTGCTGGATCTCTGCATAAAATTGCCTACTTTATGTGTGAATTCAAGGTTAAACATGCATACAATGACACAGATGGTGTTCAAAGTAATGTCTCTTGCCTTTAGGTGGTATCAGTGTTGGCAGTGTGTCCGTCCTGTCAGGCCTGCTGCCTCCATGCTTGTCCTCTGGGTGCTCTTTGGGACGCCTGTCCAGTGGACTTCCATTTGGACTCAGGCTGTTATTGAAGAAAGCAGCCACCTGGTTGATTTTCACCCGCAGCTCACGTGCACTGGGAGTGGAGGCTTCGGCGTCCAGGGGCCCGGGGCCAGAGGTGGCAGGGCCTGTTGACCTGAGTTCAGGGCTGGTTGTGGAGGTAGTTTGGGCAGTGGGGGAAGGGACTGGAACCATCATGTTGTCTGGTTTTGGAGTTTCTTTTGGTGCTGTCTCCTCCACATTGTGAAGTATCTTAGCTTGTAACCTGGAGTCAGTATTAGAAGCTTGTTTTGGCTTTGTTGATCCTGGGCTGGTGCTAGGGATAACACTCGGGAGAATCCCACGCATGATTTTGTTTGGTGTTGTTGTCATTGGGGTCGATAGTGGTTGACCAGCTGTTTGTGGCCTCAGATCAGACGTAAGCCTGCTGTGTGGGCTCGTCGTGAAGCCTTCAGAGAGAGTATGAATGCGAGGGAAGGGCCCAGTCTCCTGGCTGCCAGAGGTCTTTGGACCCAGAGTGATAGTTTTCATCTTACTGGGACTTACCTCCGTGTGCCCGGGAGACTGAGTCACATCAGAAATCTGTTTTACAGGGTCAGAAGCAGGTGGCATGTCAGTTTGAGACTTGTGGATATCGTCTGACGTAGTCCTGCTGATCTGAGGAGGATCTAAATCTGTTTCGGCCTTTGGACTTGGCTTTAGTTGCAGTGCTGGTTTTGGCATTTGAACAGGTGTTGCTCCTGGCTTGACTGTCATCCTGGTTGGTGGCCTGTGTCTGGGGGGAGGCTTCGATCTGGATGTTTTGTTGGACTCTGCTTCAGGGATTTCATCCGGCACAGATTTGGGGTTAAGATTAGGTATTTGCTCAGGCCAAGGTGTTTTAAACCCTTGATTGGTTCTTGGTGTTTGTTCAGGTTTAGGCTTCACATTTGGTTTAGTTTTTGGGCCTGTTGTGAGCTCTGGATGTTTTTGGTTTGGTTTAGGTGCTTTGTTTATTTTGGGGATTTTCTGGTTTGGTTTAGGTTTTTGATCAGGGGGTTTGATCGGTGCACGATCAGGTGTAAGCCTTTGTCCAGGCGTTGAGTCTTGGGCTGTTTTAGGCACTGACAAAAGATTTCTATCAGAATTTTCTTGTAATTCTGTCACAGGCATTTCGTTTGGTGGTTTTGGCGTGAGACTAGTTGTTTCACTTCGTTCAGGTTCAGGCTCTTGAACAGTTGTGAAATACTGATCAGGTTTAGTTTTTTCTTCACTTTTCGGCTTTTTGTGAGGTTTCTGCTTTTGGTCAGGCTTGTCGGTTTTCAGGGGATTAACCGGCTTTTTCTCAGGTTTTGAGTTTTGATTAATATTTGGCTTTCCAGCAGATTCAGGCTCTGTCTCTGTGACAGGGTCTTTGCCAGAACCAGTTGTGTTTACAGTTTGAGGTCGTTGTTGAGATGTAGGTCTCTGGACTGGAAGCACAGGCTTTTGATGAGATCTTGGCTTTTGAATAGGTAACTGGTTTGGATCAGTTCTGTGTTCTTGATCACGTTTAGGTATTTTAGTGTTTTCAAGAGTTTGATCAGTTGGTAAATTGTCAGGTGAAGGTCTTTGATCAGGTTTTGGATTTTGGCCTCGTTTCGGGTCTTTGCCAGGTTTAGATTTCTGGTCAGTTGTAGGTTTTTGGAGAGAAGGCTTCTGCTTTTGGTCTTGTTTTGTTTTTATGTCAGGCAAAGAAGCTCGATCAGGTTTGTGCTCATTCTTAGGATTCATAAGCTTTTGGTCTGCTTCAGGCTTAATTGCAGGTTTATGCTTTTCACCTGGCTTTGGTTCTCGGCCTGGTAGAGGTTTTTTTACGCCAGTCTTAGTGCTTGAGCTGATGTTCTTTTTAGCTGTCCAACGGCTGGGGTTTGCAACTCCTGGGAATGTAGTTGTGTATAAAGCCAGATGAGGAGTTGTGGTGGTTGTAGTTGCCGTAGTTGAGCTACCTCGACCCTGGAAGCCTGCCCCAGGTCTTGCGGTTGTTGGAGAGGTGGACCTAATAGCACCACTGGTTATCTGCTGTCCTGGCCCACCCAGTGTGCTTACAGTAGCTATTTGTTGGCCTAGTTGTGGTCCTAAAGCCTGCCTCCGCCTCAGGGCTTGAGGGCTCAGAGAGGCCTGTACTTTGGGTTGGTAGTCCGTCAGCAGTTATTGCCATCCCTTGATTGACAACTGTGTTCAAATGTGAAGTGGAGCTGGATAAAGGAGGAGGTGGAAGAGATGACGTAAGGGTTATAGCTTCGTTTGAGTCCATGGAGTCATGCCTCGCAGCTGAACTAATGGTAGAGTGCGGAGTCTGGCTGATTGAAACAAAGTCTGTTCTCTCAGTTTCTTTGCTGGATGCTAATTCTCCATCACTGTCTCGCTGCACACTCTGGACCATTTTTTCTCCTTCTGTTTTGATCTCCTTTCCTGTCTCCCTGTCCTCCACCTCCCCCTCTTTTATAGTCTTCTCTTTTTCTGTGTGCCCGGTTCTTTCAGTCTGTTTTGGTTTCTCATTATTTAGCTCCACTTTTATTCCCTTTTCCATTTCCTTTTTCCTCTCCTCCCCGTGCTGCTCTTGCTCCTTATTTGTATGCTCATCATGGTCCTCAGACATCTTTATTCCATCACTGGCCCTGTCTTCTTCAGTTTGGGTCTTTTTCTCTGTTTCCTTTGTTTTATCTCGCCATACAGTACGGTCGCTTTCTTCTGTTTTCTCCTTATTTTTTGTGTTAGTTGTAATCTTCCTCCCCTTTCCATTCTCTAACTTATCACCTCGATCTCCCTTTGAATTCCCTTTTCCATCTTTTTCCTTATTTCTATCAGTCTCTCTCTCCCTGTTATTTTTTTCAACAACCTTTTTTCTGTCCATATCTATTATTTTGTCATTTTCACCAGCAGTTGGCACCTTTTCCTGTCCATATTTGTTCTTTCCCTTTGCCCTGTCTGTCTGAGTTTTTCCATCTTTTCCTGCCACTTCTCTTTCGGTTTCTTCATTCTCATTTTCTTTTACGACCCCTTTATCACTCTTCCTTTCTGCTTCCCATTTCTTTCTCCCTTTCTCTTCCAAACTTGTTCTTTTTTCGGACTCAGTGTCACCATCTCCTTCCATAGTATTTTCTGCTTTAACCCTGTCTGTCCCACACTCCTGGCTGAAATCTTTTAGTCTCTCAGCATTTCTCTCATTCAGCAAGTCCCTCTCATCCTCATATCTATCCGTACCCTCATTCAGCTTTTCATGCTCTCTTTCTCTTTGCCTCCCACACTCTCTCTCAGTTTGGCTTACTGTACAATCTGCACACATCTTCCTCAGTTGATCCACATTGTCCTTCAGCTTCTGCAGATCCTTTACGATCTTCTCCAGCTCTCTGAGCTGCTTTGGCAAATGGACAGTCAGTGGCGGCAGACTGAATAGGTAGGGGCACATGCTCTCATCCTGCCCCTGTCTGCACAGCCCCTCAGGTCTCAGAGTTGCAGCGCAAGGCCCAAATCCATTATCCCCCAGGAGGTCTCCTTCATCAGAGTCCGCTGTGGTCCAAGAGAGGCTCAAGAAAGCCAGCAGGGTCCAACATACGCACAGTGCTGTTAACCTCATCACGTCCTAATAGTAAAGAGTAAAAGGAGAGGCGGGAGAGAGTGTTAAAAAGACCCACCTCAGTTTGAGAAGCGCAGTGACAGTGAGAGGAGGAGGTAAGGTGGGAGGGAGAAGAGGAGGGAGGGGGAACTGATGGAGCTGTTCGGTGGAAAGTGAATCTCTGAGAGAAATGAGGAGTGAGGAGCTTTGAGAAGGAAACAGGTGAAAAAAAATAGAGAGAGGGAGAAGAGGAATGTGTGGATGTACTTCTCAGTAGATGGTCTCCGTGAGATAGTGGATGATAAGCATGAAGCGTGAGGAAATGGTAAAATATTTTTACTTTATAACATAAGCAGAATTAACCGTAACAGTTCAAAATCCATCATGAAAAAGCACAAACTGTGAAAGCTTTCGAAAGCATGTGTTTTATTGTAATCCTATTATTACATTCCAGTGTATCTCATTGTAATCACATCACTTAATGAAGACCATTTGTAATGCATTCTCACTCCATGCTGTAGCATCATGGCCTTGCATATGCATGTGTGTCACAGTTGCTTTGGCAGGCGCTTCCCGAGCTTCCTGTTGGTGGATCCACAAACATGTGAGTGACAGATGCGACAGGTCAGAATATGCATTTGAAGCAAAATATTGGCCGCTGGGCCTGAGCCAAGAGTTTGTTACTCAGATTTGTAAGGACGTATTTCATTTTACTGTAAGCTGTGTGGTTTAGTCCAGCTTCTGAGTAATGAAAGTTAGGAATGTCAGATTTATCCAAGAGGGCGGCTTGATTCACATGCAGTGCAAGGGGAGAGACATTTCTCATGTGCTATTGACTTTATTCGGACAGTACTAATCCTCAACAAGTGTCGAGAATTGGTGAGGCAATCTCAGGGTGGAGAAGCTAAGCTCACTGTGTGCAGACTGTCTCTCCATGTAAGACTTTGGTGCTGTGCTAATTCATTGTGTCTACATATAGTCAGAAAAAAAGAAAGAGAGAAAACACAGTCACATGAACTAAATGAGGCATCTGCTTGGCAGGGAGTTTAGATAATGAGGCTTTAGTTTCTCGGGGTGTAAATGTCAGTCCCACCACAGGATATGAGATATGAGTGATAGCATGCAATGCCAGCGTTTGATGTTTTTTAGAAATTTGTCAGTTTTTAATGCTTGATAGGACACTTAAATTGTCTTGTTTTTAGACTGCGATGAAACGTGAACCTTTCGTTCTGTCTCTTGGACTGGCCAGTTGCTCGAGGCTGGAGAGATTTCTCAGCTGTCCGTTAATAATGACAAAGGAAACCATTTGTTTAGCAAGAGGACTGTGGGAAGCATCAGGTTAGAAATGAAAAATGAGTTAAGGAGGAAGAAAATGACTCAGTAAAGAACAGCAGTGACCTTCAAGTTCATAGTTACGTTTAGAGAAACAGCACTTTGTAAGAGCAACCTCAAATGCTACAGTTTGCAGGTCTTGTAATCCCTGCATATAAAGGTGTTAACTATCTAATCAAACTTGTATATGACTTTGCATTGCAACTCGGGCCCTTCGTTCTCCTTCTGTGCTAACGCAGCTATGAGCTCATTTGACATTTGACAACTGTTGACCGGATAAAAGCCAGGAATAAGTATCCTTTCACCTTTCACAGTCACTTCAATTCTTCAACACTTACACAGGGAAATAGTGTGAGAGAAATGTTTACACTCTCGAGAGACTTCTGTCAGAACACTAGGCCGTTTCGATTTATTATCAAAGAGCCACATCTTTAACAGCACGGCCAAGCATAAATCTCAGACAGTCGCAGCTTAGCCACAACAAACTAACCTGATGCAGAGGCTGCATGAGGGATGATAATGATTAATGCAGTTGATTAAGGTTAACAGGGTCAATTCATTTGATATTAGCCAACCTAAATGAATCAATTTTGTCTTCTACAGCAGCAGAGCACAGCCAGGAACGCTATTATTCCCAATAATACCCTCACTCCTGGCTTTACCCATTTATGGACAGCAGTTTTTTTTCTCCTCAGGGTGCCCTCTTGGGATACAGTGTTTTGAATTCCCCCAGTGAGCTGGCTTGGCCCACTCTCTGTCCTGGATTGTGTAAACACTGTGGTTTTTTCCATTCAGACTAGAACAAACATCTGACCATCAGTCCAGCTTTGCTGCCTGGGCTTCCTGGCAGACCACTTCATCTCCCTCCACTTTGGGCAGAGGAGCCAGTGTCGTCGGTCATGTCTGTTATGTGCATAAGTGTCCCATTTCCAGCTGAACTGGAGTAAACCCAGAGACTGTTGTAGCGCAGCGCCAGCCTCTTGTAATACCACACTCAGCCTGCCTGCCTGAAGGTATGAACCTACCTGGACAATATTATTGTACGGACTCACTGTTTGCATGGCAGGAACCAATAAACATATTCATTTAGAAAAACAGTTATATGATACAACACCTGCCTGATCAGAGTGCATCAGTTTAAAATTAAAAAGTGTCACTCCGCTTCTCTTTCTTCCTCTGTCTCGCACACACATATTCATATTGATATGAATCGTCCATTGCCAAGTCCTTAATTCTTCAGTAACCGATACATTCCTTCGCCATGTGTAAGAAGGTTTTTCAACTGTCAATTGACTGATAGTGGTTCTTGAAAATGAAACAACCAAGTGTCCCTCACATCTGGATTTCCTAGAGCTTGCCAACACCAGATAACGTCAGGTCAATTTGTTTCTGATCCAAAAGCCTGGACTTCATTAAGACTTTGTTTGAAATTTATATTTAAGAATCCTTGTCCTGATGAAGGATAGGGATAGCGAGTGTAACGTGGGAACAGGTTATCTGCTGCTGTCCCCTTCTGCCCCGCAGGAGTGGACTCTGAGGTGAAAGTTGACATTCTTTAGACCCTGAAAATGCACAAGAAATAAGTGGGTATTTTTCCATGACAGAAGAGAATATTTTACATTTTTAAAGTATGTTTTATAGCAGTAAACCTTCTATAAAGACACTTATTTCCCAGCTGTGGTTAATATAAACCATGTGGATGGACTAGATGTGAATGCACAGAAGGGTGTGACTGAGTGCATCGCAAAAACAAAAGTTTGTTGACCTTTTCCCTTCTCTCTACCAATTTATAGGAGACGTTAGTCTGGTAAAAGTAATTACACTGAAGGTCAGTGGTGGAGGAAGTATTCAGCTACTAACAATAACACACTGCACAAGTACTCAATTTCAAGTAAATCATGGATTGAAAATTATATTTAAGTATAAATACAGTATTATTAACAAAATGTACTAAAGTAAAAATACCGAATGCAGAAAACTGCTCCCTGTGATTGTTATGGCATTAAATATCATTGTATTAGATTGTTTTTACTCAAGCATTATGTGTAAGCAGCATTGTACTATTACAGCTGGTTGAGTTGAACCTTCAATCAAACTTTATTGTATAGCAAATTTCACACAGTTTAATGCAGTTCAAAGTGCTTCACAGATGACCGACAAGCCAATAATAAGACAGAATGGAATAAAAACTAAATAAGATACATTTAAAAATAAAATAGAGATAAAAATTACAATAAACTACTTTTAACAAGTACAACAATAATGTTAAACATTGCTTTGCATGTAAAATCTTAATCTGCAGAGCCGCCATAGCTGTCAAATAAATACAAAGCAGAATACTTGTATATGAATTGTTGTAGTGCAGAAGTATAAAGTTGCTTAAAATGGAAATACAAGTACCTCAACTATGTACTTGACTACAAACTTTCCACCACTGCTGAAGGTGCTATAAAGGATTAATCTCTCCGAACCGCCTCTTGTTATTGGAACCAAAAATAACCTTTATTTTATTATCCTGCAAACTGTGTCTTCTTCCCTATGGCAACCGTTTAAGTGTCAGTGCTGAGTGTAGCATTCACCCAATGAACAATTTGGGTCAAAAGAAATAAACAAATCTCATTTTAGAGTAAGCCAATGTCAGCGCTGATGAACAATGTGTACACTACCTTTCCAATCTTCCTGGCAGATTAAGGCTCCTTCTTTTAGTGGCTGCAGATACAGACGAGAGGAGCATATAAAATGGATGTGGACTGGAGGGGAAAGGAACCATTTGACACAACAGCTAAGAGAAATTCAACATTTCCACATCTCTGCAGGATTTGTTTCTGTTTTCTGTCATAACAAATTGATATTTTTCATACAATATTAGTATGTTATGAAAGAAAGCATTTAGGCATTGGGTTGAAATTTTAATCACATAATGTTGACAATAAATTAATAATAGTACTAAGATCTTGGATGCAATAAAAGTAGTGACTAACCAAGTGTTGTGCAATAGAGATATAAGCACACCTCCAAACATTTGCAATTGTGCTGGTTTTTTCCAGAAGATACAGCTGTGAGGGTCAGTGGTTGTGATGGGGGAAAAATAAAATAAAAAGTCCCTCAATGTATTTTAATAACCATACTGCCACCTAGTGACATTTTAAAGAAATATCTCAGAAGACAAACTAATTCTGTACATTTGAATTAATAAACTGAAGACTTTAAAAGGTCCAGTGTGTATAATATTCATAGGTATGTTTTCATCAGTGTTTAATCACCTGAAAGTAAGAATTGTGTTTTTGTAACCTTAGAATATTTCTACAGTAGCCCAGAACGAACAAACCGAACACTGGCTCTAGATAGGGCCTTTTGTATTGTTCACCATCATTTCTCCTAGAGATCTCCGCTAGATACCAATCAACCCAACACACCGGCCTTTTAATGTATATGTAGTATATAGTTTTTTTCACACTGTGCAGAAATCTTATTAGTTTTTGATGAAAATAATACACAACAAACACTTTATGCATAATGTACCAGCTATTTCTGGTAAGACGTACCATACAGCTGCAAATTAGATAATAAATAAAAACTTTCCTGGTGCATTTGTTGACATATGAATACACTTATAATAAAATTAGTATCTCGCAATTAAATTGTAAATATATACAATTGATAACTTTCTTTATTGTTTATGGCAGTAAAATGTAACCATTCATTAACCATCACATCATTTTTACACAGTGTAGCAATACCATAAATTATACATATTTTTATTTTATATTTTTGTTGTTGTTCAGATTATTAAGCCCTCTATGGCAAATTCATTTTGTACTATATAGATAAAATGGACTTGACTTGTATCCAAAAACAAATAGCCAGAAACAAAAAATAAAATAAACAATAATTAGGCCACAATTAATTAAATAAGGAATAATACTGAAAATGCTATGTAGTTTCTCACTGTTTAGTCAGTTCTGATTCTTCTGTGGTTAATGTCAATTTCCTAATGATCCTTACTCCCTGAAGACAATGTACAAATATATTTATAAACACAGGGTGTTATTAAAACCTTTTTTGTACTGTAATTTAAGATTTTATGGCCAACACAGAGTACATTAAAAGAAAAGAAGCAATACAGCGTCTGTATCTGATCAGAAAACTGGATTCATATGACATAAACATTTTTTTCTAGAGGCTGATTATTTAAGTCTTATTGAAAGTGTTTTATCTTTTAATGTCAGGGACAAAAACAGACTGTGGAGAATTCACAAACACGACCAATAAGATTGTTAGGAAAGAGCAGAAACAACTGGGATGTGTCTACAAAAGGCAGGTGAGACAAAAAGCCAGACAAATTGTGTCTGATCCTGCTCATCCCCTGGTTTAATGCATTTATAAAACTGCCCTCTGGAAGGCGCTATAGAGCAATTACAGGAAACATACAACATTTATATATATAAAAAGTATTTCATAACAAATAAAATAACTTTGCTCACACGGGAACCTTATTGTCTGTACTGTGCATTATTTATTATTGTTTGTATTGTGATTTATAATAATGTGTTTTAATAAGCCTGTAAAGCCAAAGCCAGATTATTATTATTATTATTATTATTATTATTATTATTATTATTTTACCGGGCCTATTTCTTTAAATAAAACACACATTTGTGGATAAAAGATAAAGTACACCTGCACAGTTGAGTGCTGCTCTCTCGTCCTACAGCCTGTAAACAATCCCTCTCTCCGACGCTCTCCCTCCTCCGTGCGTCGTTACGTAACTCGCTTCAGGCCCCGCCCCCGCCGGCCTGGCTCTCGCGCACCAGTTACGTCTAACCGTAAAAAATAGAAACTTCCAAGATGGCCGAGGCCGTGGACTCCATGCATTTCGCAGCAAACAGCAAAACAAATTCTCCTAAACCCTTGATAGCTAAGCGGCCGCCGGAGAGCCGACCGCAGTCTTCCAGCGACATTTACCCGCCACCTCCTAAGAAGGTCCGGGTGGAGGAGCGGGGCCTGAAGCACAGGAAACTGAACGGAGAGGTGTGCGCAGGGGAAAAACACAACGGGAAGCAGAGTTGTGGGAGCCCAGCGAAATGGAGTTTCGGCCCGGCCAAGGCGAGCCACTCCACCGCCGCCGCGTCGGCGACAACCACCCCGGCTCGGAAAATCTTCAAAATCAGCAACTTCCTCGCCTCGCCGCCCAAAGTGAAGAAGGCGAGAGAGAAGCGACACAAGGAGAAGGAGAAGAGCGGCGAAGCGCAGCAGCAGCGGAGCTCCGCCGTCGGTGTGGAGAGAGTGAGCCCAGCTAGCTGCCATACAAAGACCGAGAACGGCGACATGAAAATGCTACAGAGCGGTAGGAGACACAGGACCCCACACACACACACACACACACACACACACACACACACACTAGGCTGCTATAAAAAAGACAAACAGTTTATACTCTCATTGTGAAGTAGTTAGTGGAGCAATGTTGTCTTTTAAAAATATATTTTTGTTAGATTATTACATAATTTTCTGTCTCTTTACCATAGGCCCCCTGTATTTATTAGGCCCAGATGTGGTGATATTACATACATTTATATATATATATAACACGTGGAGATGTTTGTTTCTCTCTCTCTCTCTCTCTGGTGGACTCACTGTGTGTGTGTGTGTGTGTGTGTGTGTGTCTCCTCTTCTGCTCCCTCTCTCCAGCAGATCACCGTGTGAAGGAGAAAGACAGGGAGAAGAAAAAGGAGAAGAATAAAGAGTGGAAAAATCACAAGTTGCCACCTGTGCATGACATTGCGAGAGAAAACGGGGAGGTGATTTCTCAACAGAAAGGTGGGGATTCACATCTAATGTCAGTCATTTGGGGTGAAAAAGGTGATTTTATTGGGTTAGTTTGGCAAGAAAATTTAATTGTGTTAAATGTGATTTGCATGGATTCAGTGTTAGAGGTGTAACTTTGCTTAAAGTCACTCAGAACTAATTGTATAGTAAGTCAACGTAATTTGATCTTTAATAATATGTCAAAAATTTGAATTAAATGTTCATTTTTAAGAGGATTAAATGCTGTAAATGTATAAAGTTTCTGTATATTACAAACAGTAAGTGTACATTGATTTACAGTCACATTAAAACATGACATAGTTGAACAAATATTCTTACTTTTACAAAGAAAAAAGTTGTCAGAGTTCAGTAGTCTTAAATATATAATGTTGTTTAATGAAATCCTAACTTCAGCTACACACTATAAGGCCTGAAATGATACAAACATAGTACTTAAAAACATCTTATCTTCTGTCACAGAGTCTACGGAGAAGCCCAAAGCTGGTTCAGACGAAGACCTCCTGTTGAAGAAACTCAAGAAAAAGAAGAAAAAGAAGCACAAAGATGGCGAGCGGGTGAAGGAGAGACACAGCCGGCCCAAAATGTATCACCGCTCATGCCAGACGGTGTGTTCGGGAGTGTCTCTGGCTCTGCCCGAGTTCCTCGGTCGAATCAACGGGAACAACAACAACAACAGCATCAACAACAGCAGTCTACTCCACTCCAACACATCACAACAGCACCACCAGGATCCTCTTGTTACTGCCGCTACCTCCACCTCCATCTCCTCCATGGTCAGGGACAGGCTCGGCTACAGCTCACCGCTCCACTGCACCCCGGCGCCGGGCCTGCCCGGTCTGGAGTTCGGGCACCTGATCCACATCGAACAGCAGGCCAACGGAGGGGCGTCTGTGGCGCACGCCTACAGCGAGCAGCTCTCCTCCCTGTCTCCGGCTGAGATGCAGCGCTTCGCCCAGGAGTTCGTCACCCTGTCGTTCAGCGAGGACGAGGCCCAGGCGGCGTGTTTTGTGATGGGAATCATACACGGAGCGGCGTCCTACCTCCCAGACTTCCTGGAGTACTTCTCCTACAAGTTCCCCAACGCGCCAGTGAAGATGGAGGTGCTCGGGAAGAAGGACATAGAGACGACGACCATGGTCAACTTCCACTCTCAGGTAAGATGATTGTTTCTGTTTTTTTTTTTTTGTGTCTCTTAGTGGCAGATGCAGGAAGAAGGCTGAGTGTAAGAGGAAGGCTGAACTGTCCACTTTGATACTGTGAAGTGTCAGTTTGTAGTCTGGAGGTGTGAGCAGCGCAGACTCAACTGCCACGAGCTGAAATAACACGTCACAGGTTGTTTTTGAAGTAATCTGTGTGTCAGTCTGTGTCCAGACTGTTGATGTGTAGAGCTTTTCACGCTCCCTCGAGCCGTCTTTACTCCAGTGTTCAAAGTGTTTCAGCGTCCAGGTGGAGCAGTGAGCCCCTGTGTGTGTGTGTGTGTGTGTGTGTGTGTGTGTGTGTGTGTGTGAGAGTGTGAGAGAGTGACGTTGTTTGTCACTGAACATAATGGTTTCTTGAAAAGCTCGTCTGTTCTTGATAGTGATTATATGGCACCTTCAGTTGGAGTTGTGGTATCGTCGTCAGCCTCTGAAGATACTGTAGAAGACAGTTTAATCGTCTATTGAGTTTAAAGTTATTGTGTGTAACTAGTTCTTTATCGTAGTCTTGGTTTGTGTTGATGATTTTGAGTTTGCTGGGGAGGCAAATCAGCTCAGTAGGCGTCAAAGTTAAAAGCGAATAAAATAAAAAAAACCTTCTTTTTATTAGTATTAATTTGGCGATAGGATAATGTATCATGACACGAGGGTTACAGTTCAACATACTGCGATAAATTGCAATACTGTAAGAATGGAGATATACTGCGATTTGTTTTTTAAAATAGTATAAAATATAGTATAGTCATAGTATAAAGAACACATAACACCATATGCATAAAATCTGTATGAATCCATGCAACCAGAGCGGTGAGATCTGTATTTGTATTTATCAAAGTCCCTGTAAAATCCAAATTCATAACCCTCAGTTTACATTTACAACACTACTACTCAGCTGTTGGCGGGTTTAACCACCAACATCACAAATCAAAATATTACAATACGATATCTTACACCCCCTTTAATTAATGGGTGGTTCATGTTCTTTTTATCTCTTCACTTCTCCACCAGTGCTTGTTAATCATAATCTTGTGGTGCTTTATTGTTTAGGAGTTTCTGATCACTTTGAATAGGTGTGAAATTATACTCTTTGACTTATTCTTTAAAGGATGTAGTGTTCTTTCCTAATGTAAAATCGTGTGATGTGAATTTATGTGACATAAAGATATAAATAGGATTTTGTCATAGATCAGAAAATACATTTTGAACACCAGTGCATGCTGCTCAGTCTAAGATTAATGTTTTCTTTATGAAGAAGTGACACTCTAAACAGTGTTTCCCTCCTGCATGTGTCAGAAATATATTAATGTCAACTCTTTTATAATAAGGTACAAATGTCTGAAGAAGTGCCCAGAATCTTCTCTTCAAATTATTTATTGATGATTAGAAAATATCTGTTTATATCTTCCATAAATTCAAGCATGATTAAGAAACCTGATGCACCTGAGACAGCAGTTTGTTAAATTATAGTTCCTAAATTATAATATGTCAGAAATTATCCTATGTGTCTATCCTAGTGTCATTTAACTTCCACACCTTGATGGAAAATCTGTAATTTTAGAGAACAGTTTTCCAGTCATGGAAACACCTAAAAATTGGTTAAAGTGACCCAATATCCTGGAAATGATCTATTTCGTCCTGTAAAATGTTCGATTTGTATTTTAGCCCCTCACTGAGATCGCCCACATGAACCTATTGGTGTGTGTTTTGTTTGAAACTTGACAATTGGTAGCTGTATGACACTTCAAAGCGGGTTAACCAGACGTAAAGCGGAACGGAAAAAATGTTTCATAAGCGCTCCCTTTTCCTTTTGGTCACGTCAGTCAACCTATCTGTTCACTCCAGGCGTGGAGTGGACTTGCAGCGATGTTTTTCGGTGTCATGATGAGACTTAAGCATGTCATAATTAAACAAAACCAGAGTTAAAGTCAATGCTAGGCCTACAGGTAAATTATTAAGTGCTGTCCTGAATTGTCGAGGAAAAACTCCTGGAAAATTATTTCTAAAAAAGAGTGGGAACGCTGTTTAAACATTTTTAGATATTGAGAGAAGAATCATAAGGTCAAGAAAACCTAAAATTACATGTATTCATGCCAGCGACCCCTCACAGGGAAGACATTTTTTTTCCCACAGGGTCTCTCTGTCTCTCCCTTGATCGCACTGATACTCTGCGTGCTTTGTAATCAGATATTGCTTCAGCTCGTCTGGCATCATGACTTCCTCTGCTACCAACACAGGGCAGATGGTGCATTTCATCCTGTTGCTGTTCTCAATAAAAACTAAACTCGGTAGAACTGTCATCATATTTTCTTATTTTAACTGCTTTGGGTGTTACATGATGGTATGGACTTTGTTTTCCATGCCAATAAACAGTGTTGAGATGGTGAAGCAACAGTTCTCAGGGCCCCTCGAGGTTGGGACTGATTGATTCATGACTGCGTTTGATGTTAGACTGACTTGATTTAAGCTTAAATGCAGGAGTAATGGATACAGGATTACATGTATTTTATTGCATAGCTTGACTCAAGAGGCTTAAAGATACAATATGTAAAGTTTCTGCATTAAAATGTCTATAAAAACTATGTTATATATTTGTTTGAGGTGTGAACTAACAGTAACTGTTTACAATAATGTTCAAACTCAGAGAAATCTGTAATTTTATTCAGGTAACGTTTCACTGGTCGCCTGTCAGTGGCGTCGTATCCTCTCTGCACATGCATTAGTGTTGTGGTTGTCTGCCAGAAGCTGTTAAATAGACTTTTTATCCAGTTCAAGCCCCATTTTTATGATACACTTTTTAGCTCATTTTGTCATTTTGAATTATCAGAGAAACAATCTAAGCTCTGGGACGTCCTTTGTTTGCAAGTCAGTGTTGGAGAAACACAGATTTTTAGAGGAAACTGCTTTATTCTGTGTTTTTCCTGGTTTTAATCACCTGTTTGTTTTGGAGAGGACGAGACCTTCTGCTTCCGGTAAAAAAACAACAACTCCTAAACAATGAACACTGAAGGAAACCGAGAGAAGCTGCCTTCAAATGATGGCATTTGTTATCGTTTTGATGGGAGAGAACCCCCTTTAAGCGGCAGAAATTATTGGATGTTTAAACATGTGCTTTTTAATAATACAGCACAGTTTTCTCAGTGTTTTGTTCCTCCGGGCGTTTGACCCCGGGGGGGTCTTTAGTTCTCACTTTGGGAATCATCCTGGCATCTTGTGCTGCTGCAGCATGTCTAGACTTTGTTTTCCTAAATTTATAAGCAGTTTTTATTGACTCAGTAAACGAGGTCGAGTACATAGAAAAGATTTACTATAAACAAAATTAAACAAAGGTAACAGGCTTTTTAATGAACAACTGTCTTTTCTTTAACACATTGGCAGTCGTTAAATATATATTTACAGGGCAATATCAATTTAGTCAGCTAGTGTCAAAATCTATCATCGTTTAAAAGCCAAAATCTAACTCGTATTCCTGCTTTTCAGACAATATTCTAGATTTATTTGCTTGTACATTATTTTTAACATTAGTCTGTACGTAGCGTAACACAATAACCGGTACCGTGTACTTTACATCGAGGATATTTTACTGTTGTGTTGTGTATGTAGAGGAAGCTTTAATGCCACACAGTCACAATTGCACACATGGCTTATTGATAAGTCAGTAATAATAAATAAAGAAAAGCAATAAACAACAATAGCAGTAAGTACAAAAAAAATACTGCAGTACACAACCTGTCATTGTTGTAATTCTCTAAAATAATCGAGCAGCAGTGAGAAGAGGAAACCAGAAACCCTGTCACATGTACAGCAAGTTACAGGCCAAATTACAGTTTGTTTAAAGAGCCGATAAATTATGGAAAAAACACCCCTTTAGTGGCGCCTCTAGAGAGGTAAATTGAGTAAAAACGCATTGTATAAAGCATGCTGTGAGTTCGGTAAGATGATATGAGCCTTTATGTGAGTATATTCACACACACTCAGTTTATATTTATTTTTTTCATATTGTAACACACCACAAACTAAAACTTCAAAATGATCAGCAGCCTGATTCCGACACATAATAAAGGTTTATGAGCTCTTCTGAGGCAGCAATGTGAACGCTTTTATGTTCAGCTGAGCCTTAGTGTCAATGTGGGACCAGTGTGAGCCTGTGGTCTGTTTTTTTATTTATTTTCTCTTCCCATTTTCTAGATTTGATAGTGTAATCCACAGTCCACTAATTTGTCTGTAGTCTTTTGTTCCTCAGAGTAACAATAGCTTTGCCTTTAATTGGTCCTGTGTTGACATTTTCCTCTCTTGATGACTGTAAAGTGTCTTAAAGCTCAACCTAAATCTTTGTATTTAAGCTCCTGTTAACAACAGAGCAGATGCTTGGTACTTTATTAAAGGCAGGTGCACGGGAAAGGTCACAGCACTTATGTTAAGAGCACACTGACAATGCCAGCCTCAATTGTTAGACAGACAAGTTGTCTATAAAGATGCTTATGATGTTTTTGAAAAGGTCTCAACTGGCAGTAAAGTACATGGCAGGTTTAGATGTGTCAAATTAGGATATTTTGATACTGATCCGTCTTCTCTGTGATCCCCCCCCCCCGCAGGTGAAGCGGACATATTCCCAGGGAACATACCGTGCCGGGGCCATGCGGCAGGTCAGTCTGGTCGGGGCTGTGGACGAAGAGGTTGGAGACTACTTCCCCGAGTTCATCAGCATGTTAGAGGAATCTCCCTTTCTGGAGGTTAGTGTGTTTGTTATGTGTTATGTAAACACCCTTACGGTCCGTAGACGTTTGTCTCACTTTTCTCTGTCTATCGCTACAAGTCATTATGTGACTCCAAGTTTCTCACCCTGTGTTTATGCAGCGGACACTGCCCTGGGGAACGTTCTCCAGTCTGCGTCTGCAGAGCCCCACTGAGAGCGACGACGGCCCCATCATGTGGGTCAGACCTGGAGAACAGATGATCCCCATGGCAGACATGCCAAAATCACCCTTCAAAAGGAAAAGGTGGGTTGACATATTGAGTCTGTAAATGTTTGTCGGAGCACAGGTTGTTATCATCTCACCAGCATCCTCATTAAAAAAATTTAATGAGTTTAAAGTAAAGCTGCAAAACCAGTGAAATGCTTTCAGCTTATCTTTCAACACCACATGCCATGTTACACATGTATTTAATCATGCCTTTAACATATCCTGACTCTTGTGAATAAATGTATTTCAGGTCCACCAATGAGATAAAGAACCTGCAGTATCTACCCAGAGCCAGTGAGCCCAGGGAGATGCTGTTTGAGGACCGGACGAGAGCCCACGCTGACCACATCGGTCAGGGGTTTGAGAGACAAACTACTGCTGCTGTAGGTGTGCTGAAGGCTGTGCGCTGCGGAGAGGAGTGAGTACACAGTGACATCTTCTTACCTTATCACACATAGTACTTATAAACCTTTGCATGAATACAACCTGACAGCTGTGTTGCCCAGATAACTTTTTATCTGCTGCTATAATATAGTTAAAATGGTAAAACAAAAACAATCACAGAAAAACAGAATACATGAAGTAATGAATTGAGTGGAACCATTCAGTCTAAGGGTATGTTATTGTATCGCTGACGACATCCACAGCATGTCACTGTACAGCTGTGATGTGTAAGAAGCACAGTTGGTGTTTATTTGTATTGGGATTATAACTTCGGATCAGTAAACAGGACTTTGCCTATTGCCTTACAGCAGCTACGCTCCTGCCCGGATCACCAAAGATGTTGTGTGTTTCCATGCTGGAGATTTCCCAGATGTTGTCATGAGGCTGCAGCTGGACCTCCACGAACCTCCGCTGTCTCAGGTGGGTCAGATTTATTAATTATGCCTGGTAGTATAAATAGCTATCTTATCTGCTTGTGAGATCATACGTATCCAACATCCTTTAAAGCTGCACTAATCAACATTTTTATACAAACAATAAATCAAATGACTGTGTAATATGAAAGAGGTTGCTTGTAGTGGTGAATCTACAGATCACTATCACCCTGCTCTGTAGTTCTCTCTGTAGTGGTTTTATGGCCAGAGCTTGGTTCACTCTCACCCTTCTTGTCAACCCTGCTTTCCAGCAGCAGGCAGCTGTTTTCAGTAAAAAGAAAAAGGCTATAAAAAACACTGTACGCTACCTTCTCAGTAGAGACTGAGTTAGCTGGTGGACACAGTGGAGCATTAGGCGCCAAAAGAGACAGATCAGACTTCTCAAGAGTGGGTGGAGACCAAAAACAGCGCTGAGAGAGTGAATGTTGGACTCAAAATAAATGACAATGTTGCTCCATGTCTGCTGGATGTGTAAATGAACAACTTTATGAGGTAGTAAAGAATATTGTCAAAGTTGTTTACAGCATTATCTCCAAGAGAGATGCACCAATTGCAATTTTCTTTTTTTTTTAAATTATAATTGACAGTATATAAGCCTATAAACATTTTTGTAACTATCTTTTAATGGAAAAATTCAATTCTCTTCATAATAAAACATTGACTATTAAATAAGTTTTTTTTTTTTTGAACAAACTCAAATTAAAACAGTGCTTCATGTAAGGCTACTGGACAGGGCTTCATAGAAAAAAAAAAAACCACCCCAAAAATCAATAACAGTTCCAGCTCCACATTATTTTAGTTTGGGATGTGCAATATGGATTTCTTTTTCCGGCCGATATGATAACCGATAATTATCTGTTTCTTGTGGCTGATAACAATAAGATAACTGATTATTTCACATTTCTGTATTTCAAAAAGAAGTTCGTAACCTGTAGTTTATGAACTTAACACCTGAGGATAAAACAGTAAATATGTAGTGAAGCAAAGATAAAAAACATTCCTCTTCTGTACTCTTCAAAAGTTGATAAAAAAAACATACTGAAGCTTTCATAGAGCATAAAGCCTAACAGTTGTTTTGCCTAAGATTTCAAAATAAACGTATAATTACAGACTGATAATTTATCAGCAGAAATTTAAATATCAGGATTTCCTATTATTGGCTGCTAATTATTGTGTATGCCTAATTTTAGTTTTTACTCTAGTTTTTACTACTTAAATTTGCTTGCCTTGCTTTTCCTTTCAGTTCTTCTTTTCCCCACAAACACACACACAGTCTCTTACCACACACACACACACACACACACACACACACACACACTTGTTCCGTCCTGCCTCTTTCTGCTTCTATGTCCCTGTGTCTGCTCTTCTGAATTTCCTCGTCAGCGTGTTTGAAAAAGTCGCTGAAAAAACAGAACTCATGTATTGGATTTTTTTGTAGTTGAGCTACGTGTGGAGGAGGCTGAACCATAGTGCAGCACAGCGTGTGTGTAAATTTGACCAGAATCGAATATTATGAGTCACATTATCAGTCACAGGTCATGGCCGATCGAGCTGAAAATTGGCCAATTCGGGTCACCAGCTGATCGATTGGTGCATCTCTACATAAGTCAAGTAATGCGGCTTTAAGTTTAATAAAAAGAGCCAAACACAGAGCCTTTAACATGCAACATTGTCTCTTGCTAATCAATTTAGAGGAGTCTGTGCAATACATGATCAGAATCAGTTCTTTTCTTTCTACCATGCAAGAATTAAAATATCTGCACATTTTCCTCATCATGTGTTCCTGTGACTTCCTCCGCAGTGTGTACAGTGGATCGATGATGCCAAGCTGAACCAGCTAAGGAGGGAGGGGATCCGATACGCCCGAATCCAACTCTACCACGATGACATCTACTTCATTCCCAGAGGAGTTGTCCACCAGTTCAAAACCGTGTCTGCTGTCTGCAGTCTGGCGTGGCATATTCGACTCAAACAGTATCACCAACACGAAGAGAAGGAGGAAGAGGAGGAGGAGGTGAAGGAAGAGGAGACATCTACACCTAGAGAAGTAACACTTCATATCAAAGAAGAAGAAGAAGAGGAGGAGGAAGACGACGAGGAGGTTGAGGGGAAGGAGTGTGACCCTGCTCTACAGATAGCGATGAAGCTGGAGGATGAAGAGGCTGAGGGAAGGGAGGGGCTGCCTTCACAAACTCCGACACAGATTTTCAAGGATGAAGAGCAAGAGAAGAGAGCCGAGATGAAGGAGTTGTCAACGACACAGTCTCTACCTTTTGTCAAGAGGGAGAGAGATGAAGGTGTACTCACTCACACACTAATAGAGCCTAAAGCTGAAGAAAATGAGAAAGAGGAGGGTAAAGCAGGAGGGGGGGAGGAAGATGCAGGCGCATGCCGGACACTGCAGAAGGGCCATGAGGAGGGTGGAGTGGACAGTGCATCCTTAAAGTCACTACAGCAGATTAGGAAGGAGAATGATGTGGAGGAAGAGAGGCAGCAAAAGACAACGGTACCAGGTCAAGGTCTAAAAGAGAAAACTAAAGATAGTATAACGAGCACTTACAACACACCGCAAATCAAAAAGGAGAAAGATAAAGGAAAAAGAGAGAGAGATGAAAAGGAGAGGGTTAAAGAGAAGGAGAAAAAGGACAAGGATAGGAGTAAAGAGAAGGAAAAGGATAAAAAAGAGAAGGGGAAAGACAGAGATAGAGAGAAGGACAGGGTGCGAGAGCAGGAGAAAGTTAAGGCCGAGGGAGGACGAGAGGGGAGTACATCGACGCAGCCGCTGCCACAGATGAGGAAAAAGGAGGACGAGGAGCGGACAAGAGAGGGCAGTAAAGCCTCTCAAACATCCCTTCCTGCACAGAGAGACGAGAAGTGGGCCAAGGAGTGGGACTCAAAGACACATCCCCACCTCAAGAGGGAGAAGGAGCACGATAAAGACAGGGGAGGCACACAAGGAGCGTCTCACTTAAGGCCAGACAGAGAGGAGGCTCGAGACGCCAGTTCTCATAAACACAAGTCTTCACACGGGAAGAAGGAGAAGAGCGGGCATAAGGAGGGCAACGTGGGGAGCACGCAGCAGGGGGTGCAGGCAAAGTCTGGGAGAGAGGACGGGAAGACGGGAATTCCCAAACCTGTGAACATTCAGGTAAAGAAAGAAGGAAAGAAAGATAAAGACATCAGCAGTAAGGAGGAGAGGAAGAAGTCTGCCTCTGCTCCTGCGCCACCAGAACACAAACAACCACGGACGCTCATCACCTTTGACCTCTTTAAGCCGATGGAGGCTCACCAAACTCTGGCCCTTTCCTTCACGGAGAGCAGGCCTAAGACCCACCATCACAGTGACTCTCGAGGCTCTTCCTCTAAGCCTGGATCTGACAGTCGGACAGTTGTGCCCTCTAAAGGACCAAAAGTAAAGGACACGGTGCAGGGAAAACCTGCCACGCCCCTACAGGACACTCGGCCACAGCAGCACTCATTAAAACAGCCCCTAAAAACACACACACCCCAAACACAGAAAGACTTCTTAATATGAATGTCTAGTCTTTTCTTTTTTCTTTTTTTTTTTTTACTGTACAACTTACGCCGAGGCTTTGTTGAAGTATTTGAAAATGCATCCTTCCTTCGGACATCAGCTGGTGTTTTCTAATTTGTAATATATGGGTTGGTTGCGTTCCACAGCCGCAGTAACTCCAGTGGCGTGGTGAAAAGAGGATGCACTCTCCAAGTATTTTATCAGCGCCTAAGAATGTAAGCTAAGTAGCTCACTTCACGTTTGTTAGCGAATGTATGTAGGCTCTATATAAAATGTTATGTGACCCATGTGTCAGTGCCTGTGCACTACTTAGCTTCGCTCTTAAAGCACCTATTTTAGGTACTGGACTAGCCAATCTGAAAACGACCATCCTTACTCCCTGCTATAGGAATTACTACGTTCACTGTTTGGGACACTTCGGCAAGTCACCGAGCTCTCTCGCTGAAACCCTCTTTTGCCATGTTGCTTTAGTCGATGGGGTTTGTTGTTTATAACACTCCAAAATCGGAGCAAGTAGTTTTCAGACTGGACGTTGTTTGACTCACACAGGGCTGTAAATGATACTGTATGTACCAAAACTGTACAGTATAGATGTTATTAGCACCAATGTGAGAAAATGTATACAGAAATTGCATATATTTTTTGTAAGACAAGTTTTATTTTCCATAGAACTTATTTATATCATTTACTGTCTGTTTTTATTTGAAACCAATGTATGTGAACATTTTGTTGTAAATACATTTTATTTCCTAAGATAAGACTTGGTAGTGTGATTTATACTCTGATCAGAACCTCTCAATAAATGGTTCAAAAATATTGACTTACCATTAATGTCTCTCCTGCATTTCATATCATAAAGGTCTCAATTTATTTGCATTTTTTTTAGCTACGTATGCGGCTTGGGTCCACGGATGAAGATGCTGGTCCGACACTGAAAACTATTGGATTGATTGCAATGATGTTTGGTGTCACAATAGTTGACAATGTACACTTGTTAGAATACCTCCCATATCTATCAAAAAGCTCCTGCTACTCTTGAGCTGCACTCACACTGCAAAAGGACATATTTTATAAATCCATATTGTTAGAAGAGGAGGAGACATCCTGGGATCGGTACGGACAGATACGGAAGCTGTGAGGTTTCTAACTACTCTGCAGAAATGCTCAGATAATATAAGTTTCAACAGTGATTTCACAAACACGTATAATATGGCTCAGAGGCACACACAGTGCATGCTAGTGCAGGCTGGATAATTTCAGTGTAACAAGGATCCCGCTTTAGTACAGTACTGCATTTGTGTGTAGACACGTGTGATCTCTCCGTAACACGTGGAAAAGGTGAATTGTAGTGTAGAAGGTTTTGGATGGTTTGTAAAAACCCAGTCTCACCTGGAACTATATCTGAGCTTTTACAAAGTATAAATCTTACTACCCTCTAGCCCCAGTTCACCCTTTCATTAACTCCTGCGGCCTAAAGATGAGCCAGAAGGCAGCAATGTGAATGCCAAAACAATGTGAAGGCTAAAGATGCCAAACTGTGGACTGTAAAATCATCCTTTTAACCTTTGATCCTAAAAAAGGTACCACACAGTTACTGTAGGTCGATGTTCCTTCAGATACACATTAGTGTTCTGATTCTTTCCTTCATATTTAAAAACCATGTAAAACCACACTGTGCAGAACTCACTGGGACCCCAACCCTGTCAATGAATCCACCACCGGCTGTGACTTCAATGTAACATATAGCAGACACAGTGAATTTTACAGTGACAACAAACCGACACCCGATCCAACCTGCATCCCGAGTGAGAGTGTAAAAAAAAGAGTCTTCCTCCCCTATATTACATTTCAAATCCATGTATTGTGGAGTCCTGTGGTTCAGTCCCTCCTGTAGTGGAAGACACTGTGTCCCAGCTCCACCAGCGCCCCACCCAGCAGCACCCACAGGGGGACACACACCACACTGATCAACATGTCGACGAGCCTCTCCAGGCGGGAGCACAGTGTCAGGCAGAAGGCCAGCTTCAGCAGCAGGGCTGTCAGGTACCACAACCTCCTCTTCAGGCTCTGCTCGCCATCTCTGGGGTCAAAGTCCGGCTTGCAGCGTCCTGCCATCTTCACTATCAGCATGAGGATGAGGATTGTGTCGAAGGTCCAGACAGGGAGGAAGATGAGAAACCAGTTCCAGTGGATCTTAGAGTCCAGCTTGAGGACCAGCATGATGAGGAAGATCAGGGCGAAGATCCAGGAGAGGAGCACTCGCTGGGCCAGAGACATCTTCATCTACAGGGGACTGGCACGGAGCCAGTATCCTCCACACCCACAGAGACTGAGCACCACAGCCGAGGAGACACACACACACACACAGAGAGGGATCTGAACACAAAGAAATAAAAACACACTGGGAATAAGAGTCAACTCTGGGTCAACACAAACAAACAAACACTCTTCCATAACCGTGTATCTGCTGGAGGGGCCATCACTTCCACTGGGACCACTCAGACCTGAAGCTCCCTGTAATGTTTGAGCCAACCCGCTCTCAAATAAAAACACAGTTCAAAGACAAAAAAAAGATGTCTTACCAACGCTGACCCGGAGAAGTCCGTCTTTTAGAAACGTTTTAGTTTTACCAGCAGAGCAGAGTCTAGTTAGCTGTTAGCTGTTAGCTGTGAGCTAGTTCAGGCGTCTGTTCCGCCAGCGGTGAGTTCGACGCTTCCGGCCAGTCGTTACAAAACAAAAGCATGTTTTTAACGCAAGTGATGTATCTTATTTTGATAGGTAATTGAAGGCTTCCGGTTTCGTTTTTCTTTTCAAAACAAAAGCATGCGTTTAATGAGCTGATTTATCCGAATCACTTTTACTCGCCATGTATGTGCACTTATACAGGTTTTTATGTTGATCTCGATGTATATACACAGAATAAGAATAAATAAACAAAACAATAAGCTCAACAAAGTATGTATTTTTAAAAATGTATTTATTTGAAAAACATATATTTTATTTTGATAGATTGCTGCTTGGATGTATTTATTGTTAGCATCCATATGATCCATATCCATTGATGATGCCTGTTTGTTACTTGAAGAAGCTTTATAAATAAAAGAAAAAAGATATATAACGTTAATAAAAGGCTTCCTGTACTCATTTTCAATATAAAAGCATGCGTTAATCAGGTGCTGTATTTTATTTTGATGAATAATAACTGCAGGGCTGTAGATTTTACTGAGGACACTGAGTTCACTGGACTTTTTCTTGATATTTGGGTGGTTTAAGAACCTGGTGGGGATTTAACAAAATAAATCTTAACTCAAGGTCCATTTAGCAGATTTATTCCCTATAACAACTGGATAAACTCCCACCTGCTGATAAAAGGACACAATATGTGTCTGAAAGAAATCTAGTAAGTGGACCTTGAGTTAAAGAGTAAATCTTAATCTGAAATATATCCTCATTCTTTATGGTGTCAGGTCAAAATTTCCTGGACTGAGGGAGGGGTGGGAGGTTCATTGGGGGGGGATTTGGACTCATGACCTCAGTATTTATAAAAGCCCTGATTATAGGTGGCTTAATGGAGCTTAACTAAACAGAAAAACTAAATCCAGCTGCGACTGTAGATCCTCCCCTCTCCTTAACGAACAACCAAATTAATGTGTGTGTGGGTATTCATACACAGGACAGATATTCTATTTATAATAAATCAACTGTTTACATAGAAGGAGATAAACCCATGTTTTTAAATACTATTCAAATTTATTTAAATTTTTACTGGGCTAGTATAACAAATTAATACAAAGTACAACTCCGTAGACATCATAGATTGTCAAAAAAAGTAAAGTACAAAACGCTTGAGGTAAAACATCGTTTGAAAAAGATTCAGTTAAAAAGCCCTTATTAAAATTTAAATTCATTTAAAGGTAAAAGCTCACTTTACACTATCTAGCTGTCCTAAAAACCAACAATGCACTTTTATTTACAAGGTAGTGGTGGTGCAAAATACAGTGTGTGAGACGACATTCAGTCAAAATGCTCATGTCTTTGTCAAATGTAAACAATAAACATCGTCATTATTCCTCAAACTCCCGCTGTACAGAGCTAACGCAGAAAGAGCAAATGCTGTCACACTGATGTTTGCTCCAAGAAGAGAATTTTGCATTAGACGTCTATGACAGCCGCTGGCAATAAAAACAATTCAACAGTCCACATTTTTATAAGATGTCATACAAAAGTGAGAGCAGAAGACGCCGTTAACTGTGTTACTCCCAAAAGGCAAGACAACAAAGCGTAAACAGAAAATATAAAACTGCCGTAAGGTTCAAAATACACATATACAAAACAAATCCATGATAAATATGTAAAGTTTCTGTACTTTTTTCGGTGTAAAATGGTGGTTCTCACAACCATTTCCACTGCGTGAAAACCTCATAAACTCCAATTTTGGTTATTTTTGTGATTTTAACTTCAGTTGAAGGTTTACATTCTCCTCTGTGGGTTAAGATATAGTGTTGATTATGTTGTATATTTGTGATATTGTCAACAAATCTCATGAAAAGTCTGAAAGTCATAAAATCTGAATGATATTTTGTATTTGTTGGGTGCTATTTTAAGCTGCGGATTAATACACATTTTCAGGCAGCAGGATGGTGTTTGTGAACTGAGAAGCATGTCAGTGCAGCTGTGTGGCTCACTGATGTTAGTGGCATCAATTCATGCAGATTTTGGTCTTTTTCATGGGATTTGTCGTCAATAAGAAAATATAGAACACCACCAGACTTATCTCTTAAGACCATTATCTGACTTGAGGATAAAAAAGCTTAGATGAAGTCGTAACTACAGCGTCCTGAAGTTGAAAACCTGGTAAAAGTCCTTAAATAACAGTTCCACTGCTGTGTGTTTTTGTTGGATAAAAGGTTTTCACTCACCAGCAGTGGTCTTGGAAAACTCATCGAACTACAGTCAAAAAGGAAGATGGTACCCATTTAATGAAATGTAGATTTCTTTAATCTTTCTCACAGATTTTTACCGTACACGCTGGGGTTGGGGGGTTTTGGGGGTGCTGCGTTCCTAACGGCAACCGCAGCTACACAGTGCTCTGCCTGCTCTCACGACCGTACCCCATAGCCTCTGAGGAGTGAGGTGGGAAATCAATAAATATCCCATCTGAGTCTGAGTCTGCAGACTCTAACACTTGTCCAATTATGGTTTCAGGGCTGGATGATTCGCTGGGCGGCGTGGAGGATGCACCTTTACTGAGATCAGTCATTGTGGTCGTGGCCTCGGTGCCGTGGAGAGCTCCTGAGGAATGAAGGGGAAGGATGGAAGGAGACAAAAGAGGCAAGTCCATGGCACTCGCTCCCGCTTGTACAATCCCTGTGAACGACAGGGTGCTGGATTAATATGGATTATGACTTTAAGATTATTGTTTTTTATGCATAATAACCAACAACCAATCTGTGTCATACCGTTGAACTGAGAGCCCACACACAGTCTGTGGGAGGAGGGGCCAGACAGTTCAGGTCCTGAGGCCAGGTCAGCGTAGGCCAGTCCTTGTTCCTCCAGGCATGATATAATCTCACAGGCCGAGTGGCGCCGGATTCCTCCACTGCCAACGGAGCTGGCATCTGGGTCATACTCAGCCACCGGAGTCAGCAGCAGAGGGATATTGTAGCTTTTCGATCGTACCACAGGGTTTTTAGACGGTTGATCCGCAGACTTGGGCCACGGTAAACACTTCTCTGAAAGACGAGAGGAAAAGTAGGGAAGGTGTGGATTAATTAATGTTCCTCGTCAGACACATGACATTATTGTTCTGTTTTTTTGGGTTCACGCCCCGCACTGTCTCACCCAGGACACAGCAGTGAGCCTCAGCGCCATCTCCAGAGTAAAGTCCGTGTGTGCCCAGGTAAGGCGAGACCACCTTTTGAACCAGAGACTCGAGCCTCAGGTAGTCGTCATTCACACCGCGTGACTCGTGGACCCCCTGAACGAAGAGACGGGCATCAAAGTGTGAATTTAAGCCTCCAAATACACCAAAATATTGTTTTTGTTGGGCTGAACTAAAGCTGCTTGTTGGTATAATAATAATAACAACAATAATAACAATAATAATAATAATAATACTATTTAACTACAATTTTGATAATGAATTCACAAAATAAGTCAGCGTCTCAAATGAGTGTAAATTGAATAACTTTGTTTCTTATGACTGTAGATCAGACACTAAGCAATAATAAATAATAATAACATACAATAAAACAATATTAGGAATAAACAATAACAAAAGGAGAATATTTGACATGTTATAGACAGTAATACTTAAAAAATAACAACAATTGACTGATTGATAGGGATGGGAATTGATATGATGTTATTTGATACCAATACCATTATTGATTCTGATTGTGGGTCCAATTCTTTGCCGATTCCCTTATTGATTCCTGATCAATAATCAGGTCTACACAGGTTTTCAGCCTACAGTGCAGCTGTTTTATTATCTAGTTAGTTGTAGTTTCTTCCTCTCCACTACGACTCTTATTCATACTCATATTTAGCAATGTGCGAGTGTCAGAAAAACATGCTGACATTAATTAAAAGGAATTAAAAAGCTCAGGGGTGATACGATTCTGATGGATCGGACAGTTTGGAACCGGTTCTCGATCCCCATCCCTACAGACTGATAATGAAAACAGAAGATTCAGACCTACTGGTCACTTTATTCTATTAGAAGTTAACCTAGTTTGGAAAAAAAAAAAAAGCTTCTCACAAATCTCAAAGATCAAAAACATGATCTGGAGCTGTTTTCTCTTGTTGGGAACAGAAAGAATAAGCAAACATTGAGTGAGGAAACAAGCTATTAGGTTTGCTTGGTGCCTGCAGGCCTACCTGTAGGATAAGCAGCATCTGTGTAACAGAGGGGGGCACTCGGGCCCGAGGTCGGGAGAGGGCGTCCTCTAACTTTACACTCAGGACTATCGTGTTCCTGAAGTGAAGCAGAGCTAGCTGTCGGACAGAGGGCTCCTTACCCTGCACACATCAAGGACACAGAAAGCGGCAGAACTGAGCACACATGATAAAGGTTGGATATTAAAGTTTGTGGAAAAACCAGCTGACTCTGAAGGTGTTTGTGTACCTGGACTGGATGGAAGATGGCCTGCAGCATCGAGAGAACATCACAGAAGAAGAAGTCCCACGTCTCTGCCAGAGAGTCGAGTAACTTCTGACCTGCATCAAAAATAAAAGACATTAAAGCTTAATTCGCCGGCACAGACTGCTGCAAAATGTATTCAGACCGTATATCATACCTTCGTAGAACCTTATTTTGTCCCGAAGGATGACCATGCCTTTTGTCAGCAACTGGTTCTGTGACATTAAGTGAAAAGATGTCATTAAATTCAAACATCATACCTGTCAACTGTCAACTACTGTAAAACATCTTCTGCTGCCATATATATATATATATATAAATAAATAATATGTCTATTACCTGAAGGTATTCTGTGAAGAAGGACCCCAGCTCAGTCTTCAGCAGATGCCTGAGGAAACATAAGATGGACAGTATTCAACCATTAATAGCTGTGCTCTCATTTCTGTGTGAATAACAACTGTTTACAACCTGGATTTAATTCCACGTGTGTGTAATTACATGAAACAGAACCACAGGATGTAAACAGATCTACTGAGCGCCCTGTTTTCCTGCATTATAAACAAGAGTTTCCTGCGTAGTTGAAGAAATGTGTCAACCTCCTCGTGGCTTTTCTGTAAATGGAAACGTAGGCTATAATGGAGGATGATGTGATAGAAGTGATGGGTCTGGTTCGGCAAGATAATGAGATATCTGGCAAGACCACATGACTCCCCAGGCCAACGTGCAGTACACTACGCACACAAACAAACTCATTCACAAGAAAACAAATGCAGGACAGACTGTAATTATTCTACTTATAGCACAAAATGACACAGACAGTCTAAAATAAGGATGTTTTTCTTTATATTTGTGTGTGTGTAGCTGTTTCTGTGCCTGTTGAAACCTACCGGACACCTTCATTGAGGGTGTAGAGTTCGTTATCTGCCAAACCTTTCTTCTGGAAGACTGCTATGACAGCGTTGTGGATGCTGCAACATAACACACACACACACACACACACACACACACACACACACACACACACACACACACACACACACACACACATTATTATTCAAAATGCATTTTCAGCCACTACCTCTTTTGCACCTTGTCTTTTGTGTACCTGTTCCAGGTGGCGTTTGCTCCTGCTCTCTTCTGCTTCTCCCCTCTGTCCTCTGGTGAACTTTTCTCACTCTTCCCCAGCTCGCTGAGGCTGGGAGAGCTCATCAACTTCAACCGGTGCAGAGTCCTCATGGGGGAGATATGGAGGAAGTGGAGAGAAACAGAGTATGCACTAAGTATCGGACAAGAGAGAAACAAGGTCAGGCTATGAGCCGACATACACAGAGACACAGAGAGGAAACACGAGGAGAGAGCTGGAGGGGAGGAGAGAACATAAGCAGAGTCTGAGAGAGAGATAGAGTACGCAGAGGGAAAAAAAAAAGGCACAATGACAATACAAAGAGCGGCCCGGTGACAGAGGAGGAGAGAAGTAGGACAGAATGATGCATGGTGAGAAAGGCGCAGCACGTTAAGAGCAGGATGGGTGGAGCCAAGCCGAGAGGTGGGCCACCGCACTGCCCCAGGTCTCAGAAGAGGAGAAAACAATAGCACATGCACTGATGGGGGCATACTCTTCCTCCCTCTCTGCCTCTCTTTCAGTACAATACAACCATTGATGCAAACAAATATTTATGCAGAGCACAGATGCCAGAGGAACTGCAGGGTAAGCAAACCGAAGCAATTGGGACTTTGTTGTGCTTGTCACTGTACAGCGAGGAGGAGGTGGAGGAGGAAGTCGTCCGGCTTATTGACAGCAACAACAGGGATAGGAAGCAGTGACACAATGCAGACAATAAAGAAGGTTTTCCTGCTCTCCCGTTTTCAGCACAGCTGGTGCAGGACAACAAAAGTCAAAAGTAGTGCAGTGTGTGAGACCAACAGATAGTTTGAAGCCGATACTGATATTTGAGAGTCTAAACATCCTGTTTTTATAGCCCCCTTAAATAACTTTAAGGTTGCAGAAATCATCTTTTTCTACCCTGTCTGACAGTATGATATATATATTGTGTATCAGCTTGTTTTTACGACTGCATTATTACAACAAAGGGAATTATTCTGGATGTTTTGTGCATCTTTGGACATTTTGGGGATCTCCATTAGAATTTAAAAAGACAATCTTGACCTGCAGGATTCAGGCTTCTGTTTGACTGTTATGTATTCACTTCCTTTGAGGGGTTAGATGAGAGGGTTGATACCACTCTGAACATCTGGGCATTAAATATGAAGCTACAACCAGAAGTTGATCTGCTCAGCTTAACATAAAGACTGTAAACAGGGGGAAACAGTTAGCCTGGCTCTGCTTAAAGGTTAAAAAAAGGGAGCTATGTATCATATCTCCATGAAAACTGCCAGGCAACTAGCAGACAATCCAGGGAGTCACTGCACCCGGCAAAGAAGTGCAGTCTTTGCATGGATTTAAAAAAAATAAAGATACAACATGTTAATGAGTGAGCTTTATATATACCTTTGGACAGAAGCAGGCTAACTGTTTCCCCCTGTTTGCAGTCTTTGTGCTAAGCTAAGCTAACTGGCTGTAGTTTCATATTTAATATTTTAGTCACATTTGATTCCCAGGAACTGACATAAGACCTTTATTTGTCCCAGAGGGGCAATTAGTTCTACCGCAGTAGCAATAAAAAACAACAACTAAACAATAACAACAACACAGGATGAGACATACAAATAAAAAACTCCACACATACACAGATATAGGAGGAAAAGGTCGAGTACACAAGTGCGTTATCAATCTGCTCTTCTAACTCTCGCCAAGAAAGCAAGAAACTATTACTTTAAAAAAAAGTCTGATAACAATATATCAGCCAGTATTGGTTGAGCACAAAATGTACATTTTGCAGTTGAAAAATAAACTTGTCAGCACTCTCTGGTGGACGAACTACGTAACAGAGACTCAAACGTATCTGTACAGACCTTTATATCATATATACTGAGGATATATCTGCTGTTATTATCAATACATTGGCCCCGTCGGTCGATATGAAACAATTTCCCCTCTAAGACACACGATTCTTTTAAATCCTAACTCACTGCAGGACCTTCACAATATTAAATTAATACAGTCCAGAAACTCTCTACTGACAACAGTAAACAACAGACCCCCCACCCCCCCCACACACACACCCACGTTCACACAGACACAGAAAACATCGAAGGCAAGTTTACAAACTGATGAGATGTACACACGAAGGAAGTGACTCAATCAAACATCCCGCCAGGAGATCATTATCATTAGGGTCAACATGTGTTCAGTCGAAGCTCAGCCGCCTAATGAAATCTTCTGGGAGCAGAGACGCTGGGATTTTTATGACTGCTAATTAATATTTCATGCATTTTCCAGGATGCTGTGAAATTTTAATTCCCAGGAAGTGAGCCTCACCTCCTGATTGGATGCTCACTGCTGCTGTCCATGTCTGGGCTCGGGGGAGGGGCCGAGAAGGTGCTGAAGTTGAGTGACAGCGGTCGGGAGGAGGGTCTGGAGGAGGGCCGGGAGGCGTGCCTCCGCCGGAGTCCATCAAGCATCTTCAACAGGAGAGGGGAGATAATGGAGAAATGGTTATTGAAGATATGTATTTATAAATATATACAAATAATTAGTTTGAAACAATGCGTGTGTATAGTTTGATTTCCACATTAAAATCCTTACAAAGGCAGCTACTCTATACCTTCGAGGATTTCACAGGGTTTCAGTGGGATCGTTTCGGCCTAAAATGGCAGATTTTACTGCAGCTTTTCTAAATAATTTTTATGCATGTTGCAGTGTTTTAAGGCATTTTTTGCAATTAAATTGCAGGAGAAAGTGAAAATTGCCAAAAAAAAGGTTGTGTTTTTTTGAGTAATTCAATAAAAATCAAAAGGAAACGCACTGTTAACGTCGCACATGTCTGTGTCTTCACAACTAGAAACAAGTACGTGAGCTTGGTGACGTATGGCTCATCGTTTTATGTAGGAAACTACAATAATTGGTCAAATAAAATTGTAAGGTCGTGCAGAATTCACTGGTTGAATTTTGTGTTAACTGCTGCGATCACAAACATTGCAGCCTCCTGGAGGGACTGACGTTTTCCTGCTGGACACAAGATGTCTCCTACACTCACTGTGAAGTTAGTGTTTGTGCACTGCTGGCTTTCAGTTTCTACATCACATCTGTTTAAGTTTCGTACTGGACCCGGATTGACCTCCAACCTATTTGTGATGTCACAAATCATGCTCGTAAGGCCCCGCCCCATTAAAAATCTGATTTTCGATGAGCTCAGAGAAACTTTCCACTTTCAGCAGACGAATGTAAAAACATCCTTCTAGTGTCAAACTCTGCTCATACATCAGTCTGCACAGTGAAGCTCAAACATCCGACTGTAGGAACAGGAATAAAAAACAAATATTATTGAGCAGAGGGGGACTTTAAGGTTTGACTGAAGGTAAACATGAAGCGAACAGGAGTGATCCAGCAGCTGTGTGAGGCATCAGTGAAACATGTCTGAGGCTCTGAAGGAGTCACAACAGCTCTGCTACCATTTAGAGACAATGAATGAAATGAAGAAACAATGAGACAAAACAAAATTTAAATCAAACTTACGGTCACACGGACGCAGGAGAAAATCAAGCCACACATGTGTGACCTCCTTAAAGGAGTTATAGTGTTAAATTAACTGTGTGCTTTCTGTTTCCTTCTGTTATTTCAACACATTGGAACAATGTTTTGCAATCAGAGCTCACCACCTACGCCCCAACCACACCACAAAAATCAAGAGAAGGGAAGAAAAGCCTGTGTGAGCACGTACAGTATGAGTGATTCCTGGAAAAGGCCACAAATCCGTGCATGAGCCTCTCTCTTGGAGTATGACAATACAGTATTATAAGCTATATTTGGGTGTCTCCCCATAGAAAACATTGCACATAGTAAAGCACCATCCCCTGGTCAAAGGGGGGAACAACAGTCTGGGGCTGTCACTCCTTAGACAAAGACACAACACAAGCCTCTTTTCACTGCCACCCTGCCATGCAAGTGATAAAATGGGTGCCTGGTGTGTCTTCAGAGGAGCTGGCCTGCAGTTTTTTTTATTACAGTAACATCTCAGGCAGAGGCACAGAGGAGGCAGACTGCACACTCCTGTCTGCCCGACGTGCCATGCCACGCCAGTCTGGGCATTTCTGCTTTTGTTCACCCCTCCTCCTTGTCTTTCAGGGGCGACTACAGTCAGATCGATGCCACTTTTAATTTCTATTAGTCTCCATTGCTTGTTTTTTTCCTGGCCTCGTTTCATATAATAATCGACACAAGGCAGCAAATCTATCTATCAATCAATCAATCGGCCCAGACACACAATCAACAGTCCACGTTTGTCCTACAGGGAGGAATGTACAGCCAGTCGTGCGTACGTGGAGGTTTTTCTATTTTTTTTCTACCTGTGTGGAGAGAATGAGGCAAAGTATTACAGTAAACAACGCAGCTGTGTTGTTCACATACACACACACACACACACACACACACACACCAGGGCTGCACCATGAAGTCCACCTATGGATGTAAACTGTATCATAAATGGCCACAAAGTTGCCGTATGTCATGCGCCTCTGCCCGCCCACTGTAAGCCCTGCACTCGCCGTACCTTATCCTGTCGTGTTGTTCCTGGAGGGATGAAACGATCATGTAGTACCGATTGGGATGTGGGTTTTTTACCGCCCGGGGCTCATCGGCGACGGCGGCGAGGCTCCTCTACTGTTCCCCGCCGGTCTGCGCACCCACTCGGGCATCAGGGTGCAGGCGGATGGAGGGTCTGACCTGCGGTGCGGTGGAGGGGGACTCATTCATGAAGCATGCACCGCTCTCTCTCTCTCTCTCTCTCTCTCTCTCTCTGGCTCGCCCCCGCTTTGTTTTGACGAGATGCAAAGAAGAAACCTGGTGCGCGGCCACGAGCAGCACGTGTACGCGCGTTGTGGTTATAGTTGTATGCAAAAGAGAAAGAGAGAGAGAGAGAGAGACAGAGAGAGAGAGGGAGGGAGAGGGAGGGAGAGGTGGTGGTGGTGGGGGCTGGCAGTCAAGAGAAAAACACAAAAGCATGAGTTTCATCATGCCCTGGACATGCCTGGATGTGTTTTTACTTTATCAATCAAGTATTCAAACACAAACTAAGAGACACATGTATCATCTTAACCTCCACCCTCCTCACATAAAGACCTATCGGTGTATTTGCACTGTATACGCAGGTGTGTGTGTGTGTGTGTGTGTGTGTGTGTGTCGGTGTGTGTGTGTGTGCAGACGCTGAGAAAGGCCCTCCTGTGTGCATGCATGTCTACATAAACAGAGTGGGAGGTAGTAAATGCATCATATCCAACACTGACCCCAATCTATGCGGGTGTCTCGCCATCTGTCAAAGCTAAGCAGGAGCTTTTTTTTTTTTTTTTTTGCTTTGTAGATAATCGTCCCACCCTGTTTCCACGCGAGTCTTCATGTAAATAACCGGGTCTCGTGAGAAACTTCACTGGTATATTAAAGAAATAGACGCAAGAAGAACATTTGCATACATGAGTTGCCTCCTGAGTGTGTCAGAATTACATGTTTTATTCGGTGGATAAATACAGATTTGCCAAATTATGACGATTTATTTAAGTAAAATGATAAATAAAGATGTGATCATTTATTTAATCTTATTACACGTGTTATTCAGAGTAAAAAAATATGTGAAAAGACAAAAGGGTGGGCAATAATGGGAGTCAGATAATAAAGTGGAGAAACATCTTTCTACATTTATTAATATAAAATAATATCAGAATTAACAGTGTTCAGTATTATGAGTTTACAATCACTCCCAGTAACAACAGAGGAGATAAATAAAGTCTATGTCAGCAGTGAACATCCTCTTCCTCCTCTTCCTCTTCCTCCTCTTCATCTTCCTCACTGAATTTTAATATCTGTTGATGAACGTAATGTTGACTTCAGGTCCGCCTCGGAAATTCCCAATTCTGGCACCTTCAGAGCGTTTAGGATGAATTTCTACATGAGACACATTTTGTGATTTGTCTCGTTTTAATTTGAGTCATTGGATTAAATTACACAGAAATATTAAAATGGAAAAATAAGAAAAATGTTTATGGAAAATAAACAAACTACTGTTGAACATAATTGTCATTAATATGGGCATTAAAACATCTCTATCAATCATTTATTGATGATCCTCGGTTATAAGCCCCAGTGACTGAATGGAGAGATTTGTTTTATTTTATTTCTTGTAAATATATTCTGTAATATATATTCTGAACACACACTACTTTCTCCTGAACTGGTGACTGCTTGGTGTGTTTGGTGTGAAGTGTTTGATATCTTGAAGAAATTTGGGATAACACACAAAATTGTATCTGATCAACAACTAATTTAACCATGGGAAAATTTCAGTTTCAATTAAATGAGTTTCATTGGTATGTTTATATTACCAAAGCAAAATTATATTAACACTTACAAAAGCAACAACAATAATAATAATAATAATAATAATAATAATAATAATAAGACATGTATAAATGAGTACATATTGTACAATCACAAACTCTTGTAAAAAGAACATTGTAACACAAATATGACATTAACAAAACAACAAAAGTAAATTTAAAAATTAAAAACAAGAAGCAGCATTTTAATTTAAACCTCAGCTTGTGAAGCAAGAGCTCAAATATTTAGCTGTACAGATGAGATCTACAAGCAATTATGTTTTTAACCTAATAGATATTCGTCCTATTATCTGCTTGGGATTCAAATTCTGTATATTTGTGGGGAGTTTTGGCGGAAGAATAACACTCAATAATAATTTCTAGAAACTGTGTCGCAGTGTAGCGTCTGGGTTTGTTAGTTTCCGACGGACCCTGAAGGCAGCACAAACTCCAGCTTCCGGGTTTCCGAGCGGGAAGTTCAGATGTTCTTGTTGTTCTTGTTGTTCTTGTTGTTGTTTGCTAAAAAAATGTAACAACGACTTAAATGCTCCGTTTACCTCGTTCAACACACAGATAAAAAACACCTTTAGAAGAAAGTTTAACTGGTGAGTTTGTATTTATAACCATTAACTAATCGGTGGCTTGCTTGAGACCTTTAACGTTAGCTTCACTTGTTGTTGTTGTTGTTGTTGTTGTTCTGCAGGTTAATAATGAAGTTACCATCATGTGTGTTTTACTTTACTGCCTTTAGAGCTCTGCAACCATGTCCAGTGACGCAGAGGAGAGGAGCAACTCTGCACCCAAAGGTTTCGGACAGGTAGGAGTACAGGAGTGCAGAGCCACGTCATAATAACCAGTGGCACCTGTTGTAGACGAAGTGGGGTTACGCTTTAAGTTGTGGCCCCCAGTTTTTATTTAGTTATTGGTTCAGTAGGGTTGCACAGTTAATTGGAATATTATTGTAACTGGGTGCAATATCCAAATCACAAGAAGCTGCAGTTTGTAGGATTAAAAAGGTAAAATGTGTGACAAACAACAGTTTAATGAAGTATAATGGAGTATAATAAAGTATAATGAAGTATAATGAAGTATAATGGAGTATAATAAAGTATGATGAAGTATAATGAAGTATAATAAAGTATAATGGAGTATAATAAAGTATAATAAAGTATAATAAAGTATAATGGTATAATAAAGTATAATGGAGTATAATGAAGTATAATGGAGTTAATAAAGTATAATAAAGTATAATAGGTATAATGATGTATAATAAAGTATAATGTATAAAGTATAATGAAGTATAATGAAGTTTAATGAAGTATAATGAGTATAATGAAGTATAATGATGTATAATAAAGTATAATGAAGTTCAATGAAGTATAATGAAGTATAATAAAGTATAATAAAGTATAATGGAGTATAATGAAGTATAATGGAGTATAATGAAGTATAATGAAGTATAATGAAGTATAATAAAGTATAATGGAGTATAATAAAGTATAATGGAGTATAATGAAGTATAATAAAGTATAATAAAGTATAATGAGGTATAATAAAGTATAATGGAGTATAATGAAGTATAATAAAGTATAATAAAGTATAATGGAGTATAATAAAGTATAATGAAGTATAATAAAGTATAATAAAGTATAATGGAGTATAATAAAGTATAATAAAGTATAATGATGTATAATGAAGTATAATAAAGTATAATGAAGTATAATGAAGTATAATGAAGTTTAATGAAGTATAATGAAGTATAATAAAGTATAATGGAGTATAATGAAGTATAATGGAGTATAATGAAGTATAATGGAGTATAATGAAGTATAATAAAGTATAATGGAGTATAATAAAGTATAATAAAGTATAATGGAGTATAATGAAGTATAATAAAGTATAATGAAGTATAATAAAGTATAATGGAGTATAATAAAGTATAATGGAGTATAATAAAGTATAATAAAGTATAATAAAGTATAATGAAGTATAATAAAGTATAATAAAGTATAATGATGTATAATAAAGTATAATGGAGTATAATGAAGTATAATGGAGTATAATAAAGTATAATAAAGTATAATGGAGTATAATAAAGTATAATGGAGTATAATAAAGTATAATGGAGTATAATAATAAGATAAGATGTTCCTTTATTGATCTCCAGTAGGAGAGACACATGAGCATAGGGGAATGTCGTGCAAAGAGTTCAATAAAGAATAAAAAAATAAGAATATTAGAAAATACAGGACTATAATGAAAAAAATATATATGCAATAAATCCTGACATTTTATATCACATATTCTTGGAAACTTTTGGATCAACACACAATTTTAAATAATGTTACTGAGGAGATTAAAACTATATATGTTTTATTTTTGAGAGCTTAGTGTAGTAAGAATATGAGGAGACAAAATGGGGGGAAAGTAACTAATAAATTAAACTCAGATCCTTTTTCCTTTCCTATACGTGGTAAAATGAAAGGAATATACACAGCAAGGTGCTCTACAGTGGACACAGTACACAATAGCACAGGGTCTCAGACCTCCTTTATCTTCAATATAAAACCTCAGTCTCTCCAGATGTAATGTGTCTGTGCAGCCACAGATCATATGTAGGTATATATTATCCATCCTTTTACTGTGTTGTGGTAAATGTGTTTGTTTTTGTTTTTATTGTGGTCAGTGTACCTACACAGCCGAGGAGTACCAGGCGGTGCACAACGCTCTGCAGAGGAAGCTGGGACCAGAGTACATCAGTACCAGAGTGGCTGGAGGAGGACAGAGGGCAAGTCTTTGTTTATGTCTCTATTGTTTTCTGTTGTCACGTTGCAAACAAGCGAATTCATGTGTGTCTGTCAGCTGGGTTAAAGTAAATTTATCATCATGATTATGCACAAATGTGTATTTTCTCCAAGTGGAAACAATATGGAAATCAGATAGCATAAGAAGCACTTATTATATATATAACCTTGCTTCTGCCTCTCTCTCTCTCTTTCTCTCTACCGTCCACCTGAACCGACTCTCTCCAGGTGTGCTACATCGAAGGCCATCGTGTAATCAGCTTGGCCAATGAGATGTTTGGATACAACGGGTGGTCTCACTCCATCTCTCAGCAGAACGTCGGTACGACTCACAGCTTCTCGTTGGCGGTAAAGTCGAGCCCGTTGCCACAAAGTCCGACTGACAAAACACTTTGTATCTTTACAGACTTCGTCGACCTCATCAACGGGAAGTTTTATGTTGGAGTCAGTGCGTTTATCAAAGTGCAGCTGAAGGTTTGTTTTACTGTATTGATTGTAACTTATATTTTGTTTCACGACCCTCTGTTGCTCGTGTTGTGGGAATTTATATATAACCAGATGTGGGAATAATCTAAGTATAAATACTGTATTTAAGGTATCCATTCTTTACTTTAGTATTTATTTTTCTGAATACTTTGTACTTATATAAATATCTGTACTTTCTTACCTTTTTTAAAAAAAGGCTTACTTTAGTTTGAATGCATTTGAGGGGAATTGTGGATTTTGATTTTGCCTCATTGCACGCCTTCCCAACATCCAAAGCTGTGCATGTGACGCATGACAGACAAGATGAAACAGACATGAGAGGGAGACTCGGCCATATTTGAAGTTTCAGCTTTGCACAGAAAACATCTGGTAGAAATGTCCTTCAGAGAAACCAACAGAGTACTTTTTAACTTTTATACTTTTTCACTTTTTCTTGAGTAAAGAAGTTGAATCCGTACTTCAACTTTTACCGGAGTGTTTTCTATTTTTGCCACCTCTGTCTGTAACTTGTGCTTTTTCCCTCCAGGACGGGTCGTTCCATGAGGATGTCGGGTACGGAGTCAGTGAAGGACTGAAGTCTAAAGCTCTGTCACTGGAAAAGGCGAGAAAGGAAGCTGTCACTGATGGCATGAAGAGAGCACTGAAGTACTGGGATTAAAATTTTTATGGCTTATCAGTCTGAAATATGAAGGAAAAACTCATTTAGAACATACAGTATTTCTAAAATATGTTTTATTCTAAGAGGTTTGTTTGTTTTGTGTTGTTAAGATGCTTCGGTAATGCCCTTGGAAACTGCATCCTGAATAAAGAATACCTCCTATCCATTAATAAAATCCCAAAACAGGTCAGATTCAGTATTTAAACTTTAAGCTTTTTTTTAATTTAATTTAAAATTTCTCTGGATGCTGAATCTTCTTCTCCCTCTACACAAAGCCTCCTCCTCCTCTAGACCCAGCGAAGACTAAGCGCTCTGAGGGTGAGCCATCAGTGGAGAAGGCCCGGTTCTCCAGTCTGGTCCGGGAGGAAAAGCTTCTATCTGCAGTGGGTCCTAGCAGGATGCCGCTGGAGCCCAGAGTCCTCAACCAGAACCAGAACTGTTCAGAAGTTCACACTCCTAATGTTGGTCCTGCTCCCAACAGGGAGAGTGAGAATGTCGGCTCCAGGTAAACAGCAAGTGGGTCTAGTTTCTGTTTTAATGGCACTCCTTCATCTCTTGTGCATCACCTGCAGTGTATTTCCTCCACTTCTTCCTCTTCTCCTAAGAACCATCGTGGGCTCGGGGGACATTGTTGGGTCTGAGGAGCACACAGACCCCAAACAGCTGAGAAAGCTCCGACAGCAGCAGCTTCAGCAGAAGTTCAGGGAAGAGATGGAGGCCAAGAGGCTGCAGCAGAAACAGGATCAAACAAAGTCTGAGGACACAGAAGTCGCTATTGGACCAGGAAGTAAGTCTTCACTCTGTTTAAAGGTCTGAAATTCAGTTTTTTTGTCAGTGTGGCTGCTGTGGAACGATGCTAGTGCTCCTCCTTTTTAAAGTTTTGGAAAGGTGGTGAGAAAGTTTCAGGCATCCTACTGTAAAGTTCCTCAGTCACCATTGTCTTTTCTAAATGTTAACACGTCTCTGATCTGATCTAAAACTGTTACCGGCCAGCGTTAAATATACATTATGTTATAATGTGTAGAATAATGCTGTTATATTACATCTTTTCTGACATACTGAATCACTCACTTCTGAAATCTACAGCATAAACCGATGTATCTTTCTGTTTCATTAATTAACAAAAGGTCCATCTAAAACAACATGTTACTGGCTACAATAACCAAATATATCAGATTGTAATGTGCGTAGAATAATGGAAATACACATTACTTGCCCTTGTTTTGATGGCAGCATTATATATCAGCCATCGGTCGCCCTGCTCTCTAAATATTGGCAACTGAAAAACCCATATCGGTCGACCACTGGATGGTTTTCCTGCAATAAATTTCTCCCTACTTACAGTAACACTGTGAGATTGTTCACCTGCAGAACAGCAGACAGAAGAGGAGGCTGTCACATTTAATGCCACAAAATAATTAAATGTCCTGTTAGTGTTATGCAACAAGGCACAGCTTGCCAGAGTCTGTTTTCATGCTCTGATTTTGAAGCTTTGCAAGTAAATTAAATGATTACTCTGACATTGTCTCACAGGCTGGGTTTGTCCTCCAGGTTTGAGACTGTTATTCTTAACTTTTAGGAGTATAAATGTGTTTTTTTTTTAATCTCTTCCTGCAGGTAATGAGGGTGTACCTGCGTTCAGTGAGAGCACCTCGGCTGGACACAGGAAGCCCAGCAGCAGGGACGAGTATTTAGCAGGTGCTGTAAGCCACCACCAGAGGGCTCAACATACATCTTTTCACCAGCTTCACTCAGTCTTTCACTGCTCTCTCTTTCTCTGCAGATGATCCTGAGCTCTGGGATTTCACTCTGGATGGGATTGAGGAGCTGAATGTCCCTGCAGGCGGCCCACCCTCCAGAGGGCTCAGGCCCAGCACGCCCAGAAATCACCAGATGCAGACGCGCAGCAAGACCCCTCAAAGAGCCCCGGGAAGGCCTCCAGAGGAGGCACCGTCGTACGGCAGGGGACAGGACTGGGCTCAGTCCAGACCTCAACATCAAAACCAGTATCAGGCGAGACCAGGTGAGGATTCATGAGAATAGTCACTGATCTGTTGGTGGCTGAAATTTGAGTTTTTAATCTACTTTTTCAACCTTACAGGTGAAATGTTGAGTCCGTACAGACAAGGACAGTACATGAAGAAACGCCGACTGGACACTTGAGAGTTAATGTTACTGTTGCACAGCTTCTTTAAATCCTTTAATGTTACGTTTGTTTCATATTTATTTCAATGTGAAGTTCATTTTGTAATGCTGCTATATCTGATATTTGGAGAAATGTTATCAGGTTTTGTAAAAAAAATAAAAACATGACCACAGAAGTCTGTCAGCTGTTTTATTATACATGTGTACATAAGTATGTATGTGTATATGAGACAATACTGTAATACAGGGGCCATGTTCAGCCCTCCGTCCGCCTCTCTGGCCTGCAGCATAATGTCAAAAAGTAATAAAATCTGGCCACAAGAAACGACCCCTTCATATACAATTTAAACAAAAACATTATTCTATTATTATAAAGTATTTAGTATTTAGTAAATAATGGCAAAGGTGCCCACAAATGAGAGCAGGTTTTGGGCTTTTTTTGTTATTTAATTGTGAGAGACAAAGATTATATAAAAAAATTATAGAAACTGCAGTTTGCATTTTCCTTAAGTAGGATGGTAACAATGGAAATATTACATAAAATTGCTCTTGTAGTATTTTAATGTTGAAGTGGCCCCAAGACAATTTGACTTTAAAATCCCTGCTGTAGTGTTTGAGACACAATATAAACATTATACTTTGATTATTAGCCATAAATATTGGATTGAGAGAGATGTATTTAGGATCTGAAACCAAGTTTTCACAGCCTAAAACGTGATGAAAAAACAATTAGTAAAGAAAAAGAGTAAATTAAAATAACAGTCTGGTTGCAATAAAAAAAGATTCAGACAAGCACTTTAATCGATATTATTTTTATTTGTTTTTACATTTTGTACAATGTGAAAAACATACACAAAACAGACACTGAATCACAGGAAGTCAGTAAGGAGGGATCAGAAATAAGAGCTCAACAGATATTACTGCGTGTCAGTAGCCTCAAACAGTACTGTACAGAAGTCTGTGATAATTACTGATAGTAGCATTGTAGCACATGGACCTTAAGCTTCATTGAGAGCTTGTGCTGTACAGTGGCCAGTTGTGAGTTGGTTGTCATTTGTAAGATTAAACATCAGTGAAGCCGGCATGCAGAAACCATATGCTGATAGTCTGATATTGAAGTTGTGCCTGTGATATTGGTGAATGGCAATTTAACAGATCAACACTAAAGTGATGAGTCCCAGAAAGGCAAATAATATAAAAAAAAAAACAACAAAGATCTCTAATATTCCAATATCAAAAACATTGAAGTCTGTAACAACCCTCATCAGCATGCAAATGTTTCCATTACCCCCTCAGTCCCTTTAAAACTTTTAAACATTGCATATTCTGCATTGCAGTAACTTATTTTTTCTCTAGAGAAGTTTTAACTATTCATCCAAATCTACGAGCAGGCGAAAGAGTCACGATGACAGCATGGCACTCGTGTGAGAGGTGGGTGAGACAAAAAGTTGAGCCGGCACGAGGGCGCGACAACTTTTAAACCTTTTATACACCGCTCACTCGCTGCCCTTAAACAAGTGCTTCTATTAAAACGGTTTAATGATAAATCCACAAAGAAATGAAAGAAAGAAATGTCAGCCTTTTTTTTTTATGAATGCATGAGCCAAATATAAATACAGTTGATTACACAACCAACACAAATGTATCTGTAGAGAGAAAAAGAAACGTTTTCCACCTTACTCAGTGTGCTCTTTGTTCTGCAGTCCTCTGTGTTTGTTTTTGTGTGTGTGTGTGTGTGTGTGTGTGTGTGTGTGTGTGTGTGTGTGTGTGTGTGTAGGTGTGTGTGTTTGTGTAGGTCTAGGTGTGTGTGTTATCCAGTTGCATGTTTTTGAGATGGCCGTGTGACGGTTATGGAGCCACGTATTTTTCTGCAGTACAGTCACAACTACAGGACTAGATGAGTCTGGAACTTGTCATTAGTGAGGATGCAAGGCACTAAAGTGTTCCTCATGTTTACAGGTTAGAGTGCATGTGCATGTAGAGTGGGGGTCACCACAAGCATACTCTAGTGACTGAGCATTAGGTGAAAGCATTTACCTCACATTAACATATATACAATTAAATAGAAAAGGGGGGCAGGGCAGTCATACGATAGAAGAGCTTAATAAACCACAGGATTACTCCCGCCTGGTGAGTAGCATACCAATAACAACCACCCTGCAATTGCACTTTTTATATTCCTTAACTACATGTTGTTTAACAACCTTTAATAATAATTACAGTGAAACAACATCAAAATCTGATGGCTGAATACAGGTCCATAAAGAACATTTGTTTTATTAAATATACGCATACAAAAACAGACCACAGAAAGAGAGAACCCCAGACACTTGTGATTTGAGAAGTGACAGCTAATTATGGTTATGTTATTTAATGTGAGATGACTTTACTAACAACCTGTTTTGTCTAAACAACTGGGAGAAGTTGGGAGGATGCGTCCGTTTTACACAAATAACTAATGCAATAAACCAAAACTATTTCATTTTGTATGATAAGTAGATTTTGAACGGTTCATAATCCATTGATAAGCACTAAGTGAAGTGGTTTCATGTGTCAACTTGGGATTCTAAACAAGATTTCATTCTTGCGTTTAAAAAAAAAAAAAAAAAAAAAAAAAACACACAAAACAAAAGTCGAACACCCTTCAAACACCCTCCTACTCAGATTGTGATTTACAGCAGCATCACCTCTTCAAGATCCAAACTCCAAATGGTGGTCAACACCAGGACAATGCTTTTTCTTTTTGTTTTTATATATATGGCAGATCCACTGGCTTACATGAAGAATAAATCAGTATGATAATAAATCTGTATAGACAACTCAAATCACAATGACACCAGACTCTCACAGGGACATAAATATGCTAAACATGGAATCATAACCCAGTGAAGAAGTGTCTATGTACAAAGTCAATGTTTAAATGTGTTTGGAGATTAAGGCCACAGTTACAAGGGACAGTATATCTACTCTTTTCCATTATTGCATTTTTCTTAATAGGTAGCCACTGGGATGTATTCATACTGCAACCCTATCCATTACACTCCAGCCTAACTTACTACGTCTTTCTTCTACCTCCAACAGTCTCACTTTCCCATCCGGGACAAACTGTCCCACTCTTATCTCCCACTTTCAAGTACACTCCCCCCCTCGCTCTCCGAGACAACTTAACCTTCCATCCCAAGTCACTCAACCAGATTAATATTTAGTCAGGTGTGCACACACGCACACACTTGTGTCTATGTGGTGAATTAGTTTTGTATCCCAGTTCGGCTTAAAGTCAGGACCAGTAAGTTTGTGAACCAGAGTGCTTCCTACCTTCTCCTCTTCAAAAGGAATGACAACATTTCAACGTCTGCTCTCAAAAGACTTCTTTGGCTGTTGTTGGTTATGCCTTTGGGTCATTAGATTACCAGACAAAACCAACCGGCTCGTCACAGCTCGATTCCACAGCTAATGGCAGGCGTGTGTGGATGTGTATTGCACTCTCCCTCCAATTGCCAGACAGAGTTCGTTCTGCCTGAGAGGACTTGAACCACACAGGTCAGCTCTTTTACAGAAAAAAAAAAAAAAAAAAAACCAAAAAAAAAAAAAAACACATAATAATAAAAGTTGAAATAAAAAATAAAAAGCACAATATCCAGCTAGCTAACCTGCAATCTGCCAAGAGAGCTATTGGTTCTTGTTCACAACTGTCTGCCCCTGTGTGGCCCTCTGTCTCAGCCTTGACCAGGGCTCTGACTGGGCTACGTAGGCCTTAGGTTGGGCCCTCCGGGGCTGATTGATTTCTGGGGGGCTGGTGCAGCTCCGATGTGAAAGCCTTGGTGCAGGGACACTGAGGCTGTCACCGGCGGCTGGTACTGTGTTAGTGGCTGTGCGGGGTTAAGCATGCTGACCTGGCATGTGCCTGTGGGTCCTGCCCACTGAGGAGCGCTGTACGAGGCCGAGGTGTATCCAAACCCTGGGGCAACTGGGCCCAGAGAGCCTTTACGAGGCCCCTGGGGGATGGAGGGATTGGCTGGGTTGGGGAGGTGAGTGGTGGTGGTGGTGGAGGACGTGGTGTTGGAAGGTGTGGGAAGCGTTGGGCAGAGGTACGCTGGAGCTGAGAATTTACGGCCCATGTTAACCGGAGGGATAATCTGCAACACAGAAATAAATGAGTGTTACTACTGAATCATAAAATGCTCCAATAACTAGGGATGCACCGATGCACATTTTTTCACTTCCGATCTGATCCCGATATCTGAATTTGGATATCTGCCGATACCGATACTATTCCGATACCAGAGCTCTGTTTGCTTTAATATTATTATCATTATTGTTGATTTTATATGAGGCTGAAATAAACTCCTGTCCCAAAAGGCAACTTGAGGTAAGTATAAGGTCAGAAAAGGAAGTCCTGTTAACAGGAAAAATCAGTTGCGTTCGTAGTGTTGTACGACGCGAGGGAGCTTCCGCCTCTCTGAATTACGGCTTTGCAAACATTGCATTTTGCTGTCTTGCTCTGCTGTGTTTCCAGTGGAAAGTATTTCCACACAGCGGACATGTTGGCTAGCCACAACGCTGCTCAATGCTAACCTGCAAGCTGGCTGCAAACTGTGGAATGGATTTCCTGAGCGGAGGCGTGTCTCGTAACTCTGTGTCTCATTGAGCCGCGCCTCCGTACCCGGAAATCCATTCCACAGTTTGCAGCCAGCTAGAAGACTGGCCGGCAGGAATCACTTGTGGAGTCATTTCAGCAGACAACGTTAAAGAGCAGACATGGCTCATGGATCGGAAATCTCTGCAGGTTGGATCGTAAATTTCCGATCCGTGAATTACGCTGGTATCGGTCTTGATACTAATACTGGATCGGATCGGCCCCATTCCTACCAATAACAAGACTTTTTATATTCAAACAAAGTATTGAATGCCTACATCATGTCCCAGTGCTGCCTGTGGGACAGTTTTAGGACCTCTCTTGCACTGGGAGAGGTTGATGGCGTCCCTGGCCCAGTTATCCACCAGTTGGTGCAGGTCATCAGTGAAGGTGCCCTTGCCCTTCTGGGTGTGAGATGCAGGAGTGGGTCCAGTCACCTGGGTCAGTGTAGCAGAGTGGTTCTGGTAGTGGCCTGAACCATTCGTGGAGCTGGTCCCACTTGATCCTGGGAAACAAGAAGGGAAATGAACTTGTGTGTGCTGGTGGGAATGTTGTAGCAAACTAAGGTTTTGGCTTTTTACTCGTTAAGATTTTATTGCACTTAATGAGTGTTGTTATCAAGTCGAGGTTATCTTGAGGTTCTGCTATCTGCTGAATGTATGTTTATGTGTGTGGAGAAGCTCAGCCAAATGTCTAGGACAAACTAGATTATTTCCAGGATATTTGCTCATTTTAATCAATTTCCAGGTGTTTCCATGACGCACAGGAATCTTAAAATAATTCAGTCGATGGAAATACGTCTGGAGACGGAGCTCTTGCACCCATGTGAACTAGAAAATAAATTCACGGAAATCAATTCAAGTAGCTCACTGTGGCACGATTATATGCCAGCACGTACCTGTGGAGCAACTACTGAGGCTAGGCATGGATGGAGAGGATCTGAGCTGCGGTATGGATGACCTGCTCACTGGTTGTGATGCCTCCGTTGCTGAGGGTGAACTTTGCTTTGGAGAGGACTCTGAACCATGAGCAGAGGCTGGGGATCCTAAACATACGAGCAGAATACACAACAAAGTGTAAACATTTACCCAGGAACGTACCATTTCAACAGCTTCAGTGATTAGAAAAGCGTGTACACAAAACACAAATTGTACTGCTGGCATCAGTGTGTACTATTGGGGTTTGTATTACATTTTCAGCCCAAAAAAAACCAGCTGAAAAGCCAGTTCACTGCCCTTACCTGAGTGCAAGGGGCTGGGCTGTCCACTACTGCGAGCAGATTTGTGGCTTTTGCGCCTACGTCGACCTCCAGCCATTGCCACAGCCGGGGAGAAGACAGAGTGGGGAGGAGGTTTTCCCATCCGTGTGAACAGAGACTCTATCTCCTCTTTCTGACGAGTCTGCAATGCCTGGATCTCCATCATATGTCTGGGAAAGGGAGAAGAAAGGAGAGAAAAAAAACCCCATACAAATCATGTTAAAATATTTCTATTAAACTGTGAAGTGAAGTGTGAAGTTGGACATGCAACCTACTTTTCTCTGAGACGGCTTATTTCTTTCTGCAAGGCTTCGTCTTCAGTCTCAGAGTCGTCGTCATTGTCACTACTGTAATGAGTATGTGTGTTAGGAGGATCCGAGGTTGAGGATGAGGGACCATTCTGCATACTGGAGCCATGTGAAGGACTGGAGCCTGCTGCTGGAGCTGGGGTCACTGAGGGAAATCAAACACATCAGGCCATTACTTCTTATTCTGTGCACAGGATGAAGAAAATCTGTGTTTTGTACAAATTTACTGACCAAATCCAACAATTGTTTTCTGTTACGGTTAAAACACAATGGGCTGTCAAGCTCAGTAGATAAGATATGTTTTACTGAACAGCAAATGCCATCAAAGCTTTAATTATTAATTCCCACCGCAGCCTCTGTCAATAGGATCCATTGGCAAAGCTGCCTCCACAGAGTGAACGACTATAAAGACCCCTCAGAGTGCATTATACTGCTTATACCACGGCCACTTATCAAAGGAAAAGTGTGGCTGTGATAAAATGGGCATCCATTTTTAAAAACACTTATAATGATTAATTTAGTCTTTTTAGCTACAGTGTCAGCAGTGAAATAACTGGCAAGATAGTGGGAAGCATCAGTTGTGTATGATACTCTGCATACCGTAGTATGACCCTGTGTGAGGAAAGCTTTATACTAGTTTAGCAAAGCTTGCAACTTTGCTGTGAATGTGCTACGCACCGGTGACAGAAAAACGTCCCACTTTAGAGCCAGTGGTTGGCGCAGATGTGGCATTGGGGCTCGTGGACACTTGGAAGCGCCCAATAGTGGTGGACTGACTGGCAGGATTGGCAGATAGAGACGAAGCTCCATTTACACTGTCAGTTTCACAAACTCCTTTGGCCAGAGAAGATGACCTGTGGAGTGTATTTTCTGGACTTGAGGGGGAGGAGGATGAGGAGGAGGAAGATGAAGAAGAGGAGGAGGATGAGGAGGAGGTAGAGGATGGCGTGAGGGACGAAGAGGAAACGATGCTGAAGGCATCTGGAACGTTGCTGGACACACCATCAGCAGCAACAGACACCTGAGAAAGAAAAGGAGGGAGACATTTTGAATCAACTTTAGCCAGAGGTTTAAGAGAATTAACCGGATACAGTTTAAGTTGTCACTAAAACTTACTTGGAAACGTCCCAGAGTGAAACCTGCTGCTGGGGGCTGGACCCTTTTACCTCCCTGAACAGTCTCTGGGCTCAGAGCCCTCCTCAACTCAGCATCCAAATTACCCAGGGGTTGCTGTGACTGTGGAGTCACACAAACAGGATATAAGGAGCAATCCATACATATATAGACCGACACTATTTCTTATAAACCTACGCACACAAAAACCCCACTTATTTGTGTTTTTTAAGTCTACTTTATTTTAAGTTGTTAATTATTAATATGAATTTTCTTCTTACTAGTCTGCATGTACATACATTTTTTGCTTTGGCAATATAAACATGTGTTTACCAATGAAGCCCTTTTGAATTTAATTGAAATAGTAGAGCACATAGTACACCTCACCTGATTTGGTCCAGGAAATGGAGGTACAAGGTCGGAGGGAGGCGTAGCAGCTTGATCAAAACCAGTAGGTAACGTCTAAAAAGTATAACAAAGAGGAAAGTAAATGTAAAACATTTTTTAAATCGCAGTGAACAGAATTTGGGATTTATTCTTGGTTACTGCGGTTTCCACTAACCTGTGCCCTGGGCTTTGTTGGAGGCGTCTGTGCATGTCCTGCTGGGGTGGTTGTGGAACCCAGGACACCTTGTACCCCTGACGTGAGAGAAAGGTTTGATGGGGGCACGAGGGCGGCTCCAGGTGGAGGGGAAGAAGTCCCAGTGGGAGGAGAGGATGTGCCTGTGTTCTGACTGGGATCCAGTGACGCAGACGAGGCAGAGCTCTGGTCTTTAAAAAGGGACCGTAGCTTCTTATCTAGAGCTTGGATATCATCTCTGCCAGCGGTCTTGGTCTGGAGCTCAGCTCCCTCCGTCTCCACTGGCTGTGGCTGCACCTGGCCCTGACTGGGTAATGAGGTGGGAGGAGCAGGCTGAGCGGAAATGGTGACAGGTTGACACTGGGAGGTTGCGTGCTGTGGTGCATGGATGGCCGAACTCATAGGCTGAGAAGACGTAACAGCACTATTAAAAGGCTGCTGGTCTAAAGCAGGGACTGCGCCAGTACTACTGGGTGTAACACTAGCAACAGAAGAGACAGAACTACTGCTCAGTTGAGGCCCAAGGACTGCTGGGACGGAGGTCTGCACTGATGGAGGAGTAATGGTGGAAGATGAGGGAGGGATGTTGGCAGCTGGTGGATGCTGTGAGGGGGCTGCTTCATGGGAAGACGGTGGGCTGGGATCACTGGTGACAGGAGCTGGAGTTTGGGACACCGTGGATATAGGAGGAGGGGAAACCCTCCCAGTAGAGGCAGGTGGTGAGGATGTTGCAGTAAATGAGAGAGACGCAGCAGGGAAAGTAGCGCTAGTGGTGGAAGTTACAGCTTCTGGAGGAGCCAGTATATTGTTAGAATTTGGGCCGAGTCCAGCTTCACTGGATGTGACAGTGCCTGGTTCTTGCTCAGCGGCATCGGGATCAAGTGTGCTGCTTCTCTCTACACGAGCCTGCCTCATTTTACTGAAAGCGTGCTGGAGAGTCCCAGATGGAGCAGACAGAGACAGGCCCAATGTCATAGAGGGAGCTAGAACAAAGTAAAAAGAGGAAGTCATCATATGAAAAATTTAAAACAGAAATTGACAAAAATATAAAATTTATATTTAGCGCATCAGTAAAAGCTTATGTGAACATTTACAGTTACTACATAGGGTAGAACTTCTGAAGGTTTCATATTTCTTTACACATTTGACTTTTTTTAATAGAAATTATTAATAGTTACTGCTAAATTATTGGGTTACATCTCTGATGATGCATCTCAGCTTCATTTTGTTTTCAGTCAGGTGATCAGGTTATAACACTTACAGGCCTATCAAATGCAGAACTTTAAGAAACCAAACAGTGGGGACAGTTCTACAGAGAATAAAACTAATGTTTCACTCACCTGGGGAAGGTTCATCTCCAAAGGAGGTATTAGCAGAAGGAGCGCCAAAGAACTGTTCTCTGAGACGGGACTCTGGCACTGGGCTGACTATGAACCTTCGTCCTGCTGAATGCACTACCTGGGCTGTAGTGCTGGGGGAAATGCCTGAGAGAAGGTCAAAAGAAAAAGGTCAGATGTGAGCCGGGAGCTGGACTTGATAAAAACCAATATCTTGACATTAAGTACTGTATTTTTGGATAAAGTTTGTTAACCTGGCAACATGGGAACAGACAGCTCAGGCTGTTGTTGGTGATCAATCATCTGCAAAAAGATAAAAATATAGGTGGTTACATCCTCAGGTTTAGCAGGTGAGGGTCAAAACTGTCAATATGTGTGAAGTTTACTGAGGAAATACCTGTGGAAAGCCTTCCTTCATGCCCTCTCCTTTCTCATCAGCCATTTCTATAACTTCACGGACCTGCTCGATGAAGGACTCCCACTCACTCTCCAAGATGAACTCACTCGCAACCTGAATCAGAAATCAAAAGAAATGAATCTACTGAAACTAAAACTACATGTACTGTAAGAGTGTGACTGTCATTGGTTGATGCAGCAGGTATTAATGAACAAAAAGGACAGCAACATTAGTTGTATGTGCCCTTTGGTCTTGTTTTTCAGATGCAATGGATTGTCAGTCAGTTGCCAATTCAACTCTATTAGTATATAGCATGTATAGAGAATATACTTATAACAAACAACCATTAGACAGTTAACATTTCCTAAATGTTTAGTGGAAGAAACTAGAGATCACTACTACCATGATTTCTGCAATCTCTTCCGGATTATCACCATCAAGGTCAAATTTGAAGGTCACCATCTTCCTGTTGTGCGTTTCTAGCTGGCACTCTGCTACTCTGTCCCCCACATTAGAGATCTGCAAAACATTCATTCAGGTTAAAACTGTTGAGTGACAAAGAGCTTGAGACAGCACATGAATGAACTCATCAGTACAAACGCTTACACTGAGAACATTTAGCTTGGCCCTTGCAGTCTTTTCGTGGCGGGAGCGGCTGCGGACGGATCTTCGCTGGTGGCGCTTCAGCGAGCGGCCCTCGTGGCGACCTCCTGATGTAGAACTTCCATCATTGCCGTCACTAAGACCTGAAGCTGTGTCTGACAGGCAGCTGAAAGAGAAATTGACCCATGAGAGAGAGATTGGATACATTGTGCGAATGCTTTTTTTAAAAATAACTTCCTTCTCACCTTTCTACAGATGGAGGCACCAGAGCAGTGGACCCTGCAGGCTGATCCACTGGTGTTGACTGAGGGAGACTCACAGCCTGAAACACAGAAAACGTTCACAATCAAGCAATTCATGTCAAAAGCAAATCTCAAAATGGAAAGTCCTATTGTTCGTGCGCTTTTGGAGTGATTTAGCACAGCAAACCAAAGATTATATATCATTTACTATTTATTTCATTCATTGAATCTTATTTTGGTCTTTTGTGTTGACCAACTATTACCAGAGATTAAGGATTTGAACCAGACCATCCACCAGGAGGAGCTAATTAACCTGATTCAAAGAGCTACGCCATTATTCAGCTCTAAGCCAGAGTGTAAATATTGCTGTGCAACAAAGTTTTTATTTAATTTACTGCAGAATGTGGCATTTTTTTCTCTGGTGTGCTTGTATGGATATAAGTTACATTTAATAGGTTACTGCTGTTCTATCAATTTCTAGTTCTAGTCCTGTGGGTGGTTACTGGTTTTTGTAACTGTATTAAAATATGTTTATTTATTACATGCACAGATTATATCTATTGGGGTACTGTTTTCATGGAGGATTTTAAGCTCCAAGTAAAACCCTTGACCCGTTAGATTTTCTAATTTTAAATGTGTGCCCTGGTATTCTTTCGAAGTATGAATGTACACACACTTTAAGGAACAGAAACCATGTAAGGAGGTGTGAATGAAATGCTTCACACCTGACGCACATAAAACCACACACACACACACACACAACTTGTTTTGTGCTCTGTAGAGTACCTGCAGAACAGAGAGGCATGAGGCCTGATAGAGGAAGTATAGATGTTCTGCGTTGAGTGGAGGAGACATGATAGGAGGACTTGGATCACTGGCCCAAGACTAAGAGTCATGCAGGAATATGCAGCATGCAAAAGGAAAAAGTGGGAAAAAGAAAGGGGGACAGCCATGGTAGTGTGTTCAGAGAAAGGAAAAGAAGATTAAGAAAAACTGCAAACATAAAAACTGAGAGCAAGAAATTGTAGTAGGGTCAAGCAAAACAGTGGGTTTAATGACTTAAATGCCTATATATGTCAGTGTATGTCTAAAAGCAAGATCAAATAATAAAAAATAAAATAAAATAATTAAATTTGATCTTGTTATGTGCGAGCAGGGGAGGTGTGTGTATCACCTGTAGCTGCTGAGCGCCCGTCTGTGTCTGTGGTAGAGTAGAGCTCTGAAGAGTACTGCTGCTCTCCGGCTGTTGCTGCTGTTGGGGGGGAGATGACTGAGAGGATGGGGGTATCATCACTTGCTGGGTGGGAATCTATAAGAACAGAAGGGATAAAGATGGATTAGCAGAAACAAGAATAAAATTAGGAAGGTAAATTGTTGAGGTAAAGACTGACGCACAGTCACAGTGGCATTTAGGCTACTTCCTGAAAACCTGGTTTCTTTCTAATCTAAATCTTTCAGAGATTCACTTTGGCCCTATTCCAAAGACACACGCACTTACCTGTTGGATAACATCACTGCATAAATCAGATAATTTACTCATATGACAGAATGGGCTTTCAAGGTATAGATACAGTACAATACAGTGTATTCTGGAGACATGTACATTGCACGTCAACCCACACTGCACCTGCAATTTTTTTTTCTGGATAACATATTTTCCATTTTTAAAAAGCTACTACAACTAAGTCAAAACTTGAAAATTGGCCACAAAGGCTGCTGTGCAGACCAATATAGACAATATGTTTCTTTAGTTTCCCAGAACATGTTATCCGAAAGTCTGTGGTTGTATTTAAAAGTGATAACAGGAAAATGGGACATTTTATCTACCTGAGGGGGAAGCGATGGTTGGTAGTAAACTCCGTACTATAAGAAACAAAACAGCACAGGGTAAGAGTAGGAAACTTAAACGAAGAGAGAAGAAAAGCAATCTAAGGAAAATTAACAGAAGAGACCTGAAAAACTCAGGATTCGGAACACTCAGCGGTTTTTAACACAACCGCCTGTAGTAAACAATATCGGCTTTAAAGGTTAACTTAACACCCTCTGAAAATCAGATTTTGCTGACCTTGACTGGCTGAAGTTCAGGTTTGCTGCAGTGATATAGACGTGTATTCAGGGTGTGTTCAGTACAACTAACATAACTACAACTGTGTTGCTGCCACAGATTTGAAACTTTGAACCAGAGGTCAGTGAAATAAATTGGTTAAATTGGTGTGAAGTTACTCTTTAAAGACATTAAGACATGCAGTACAACATATACCTGTGAAGGTGCCACTGGAACAGACTGGCTGCTTGGTGCAACAGGAACAACTTCTGGCTGGACACCTTGCATCTTGGGTTGAACCTTATGCACCACAGACAGAAAACAACAACATGGGTTAAAAATGAGACGAAGAAGACTTCTTTTAAATGTTTATTTCATTCTAAGGGGGGGAAACACACCATGGGGAAACCATTTGATTCTCTTCAACACGCAAGATTATGTCCTATTTTCAAACTTGACTCACCACTGACAACTGTTGCTGTTGCATTTGGTCATTTTGTGTCTGCGGGCAGGACACCTGGAGTTGAAGGTGCTGACTGGCAGGAGAACTGTAGGATATTCCAGACTGAGGAGGCTGGGCTTCAGGAAGGATGGAGGAACCAGACAGTCTGTCTCCCATGTGACTGACTGTAAGAGGGGGACAAGAAGGTTAATTTATGAAAAAATTACTCCAATCCATTCAAACCATTTTATTATCATACAGTGGACTGTAGTTCTGTTCGACTATAAATCGATTGTGTATGATACACACCTCCAGTGTGCTGTAGTTGTTTGTGTTGGTCAGTCTCAGGTTCCTCTGACTCTGGCTGGATTGTGGCCACACTCTGACCCTGAACTGAAACTGGGACTTGCCCTGTTGACTGAGGGACATAAGGGACCCCTTGTGCCAGGCTGGTCAGTTGGTTTGACTGAGGAGTGCTGTAGTTAGAGCTCTGAAGGCTCTGCTGAGATGCAGGTTGGGCAGACATCTGTGTGCTGTGTTGGTTTGGTTGTGGAGAGACATAAGAAGCAGGCTGTGGCACTGGCTGGGACTGAGGCACATCTGTGCCTGGCTGTGGACCTGGTTGCGGTACTGGCAGTAGCTGACTCTGCTGTTCTTCTTCTAGCCTTCTCTTCTCCTGATCTTCCCTGACCTACAAGACAGTCAGCAGCAAATCTATTAAAATCCCTCAAGAAAGCATTGATCGACAACATATCACAGCACAGGTGACTTCAGCAAATAGTATGCGTAAATAATGTTAGATACAATATGGTGAGCATGGACACACCTGCTGCCGCTGCGCTCTCTTGCGACTGATTAGAGACACCCTGTCCTTTATGGCCTTTGCAATGGTCTTGTGGTCACCGTCGCACACATAACCAGACTCAACCTACAGCACAAAGAAATGTCAATACAATCCAGCAGTAAAAACCATTAAAACTAACATTATTTATCTTACAGCCTTTAATTGTAACAGTATTGATGAAGTCCTGTATTTTTTTAAAACTGATGAATGCATTAAAAGTTAAATTCACCATTTCCTGAGCCACATCCTCTGGGACGTCTTTGTTGAGGTCAAAAGAAAACTCAATAGCTTCGTTGTCTTTGTACTTCCCCTTGAGTTTCTTTACATCCTCAATTCTCAGCCACAGCTTAATAGCTTCCATCTCTCCGTCGTCCTCTTCTGCCAACTCGACACGCACCCCTGTGTCCTCCTGGAAGAAGGCGTGGTTCAGAAGGTCCTTGATTGAATACCTAAACAGAGGGAGACAAGCAGTGAGCAAATACATTTCCTGGAGAGCTAGACTACCCTAAACCAATTAAATGTCAGTTAAAGTTAGAGACCTCTCGTCCTTGTTCTGGCGAATACATCCTTCGATGATCTCCTTCACTTCAGGAATGGCCACCTTGTCGAAGCTGCCCGGCTTCACCCCCTACAGGAAACACAGAACACTGAATGAGAATGATTCTTCTTCTCATTTGAGCTTTTCTTATTTTGGAGACTACCCCATACCGTGTTGTCTTTTTCAGCTCAGAGTAGAGTACATTAGTACCATGAAAATATTTGATAACTAAGATAATCACAGCCTTTAACTTACTCTTCTAATTCTGTTTTAGAATGAATCTCAAATGTCAAAGTATGAAGTGAAATTGGTTACTTCTAAGAAACTTAACCTCTACAGCAAACCATTCAAAAACTGTTAAACGGCTAGAATGCTTTCTACGTGGTGGCATTTAAAAATTGCAGAATGTCAAGTGATGGGTAAAGGAGGGCACAAGTCAGTAGAGGACGGCTAAAGAGAGGTGATGAATTGAGCGAATAGCAACAGGAAACTGCAATAACACTACAGGAAAATGGAGGACTGGCTGAGAGCTAAATGTCAGAATAGAAAGAACAACAGCACGTCTCCCAAAGGAATAGTAATGTAAAAACGGAGCATGTGACACCACCGAAATGTTCTGCAGTATGAGCTATTTGTGGCTCATAAAAAGAGAGCTTTAAGAACTACTTTAGAATACTTAACAGTGGGTAAATAAAAATCCTCTGTTGAAACATGTGGCAAAGACTTCAGTATTTGAACTTTGCAGTTAATGATAAACTGAGGATACTGGGATAGATTTCAAGACACGTTTTGTAGATAACACTCTAGGAACAAGTTTAACCTCTTTATCTATGACTCTTGTAATTGCACGAGTGTATGAATCATATCACTGCCTATGCATTTCAAAAGTAAGCCAGTATCAACTGTATGAATAAGAATAAAAATATGTGTTTTTTCAAAGACAGTTACTGCCCTTCTGGCGTCATCACAAGACAGAACCATTAAGCAGGACTGTGCTTGTTCAGCCTCTTATCAAATCACCCACGCCTCAGATCTACATGCTTAAGCAACATACACCATAATTCAGAAGGAAAGAGACAGTATGAGGTTAAGCAAAGGGATCTGTTGGTGTGGTCTTGTGGGTTCTTCAAACAAGGCAATAGGAGATCATTGGGGAGATACAGGAATACACTCAAGTTTGGGAGGTGAAATACAATAGTAGAAGATAGAAATGTAATATAAAAAGGTTTTTAAGAGGTGTCAGTGGGAATATAAAATCATTCCAGAATGGGACACTAGCCTTCTTGGTATATAGGAAGAGGTGAAGGCAGGGCAGAGGGGTGACATGGAGAGTTGAAAAGAAGACTTACGCTGGTAACTCTGCGGTAGATCTGTGCAGCATTCTGGCACTCTGAGTAAGGGTACTCTGAGGTGGCCATCTCCAGCATGCACATTCCAAAGGCATACACATCCACTGACTCGTCGTACTTCTCCTCATACATCTCAGGCGCCATGAACTCAGGGGTACCTTAAATCAAAACAACTATTCAGAACTCTCGAACTCCCTTACTGATTGAGTGGGCTTCTCACAACCCATTGCCCCTCCGCTCCTCTAACCCGTGAGGGGTTGAGGAAGAGGAGGATGAGAAGAGTGACCAGCCTGTTGACACCTCCTGGAGTTGAACCTGTGAGGTGAAAGTTGGAAGAGAGAGAGAAAAAAAGAAAAGGGGAAGGAAAGCAAAAAAAGAGACAGAAAACAAAAAAGGAAGGAAAAGCTGGGCTCAGTTAGACTGTAGAGAAGAAAGCACCTGTTTGTCTGTGTAAGACCTTCACATGTTGCGATATAAGAATATGACTGAGGTAGCCAATGTGCAGAACACACTTGTTAGCCAGAATTAATATTAATTTGCAATGTTCCAAAGCTTTAAAAATTAGGCACTTGAGAATAACTCCTAGGCCAGAATACAGTGTTATTTTTTTCTCTCGAAAGGACGCCAATGATCTCAGTAAGAGAAACATGACTAGCTATGGAAATAACTTTTGTCAACACCTTACCTTACAACCACAATAAACAGTCTTTTATAGTACACTCACCTTTCGAAGTCTGACTTACCATCTCTTCTTGACCTGCAGGAGGAAACTGTTACGGTTAAGGCTGAGAGAAGCAGATCCCATAGCTAGTTACTGTGCTCAGCAGTGTGTCTTTGCACATCAACCTTGTTCTATTAATTGAATCATTTTACATTCAATCTCAGGTCTTACACAGAAAAACTCATTTGGTAATTGAATGTAATTTGTTTTTGATATTGATGTGTGTTACAGCACACTGTCAGACTTACCAGGCCCATAAAAGATCATACTTACTCAATGACCAGCAGTACCCTATTCATTCCAAACAGCAGAATGGGGCACAGCTGAGGCTAGAGCCTACATTTTAAAAACATACCCAGGAATGTGAAAGTAAAAAAATAAAATAAAATAAAAATAAAACAAACAAAAAACAAAGGCAAAATGCTGACAGAGAGAAAGTGGGGAGAGCTCCCTGGACACAAAGATGGAGCAAAAAGATTCTGCGGTCCTGCAATATTTTAAAAGACAATAAGAGACAAACACTAGATAAAAAAAAAAAACCTGTTGAGGCAAACCCATAGAAAGAGACGTTAAACATTATTGGTATAACTGGCAAACAGACCACATATTTCCAAACCACAGAACAAAGACCAGTCTATGACAGAAGCAAAGGCCATACCTTTAGCCATGGCCAGGTTAGCCTGCAAGAAGGCATGACAACTATTATCATAATGATATTAATATTTAACAGTATGAGAAACGTTAGGCGCTACTTACATTCAGTAGGTGCCTGGAAAAAAAACCCTCTCTTTTTTTGGAGAAACATAGAACAGAAATATTCTGTACAATGACCAAACTGGATAGAGTTTCTGTGTGAGTGCAAAGAGAGAAAGCCTTGTGGTTATCTGCCTAAGATTACCACGGTATTTGGCCTCCATTTGAGCTGTGGTTTGAGAGACAGCTGAAACGCTGTGGTCTGTTTTTGAACCACACCGTCAGAAAAACCAAGTAAAAGAAAAATACCCTCTTTAAAACACCATCATTTTCAATACAAACATAAAATGACATCAGAACAGGTACTGCCCCACAACAGGACAGGGACCAGTAGGTAGAAATGACTTTGGGGTCATACCTATAACACTCTTGGCAAATGATGCGCGCTTGAGTGTAGCCAGTCCCAAGTCTCCAATCTTGACGGATCCTGTTGGGCCTGTGATGAAAATGTTGTCGCACTTAAGGTCCCTGTGGATAATGGGGGGAGCCCGAGTATGAAGGAAGTGGAGTCCCTTGAGGATTTGTCTACACCAGCTCCGCAGTACTTTAATTTTCATCACTTTGAACCGCTTCAGATATCTACAAGACAACAGATCATAATTTGGACATATTCTCTGAGAAGCACAAAACAAATCATGCAAGCAAATGTTTGTCTTTCCAAGTATATTTCTTAATAAAATCGACAAACGTTTATGGACATTTTTATATGATTTTAACAAATTACATTTACAATTTATACAGGGTTCAACAAATAATTGTTTTCTAAAATATGAATCAAATGTTGGTCAGAATATTTATAATAAACAGTCAGTCCTAGCGTATTTAGAATGTGTGAATTCTGCATCCATGTGTTAGCTCTGCTAAGTTTGAGACTCACGTTTTAAGTGTGCCAGAAGTCATGAGTTCAGTGACCAGTACAATGCACTTCCTGCCTTTGGAGGGTCCCTCCCAGGAGTCATAAAAGCGGACAATGTTGGGATGCTGTAGTCCCTTCAACATCCCCGCTTCCTCCTTAAAGCGCTGCCTCTCTGTCTTTGTCAGCTTACGATCCTGCGAGGGACAAAAAGACAATACTTAGAAGATTTGACACATCACTGAGAAGCATTTATAGATGTACACAGATTCATTTGTAGTAATACAATTTTAGACGATGCATTAACAGTTATAGCAACAGTAATTACAGCAAATATATGCTTGATGAAGATTAGCAACACCAATGCCAAGTTTTATTTCCCCTTGTTGCATCTGAATGTGTCCATCCATAAGAAAGAAACATTTTCTTCCATCGTCTACGGTCATCTTGACATTCCAGATTTTAATAGTGGAGAGCAACCTAATACTTCAACGGCTTACATTTCCTCCTGCACACACAAAATCACTCATATATTCCGAAACAAGTACACATATAGTTGGGGGCATAGGGATGTGGCCCTGTTTTCTCTGGCAAACACTGTGAACCAAATGGAATCTGTCTAGCTTTGTCCTAGATTCCAAGAAACCCAAAACCAGAAAAGAGCCACAATATGACTGAGAATTAGAGAAGATCAGTACAGAGTAGGCTTGTTACACCAAATCAAAATGGTCCCTTTTTACAAATCTTTTCACTATATAAAACTTATAACAATCTCAACAGGCACACAGCACTTTGAAATAGGTTTAAGCAACAGGGGGAAATAAATAATCATCATAACCTGAAGACAATATCAATATACATGTTATGCATTTAGATGTGGTAAACCACCTGTTATAGTGTTAAAACCATTGGTTAACACATTGTAATATGTGCAAATTGGAAAGATTTTGGCTTCATTCTTACTGTTAATTTAAACAAATCTGTGTATCATTATTCCTCAACAATGACAACAATGAATATTAATACTGATATATTTCTCCACTCTTCAGATACTAACTGTATGGTACGATATAAGACGAACATTGTGCTCACCAAAATCTGTATTCTGAACAAAGTTATGGATGATAAGAGTCAACAAATGTCTGGCTGCTGATGGGAATTACAGCAAGATATATGCAGAGCTAATGGCCATGTCTGCACAATGGGATTTAACATTTCATAAACTGACTGATGCATAAGTAAAGACTGGCAATAACCACTTCTGTAGGGTCTGTGTATATTAAAAAAAAATAAATCATCACCCTCCTCAAGTTTCCTGATTAATTCCTGACGTGACCTACATTTACAGCATGCATGACTATAAAGCAGCAAACCCATACTGTTTAGACAAGCCCAGTGAAACCATGCAGCCAAAAGACCTCCCTTGAAACCCCCAGAGACCTGGCCATATGCCAGGCTGTCCAGGAAATTCAGCCCATTGGTGATTGGAGAGTGAGCATTGGCCTTTGTGTGAGATAGAAAACTGTCCGGTGACTGACAATGTTTGAAGAAAAACACAACTGAGATTGCTACAGCTTTTGCTGGAGGTATTTTGGAGGTCTGAAGTCAAATGTTTTCTATGTCTGGGGCAATGAGAAGTTAAAGGGAAACATGTGTAAACTATTTGGAACAAGGGAGGACACTTAATCAGGGAGCAATGTCAGGAAATAGAGGGTGAGGGAAGATGGCAGAGTAATGGGGGCTCTACCATGCACTTGGACCAAGTGACCTACTTACCAGAGTATTTATCTAGTGGGGCAGTGGTTCCCCTTTCTCTTTCTGCACCATGTGAACAGTCATGCAAAACATCCACGACAGCATTCACAGCCTCAGAGCTTCTAGGCTTTGGGTGTGCAGCACCCCAACCCAGACAAATACCAAACTACTGTATCAATGACAGCATTTACAGTGTAGGCACAGAGCTACACAACTTATTTTAACCAGTTGAAAAACTGCCTTCACCTGCTTGTCTGACATCTACTTCTGCAAAGAAAACCCTTCACCAACTGGGCGTGTTAGACACTGCTGGAATTCTACTAAACTACTTACACAGCTCTCTTACCATTTAAAAGCATGCAAGACCCAGGGCCTGTAAAAACCCTCTAGGAATTTATGGTCTTCCAATCATAAGACACACTCCCTTTGATTGTCACTTGAAAGAATTATTTGGTCTGTGCCATGTCCAGCTCTTAGTGTCACTGGGATCAGTGCCTGGTAGTCTTTGGTACATCCACGAACGCTGATCGGAAAGACCAAATACCCCCTATTCACAAAACAATGGAAGTGAAACGAACAGAGCTGCTTTCTCTCATTACTACTAAGGCTACAGTACCTATCAAAGACAGACTATTGGCCTTTAAACAGTTTCTCTATGCCTCAACATTTAACATCACATCTTTATTTTGGAAACAAATTTGACAATTTCTGTTCCACAAGACAGATCCCAAGCTACTGAGATCCAAATATCAAGTATGGGTCTCTTTCTTTGACCAACAGTTTCACGTTCAGATTGCGGCCTCTGTGACCTTTGTTTGAGTTTGGCCACAGACCTTTGTTGCATATTATCTCTCTCTCTTTCTCCCCATGTTGACGGAGGTTGGTCACTATCAGCTTTCCAATAAAGGCAAAAGGTAAAAATAATGTTGGGCAGGTTTTCCTGACTGATAGGTGTCTCGACCTATCAGCTAAGGTTGCTGTGGCTTGTTTAATGCACCTCAGCTCCACTTACACCCCCTCATCCTAAACATAATTTAGATAGTCTGGCTTGAGAAACTCACAAAGATGGTCAGAATTTGTTAAACCCAACACTGAGCCTTAAAGCATGTATTTCAAAACCTACTAAGTGCTTTCACAGATTGTGTAAGATTATTTTTCTACAGTCGTTAGTACAATCACATTCTACATACCATTTTGAAGGAGAGGTTTTAAATGTCTATAAATTAGGAAACCTAACCTGGCAGGCACTTGGGAGGGCAACAGCAGCTGCAGTTGAATCACAGCAGCTCTATGTGACAGAGTGGGTATGAGTCAGCTCACTTAAGAGCTGTGTTGCCACCACTGCCTCTGCAATATCAACTCTCAGCTGTTACAATGCCTTGTGGAGTCTTTGAATTTTGTATGTAATAAAGTGAGAGAAACCCACAAATAGTAATATCTTCCAAGTCAGACAAGTCAACACTTTGTTCTTGACCATCTCTGCAGAGTCAGCACCACGCTTATCTGAAATCATAATACCATTGTTTCCATTTAGTGGCATTCCCCTCAACAAGCTACTGCACGGTTAGGCAGTTGAAGTGAAAGCTCAAGTTAGAAAAGAGGGAAAATTATGTAGTTGCTCAGTCTAAACAGAAATTCCCCAAGATCCACCAAAGAAGAAAAACAATAGACAAGTCAGTTACTATCTCTGGCAGAGCCTCATAGCCATGTATGGTTAGGCATATCTTGATTTTCGCTGTTAACGTTTTACTCATGCAAAAACAAAAACTGGAATTAACTCAACTGGTTGAACTAAGGCTACAACTCAACAACAAACTCAACTTTAAATGGTCCAACAATATAGGACAGGATATTAAGTAGGACCGGGCAGTAGTTCAATATGTTATTGTTTAGTTCAGCTCGAAATTATCCCAAACTTATAACACTTGCTACCATTTTCTCTGGTCTGTCTCTCCTCACTATTTTCCCTTTCCACAGTTGTGTAACTGTGACAATCAGCAAGATTTTTAAATCTACTTTGAGGAAAACTGAACACACCACCATATGCAGTTGGATCTGCATTTGTACTTATCATAGTCCCTGTAACATCCATCATCATAGCATAGTGTTTATAACACAGTGCAATTGTATTGATATCAATTTGAATCATAATATTGATTCCAACCATAATTGCCTAACCTCCCATCTACTGACCATACTAACAGCTTCATGACCTGAGGCGTTTACAGCCGACGTCAGTCACATCTAATACCAGTTAACTACAGTATCACCAAAGCAGCAGCAGAAATATACTGCTTCTAGGCAAAGGCCATCATAAATAACCCAACAACCCTAAAAATAGACAGAGTGAAAAAAGCCTGTGATCATGCCAAGGGCTGGCACTGTCAGGTCCCTGCTTTGAGGCTTGCTCTGAGGTTGACACTGAGGGCTACATGGAGCCCTCTGGGCAACATCGGTTGAGGTCTGGATAAAAGCGGATGGGCCTGAAAGCCAAGAAGCCATGTTTTACAGTTCCACCCTAAATGTTACCTTGCTATTGCATTAAGTGTAGTATGTCAGTGTGGACAGATTTTTCTTTGAGCGACACGTAGCAATGAGGTCAAAAATCACAAGTCAAACCGTCATAAACAGACACGATGACACAGCCAGGCCATTTTACATCTGCCTGTATGACTATTTATCTAAAACCCAATGGGGTAGAAAAGAAAGGTTTCCACTTTAAATACAGTAAAACAGGGGGTCCAAAAAGGCAAAAATCTAAATAAATATAAGTTAGACACTACACTTTCATTCTCAAAGTCTGCGCCAGTGATCTAAGACATTAAAGTTTAAAAGGCCGTAACCTTCCACACAGTTACAGTCAGAAAGAACCAGGACACAGTACAAAGCTAGACTGTTAATGGTGTCACTTTTGCTTTCTGGTCTATTTTGAGTGATGTGATGCACAAAGCTGGCATTCAACCCTGTGTTTTTTTTTCACCAATGTACCCCTCCTTTACTTATTGACATTTAAGTTCTTTCAGTGTGATAAACTGTAAAAGCCAATGAGACAAATGCTTTTAAACTTACAGCAATACAATTGTTGCAGGTCAAAAGCCGTTATTATTACTGCAATATCAGAGCTAGTGTATTAATCATGTTTTACAATATATTGCAGCACTGACTAATTTTCCATACACTAATAAAAGTATGGCTGCTTGAGAGTAACAGGTTAGCTAAGAGACTAAGGGTGGAAAAAAAGTATTGGTCCAACATTTTTACTACCTTGGTCAACACTAACAGACTTAAATGATAAACCAGTGTACGTCATGAGGTCGTCTACCCCATGGTTTCACTGAGGAATGCTTACAATGCGGTTAGGAATTTCACTTTACAATAGGTGACACTGCCTCCCAAATGTGTCACATTGAAATGTAAAAAAAAAAGAAAAAAGAAGCAGCTATTTTAAAACCTTACAGTTAAACTAAGAACTACCAATCACAAAGATTAATTACAGATGAGTCACTACGTTATACTACTTGAATATAGTATTTCATTGCCAACGGATGCCATCCACCAGCTGGACAGGCAACTCCCATAGCTTCTCTTCCTCATCTTTCAATGTTTGGCTTCAGCCAGTACTGGAGAGGAAGTGACTGGAAGATGACATGGTTGAAGATGGATGAGTGAGCAAGAAAGGGGAGGCTCCTAAATTTATTCTTCCCCCCACCCCCCCTTGACTTCCTCTCGGTGGTGACCTACTTATTGTTCAGACATGCCTGCAACATGAGAGCCGAAACAAATGTGTGGGTTCATGGGTGAGGTGAAAAAGGGTGGATGCCTAGAAATTCTTTTGACGATTGTGGACAGATGGCCTTCCAGACTGAATAAGCCAGAGCCATTTTATTCAAACTTTTACACTCAAATTTATTTCTAGCCATGATTGAGGAATTGCTTAAAGGCAAAAGCGTATTGGTTCATTTGTCCAGCGCAAAATATCTACTGAAGAACCAAATTTCCACTTGTCTAACACTTTATGACAAACTGAGAATATCTGAGATCTGAAAATAGCAAACAATTGCTGAAGGTTTTCTGGTATGTAATGAGCATTACAGCGTCACAGGACTACAAGAGCGGCTCTAGAATTTTTGCCATGTTTAAGGAAGATTAAAGGATCTTATGAGGGAAAACCTGTCAGACTTGTTTCATTAGCAAACAGGCATGGGTTCTGCTGTTGTTTCCAGCTGACAACAAATTCCCAGTGAACACAGAAGTGACTAGGCTGATTACTTTCAAATTAACCAGATGAGCACTACTCCTTTCTTGAATAGTTTTAAATTCCTTATGATGGAATTTGTTTGCTTTTTAAATAAAATAATTGCATTTTTCATGAACCAAAGAAGTTAAAAATTAACAATTGAAATGTAGCTGAAAAAGCATATGTACAATAATCTATGTTAACATTATATTCCACTTAATATGCCCTCAGGATATATGGAGAATGTAACACTAGCACTTGAGTGATCATGGGACAGCTTAAACAACCATGTGAGAGGGGATTTCGGCTTCTCATGTGTAGCTGAACAGTTTCTAGCACTGAAACTCTTGAGTTCACAGAGGAACAAAGGGGAATCAGAGTGTCGGGTTACATGTTATTTCAGAACAGACCATGTGCATACAGGCTGGCTCTCATTCAACTGTAAAAATGACTATAAATCACCCCCTTTGCAGTGGATCGGTCTCCAAGTACAAGTGGTAACTGAAAAAGACCCAACTACATCCAACTACACCAAGTGAGCCTCACAAGAGAGGCAGTTACTCCTTGTTCACTCGGGTGGATCATTTTCAATAAACCACGCAAACTAAGACAGGGCACAAGTTTGCATTTTGATTTTGATTTTTCCCTTGCCCTTTTAAACTGGTACTCAGGAAGTCACATGAGACCACAATAATGTGTTTCTGTCTGATAACATACTGATTAGTGCCCCAGTGTTCAGTTGATGAAACGAATGAAATTAAAGTGTATGGAGCTTTCTATAATTTCTGCAATAGCCGTTAAATAATAAATTGCTTTGAGGTCAAAGGAAAAACAGACAATATTGCAGAATAATGTTTAGACAATAATGACTAAAAATCTCCTAACTCATAATATCAACTAATGGAAGTAGGAAGACAGTTATATTTAGTTAGTTTTGCTTGAAAAGGTTTAAAGAAATAATTTAAAAAGGCAGCCTGATAGTTAAAAAGCAAGAAGCAGGCCTTGGCAGGCCGGCCTGCTTCACTTCACACAGGAGATTCCTCTATCAGGAATGTGACCCATTTTACATTCACACAAGCATTCAGAGCAGAAATGCACTGAGCATGCGCTTGATTCATCCTGTGTGAGGGGGGGGGAGGGGCACGTGTCTGTAATCTTCACATTGTTCTGAAACTAGAGTGCATGTGTAGCTATGGTTGTATGCGCTGCCGTGTGAGACCTACGACTCTCATAGCAGCACAGTAAAAGCAAACATTCATGTGGTGAATGAGGTCAAACTTCGCTATGGGCCATGTAGCTGATTTAACTGGATAGACAGCAGAACTCCAATTTTATTCACTAGCATTTCTGAGAAAAATCACTATTGGTCTGAAGCAGATTCAAAGCAAAGTGGATTATTAAATTATTAATTAATATAATTATAATTATATTACAGAAACTGTATTGTGGATATAATAATATTGATATAACACTGAAACTGGTTCAATAATTAACTCAAGTATATTAAGGCTCAAATAAATCATTAAAAAGGCAAGATAAAAGACATAGCCATGTTTTTAAAAAGGTCTAAGTCAACTATTACTACTGTTAACAAATGTAGCTCTGGAAACTGCAAATTATAATCACTCTAATGGTATTTTTACTCTAATGGAGTTTTATATATGGCATTGTAGATATGCTACATCTTCAAAATGTGTTATAACTTAAATAATCTTTCCTTTTGCTGGCAAGAATTTGATCAGTTCTACCTTTTAATTTGTTGTTATGGTAATTATGCAAGTCGGGAAGACCGCTGTCAGAATTTATTTTTAAATGGTATATAATATTTCACACTGGTAGGGTGTATAATATAGGAAATCATTATCAAGACTACATTAAATCTGCACACCACCAGTTCAATGAAAAAAAGTCTAAACTTGAATCTAGTCCAAGTTCATTTCCGGTTTCTAAGTGTATCCTGTAGCAGCTCAAAAAAAGCAAAATGGGGAAATGGTAAGAATTGGTATGCTTTGCTGACAAATGCAATGTGAAACAATCAAAAGGGAAATGCTAGCCATATCTGTGAGAGAGGAAATGACAGCGACTGTAGCTCAGGTAACACTGTGGAAGCAAATTGCTACTTTGTCTGACTCTGATAAAAGCAGCCTAAAGAAAAAGAGATGATGACACTTGCAGGAGAATGCAAAGAACATTAATATTTACATTAATAACTCATAGCAACTAATAGTAATAAAGGAAGTTAAGTAATAAGAACAATGATTATCCCAATTTCATACCTGCAGTTCACACCAAGCCACCTCAACCGTGGTCTCAGTGTCCAGGCCTTTGTAGACAGTCTTGAAGGAGCCACGTCCAATTTCTATATCGAACTTCAGGAAACGCCCATCTGGTGATGTTCCCACTGCTTTGGTCTCTGCCTCTTCGATGTCATCCTGTACTTTTTTCTCAGCTTCTCTCTGCTCTGCCTCTGCTCGTGCCTTGGCGTCCTTTTCCTCTTCCTCCCCCTCTTCTTCTTGATGTACCTTGGCCTCAGTGGTGCTTTCAGGTTCTGTTTGACTAGGCAATTCTGTTCCTAAGCATGGTGCGGAGTGGGCTTCTACCACCACCTCTCCATCACAGATATCTTGTACAATGGCAGGCTCCTGCTCTGAAGGCACTACATCCAACTTGGCTATTTCTATACCTTTTCCTTCTTCTCTTCCTCTTCCACTATCAGCAGAGTCCTCATTTTTAGCTAAACTTGGTTCAGGCCGTGGCAAATGAGCAACAGCAGCAGTCTGTTGCCGTTGGGGGACAGCTTCCCGCGGCGGAACCCGCTGAGGAGCGGGGATGGGGATCTTGCTGGGTAAAGGGAGGGCCAATGCGGTAGCATTGGAATCACTGATGACACTACGGCGCAAGAAACGGTGTTCAGGGTTACATCGGTCGCGCTCCATGGTGTGATGCCGGCGTCTCACTTCTGGCCGGCCTTCACTCACCATCGAATCTGAACCAGAACTGGGGCCATTTCCACTCTTCTGAGGGGGAGCCAGGAACTTCACCATTTTGTTGTCTGGCTTTTCCGACATCCCACCACCCACACTAAGAGTAAGGGGGTACAATAACTGAAAAATTAAAATAAGGACGCTTCCATCTCCGCCATAAAATAAGCTTATATAAAGCAGAATCAATCTGTGCTTTAAAAAGAAAAAAAGATAGAAAGTCTTCTAACTTCTATCTCCAGCTGTCTTTTTTTATTGCTTAAAGACGGTCTTTATATATATAGTGCAGAGATTGGAGGTGTAGGATGGGAGGTGTTCTCTTGTAAATAGTAAAAGAATGAACACCACAGCAGAAAACAGATTGCTGATGTAGATACACAAGTCTCTTTAAGTCCACACCATCCATTCTGTAAGACACAGGGTGCAGCTTCTATCAAGCATAAGGAATCACTGGTGAGGAACAAACATGCACAGCCTAAAACAGGCACCGAACATCCAACTGTAGGCAAAGGCAGGAGGGCCAGACACTCAAAAGCTCCAGTCCAGTTTCACTGCAAGAGAAAAAAAGAAAACAAAATCCACTTGTCATGCAACAGTAACAAACATTATGTCAAATGTCAACAAGATGTTTCAGACGCAGGCCAAAGTGTTCACAAGTAGAATTTACAGTACACATGAAGTTTAATAACACTACTTTCATGAGCAGCACATCTGACAAACACCACACATCTAGTACTTCAGAAATTACCTCTTGAAAGGGTAACTTATATTTCAACCTGGACCTTTTTTCCCCATGTTTTTGTGACTAATAAGGACAACATATTTTTAATTTGGTCTAGTCTAGTTTTGACTGCAAAACAGGCAACAACAAAATCCTTGTGGGCAACTGCACAATGTCAAATATATTAATTAAAAATGCTTGTTTTTTTTTCACTGACTGAATCAGATTTTTTTTATCTGTGTCTGACAACATGAACCTACAGATAAATTAAATGTTTTCTGTACCTTTCACTTGGTTCAGCCTGTGTAAAGTCTCGCACTCTTGTTCTAAAATCTCCTCTGTGGGCATAAAGTCACAGCACATACAGGACCACCACCAGTCTCCCTGCTTCACAGCCTTGCAGCCCCTCCTCTACCAGTACTTCTCTCCTCTCCTCCACTCTTGAATTCACATTTACATACTCTGGCTCAAAAGACTATGGGTGGCCATCCACATTATTGAAATTAGCTAAATATTAAGCTGTGACATCCGACAATGTGACAATTATTTTACATAAGACTAAGCTCCAACACAACAAACTTTCTGGCCAGCACTTCTACTGTACACTCAAATTTCCACTGTGGTGTTTCTGCAGCAAGTCACCCCGAGATTTCAGACCGAGAATTGTTCTTGGGCGAGACTTTGTTAAGACACACAGCGGATCAAGTGAAAGGTACAGAAAATACGTGTTGTCAATACTTACAATAATCTGAGCCGGTCAGTGGCAAAAACAAGAATTTCCTGCAAGGATCATGCTGTAGTCCGTTTTATGGCTGCAGGATATAGTGTACTCAGTCAATACTGGACCAAATTCAAAAGTTGTTGTCTCCATTAGTCAAACACACAAAAACAGAGGAAAATAAGGTCCAGGTTGAAAGAAAACAAAAAACAAAATGACCCTTTGAGTTCACTGCAATGTGCATTTACGTGTAATGTACTCAATCAACTTTACGGCAAAGCATTAAAGTACAAACTGACCAAAGATTTGGACACATCACAAGATCCAATTTGTGATTCACCTTTAATTAAAAAGGAAGGAGAAAATTATCTCTAAGGTTTCCCCACTCTAATAAGATTTGCTCTATTACTTCCCAAGGACATGTGATGTAGAACACATGCTTGCATTCACAATGGCTTAACTGCAGGTCCTAATAGGCTATTTTAATGTATTCTTCAGCTGTTCCCAATCGATATACCATTCACGTAATGTGTTTACCAAGCATTAAATCTCCAGCCATAGTTAATATGTAATACAGATAAGCATTTATAAGTATGTAATGTGACACAAATCCCAAAAGCATTCCACATCCCTTCAGACTGACACACTAACCTTTCAGTGCCTCACATTTGTTCAAGACTAGAAGTAACTAATTGAGCACAAGTGACAGCTGATTGTTCCTGTCTCTAGTATAAACAAGAAACCACACATACCGCTACTCATATTGCTGATGTTAGTGAATATTGTCTGAATAACCAATATTAAGCCTATTGTTGTAAGTTAAAGCTGCACAGAGCAATAAATCTACCAACATTTAAATCGCAGATGCAAAAAAAAAAAAAAAAGCAGAATTCCTATTCGTTTCGCAACGTGACACCTATCACGGTCTCCTAAGCATGCAGGCTTGCAATGACGATGACAATCTTATTGCTTATTAGTAATCTATACTCTGCCATGTTTGCAGCCATTACCAGCGTTAAGCAGCCACAATGTCAGAAGCAAACGGGGTAATGTTAGCAGCAATAACAGCCCCATAAATAAGAGAAACGACTACGCCAACGAACCAAATTAGTATTTTAAATTAAAATAAACATTCTCCTTTACATACCCACTCCTTCGCCGCCTTACAAGTGACACCACAGCCATTTGAAAACGGCGACAGCGAGCATACAAAGCAAAAGGAGGAGCGACGGCTCTTTGTTAGCCTGCTAGCGCGGAGCTAGCCCAGTTAGCTGACGTTAGCTGATCCTTAAACCAGTCAAACGTTAACCGACGGTGAATGATTCACGGCGGCGTCAGCGAGTGAGCTTAACGTGACATGGACTTCACGCAGCTTGCCAGTGTTGTTGCCGTAAACCACCCAATGTATCCGTCAGCATTCAACACCTGGCGTTTTTAACACACCGGATACGGTGCGACGCCGGTTGGGGAAGCTAACCAGGTAGCGACAAACGTTAGCTCGACGTTAGCTCGACGTTAGCTCGACGTGAGCTAGGCGGGTCTTGTTGCTCGGTGGCCTGGAAAGCTGGACCCACCTCCGGGCTGCTGTCCACATTTCAAAATTAACCGTATGTGAATTGTTAGTAACACACTTTATACCCCCTACCTACCACGTACACCGTTTTATATGACGTTTGTTTCGTATGCTAGCTGCTGTTGGTGCCGGGTGGCAGACGCAGCGACCTACCTCGGTATCGTATCCACAACTGGACCGGACCGGACCGCGGCGTTGAAACGGTGAACACGTCTTCGTACTTGAGGGAGGGAATATATATATATATATATGTGCGTTATCCTTAAGGTTTCAGGCAGATGCTGTTACCCGTGGTGGGTATCGGACCTGCGATGTGTGAGCTCACTGACAAAAAAAAAACACAAGCGGCGCAGTTGCTACATATTGACGAAGAAACGGGTTTTTCCGAGAGCGCCTGCGCCAGTGAGCGATGACCTCATAACATAACACATAAACATAATATATAAAAATAAAAATAAATATCACGTTGAAGCACCTTCGTTGTATCAGTGTTTGTTCCTCATTTATTTGGGACTTGTGGTATACTCACAGATATCACTTATTCTAAATGATATGAGTGATGAGGAGACCCAGAAATTAATAAAATAAAAATAATGAATAGGAGTAATTTACAGTTTTACCTTATCAGTTTGGTCAGATTGTGGGTGTGCCTTTTCTACATTGTGAACACACGTTAAAGCTGTTTGTATAATGTGTTTTTAAAATAAAATGATTTTATTGCAAGGTTGTAATTTGAATTTTTCCTGCAAGGCTTTACATATATTATGTATTATCTAAAAGTATTTGTATATATACAATACATGTTGTAATTTTATTTAAAAAAAACTTAACTCAAAACAAATTTGTAATATGCCTTTTGTGTTTTATTATTTAATTGTATTTATTTATGATTTTTGATCCTACCTCCCATTAACACTGTTAAACATGTTATTCTTACAGGTAATACAGGTTATTTTAAAACAGGTTTTGGCAAAACGTATTACTTTGATCACGCTGTTATTAGCTGAAGCCCTGTTACCAAATTATATAAGATATACTATATAAATAAATAAGATATGGTCTCATTAAACATACATCAGGATGAGTTATTCATAAGCCTAGAGATCAGATGCTTTTGTTCCAATTAATTTCTGATTACAAATCACCAGGGAAAAAAAAAATATTTTGTCATAATATACTACCTTGACATTCTGTTATAAATACACAGGACTCAATTTAATTTATTTAATATTGTGAAAAAGAAAATATGATTTTTTTTTTTTTTGGAGCAACCATTTGCAGATACAAATTTTCCTTTAAGTAAACACTGCCCCCTGCTGGTATTTGTTGACTAAACATGCCACATGTATATCTGATTTTATATCATTTCACACAAAATGTAAAGATCAATGCTGAACACAGTATATTCACAAAGTCTAACTAATATTTTATTGTTAATGTCAGACGTAAATATTCTAACTACATTAACCTGCTGTAACCTGTGAAATATTCCATATCAATTAAATGTTTTTTTTTAAAAAGCTGTATAAATTGTACACACAACTCTTATTCTCTTATTCTAGTTTCATTATATATTGTATTTTTCTATTCTTATGTTTACTTAATGTGTATTTTCTTATCTCTTGTGTTGTATCTGGAGTTGCTGTAGCATGCATTTCCCCAGTGTGGGATCAATAAAGTCTATCTTATCTTATCTTATTACTACATCAGTGTCTGCTTACTGAATTGACAGAATCAAAAATACTTTATTGATTATTAAATTTGTTTGTTACAGTTCTTCAAGGTGCGCACACAATGTTAAAGAATAGAAATAATCTGTATATTACAATATCTAACACAATATATATAGAATAGAAATGTATATATAAAGTAGGTATATACATATAAGTTAAAAATTGAAATAGAAATATAATAAGAGCATATGTACCTTACAGTAATAACATATATACAATATATGCTAATATATATATATAAAATATACAAAATTCACTGTATGACCCTGGAAGATGGCAAACATCCCACATGTAGGTCCATAACCCCACTGTGGGGAAATGCACCAGGAAAACTAAAAACCCATAGAGATTATCATCTCAAATAAGAAAATGTTTAAATATATAAAAGTATACAATTGTCCAGATACATGTATTTTTACATTCAAAATCAAACAAAACAGCATTAATTGATAGAAAATAAAAATCAAGAGGACGAGTTAGAAAATGTTAGGACCAACTTGCAGCACCAGGACCAACTCGACATCTAGCATTAAACTAAAGCAGGGTTGTCAAAAAGAAAATAATAAGTCATTTGTAAAAAAGCAAAACAGAAACATGAAGAACTTTCATTTGGTATTCCACAAGTTTTCATTTTAGTACACCTGCCACATTGCCTGTCCCAATGTGTGACTGACAGAAATTAATGTTTTTTTTAAACTTTTTATGTATCTCATCACACTTATTCTGAATGATATGAATGATAAGGATACCCAGAAATTAATTTAAAATAGAATAAGAGTAAAAAAATCTTCTTTTTTACAGTTGTTTACCCTACCAGTTTGGTCAGATTGTAGGTGTCCCTTTTCTACATTGTCAACACACGTTAAAGCTGTTTGTATAATATGTTTTTAAAATAAAATGATTTTATTGCATGGTTGTAATTAGATTTCTTTTTTTTTACATACACAAATATTTTTTTTTTCTGATTCCTGCAAGGCTCTATATATATTATGTATTATCTACAAGTATTTGTATATACACAATACATGTTGTAATTTTATTTTTATTACACAACTTTTTTTTATGAAATTATAACATGTATGTATATATACTAATTTATCATATTATATTATAATACTTTTAGGGAATACATAATATATGTAAAGCCTTGCAGGAATCAGAAAAAAGAGATGTTTGTGAATATAAATAAAAAAATCCTATTACAACCTTGCAATAAAATCATTTTATTTTTAAAAACATATTATACAAACAGCTTTAACGTGTGTTGACAATGTAGAAAAGGGACACCTACAATCTGACCAAACTAGTAAGGTAAAACAACAACTGTAACTGTAACTTATTAATTTCTAGTATCCTTATCCTTCATATAATTTAGAATAAGTGTGATGGGATACGTAAAAAGTTGTTATAATTGTGAACTGACCACAACTTTTTACGTATCCCATCATATTTATTCAAAGCTATGCATATATTATTATTTTTAAATCAAAATGTTGTTAAGTCTAGTCTCTATCATAACCCCCCACCACCACCACCATCTCGTGACCGCGCGTTTAAAATTCAAGCGTGGCGAGAAAGACTGTCGTGAACGCGCACAGGAGGCTTGACGTCACTGAGGCGCCCTGGCTCTCCTGAGCCGCTGGTACTGCTGGCATAAAAAAAAAAAAAAAAGAAAGAAAGAAAGCAAAAGATGGGAAAATCAGACAGACATCTAACCGAATAATTAACATACAATGACGGTTTTTTGCGGCTGATTAACACTTGACGGAGGATCCAGCATTGGCACCGGTTTGAGCTCCAGCAGACACCGAGAAAGGTTAGTTTGTTTGGGGAGAGAGAGAGAGAGAGAGAGGGTTTTTTTTTTTACCACCACCAACTGGCTTATTGTGTTTAGCGAGGAGAGAGAGAAAGAGAGAGAGGTTTGACCACATAAGATTGGATGCACTAGCCTCCATATGTCACGGCGAGGTAACGTTATATGTTGTGTTATACATATATAAGTTATATATATATATATTCCCTTTCACAGTCTCTCCGGATGAAGCTTGAAACGAGAGAGAAAAAGGAGGTGGAGGAAAATGGGTTTGATGTGGGTGTCTCCAAAGGCGAGATCCCTGTACGGTGTCGTTGTGCTTTAATTCAGGCTTAATGTGTTATATTATGACTAAAAACCCAAGCTCGGTGTCTCATGTGGATGTCTAGCTGTGTATTTGATAGTCAACAGTGTGTATTTAATGTTAAATCTTTACGTTTTTCTCTCCTACCATGGACAATCTCCCTCCTCCCTCCCTCCCTCCTCTCTCCCGGTTCCCTCCCTTGCTAGTGTTAATCCATAGCGTCAGCACATTAGAGACACACACAAATATAAGAAATTCAACATTTTTTTTTTTTCTTTTTATCCCGCAGAGTTTAATCTACCAAGCAGTTTTTAAACACACGTCTGAAGCTACAACAGTGAGAGGGGATAAAGCCGTTAACGGCAGTTGGAGGGAGAAATGTCAGCCGTTACTGTTAGCCGGTTAACGGTTAGCTTCCAGCAAGGCCACGCAGACGAGCCCACTTTAGTTAAATGGCTGGTTCAATTCAGTGTGAAGCTTTTAAAGAAAAAAAATACATATAAAACATAGCACGAAGCGGAGTAGTTGCATACATTTCCGTACACAAGTCTACTTTTAAGTCTTTATATATACCTTTATATATATATATATATATATAACAGTTTTAATGTTACAGCTCTTTGTAAAGGATAAAACCTAAAATCAGATCAGATATAATAGGTTTACTATTAGCAGGGACTTTGACCCCATCTGGGATGGATTTTTTTTTTTTGTTCTAAGACATGACTTTATACAGTTACATAACTGTCTTTTACTGCATGAGGAAATCCAGTCAAGACAAGCACATAGTGGACATCCCGACTCATTCCCAGTGTGTTAAATGTTTAAAAGTGGACCTAACATTAAATGTACGGTTCCCTTATGTTGTGGCTTGTTTGATGATGATTCTGTTGGGTTTTGATACTCGTTTGCTGGTTATTATTAATTGTAAACCTATGCTTTATGTATGTTATTTTCTCTCGGGAACGACTGTGTTGTTGTTGTTTTTTTACAGATTGGTGTCATAATTTGTACCACTGGGGAGCTCCTGTTGGAACAGGAAAGTCTGTCAGCAGTGTCTGTCCCTAGAAGTGGAGAGCATCAGACCTCTGTTTTATCATGAACATTGTGCCCACCATCTCCGGTTGAAGCAGGATCACCACCACACATTCACACAATTGGTGACAAGTCACAACCGTAAATTAAGCAGGGAGATATACAGACACTCGAGGTCGTACTTCAGTTTAGCTGTCAGCTGTATTCTTCTATTTAGCAGAAGATGTACGGTAGTGCCCGCTCTGTCGGCAGAGGGGATGCCAATCATAGTGGTGGAAGAGATGGCGGTGGTACTGGCAATCAGGGATCTGGCCGTTCCCCTCGACTTCCCCGATCTCCTCGGATGGGACACCGTCGCACCAACAGCACTGGAGGCAGTGGAGGGGGTCCTGGAGGAGCGGGAGGCAAGACGCTTTCTATGGAGAACATCCAGTCCCTCAACGCCGCGTACGCCACCTCAGGACCAATGTACCTGAGTGACAATGAGGTTGCCATGGCGGGGGACCACCTTCCCAAGAGTGGCGGGTCAGTGACAACCATGGGGAGACAGAGGGTGACGTATGGGTCGAGGGGCAGCAACAGTGGAGTTGTGGCTGCTAGCACCCCCAACATTTCCACCTCAGTGCCTGGGAATGCTGTGTTGCCAGCAGGCATGATGGCAGGTGATGCTCTAGCTTTTGGGGACCACCACATGGCCTCCACTGTGCCCCATTCTCTAAGGCAGGCCAGAGACAACACCATACTTGACCTTCAGGCCCAGCTGAAAGAGGTATTTTTTTCATTTTTCTCCCAATTTGCAGATTTTCTCTATCAAGGATGTAGAATTATTTTTGATAAATCATTTGACTTGCTAGGTTTGACAGGCCACCGATACTGTATTTATGTGCCACTCCTTTATCCTGCTTGCTCAGGTGCTGCGTGAGAATGAGATGCTGCGGCGAGAAGTGGAAGTGAAGGAGAGCAAGCTCAGTTCCTCCATGAATTCAATCAAGACCTTCTGGAGCCCAGAATTAAAAAAAGAGCGAGCTCTCAGGAAAGATGAAGTTTCTAAGATCACTGTCTGGAAGGAACAATACCGTGTGATTCAAGATGAAGCACAGGTGGGTGTTCCCTTTATATTTATTTGAATGGATAGAATTCGTGTTTTTGCCTCACAATTACTGTTTTTGTTGTCATCAGCAGTCTAAATAGACTCATCAATCTGCCTATGGTGAACATGTTTGACTGGATAAATGCGTTTCATCCAGTGTGTCAGCTTTAGTACTAGTGTGCTTCTCTATCGCGCTCTCTCTCTCTCTCTCTCTCTCCTTTCTCTGCATAGGTTAGAGGCAGTTTTTGAACATCTAGTTAATCCTCTTACATGCAGCTATATGCTCATGCTTAATAGATGAAAGAGGCCGTAAGTCTAATGGCAGCATTAGCATTTCTGTATGTTTTAGAAATTGCTGGATGTGGTGAACAGGATAGAAATGTGGAGACGGTGCAAATTTAAAACACTGTATGTACAGCGGAAAATATGAAACCAACTTAATAATGTCGTCACATGTAACATAAAGCACTTCTGATTTTAGTATTTTGGCTATGTGCCTTTTTCAAAATGAAAAGAAGCACTGAGAGCAGACTATAAGAAAATACACATGTCTATGTGTAGTGTTTGTAACTTGGTGTCGACTGCTTTGACTCATTTTATAAATGTTCCTTTCAAGATGTGAAACTTCTAGTATTTAGTCCTCACACCTCCCCCCTCTATTACGCACAGTCCAGTTAGGTGCCGAAACCCAACATTTTCACATGCCTTCCATTCTCCGTTACTGCTTTTGTGTCCATTTTCACTTGTTTTTCTCATCCTTGGCTTCTTGATCTTAAATATAGAGACACTGGCTTTGCAAAATTATAGGGCCAGTTCCTTCAGCACTCTGTGTCAGCCTGCACACATGTATACATACTGTATGTACACATTTAACAAATATAAATTTGATAACAGTAAGTGAATAAATACAAACGCATGGTCTATTTTTAAAACCTACGGTATATTGTGGCGATTGTACAAATTAAGTTTCATTAATGAAGAGAAATAGTCTTTGTTTCACTGTGATTCTTAATGGATGGGCAGATCTGTGTAATTTGCTGTTTTCACTCTGCTGACTCACAAAATCACGCTGTGGACTAATTCCCAGTAATGCCCGACTAGTGCAGGGCTAATCAGTGGGTGCTGTAATTTAAAGATGTCTGCTTTCATATGTCAGCCTCCTCCTCCCACGCTGGCATGCATACAACGGAAAGCATGGAGACACAGACACAGACACACACACACACTCAAAGGCATTTGAGTAATTACGGCTTTAGTTAAACTGCATGCCCTTATTAAATGTAGGCCCAACTGACCGTTAGTAAGTTTGCAATTGAATGTTTATATTTATGTTTATGCATATCATTTTGTTGAGTTTCTATGCTGATATGCGTGACGGCCACAGCCTTTCCAGAATCCTTACTACAAGGCGTATTTGCCTGTCATTCTCCGTGATAAGTGCCAACTATTACCTCGTCTATAGTAGTGTGAAATAGAACATCATCTTCCTTTTCCCATTTAGTAAAAGGTCAGATACTCACTAATAATGATCATTTATCTCCTTGCCACATGGATAAAATATCACCTTTTTATCGTAGGATGTTGCGAAATGCCAGTGATGTTTCATCAACTAATAAACAGTAGTACTGATGTTAGTGGAGCAGATATGAGCATCTTTAACATTTTGACTTTAACACAGTTGTGTCGAGTGCTGTGGATGATCTGAAGCAGAGGTTTGGTTGTAGGTGCACTGTGTTTGGGTCATTTTAGTTTAGACCATCATAGCTCCTATTCTTTATGCTCTCGCAAACACCTGACTGTTATCTCTGCTCGGGCACAGAGAGTGAGAATATGAGGGCTGAGGAAGGGAGAAGGTGTGTGTGTGTGTAGCTGCCTGTGTGTGCGTGGGGAGGGAGGGTGGATCGGTGCAGTCACAGCAGTGAGTCAGCCTTAGTCACGGGGTGGAGAGGGTGATGGAAAGGGAGGGTTAGTGAGAGGAGAGGTGAGAGTATTGGAGGGAAGAGATAGGGCAGGGCAGGCAAGGTAGATGAATAGTGTGTGCTGATGGAGAGAGAAGGAGAGAATGACAAAGGGAGGAAAGGGAGGGGGCTGGAGAAGGAGGAGGAGGAGGACAGAGAGAAACGAAGGCAGACACTGACTTCTCTCTTTGTTCTGTCGTCTGAAAACGCTTGCAGCTGGTTCAGACCAGAGTGTAACACAGCCTTGTGTTACTGTCTCACAGCAGCTCTGCCAAGTGTCCCCGGCGTCAGATGCCACAAACAATGCAATACTATACTGGGCTGATTGTATTTCGCCACTTGTATTTCTCTGTGCATGAAATGTAACACTGTCCACAATGCCTGGCTGTTGGGGGTGCATCTGTCACGGCTTTGCTTAATTTTCAGTCATGATTAGAGGTGGATTTTTAACAGGCTGTAACACAATATTCTTTCAGGACCCATTCCCATAAAGTAGGGTGGGAAACGCCCCAATAGTATTTAGATAATCAATAAATTTCCATCAACCCATATACACCTGTGACAGAAGTCCACAAACAGACAGAAGAAAGAAACAAACAAACGTATGTGTGTCTCTTATTTGTCTCTAGCATCTCCAGATGACTGTTCAGGCTCTTCAGGATGAGCTGAGGATCCAGAGGGATCTGAACCAGCTGCTCCAGCAAGACCCCGCCAGCCAAGGCCGGGACCTGGCCCTGACATCTGAACCTACGGAGGAGAACTACCGGCGGCTACAGGCCGAGCACGAGAGGCAGGCCAAAGAGCTCTTCCTCCTTAGAAAGACCCTGGAGGAGATGGAACTGAGGATTGACACACAGAAGCAAACTCTGGGAGCCAGAGACGAGTCCATCAAGAAACTTCTGGAGATGCTGCAAAGCAAAGGTTTGAGCCTCGGAAGAGTAGTGTTTACGGCTTATTGATCCTTACAAAGTATCAGTGAAGACTTGACTGTTTACAAGTGGCAAACACCTTGGCTGAATGTTGAAGCCAATGCAGAATTGTGCTACAGAGCAGTTCTTTTATTGGCCAATTGATTCTGATTATTTTACAAAATCAAAACAACAACATTAAAGTCAAACCAGCAAACTCTTTGAAATACTTCACAAACATTTCGGGTCTTAAAATGTTTCGGTCTCAGGCAATAACTTAAAGCTACGATGGTTCCCCATCAGCTCCACCCAAGCTCTCTCCCTGGTTGGCCAACTGTGGGTTTCTTTGCTGCATAAACTAACCACAATACATACTTTAAACCCAAGTACTGTATGATTCTGAGGCTAAGAACGTCCAAGGCTTCATGCAAAGACCTTTGCATAGGTGTCTCCCAGAATAATAAGTATTTTGTGTTCTTAAGACCATAACATAAAGAGACATCACACGTGACAAACCAGATGCAGGATACTAAAAAGAAACCTAAAACAGATTTAAACTCCTGAGAATATATTAAATAAATGAAATAATGGCAAATGAATTGAATGGTGTGTGCTTTAGCTGTTTGGTTATTTGCTTTTTTTTTTTCACATTGGCTCTGGAGTTGTGAATCCAGTGCTTTCAGATATCCTTCCCTGCTGAACAGATGAGCTTTTGTAGAGAGAAAGAATAAGTCTTAGCTCCTGTGTTAGCTTCTGCAAGTTAACCATAAGGCTTATGGTGCTCAGCTTGGCTGTTGCAAAGACTTTGAACTACATGACTGTCTTTCTACTGACTTCTTCGACTTGGTAACCGAGTTGTTATGTATTCTTGTCTCAGGGCCATCTGCCAAGGCATCAGAGGAGGACCAAGAGCGGACAAGGAGACTGGCTGATGCAGAGATGCACAGGCATCACCTTGAGAGTTTACTGGACCAGAGAGACAGAGAGATTACCGCACTAAGAGAGGTAATGTCCAGATAATTTCATTGGTCTAGCTATGTTGTGAAAGTGCACATAGATAATTTACACATGCATGCAATGTGTTCTTCATCTGAATCAGCAGGAGCTGCACCGTCGATACGAGGGAACCCCTGAATCCACCAAAACTAAGGCTCTACAGACTGTCATAGATATGAAGGTGAGGATTTAAATAGAGAAGTGTGTTACTATGTTTATGTTAATGTGCTGTGCTACATTCGTGAACTCCTCTTTATCAACTCCAGGATGCAAAAATCAATTCAATGGAGCGGGGCCTGAGAGACATGGAGGAGGAGTTACTAATGATGAAATCCAACGGACTCCTGAGCTGCGAGGAGCGTCAGGAGGAAATGAAGCAGATGGAGGTCTACCGCAGCCACACCAAGTTCATGAAGAACAAGGTCTAACGATACATGAAATGGAGTTCGGTTTGACCGGACTGCTGCATCTTACATTCAGGATGACTCAGACTTCAGTTTGCTAAGTTCATGTCCATCCCTCATCATTTTCTGTCCCCCTTGGTCTCATGTTTTTCAGATGGAACAAGTGAAGCAGGACCTCTCCAGGAAGGACACTGAGATGCTTGGTTTGCAGACCAAACTGGAGACGCTCACCAACCAGTTTTCAGACAGCAAGCAGCACATTGAAGTCCTCAAGGAGTCTCTCACTGCCAAGGAGCAGCGAGCTGCCATCTTACAGACAGAGGTACAGCAGATACATACTGCAGCTATACACCCGGAGGACTTTGGAATAAGTTTATGGCATGGGCGCTTTAAAGGGTACATATGTTGTGCAGTGAGGCGAGAGAATTGTTCTTCCAAAAGCACAGAAGTCACTGTATCTTAGGAAGTTGTCCTGTTGTTTTTGTTTTGAGCACTTTGAGCATGACACAGTTATGGTCAGTAATTGTTGTTGTACCTTTTCTGAACAGGTGGATGCCTTGCGCCTGCGCTTGGAGGAGAAGGAGACAACTCTGAATAAGAAGAGCAAGCAGATTCAAGAAATGTCAGAAGAGAAGGGTACACTCAACGGGGAGATCCACGACCTCAAGGACATGCTGGAGGTTAAGGAGCGCAAAGTTAATGTGCTACAGAAGAAGGTGATTTGGATTAAGACCTGTTTCAAAGCTCTTATGTTGTCTGAAACAACCACAAAGATGCATTCATCAATACTACAGTGTATGTCCTGTGGTTGATGTTAAATTTTGATGGTGCTCTGTAGATTGAGAACCTGCAGGAGCAGCTGAGGGACAAGGAGAAGCAGATGAGCAGCCTGAAGGAGAGAGTGAAGTCTTTGCAGGCAGACACTTCTAACACTGACACTGCTCTCACCACACTTGAGGAGTCTCTTGCAGAAAAGGTGAATTTATGTCTGCACATATCAAGTTACTTCTGACTACAAAATGTAGATTGTATTTATTTGTGCATGTTCATTTTTAGCAACACATGTGTTGGTTGTGTTTGTGAAGGCAGCATGAGTGATAGTTGTCTGTTCCTCCTCCTAGGAGCGCATCATTGAGCGTTTAAAGGAGCAGCGAGACAGAGACGACCGGGAGAAGACGGAGGAGCTCGACTGTAACAAGAAGGAACTGAAAGAGTTGAAGGAGAGAGTGAGTTTACTGCAGGGAGACCTGTCAGACAGAGAGGTGAGAAATGGGAACACAAGCTCACACAGACAAGGGAAACTTTTGTTTACTGTGATTCTATAAATAAAGTGAAACATTACTGTCAGATATGAGCATCAGTTTTTTTTTTTCCATTAGCCTCTTTTTCGATGAGTCATGGATACCGTTATTAGATCTAATGTATTTTCAGTCTTCTCAGTCCCATGCTGTTAGTTTGATAATCTGGAACAGGTTCATCTATGTGGTTCATCTATATTTGTGTGTACGTGGGTGTGTGTGTGTACGTGCAGACGTCGCTGTTGGACCTGAAGGAGCATGCATCATCTCTCGCCTCCTCAGGGCTGAAGAAAGATTCCAAACTCAAGAGTTTGGAGATCGCCTTGGAGCAGAAGAGGGAGGAATGCCTCAAAGTGGAGAACCAGCTTAAGAGAGTGAGATCCTCAAATAATGAAATCGGGCAGCTCGTGTGCCAGTTCAGCATCGACATGATGCTACTAAATGTTTACTTTAAATTGTTTAAGTCTGACGCTTTTCTAACCCCTAACTGCAGAGACTGAAGTGAGTTTAACTGCACTCTTCCTGTCCTTTTGTCAGGCTCAAAATGCAGCCCTGGAGGCTCAGGCCAACACCGAGCTGGCCGAGCGCATCAAGAACCTTGAGCAGGAAGTGGCCCGCCACAAAGAGGATTCTGGGAAGGCCCAGGCTGAGGTGGACCGCCTGCTGGAGATCCTTCGGGAAATGGAGAATGAGAAGAATGACAAGGACAAAAAGATCAATGAGCTGGAGAGGTGGGTGGAAACATGCATGTTGGTGATTTTGTGTTCAAGCTTTGCCCCAAACACTATACAGTAATGAATGAATGTTTATCAGTTTTATCAGTTTCTACTGTGTTAAATGTTGGATTTTAGTTTAAATTTGGCCATCTGCCATTTGGCATCTAAGCAGTATTGCTTTGAAAGCTGATGTGGTGAATGTTAATAGCAGACCTTTTTATAAAGCTGGTAGGTACGGCTGCGGTAATTGGCAATGGCAAGCCATCTTTCATATAATGTTTCTGTTTCGATTCTTGTCTTCTACTTGTACGTGTATGTTGTGAACCATGTGACACTAGAGTCAGAGACACCACATAATCCTAGCGCTTTCTCCTTTTTCTTCATATTGACTCATCTTCCTGGTCTGAGTCTGTTTTTCTCTTTACTGCTTTCTTGTCTTTACACCGGAAACCTCTCACCCCACCAGTTTCGCCTCCAGGTTAGTATTTGCTCTCTTTCTCTCTCCCACCAACATCCTTATTTTCCCTTTGTCCTTTTCTCACGTTTCTCTCCCTTGTTTCTCCGCACCTCTTACCTCTCAATAGTCTGCACTGCCGCAAGCAATTGCCTGGTCCTGACATATTGAACTCTTTGTCTTTCCTCATACTTCTACTCATGCTCATTTTTCCCCTTTCGCCTTCTTATTGTTCGGTCTTTCACCCCGAGTCAAATCTAAGATTCACTCTTTGCAGGGTTGTCTAAAATCTTGCCACAGCCAGTCTGTAAGGCTATGGTATCAACTGTTATGTCATTGTGTTTAAAAAGGATAGCTTTTCATAGGATCACATGTCTTTATGTCGTTGCCTTGGATTTGAAAATGCCTTTTATATAATGCCTGACCGTGTATTTACTTAGCATACATTGATAAGATGGCCACAATCATAACTGACTTATAAACATTTTATATAAATTATCATTGATATAATATGTGAGTCAACAAGCACATATATATGCTATTATTAGTAGATATTCTAAGCAACAAGTGCTTCTACTTGTCAACCAGATCCATATTTATTTAGTGCAGATCTCTTTCCCAGTTAACCATTTCTTTTTAATTGCAATGATAAATTACATTTACCTGTCAGGTGGGACCATAGTAGTCTATTTTTGTAACTTCTCCCATGTATCCCGTGGTGTCCCTGTAGGCAGATGAAGGACCAGTCGAAGAAGGTGGCGTCTCTGAAGCACAAGGAGCAGGTGGAGAAGAGTAGGAATGCTCGACTCGTGGAGGAGGCCAGGAAGAGGGAGGACAACCTGTCGGAGAACTCCCAACAGGTGAAGGTGAGGCATGTGTGCGGTTCACTTGGACTGTATGAACCTTTTGAACTTACTTACTAGGTCAGTGTCTAGCAAACCATAATTTGACCTTTTTCTACTCCTGCTCTGAAGGACAATCTGCGTCAGAAGGCGGAGCGCATTGAGGAGCTGGAGGAGGCCCTGAGAGAGAGCGTTCAGATCACTGCTGAGCGAGAGATGGTACTGGCACAGGAGGAGGCTGCCAGGTCACTCCAGGAGAAACAGGTACACTACCCTCCTAAACACACACACATAGACGACAAAGCAATATCAATCACACAAGGATCACATCTACAGTACATGCATAACACATCTACATACAGATAAAATAAAGACCTTCATATCCTGAGATTCTTTCTCCCTTACCTTTTTCCTACCATTGTGGTGTTTATCATCTTTTTCTTCACTTCCCCCTTCTCCTCTGGCCCTCCGTCTCTTTCTCAGTTCTATCATCCTTGCTTATGGTTTTCTCTTGTTTTCTCTCTGCTACACACTGCCTCTCAGAAGCACTCACTCAAACCAATGCATGAGTCCAACCTCGCCCACTTTAAGTGGTCTAAGGTATGAGCCCAGTACATGTGACCTCGATCGGTGAGCAACAACACTTACAGGGGTGGACAAAATAACAGCAATGCCTCTACAATCCATGCAATTCCACACAACAACCCTGCAATAAATATGTTTGTGAAGATTTTGGGGACTTTGAGGTTGATTTTCTCGATGGATTGCATTATTTTGTAAGGTGATGCTGTTTCCAGCCTGTGTAATTTTCATGTTATTTTGTTTACCTGCTGTTTGCTTATGAAACATTAATTGGCTGACTCATACACCAAGTAGCCGTCAAAACTGAGCCTATGGGGATGAATTACTCACTCTTCCATTCAGTCGATTGTAATTAAAGCATATGTTGATATGAAACAATGGTACTTTTGTGCCCTTTTTAAATAAATATCAGGTAAATGAAATTTAGTGCTGTAGTTTAATGGTATTTGTGTTATAGTTGCCCCCTAGTCCTTCCCAAAAGCCCACATGAATTCTGCTGCCCCTGCCTCTTATTAAAGCAGTTCATACTGGCAAATCTTTGGGGGGGTGGGGAGACCCTGTTTTCACTGATGGATTTAGATGTTCTGCTTTACTCTATTCATGACTGTGTGTGTGTGTGTTCCCAGATGGAGGAGCTGCTGGGGGCCATGGAGAAGGTGAAGCAGGAGCTGGAGTCCATGAGGGCCAAGCTGGCCTCCACCCAGCAGTCTCTGGGTGAGAAAGAGGCACACCTCTCAACCCTCCGAGCTGAGCGCAGGAAACACCTGGAGGAGGTGCTGGAGATGAAGTAAGACACACACACACACACACACACACACTGGCATACAGAGGAGGGTGGAGTAGACTGGAGTATCGATTGCTACCTTCATGTTGTAAAATGTCATCCAATCTTGGCCTTCCCCAGCTGGCAGGATGATTTTGCACAATGAATAATAAATGATAATTGAGCTGTTTACTTCTGTGGTCAAATGCCATGTTGTTTCATCCCCATCTTACAGGCAGGAGGCGCTGTTGGCTGCTATCAGTGAGAAGGATGCGAACATTGCCCTGCTGGAGTTGTCCTCCTCTAAGAAGAAGAAGACCCAGGATGAGGTGGCTCTGCTGAAGCGGGAGAAGGACAGACTGGTGCAACAGCTCAAACAGCAGGTGGGGAGGGGGCTGCTGCTATTCACGGAGGGGAATGCATTATTGAGGCGTTGAATACACACATTTATGTTATTTCCATTAATCTTTCCTACACGCCTCTCACACAGAATATGTTCAGCAGTAGGGAATAGAGCAGTATCACCAGACACCGGGTGTTATTGTGGCTCAGTCACAATAGTTTGTGTTATTTATCACCAGACAGACTGCATAGTTACATGCCAAATAACTTTTTCTACCCACACTATTTAAAGTGCCCCATTATATACACTCTCTCTCTCTCTCGCTCTCTAACCATGAGCCAATCAAAAAGTAAACTAAAACAATGGCTCCATATCAAACAGGCTCCTGACTGGTTCTCTGTGTGCTGGCTCCAAACAAAGGTTTTAAACTTACACAATCGTTTTTTCCTAAATCGTTGCTGGAAAATACATTAAATGTAAAAAAAAAAAAAAAATTCCATACACAAAATAGATTTGAAAACGGGCATAATTCTCTGAAACATATATGTTCAGTGTTTTTGATCAGCATCATTATTTATTTATAGCATTTAATCTCCTTGTTTAGCAGAAGTTAAGTTTTCGAACAATCTGGGGCAGCTTCCTATGCTTAAAACATTGTGATGTTGTGAACTGTAATACAAAAGTGTATTAGGTGTTTTAGGGTCCTGGTATTGTTATGCCTTAGATGCATTACATGCTTTTCTTACAGTGAGTCAAAACATCTACTGTGGAAAAGGCCTATATTCTGTCTCTTGCTGACTCGATTAGGATGTAGACTTGTCCCTCAGTCATTAAGCTATTTAATAAAATGTTGGCAAGGATTTTGTTTTCAATCACATCACTCTTTCTGTGTTGTTTTTATTTTTTATTCTTGATTATTTGATTTCCAGACTCAGAACAGAATGAAACTAATGGCAGACAACTATGAGGATGACCATCTGAAGACTGCCCCTGACCAGACAAATCACAAACCCTCTCCAGATCAGGTAGCTTATCCAACCATCCCTTAGTAATGTTTCCATTTCATCCTGGACAGCTTCTCTAAAATGTCTGCAATTGATTTGTTAACAACGTAAAGAAGGTTGAACTGATGCCTACTGTTTGAAGGGAACTAATATTTTAACTTTGTCTCTATACAAACTAACCAAATGTTCCTTTCTAATGCTGCGACTGGCTCTTGTGGCTAACAGGATGACGAGGAGGGTATTTGGGCGTAGCCAACCTTTTGCCCTCCCCCTCTCTCTCTCTCTTTATTCAGAAGGGTGAGCTCGTGTGTAAAGCCAAACCCGTCACACTTTTCTTCATCGTTATGCTCTATGGCATGTTTTACTCGTCTTCCATTCGTTGTGTTGTTTTTTTTTTTTTTTTGTCAAACTTCATTCCTCTCTTCTTCCCGTTGATGGTCATTGTCATCATTGTTTGGTCTTTTCTGTGAGAGCAGATCTTACCACTCATCCCGTGCTTTAACACTGTTCTATTCATATCTGTTTAGTGGCGTACGGGATAGGGATCAGTGCTGTGTTTGTTTGTGTGTTTGTGTGTTTGCATGCACAAGCTAAGAGGATGAGATGGATTTTGATCCCGGCTCCGGTCTCATCACCTCAGGCTAAATCATCTTAGCTCTGCATGCCGCTGCTCTGACACCGATGAGCTCCTCACATTTTGACCCACATAGACAGGTGTTGCATTGGATAACGGTTTTAACCTTTTAGCTTAATCAGTGGTTGAGTAAGTTGAGTAAGTTGGGTTGTAAGACACATTGTTGAGCTGCACATGCATAAATAATACCAAAAAAAAAAAAATATATATATATATATATATATTGTAATAATGTACTGGAGAGTGTTGGCTCTAATGTGAGATGGTGAGTTCATAAGCATGCATGCAGGTGTTTTTATTTTTTGTTTTCATGCAAGTGGGGTGTTGTGCTTCTTTCATCATGTTCAACCATTTGAAACTGGAGTTAAAATTCTGGTTTGTAGTTTGAATTATTTTTTCCTCCATATTTACATGTATCCCTTACCGCTCTTTTCCTTTGTTCTTCCGCACTCCGACCCTGCAGATGATTCCCCCTCTTCTAGCCTTGTCCCAGAACCGCAGTAAGCTCAAGCTTTACATCGCTCACCTGACAGACCTCTGCCACGACCGGGACCCCAGCATCCTCAGCCAGCTCACGCCACCCTCTCACTACCACCACAGCGACCCCGAAGACTGGGAGGAGGAGCTCCAGAAGATGAGTGTGGAACAGGTAGAGGAGGATCTCTCAGTCGCTCTCTGTTAATCATCTTTACATTACCAATTTGTAATATAAATAACAAGTATATTGGCATAAATAATTACAGAGAATTTAGTTTGCTTCTTGATTGAGGAAGGTTTAGTTATGCAGCACATTTAAAACACAATTAAGAAAATTAAATCAATCCAAGAACAATTTAAATTAAATTAGACACAAACAGAAAATAGTAGACAAGGAAATAAAAATACAGAAGGGAAAATCAATCAAATGTTTTTTTAAATTCTGATTTGAAAGCGGATAAATTTGGCTAAATTCACATTTAAAAAATCTGTTATTTTTGTCCTGTAAATGCGTGATTTTAATTTAATTTAAGTTTTTAACTTCAAACATTTCTAAGCATGCATTTTATTATTTGCAAAATTCATAACTTTGTTTCCGGTTGGATTGAAACTCTGAAATAAAACTAATTCATGCACTTTTCTCCACCCCAGTTGGAGCGGGAGCTGGAGGTGTGTGAGAAGGAGAGCGGAGAGCTGCAGGAGTATGCCAACTCCGTTCTCCAGCAGATAGCAGACTACTGCCCCGATATCCTGGAGCAGGTTGTCAACGCCCTGGAGGAGTCATGCTGACAACTCTGACCTCAGACACAACCCAGCTGACGCCTGGTCTTCACCTGTAGCTGAGCCCCTCCCCCTACCTCCACTCAACGAGGCTCCTGTAAGGATGAGAGAAAGCTGGGGCATTATCTCACCCCACTGAGCATTTCTTCCTCACTCCCCTCGTCCGCCCTGGAACAAACTTTCTTAACTTATAAGTGCTTTCCTGTCTCGTGTCTCTCTAATGTCAGGCCTGCAAAATTGAATTAGGGATGTTCACAAAGTCTGTGGAAGCGTTACCAAATATGGCACTTTGAGTAAATATCCGATTACTCTCTGGCTGTCCTGGTAGATGGCGGTGTCGCAGTGGAAAGAGAAGTTATAAGCTCAACCTTTTAAGCATTTGTGAACTCACCAAATTCAATTTTTGCTCGTAATATACTTTAATAATATAATTGTGCACCTGTACGTCAGGCACAGGTGCTTTGGGAGAGAAAGGATATCGGATGAAAGAAGCCAACTTCCGCACAAAGTCTTGGAGTTTTACTGCCAACCTTTACTCTCCCTAGACGTGTTCATTCACAGCCGGAAGCACAGATACCTCACTCACTTCTATCTCAGATTCCTCTCACAAATCTCTTTTTTAAAGGGAGTACATGTATTCCTCACAGGGGGCAGGAAAGCACTTGGTCTTAGAACTTAACTGGGGAGCTGCTACATCTAGAGGGGAGCAGAGAGGAGTTCAGTGGGTAAATCACGGAGCCATGTTAGACGCTTGTTTTGTATTTTAGTCGGTGTTCCCTAGCTAATAGGATGGAAACCAGTCACTAGTTAGAAATGCAGCGACTGGTGGCCGATCGTCTGAACACTTAGGAAATGCCACTTTTTAACCAAATAAATGCAGCATGTTCTCCAAATGTTTCCTCTCCCGGCTTTGAGCTGTGGATGTGTCGTCGTAGCCAGGACTAAACCGTAGGTACCTTTTTTTTTTTTTTACTGTGTCGTCTGTGGTCATCGACATAAGAGGGGGATCAAGGCCTGACCTTTTGACACAGATCCAAGGTCAGCTTTTAGTTACACAATGTTCTCAAATACGAGTGTCTGAGTAAGAGAGAGAGGAAACAAGAAAAAGCTTTTACTCTTGGTGACGTATTCAGTTTTTAGATGGTTTTGCACACAACGTCCACTTGTTTATGAGGTATGCAATGTTTCTTTTTGAGAACGTTCTAGTGGCCTTGGAGCATGCACAGAGATCAGTACTGGACCTAATGCAGGGATATTTATTTCTCTGTAATATTGGTGCTAAGGCATGATGTAAGAACTTTCGATCTGATCCACTGATCATTCAGTCTCATCCAAAGTTTCTATAGATGTTACTTAAAGCCCACCTGATCTTTAGTTTGTTGACTGAATCACTGAAGAATACAAGCGACACCCCCCACCACCACCACCACCTTTTTTTTCTTGTATTTTTCAGATCACTTACAAATGCAAGTGATGCCTCCTTTTATTGTATTTTTTGAAATCTTCAGGGCTGAGGTTTTTAATTACTAAGTGCATCTACATTTACAGGAAATGAAAGTCACTTTTCAGCAGATTTTGACTTTTTAGATGAGTTTGTAAATAACGTGATATTTAACACGTACAGTGACTGAATAAAGGTAATTAAGTGGAAGGTGTTGTGCATTCTTTAAAAAAAAATAATAATCTGAAAAGTTAAAAGCAGTGCAGTTGTCTTTTGTGTCTAATTTTGTCTTCAGGACAAAATGTGTGTGTGTGACAGTACTGCCATAACTTGCGGAAAGTCATGTTCTATAGAGATATATATAAATATAATACATATATATATATAAAAATGTTTACTGTATGGATATGCATTGAATGTTTGCACAGTATCTTGAAGAGCGAGCTGCTCTGAACAAAAACGGCCGTCGAGTTAGTGTCCTCAGCACAAACTGAGGAGAGAAGTGTCAAAAAAATCTTGTGTCAAAATAATGTGTGAACTACAAACGTTTTCAAAACCGTGACTGTGTGATGGGAGAGTACTTTTCTTGCATTCATTTCTAATTAATTCTTTTTATATATTTTCACCATAAGGTGATGTAAATGTATTATCCTGAGATTCCAGTGTTGTTTTTTTCTTATCTGTTACGTCAGTTGTTTTTTTTTCTTCTTCTTTCTGTTGGTTGATGTCAAAGGCAGACTGTGCCTGATGGATAAAAATGAGTCTCCAACCATCATGGCCCCTCCTGCTGTTATTAAAAAAAAAGAAATGTAACATGGGAGGAAAAAAACCACACACATTGCATCCAGAAGTTTTTCTAACAAACTTTAGATTTACAGATAACTTTAGGTGGGTGGATTTTACTGAAAACAAGACACACCCCCTCAGGTTTGGAGGATGTTAGTTGGATGCTTATTTTTGTACTTCTTGTCTGTCAAACCCTCTTGGAGTGGACTTTTTTTATTTTCTAACCCCCCCTCACTTTTCACCTCCGGGTTCGGAGAAAGAAGAAAGCATTGTTTAAGTGTTTCCCTTACTTTGGCCTGTGTGTCCCTGCCCTTGCCTTAATGTCTCGTCATCTCTTTTTCTCGACTCCTTATTGAGGAACACAGAGCTGATTAAGGGGCTTCTGTCAAAGTTCATGGTATTTGTTTTCCTTCTTTCTTTTGCATTTGTATAAGAAATGTACTGCCTTCTGTCTGTTCGTGTTAATCAAAACTGTGTAAAAAGAAAGCAAAACAGACATGTTTGTGAGTTATTTGGATTTTGTATGTATGTAAATAAATAAATTATAAGCCTTGGTTTCTTGTTTTTTATTCTTTAAACCAGTTTGAGCTCTCCAACTCGTTTCACATTTGCAGCTGCAGGTACTTTTACACTGTAGCCTATTATCCTCATTATTGGGAACCAAATTGTATGACTTTTAAGTGGAGTTAAAGTGTCAAAATAAAGTTTTTAAACCCACGTTTATCCTGTGCAAATATGTGCGCTCCTCCAGGAAGACTCATCAATAGCAGCAGAATTTAAAGTTACATTAATTGGCCACTGATTTGCCCATCGGCTGTGTTAAATTTATTATTTAACAACTCAAATAATGTCTCATCTTGCTTTCCCATTCAGAGGCCAGTGTCAGTCCCCTAGAGTTGATGTCCACACAGGTTTTAAACCTTTACAGACTTGGACATTATCTGTTCAGTGTTCAGAGTGCAAGAAGGTAAAAAAAAAACCTCTCAATCTCACCCCACATGGTCCATTTAGGGGCTCTTTGTGAGCTTTTAATATCACACAATCTTCCTAAACAGGTAGGAGTTGATCCAGTTGTAGTGGTTTGATTTCTGTTTTTTAAGGAGCAGCTCCAGAACAGGACAGCTGCCAAATGGACCTGAAAATGTGCTTTCTGCTGTTTTCCAGGGTCAAAAATACAAAACTTCTTATGGGACAACTAAACACTGTGCTCTCCATCATCATGTATAATCCCCACACATTTCAGAGCAGTGGATTGTGGGTTATTTCCTCAAACAAACTCTGTAGGAGACTGTAGGGTCATACTCAAAGATAGCTAAGCAGGGTAGTGAGCTGTTAAATGGGTCTTTGAGCTCTGCTGTGTATTATTTGAAATTTTCCCTAAAGTACCAACAAGATAACTGAACCACACTTAGTTCTCTGAGTGTAAATCTACAACAGACTCACATTATAATCCAAAGCTTAAATGTCAGATTAAGGCGTAAAAGGTGTGAATGGTATTAACCTGCTGTGAAATTATGATAATCTCTATTTTAATTACATAATTTACTGCAAACTTCATTTAGTGGCTGCCCTACTGAAATAGGAAAAGTAAGATATTAAAAGGCATTCTTCTAATTATCTTATAAATCAAATAGTTGATTAAATAAAACAAATTATAAACTCTAGTAAAACACACAGAACTGAAACATAATTGCCATCTTTATTCATAAATATCACTACTGTATGAATATAAAACAATCTTAAATTACTGCTTTTTTTAAACAAATACTCTATCGTTGGAAGCTCCTCAGGAGAAAAACCACTGATAAACAGTTTTAAAGTATTGCATATAGCCTTGGCAGCGGTTAATTACTACGCCTTACTGTAGTTGTGTTGATGAACCTTTGACAAGAGTAGCATACTGGAACATCTGATACATACTCATTTCCTCAGGAATATGAAAACATAGCCAACTATACATTAGGTAAACAAAAGACAGACAGGAGTGATCCACCCACTTCAATTTGAAGTACAATTTTGTCAACAACAGTCATTCAATACAAAAAAATATTGGTTACATAAGTAAAAACAACCAAAAAAAAAAAACATTCTATCAAAACTTCAATACAAGGTACTCCAGCCTTTCTGTTAAGAGTTAAAATGCCTAACTATTTATTCTGCAATGAGATTTTTTCTTTTATTAAAATATCAAAAATCTCCATTCGGTATACGAGTCACAAAAATATGCAATGTAATCTAGTATTAAGCGATAGTAGGCACTCCTGTGTTTTGATGGGTGAGGTAGCTAGAGAGTAAGAACTGTACACAGGCTGAGATTAAACAATGCACATCGAAAAGAGAGAGAGCGAGAGAGAGAGACACACTGAAACAAACATGTGAGTAAGAGTGGAGTATTGCAGCGGAGGTGAACAATATTCCAGTGATCAATACGGAGTCTCTCTCCTTGTTTTTAGTCACAGTATAGAAGGTAAAATTAAGAATTTGGACACAGGTAGTCCCCCTCTCAGTACAACAACTATACACAATGAAAGACATTTATACTAAACAGGAGAGAGCCTTCACCTCACTCTCTCACTCTCAGTCATCTGCCACAGTCCCAGGTTTAACACTTTAAGGCACGGGAGCTGCGTTATCCTCTCCAGACCCCTCTTGGTGATCTTAGTACAACCGTACAGATCGATCCCTGTCAGCTGGGTCAGGTGGTCCGCGATCAACTCCAACCCTTTGTCTGTGATCCTCACACACTGTCCAATGTTGAGGGTCTTGAGTTCGTGCATCTGGCGCACCATCCTGTTGATGCCATCATCACTGATATGACAGGAGCACAGGGAGAGGGACTTGAGCTGATACAGCCCCTGGGCGATGTACGCCAGGCTCTGGTCTCCAATCTTGTCACAGAAGGAGACATCAAGTCCAGACAGCCGGAGGGAGCCCATGGCCAGATGCATTATCCCCGTGTCACTGATGTTATCACACGACCGCAGGTTGAGGCTGCACAGGTGGGTCATGTGCGACAGGTGGATCATCCCTGCGTCTGATATCCCTCCGCAGAAGCTGAGGTTGAGCACTTTGAGCTTGTTTAGGCCCTTTGAGACGTGTTTGAGAGAAAGGTCGGTCAGCTTCTGGCAGTCCTGCAGAGTTAACTTCTCCAGGGACAGACAGCCCTCTGCGGCGCTGCGGGTCATACCGGACAGGTGACCGATGCCCACATCGGACACATGCCTGCAGCTGCGCAGGTTAAGGCTCTTGAGTCTGTGCAAGCCCCAGGCGATGAGCAACAAGCCCGTGTTTGTGATATTGCTGCACCCCCCGAGTTCAAGCACCTCCAGGTTTTTGAGGTACTGGGCAATCCTACCCAGGCTGGAGTCAGTGATCTGTTTACAAAGGCTGAGGTTCAGCACCCGCAGGGATGGGATGTCCTGCACAAAGGCATGTCCGAGTCCGTTGTCTGTGAGGTTGAAACACCCGCACAGGTTAAGGCTTTCGATGTGCGGCATCCCTTGAATCACGTAGCTCAGACTGCGCCTGAGGCTGAGGATCTGAACTTTCTTGATGCCCCTCGTCTGCAGACTGGGGAACAGAGACGGGTTAGCTCGCCGCAGATGGAGCTTGGCTTCAACCCCCCTCCACACCGACTTGTGGTAGGACGCGTCTCTCCAGGCCGCGCACACTTGGGCTACTCTTCCTTTGTCTTTCACGTCCAGATAACTGAAAATAATGGCCAGGATCTCCGGGAAAAGGCACGATATATGTGTCTCCATTTCAAACATGACTGCAGGCTGACTGCTTGCGGCAGCAGAGGCTGACTGTGAGCGACAATACTGTCGTGGTGAGCTCTCCGAAACTCTCCTGCAGAAGTTGCTGGCAACGTTTAGCTAATGTCAGCTAGCATACGTTACAGTTAGCCAGTTAGCTTCGCGTGTAGCGTAACGAAAAACCCTCCACCCATCTCGTAGGAGCGAGAAACTTGATGTTATATTTCATAAAACGATGGCACAGGTACGACCACCAGCGCCACAGTTCGTGTGTTGACGACGTGGACGCAGATGCGGGGAAAACTCCCGAAAGGCAGCCGTGATATTTACCTAGCCGGCTAGGCTAACGCGATAGCGGCTAACGTTAGCAGATGTCGGCGTTAGCGGTCGAAACTTGTGAGCTTCAAAAGCGGAACGACCTCCGCGTCCAGGCTGACCTCAGCGGCGTAATATTTACTGCAGCTCATCGCAAAGCGTCTCCGACAACTTTTCGACTGTAGAAACTTTCCTCCTTCACCGTCTGAGGCATTTCCAGCAGCGTCGGAGCATCCCGGATCTCCACAAATCAGATTATTAGCTCACAGCGAGTTCATCCTCCGAGCAGCGGCCTCTAGTGGCGGAGACCAGCATCGGCACTATTTTATTTACTGGGATTAATATTAATAATGCTGCGTTATTATTAATAATGCTGAATTAATATTAATAATGCAGCATTAATATTAATAATGCTGTATTATTATTAATAATGCTGAATTAATATTAATAATGCAGCATTAATATTAATAATGCTGTATTATTATTAATATGCTGTATTATTATTAATAATGCAGCATTATTAATAATAATGCTGCATTATTAATAATGCTGCATTATTAATAATGCAGCATTATTAATAATAATACAGCATTATTATTAATAATGCAGCATTATTAATAATGCTGCATTATTATTAATGCTGAATTATTATTAATAATGCTGTATTATTATTAATATGCTGTATTATTAATAATGCTGTTTATTATTAATAATGCTGTATTATTATTAATATGCTGTATTATTATTAATAATGCTGAATTATTATTAATAATGCTGTATTATTATTAATATGCTGTATTATTATTAATAATGCTGTATTATTATTAATAACGCTGAATTAATATTAATAATGCTGTATTATTAGTAATATGCTGTATTATTATTAATTATGCTGCGTTATTAATATTAATGCTGAATTATTATTAATAATAATACAGCATATTAATAATAATACAGCATTATTAATAATAATTCAGCATTATTAATATTAATAATGCTGCGTTATTATTAATATGCTGTATTATTATTAATATGCTGTATTATTATTAATAATGCTGAATTAATATTAATAATGCTGCATTATTAATATTAATTCAGCATTATTATTAATAATGCTGAATTAATATTAATAATGCTGCATTAAAGTCTTTTTATTTGAACCGTATGTTGTTTATTTATATCTACAATGTTTGTTTGTTTGTTTGTTTGTTTGTACTTTATACTCACTCTGAGAGCCAGATGCAGATATATTGTAGGTTTCTAACAACAGCACAAACAACCCAAAGAAAGAGTAAACAACAAAGTTAGACAGATTTTAGGTGCAAATAATGTAAAATAATAACAATGATATATTTTATTCATAGATCAACTTTTCTAGGAACTCAAAGACACTTCACATAAGTTACAAAAGAAAAGAATAAAGGTAATAAAATAACATATATATATAAATATATATACAAAATTAATGTAGACTTTAAATTCTG